AAAAATAGAGCTGGAACATGCTGTTTTATCAGCTTTCCAAATTGAACCTGATTGGATTGGTGGGAAGATGGAGGAGAGGACTAAAGTTGTTTGGGTTTTACAGGCGAAGGGAGAGGGAGAGGTGAGTTGAGTTAATCTTTTTAGTTGATGATCTGATAGCCTTTCTGCATCAAGATCTGGCGGGTCGTTTTCTTTCTTTGATTTGCTTTCTTCAACTTAGGAAGTGCTTGGTCACAAGATGAAGTAGTGAGAAGTCCAAGTTACTAATTGTACACAGAAAGCCAACATTCGCTCGCAAGCTCCTAGCAACTACCAATTTTGCTTTCCGTCCATGGAGGGCAATATCAACTGTATGCACTCAAAACTCATGCTTCTTGCATACAAATCACATCTTCGTATTGTTGTACCGAGTGCGAATCTCGTGCCTTACGATTGGGGTGAAGCTGGAGGAGTTATGGAAAATGTGAGTGTCCTTGATCCCGACACTGACTGGTGCGCATACTCTTCTGTCCTTTCTCATCCACCTTGTCCCTTTATCCTAAACCTAGTAGTTTCAGCGAGCTATGAGATAGATTGCTACAAGGGCTCTCAGTACCTGCCGGTTTTGAACCTCGGAATCTTGATTCTGACAGGCTCCTAGATCGTATTTTTGATTGACCTCCCTCGACATCCTGGAGGCAAATCGGCCACTCCGGAAACCTTCTTCGCGACGGAATTACTCCATTTCCTGAAGTCGATGGGCCTGAAAAAGAGCATTATCGACAGCCTGGGCAGCTTCGATTTCTCCAACACCACTGACTTGGCATTTGTTCACTCCATGTAGGTTGATAGTTGTCCACGCAATGTCGGTAGCCGATTACTGATCATTTCCTCTTCAGTGGAGGACCTCATGACACGAATGATCTGAAAAGAACAGGTTATTGCGGGTTAGGCAACGCAATCACCAGACTCGGCATTCAAACCGATGGAGCACTGACCGTGGATTTAATCGTAAGGATCCCCCTTGTACTGCATTGTTACCCAACATCGGCACCTGTCCCAGCCAAAACTCTCTTATAGTGACCGTTTTTTATAGGCTGCTTCGATTGGAAGCCTTACACTTAATTTCATCAAAGTGATGTACATGGCTTGTCACGGTACGTAACTACATTCCACTTTCGATTTCACCTCGCATTTCTTGGGCACCAGTTTCAAATCTCCTTGACCCTGTCATTTCTGCCCAGTCTGGGTATTTCCCGTCAGAAAGGCGAGAAATACGAGTCATCTCGTCTGGGATTTAAGCGATGAAGACTTGGGAAGTCGTGGCCGTACATCGGGGTGAAAAACCTGGGGAGGTGATTCTGGGTATATGCTAATATGTGATCCATTTGCAGGCGATGATGGTATGACTGAATACGAATGGCGACAAAGCAAGACTCCCAAAAGCAAACCGCAGAAGAAGTCAGTTGCCGAGCGGAATATCTCAGATGAGATCAAGCAATATTTTCGGATATACTTTCCCACTCATGAGACTGTCGCAAACAGCAAAGGTGGTGTAGGTGTGAGTCTGGAGTTAATTTCCTATCGTATCCCCTCATTCCTTGAGGTCGAGGTACTTTTCGCTGGACTGGGACAAAGGCAAGAAGCAACACTGGCATCCATGTCCTGGTTTCTCGAAATCACTGCTTCCTATCTTTTTCAATCTCTTTCTCAATATCAAGCGCAACCTATGATCCATGTCACGTCGAGTTTCATCTATCAAGACGTGCTATCAATGGCATTCTCCACCCTACTCCTACCCCAACCGCTGACAGATTGTATAGGCTGGCGGTACCATATGTACGCAATCACAATGGTACGACAACGGGGTCTTCCCTAAGGAACTTATGCGTGATTGTCAGAGCACCAGGCCTGGTCTCTTAATGCACAGCAAAATGATATTCGTCCGGCCTCACAAGCCCACCAAATCCGGCGTCAAGGCTTGGGCGTATGTTGGCAGTGCGAATTTATCTGAAAGTGCCTGGTACGTTTCCTTGTTGGCGAATTCGCGTTGTCCTCATAGAGTCCGGGGATGGGTATCCCGACCTTCCAACATCACTCGATGCTAACACATAATCTCTCTCACAGGGGCCATCTCTCCAAGGATCGAGTAACCAAACAACCCAAGCTCAACTGCCGGAATTGGGAATGTGGTGTTGTCTTTCCTGTCCGGGGCAGTGAGATTGGCACCAAGCTCGAACACAAAGGACCGCCAGGTATTGAAGTGTTCAAAGGCCATATACCGGTGCCTATGATCGTGCCAGGGGCTGAGTACGGAGACAAGAGACCTTGGTTCTTTAAGGAAGGAAGATAGTGTATGGTCTTGAGGGGGTTATGGAGTCGGCAGATGGCGATGAAGATGGCTGTGCGAGCGTGGGCAGTGCTGAGATGTGTAGATTATTTGCGTGGTCTATCGATCGGGGAAGATACATGGAGTAGTCTGGTAAAGTCAATAAGGAATATACATCTTGACATGGTATCGTCTGTTCAACACTGCCTCCTTTTGCTTGTCATAAACAGAACTAATTCCCCGTATCCCACTATCAATGAGACTTCCGGCACTTCCCATATCTCCAACTCGGACGCACTATTCCAACACAGACGAGCATAATGAATCCTTGATACACTAACCTAACAGCGAGATTTACGCACCTGGTTACTTTTCGGCAATGCGAAGGCGCTGAATTTTCCGAATATCTGCTCACTTTCACTGCTCAGTTTCTTGAGGAACCTGGCATAGTGCCATCAGATGTCCATTGAAAAGGGAAGGAAGAATGATGATCATGTCATTATCCATGAATCCTTGCTCTGAGGTGTTGAGAAGAATTCCAAGCATGTTAAGACCCTGAGAAGTCTGTTCAGGTTCATGTCTGTGAGTAGTAACCAAATAACGGGACTTCCCGAGCACGTGTCCCATCGGTATTCGGGCCAATCACAGCAGTCGGGTGGCAAGTAATTGATTGGAGAACGAAGCGCGAATGCTATGAGACATTTATGCATTCCTTCTTTGGGGCTTGTTTCTCGATATAAGCATATAACCTCAGGAAATAGACTCGGATTGATGCTGGGATGGGTTATCACCGGCGTTGAGTTTTACGAGCACGAGGTTGTTCTGGGGTTAGAGTTGGCAAGGCAAGTCTCAATGTTGGATCCGAGGAGTTCTGGCGCTGGGGGAGCGCATGGACAGGGGCTGGGTGGACGGCTAGGATGGTGAAGAATCCCAGTTGGGGGAGAATCAGGCACAGTGAGGGGACGGTTTGAGTTTGTTCCTGGTTATGGTCGCTGTGCATAAGATATGGAGAAGTATATTGAAATTCAAGTGTTGTGATTGCTATTGAAGCGTTGGATAGCTATCGCAATAGTTTGTGTACAACCAGCACTTCATCGTATTCGTGCAAGCCGCAGCAGGATTCAATTCGAGGGAGGTAAACCGGAGCAAAGTGGCGATGAATGGCAGGTTTGGCGTATTATTATCTAAACAATAATGGCTTTAGATGGGTAGACGTGGAATGCCAATCGCGCTTTCGATGGAGTTTTACCGACAACGTGTTACTTGGGTGGGATAGCTTGACTATTTTGAGGTTAGCCTACAGTCTAACGTTAGGGTAGTGTGGAGGATGGAGTTGGACACCAGGTGAGGAGCTCGAGATGATTATTGAATTAATGCTGGAAGGAGGATACTGTTTTCAAAGGATTCTCCTAGAAAGGCAGGTCAAGAATTAGTTGACTAGGGACGAGCTGGCTAACAGGCAACGCACGAGTCAGTCATCAAACCTCAGAGTTGCAGTGTCTCAACACGAGACCCTGACCATGGAGCCTTACAAGTCTAGTCTTTGTTAGGCTAGTACCATAGCAAGTTGGAAGTTGACAGCAACAGCCATCAAGCATCATGGTAGTGTGTACCATACCAAGCCAGAATTTGGTTATTGAACACAACTCAGCCTGCTGTACACACGCGGCTCTCTAACAGGGTTTGTCAACCATGGCCACCACTTAATGATTCCAGTAATTGATGCTAATCAAATTGGGAATACAATGAGAAGTAACAGAGAAATGGTTACACCTATGGTGGACATCAACAAGCAAGACTTCGTGTAAGCGGGATGAAGCCGAGTTTTGGATCGTGAATGATTGTCGCAATTATCAACTTGTTCCAATACTCTGTTTCCCGGCGTGATCGTCTGCGAACCTTTTGCTGATGGTTAAGAGAGACGTGCTATGTTTACTGTTGAATTCCTCGCTTGTGTTGTGTTGCGTCGATACCAGATTCGTATTCCTCTCTCGTCCTTCCCTCGTCATTATGCGGAATCGAACATCATAGCAGCTACGCTTGCGCTTCAAGCTACATGTGGGCATATGGCGGCTGGGTAGAGTGGTCTTCGAAGGTCCGAAAGTGCTAATACTTCGTAGTCGGTCTTGGGAACAACGATTCTGACTTCCAATGTAGCATTCGGTGTACTGTCGGAATTCCTCGATGATCTGTCAGGAACACGCCCAAAAGATTGCCAGGTGGTCTCCGTCGTTGTCGAATGATTCTGCGTCCTGCGCGGGTAGACAAATTATGCAAGTTGGTACATTGGAAGTCGGATAGTAGAGGTGATTGATGATGATGAGGGGAAGTCGAGGAGCGAAAGAGATCATGACCCTTGTCACCACCTGCATCCTTGGACCTTGTCTTGATTACTGTAACTCTACTCGACACGTGATGGAATTGCCGGTATTTGTCTCTAAATCTTCTGTATTATTTACACCAAAATTCATCAGGTGTATCTTTCGAGTCAAAACATCCACCTGCGCATCGAATTGATTCATCGTTTATTGAAGCTTTCACGAAGGAGCTGCCACAGTCAGGATCTGGAATATGAAGGGACCTTTGGATGACCGATCGTATCTTGGATCTGCGACGACATCTCAATCATCAATACCGATCATATTTTCCCCCTCCACGCCCTCGAGCCTCTCTTAGCGCAAAGACTCGAAATAATTGGACCAAGAAGCGGCGGGTGGCGGGGCCTGCATGCATCTGCTGGGCTACTGCGCAACTTGTGACGCCCTACTAACGCCGACGATTAGCTGGGAGGCTGTGCTGGAACGAACATCCAACAACCCTCCTGCGACGGGTCTTCAAATCTCAGATCGAACGCCCACTCGAACTACGTCTGGTACGGCTTACACGCGTCAACGTGTGTTCAGTAAATCACGGCAGATGGATCGCTTCAAGCCAGTTCAGCATTCTTGCTCTATCACGACAGGATCGAATAATACCTTGCCTTGGGCGGTTGATGTTCAAAGGCTCCACTGAAATATTTCCCGAATACCTGCACCACTCCACACGGCTTGAAGCCTGGTATACAGAGCGGCATGGATGCTGTAGAAAACCATCGAGGCATTCATTATGATCGCAGGCTCTAGCGATTCGAAAAAACCAGCTCCAGCATGTGCTCTTTCCTCATGATGATGGCGAATCCACCATGGTGCAACTGTTGCTCTCGTGCAATAATCGGCCAGCTGCTACAGAAATTACCGATCAACCTCGTTCTTTACAAGTCGATTTTAGATGATCTTCAACGCCTGATCGTCGAAAACGTGGAAAGCGGCAAAGCTCTTGACCGGAACTTGGATCCAACCAACGGCGTTAAGCGAGCTGCCCGGTCCCATGCTGGCGTACTCCGTATGCGTAGCATCTGCCAAGGGGTCACGCGGTGGACAAAAAAAAACCGGATTTTACAAACTGACTATAATTGAGATAACTCAACAACGGTAGCACCTACAGCCTCTAAATTAATTCTCAGACTATTAGAGTGCTCTCTCATTGTTCTGATATTTTTTTGCGATTTTTCCGATTTTTTGTGGTTGAGTTAGACCATAATTTGCGAATTTGCAAAATCCGGTCTTTTCTGTCCACCGTTTATTTGATGTCAGTCTACATCCGTCAAAGGATCTGCTAGTGGGAATACACCCAAAACTCGCAGCTCTGGCGTTCCGAGACAGCTGCCTCAACTTGTTTAATAGTAACCAATGGGACCCCGAGTATGGTTCGTCCCTACTGTACGGCAATTCGACTCCAGGCGACCCGAGATGATTTTGGGTAGTCGTTCTAGATCCGAGTCCCGAATACTGAGGCTTGCGCCTGCTTTGTACAAAAGTCGAATGGAATTCATATTTCAGTAGGAAAATCAGGAACGCCAAATAACCTCTTGCTAGCTCTGGCCACTTCGGGAAGGAACCTGTCAGTTAAACACTGTTTTATGGTCCGCGAGCATTGGAATAGCATGGGAACTAAATTTTACCCCAACTTCAAGAGTTTCATCCACCTTTGGGGCCGGCTTCAACCGATGAAGACGATCCGGCATCCAATACCTATCATTATCTGGGCCAACTACTGCACTAAACACTAGTTCTCCTTTGAGGAAAGCTATCATTCGGCACACATTCGATGATGGTCAGGGACAAGAACTCAAACTCCAGCCCTATGCTGAGAATTGGGCAGTCCCAATAATCTGCCGCCCCGGATTTTGCAGTGATCCGAAAGTCAATTCTCATGCCCGAAAGCAACTTGATGCATCTCGATAATGAGTTCGAATTTGATTATGGGCTCCAACCCAACATGCATTCCAGCTGTCCCTTTGATAGCACTTTCTTAGATTCGGTACCAATACTTCGTTCGTCCCGACTTTTGGTACACTCCGGTTGCGTCGAATGCTTGCCAAATTGCTTGAATGAGATACGCTACCACTCCTTGCAATTTCGTTATGCACAGTTACAATCTTCCAGCAAACCTTTCATGCTCTTGCAACACGGTCTTTTGATTATCACCAGAAGTTTACAGTAATTTCAGTCATGTCGACCTCTCTGACACCTAAAATCTAGTAGGTTCAACAAGATTTACGGCCTGTCAAGAAATGCACGTCCAGGCGTAATAATAATCTTCGAATTTGTCGTTCCGGGATTTCTTCGCATGCTACGCTCCTCTTGCGACAGATAACGGACAAACATGCCAAATTAGCCTGAGCACAGGTGATATACACATGTCGTCTTCGACATTTTTGGAGGCCCCGTTTTACTGTGTTGATCGACAGTGAAGAAAACTGAGCAGCAACAGCCCTTCAGCAGCCAAGCCCCGATTTCGACCTCAATGGGGCAGATGCAGGTTGTACTTGCGCATACTGCATTCAAGATCGTTTTGCAAGACCAGAATACATACATACTAGTTGAGCCGACTTCGCATTTCACGATATATCGTGTCTGTCATTCAAGTAAAGCAAGGAGATCAGTGGCAGTTCTGTTTCGAATCAGTCTGGGAAGATAATCGCTAGATGTCTCTTCGACTCTGTCAATTCGCAGTCTTCTGGACTGAAGAGTAGCCATGCCATGTTTCCAGTCGCATCTTTTGCTGCTACGTCTTTCGCTGGAGTGTCGCAGGATTCGGCCTCACCAGTTCCTCATATCCGCTGTCGCTTTGGGCAAATCGTCGTCATCAGAGAACATCTTGAGCCGTCTCGTTGTGAACCATTTGAACTATCTCGGACAATCTCCAAGTGCGGCCGCTGAAAATGTTGTCTCACAGCTCATGAAAGCGAAACATCGTACATACATCTCGTCCAAGGGTCTCCTTCCAAGAACCAAGCACGATTGTGTACATACACCCCACTTTTGTTTGCCAGTAGTAGACGCCTGAATGATAGAGCTTCAGGGTGTACTGTACCTCGAGGCATGTTTACTAATTCAAAGAAAGGCAAGCCTGAACCCTCATACCTGAGACCCTAAATCTTGTGCTTCCCCAACCCTGACTATTATCTTAGCGTGTCGTCCTAGTCCGGGTGGGCTATCACCTAGTGGAAACTGCACGATAATTGGCAGCACCCCGGACATGCCTCCGCCGGGAAATTCCATCTTTCCCATCAGCAATCTGATTGACCTCCACACTCGCTAAAAATACCTGATCGGTAGCTGGTGGCGAGGGGTGGCAGACGGGACTCCATATCGTAGTATGCACCCTGATCGCAACTACGAACAAGGACCCAGCTCCAAAAGAAAATTCCATCGTACTCTATGGACTTCAGAGCGTATCCCAAGCCTCAACGCGCTGAGGGGAACAGAGATAGAAGATAACTACTGCCCAAATATTGCCTTGCAGCCAGCCACTTAGCTAACGGGAAACACTAACCAGTGATCTAGTACTACTACAGTATGGCCTCCTCCCGGGAGCCGGAGGCCGTATCCCACGGGGACCCAGAACGCTTGTGTTGGGCCGTCTTTCAAACCGAACGCAAGATCTTATGAGGATGCTGTTACGAATTTTGTTCTCATTATTATTGATTATTGGCCAGTGTAATTTATAACGGAGAACAAAGCGTAGAATACCATTCTCTTCTCTTCTTGACGACTGGTCACAGTCCTGAAAAGGGAATAATGAACAATGAGAGCCATTATTAGCACCTTCTTCCGATACCTGTCGTACATTGCTAGCAGCATGGTGTAGTCGCTCAGGTCCAAGTCTCGGTTGCACGGCGTCTGACGAAAGCGACTCCTCGACTAACCGGCGTGCGCCCTCGAGTTTCTTTCGCTTCGCTCTCGTTCTCGAGCGCTTCAGACGTACTCCCCGCAAACTCAATACCGCAGCTACGCAGCTCACTACGTTTCGAGCCTTTGCTCTGCACATTGGCCTGGATTTGATGCACCTACGGTAGTCGGACAAGCTTCAATCAATCCAGACGTCTGACCTTACTTGGTTGATTAACAACGAACATTTCGGCACTACGGGGTAACTTGTCGCCCATCACCTCTCGTGGCTCGTACGCCTCCGCGTTGAACTTGGGCTTCTTAGCTCAGAGACGACGCGGTTTTCTGTACGCCAGGGACTTTCACAGAGACCAGTAGCAGTGGAGCAACGCCGTTTTTCGCAAACCGGGACTGCCACTTCTGACACTGGGTATCCACTGCGGCGAGCTAAAAACCGGCTTGTCGTTCGCGTCCTACTACTACTAATATCCAACAACTTCATAAAAGCTCCAAACTACCCAGCGCGCCGCTGGTTTGTTTTGCTTTCGAAGTTCCTGAAGTGACACTTTGGCTTTCTTCTTTTTAAGGAAAAGGGTCGCATTGCTTGCTTTAAACTCGGCTCTAGCAGTCTTTATATTCTATTACACGGCCCGAAAACAGCTACGCGAGCTCCATCTTGTTAACATATATTGGGACAGTCCTTTCCGATATCTTTGGAGCAGATTTTCATCTCCTGGTTTCTGGCGGACGATTCAATCGACACCTCAACCTTGAAACTCGACGCGGAGAAATCTCTTCCTGGAGGATCAAGATCTGAAAGTTCTCTTTCGACCTTCAGGCAATAGCACAATCGAACAGCAATTTTGGCTTCTACGAGCAACAACCCAGGCCCAGAAATACTTGACTCGTCGCGGACTCTCGCATTAGTCTATCACAATACAACGCGACCCAACAACCGCAAGCTTTGCCTTTCAAACACCTGTAGGGACACCACGGTACACAGCCCAACGTCTTGTTGTTTTCTTATCCTCCACGCAGAATTTAGTTCACCTGCTCAGCTTTTGCTGGTGAATCTGAATTCGAGAGTCTTGGCAGCTTATTCCCTCCACTCTCGCTCCCAGCTCAATGCCCCTCAGTTCATAGCCCCTGCCTCGTCGTTAGACTCGAACCTCGACCCCCTTGAAAGGACCCTTGTCCTACACACCAGGTCGTGCCTTCCTCCACCCACATCGATACCCTTGCTTTCGCCGGCATTCCTCCAGTCCACTTCCGCATTGTCACTCCGCCATCCTTCATATCTGCACACTCTTCTTCTCATGACGTTACGGCTTGTTCACCTTAACCTTTTTCACCCGGCCGCACGGTCGACCCAATTCTAGACGCCTAGCTTCGCGTCTACTCCGACACCCTCTCCGTCTTATCTGAATACCCTCGCATAAACACTTTCTGGCACCGCGCTTCTTCAACCATTCCACGGTCCGACCCAACGTTGTTCTTGTCCCTGGATCACTAATCCACCTCTGGGGCCTTGCGAGCTTTGATAAAGCGTTCCTCCTCCACATATTCGACCACCATCTCAAGCTTTCCTTACCTCTTCAGGCAACAGCTCCGTGCAGCTTCTCTGATGATACCAGTCTTATATATATTACCATCGGATCTGTTACGCGCAGTTATTGCAACCATCTAAAATGGCAGCAGCGGCGTCCCTCTCACCCACTTTCGTCGGCCATATCGCATCTACGCAGGACGCTCTCATCCTTTTCGAAGCCTGCCTCAATGGAACGCTTAATCATGTAGCGCGGCGACCACACGACCGGGAACGATCAAGCTTAATCAAAAGCGGAAATGTCTTCATCTACGAAGAGCATTCTTCAGGAATCAAACGTTGGACGGACGGCGTTCCATGGAGCCCGAGTCGCATTTTGGGAAATTTTCTTGTTTACCGCGAACTTGAACGTCCATTTCCACCTGGAGAAAAGAAACGAGCCATGAAGCGCAGCAAGCGGTCGCCAGGTATAAGCAAAGCTCAAGAATTATTCGGGACATCTGGCTCTGGAATTGGAAGCAACTACAATACCTCCAGCATCTCGTCATACCTCGACTCTTCCAACAACTCCCTGAGCAAAGAGACAGAACGATCTTTGATCGGATCCCTTGTTGACTCCTATGGTTTCAAGGATGAAGGTCTTGTTAAGAAAACCGTTAGTGTCACTGTCAGAGGTGTCTCTCATCATCTGGTTTCATATTACACTGTAGCGGATGTTATGAACAACAAATTTTCCACTCCCTCCAAGGACGCAAGATTTCAGCATATTACTCCTCGTAATGACTTGATCACCAAGCAGAATTTCCGAACACCTATTGATGAGGTAGACTCCATGGACTCGACAGATCGCGCCATGTACAGTACATATTCCGGCAACTTCCCCCGGACCGGTTATGAAATGACCAACCAAAGCCTCGCAAACCGGCCGATGTCGCTACCGATGCCACCAGTACAATATGCACCTAGCAACGTGTATGGCAGCTATACCATGAGTACTCCCTCGTGTCAGGACGGGTTACCATCAAGCTATCCGCTAGGCAGCTACACTAACCAGTTTGCATCATCTCCTGGCGTGTACAACACATCCAAGGCCGAGCCCTATGAAGTTGAAGGTGGTTATGGTAGGCAGCGTTTCAATTCAGTTGTCAGTCTGCCATCAGAACATAGTCGAACCCATGGCCCGCCACCCGTCAGCACAAATTTTGATCGTCGAGGGTCACTCTTCGATCATAGCACTGAATCTAGTCTATCTGGTATCTCAACAACGTCGATCGATTCCAAAATGAGCGGCGATTCCGGATATGCCTCGCAGAGCTACTATGGCCATAACTACAAAGAAAATAGCCAACCACATCATAGTTACCATGGAGAGCGATCGCTTCCAGCGCCTCCTCCTCAAGCACCCACACCACATCCATTCTTATGCACAGAGAATTCCGGAACGGAAAAAGGTATATGGAGCATGCCTGGAAATTCTGGTGGTGGACATGGCCATTACGTTGCATCGCACCAACAACAGTGGGCAAGCACGGGATCATCATGAAGAAATGTTGTTTCCTATCATTTGACGCATGGCTTCGGCCAAACAAGAACCTTGCTCGCATTTTACAATTTTCATATCCATTGTTTCGTCGATTTCGGTTCCGGAAGCAGGGCAAGAAGGCGTATCTCGGCTGGGTCAAAATCGATTTCGACTATCACGTTTTGGGAATATGGAATGCCAAAACATCAAGCATGAAAGGCGAATTTTCTGTTTTCTCAACATTTGGGCGCACTCAAAAAATACCCTCTCTTAATTTCGGACAGTTTTGTCCAAATTTCAATTCATTTGCACATATTTCTGATGGCACCCAAAATGGACAGGTCTTTCAAGAAAGATCCTGTGACAAACGTAAACTTTTGCAAGGAAAAAATTGATGGGCGCTCCTTTTTGGACTTTGTGTAATTGCTTGTTCGGTGGTGTATTGTATGGCAAATCTACTTCGTACATGATGAATATAACCAGCTTTTTTCGCCGCCACCCTAAACGGTAACCTTACTATATCAGGTAAAGTCTCATCTAATCTTCGCCGATAATTCGCTAGATATATCGAATATTACACTATTTTAGAGGGGTGCACGGATGTGGAGGGCTGGTTATTTACAGCTTGTACGAAGTACTGTATCTCTTCCTAGGGCGGCTGAAGTGGTCTTTTGGGTGGTACTCTGATATTAGCGGCTTGCTTGTACTTCGTACATGACTGAAATAACCAGCCCTCCACATCTGTACACTCCACCAAAATAGTGTAAAACTAGAGATATCTATCGAATCATTGTCTAAGGTTGAAGGAGACTTTATTCTATTTGGTAAAGTTGCTGTATAGGGTGGCGGCGGCGAAAGCTGGTTGTTTCAGTCATGTACGAAGTATTCAACTTTGATAGATGGAAGGAAAGAATTACAAACATCATTGTGCACGAGTCATGAATTTCTAGGCCCATTTGCATACAACAAGTGTGAAGAAGCTTGTCCTAAGCAGGTAAGGTGTACGCTAATTAGGTAGGTACGGCGTCTAGAGTTGGATGGCAAACAGCTATCAGAATGTTTAAGCGAATCCAAAAGGTCCGCTTCAAAGTAGCGGCGTTGGCGGTCTTTTATGAAAGCTATCCCTCGGTCCATCGTTTATACCTCCCGTTTTGTTCGGGAATACGTTCAACCTTACTGTATCCGGGTGTGCCCATTGCGTAGTTAGGTACCTAATTGCCCGAGATGCGGTTGAGTACAAGCATGTCACTCACGCGCCGGCCGCCGGTCATCGGCCGAATTTCTTTTTTTGGGGGGGGGGGATTCATTTATGGGGTTTAGCAGTTGATGACCGAGGCTGTGTCTGGCGTGCTAAAGGGTGATTTTTTTGTTTTTTGCTTTTTGCTTTTTGGAGATCTGAGATGTCGGGGAGTACGAGGGATTGTTTTCATGACAGAATCCTTTTGTGTTGAAAGAGTTGGATTCATTGGTGATGGGAGCTTTTACCACCAGGTCTAGAAGTCATAAGCGTGGGTTTAGTGCCAGATGGAGAGGCGTGAGGAGTGAGGAGTGAGGGCTTCCGGATGTTGTTTAGTATCGGGGCGCGGGGGTGGCAGGTCGCGCAACAGCTAAGCGCGGTCAAATAATGAACGGTGCTCAACTGTACTCCTAGTTGCGGATCAGCTATTCTGGACTGTGAGCGGGACGGTACGATGACGCTGGGTTGGTTCGAGACGATACACTCTTAGACCTTTTGGGTGAAGTCCGGTGGTGATGTACGCGGAACGGGAGCGTCGATCTACGGGAGCGTTGATCTACGGGTGGCGCGGGCTGGAATTCGAGGGGTTGTGTAAGAGGAACGGGAGGCGTGATGGGGGTGGCCACGGCGTGGTTCCGAGGGTCGTCGTTGTTTCTTTTTCTTTTTCTTTTTCTTTTTCTTTTTCTTTTTTTTGGATCTAGAGGTAGTGTGAGGGCGCGATTAGAGATGTGACGGGAAAGTTACTAGATGGGTCTGTATTTCCCTCTAAACCTGCCCCAATAGGTGTCGTCGCGGTAGAGGAATCCGCGGACTACCTTTCGCACAGATATCCTGACCCAAGGCAATGGTCGTCTCCGGCATTTCAAGGAGCAATTGCCCCTTTAGGAAACTCTGCCCGGAATGTCTTTGCGGTTCGTCTTGAAGTTCAACGACTCGAGTTCGAGCCTCATTGATGTTTCAGTTCGGCGTTAGTTGCTGATGCCAAAACCCTATCCTGCCAAGAAACTTAGGAGGTCATTGGTCGGTTTGATGTCCCGGTGGAGAGAGACTTTGGGGTTTGGGGGGCTTGTGGATGGTGAGGAGGTCTAGAATTAGATGAGACTGAGAATCTTGGGGTCAATCTGATTAAAGGTTGACAAAGTCTCGTAGAAAGGTCACTCAAAGAAGCCCGTCAATGAGGCAATTCAGATGTATCTTAGACAATAGGAAAATGATGATTAGAATTGTACGCGACAGAAGAATCATCCTGAATGGTATAAAACAACCAGATGGTACAAACAAGGTGACCCTGAAGATCCCTCGGTCGGTCGTGGTCTGGAGTTGCGGTCGTTGTGATGCATGACACATCGGAGAAATATTCGCACAGGCGACGAATAGGATGTTCCCCTTTAATTGAAGCATGCTCGCGTACAGTAGCGTCAATGCTGAAGAAAAGAAATGCAAGAGTCCACCGATGTCATCGTCGGAAGCTGCCGACATAATAGCCGCGCGCTTATGCACGCGTCAATCAAGGCGTTGTTCTGGCTTCCTTCATTTGGATATCTGAGGTACGAGTACGGTTTCACGATTCTCGACCACCCTGGAAGTTACATCCCAAGACTAAACGGACCTAGCGAAATCTAGTTGTTTACACACGACACACTTCGACTGAAAATGCAATGGTGATGGTTCAGCCGCTGAGACTCGGAGTCTGTTCAAGCATCCAAAAAGCCATGTTCCCCCGCGCTTCGTCGAGGTGCATGAGTACCAGTCCTAGCGCTTTGCATGTCTATACTGCTTTAAGTAGGTCCGGCAGACCATCTTCGGGCCAACTGTTTCGGCCGTTTGTTGCTCGGTATGTTGTGTTTCTGATGCTGGAGGCTAGGTTGGATTTTGCAATGTTAACGAAGAGGCAGGAACCGAGGTATCGGACGTACGCTATGGTATTCGACGAAGTCGACACCGTCAAACCGAGAGAAGAGGTAAGAGAGTTTGTCGCTTGGCATACTGGCTTGAGATATGGTTGCGAGGATTCCTGAAAAGGGGGTTCCATGTCACGTGATATAAATGAAGTTGGAGACGTTCTGACTTACATCAACTAGTCTTGAAAACCCAGTACCAAAAGAGAAGAAGCCATTGCTCAAAGCTCTGAAAGAATTGACACCACACGAGAACATATACACCGTTCCAAATATCCTCACCGCAACCCGCTTGATCGCGGCTCCAGTGATTGGATATCTCGTTCTCCATGATTACCATGCCTGGGCTGTTGGACTTTTCGCCTATGCCGGAATTACGGATCTCGTTGATGGATGGATCGCGAGGAAGTGGAAGCTACAGACTGTTGTTGGGACAGTAATCGATCCTATGGCTGATAAGACCTTGATGACGATCTTGACTGTTTGTTTAGCTGTGAAAGGGGCACTTCCAGGTATTTTTACCCTTGTAAACCCCCAATTCATTCAACTCGACTCTAGCACCCTGTATATTCCCCTCTCACCTGATAGTTTCTGTCTTGCTGGCATTCCCAGAATTGGCTTCATCCACCTGAACTTCCTCTTTCCATCAGCTGCCTCCTTTGCCTTCGAGTCCGTCCTTGCCCAAAAGTTTGTCTCCTCCCAATATGATTATGCTTACATTTCTTCTTAGTCTGGCTCGCAGTCATAATTCTCGGTCGCGATATCGCACTCGGGATATCAGCCATCTACTTTCGCTGGATATCTTTACCCCCGCCAAAGACCTTTTCGAGATACTGGGACTTTAGTCTTCCTTCCGCAGAAGTGCATCCAACAACGATCAGTAAATACAATACTGCACTGCAATTGGTATTAATCGGAGCAACAACAGCGACGCCCTTACTGGGTACAACCGTTCTGGGGCTGGATGTCGCGACAACTATGACAGGAATGCAGTAAGTCCAAGTCTTTTTGAATCATTCCTTCGCATGACTTGTCTAGCAGCATATTTATGCATTTGAGTGACAATGAGGTTTGAACACATAGCTGACGAATCACAGATATCTTGTAGCCACAACTACAATATGGTCGGGACTCAGCTACATTTACACAAAAGACGCAGTGAAGATTTTAAACAAGGAGAATAAATCGCCGCCAGCGCCGCCAGCGCCGCCAAAGTCACCTTAGACATATGTAAAATAAGACTTGTACAGAACACGATTAAATTTACGTTGTATCTCGCTTCCTCGCGATCAGGCTTTCTGACTTCGTGTACCAAACACTTGGTTTTGTTGAGATGATATGAGTTTGGCATACTTTGTTGGCACATGTGTTGACTTCACATGATCACTTACATATGTATATATCGTGTTTTTCGTTATTATTGTATTTTCCGCGAAGTGCTGTGTTTAATTTCTGTTTACAAATACTCAGAATTATGTTTATTGACTGAGAAATGAGGATGAGTAATGACAGAGTGGTAAGCTGTGTTACAACACGCTCACAAATGTCGGTTCAAATAATGATCGACTGGTGATTTACCAGTTAGACATCGGGATGAGAGATTCGACTGTCAGAAACATCAATTGCTCTCTGTCATTTGCGGCCATTTATGAATGCAGAAGTCACAGCTCTGTTCGAAAGACGATGGTAGAATCATGAACTTTCAAAACTCATAATGATGAGCCAACACCGACACTAGGTAGACAGGAAGGATGTGTTTTTAATAGAAAAGATAACCTTCGAGCAGGTGTATATATATGTATAATATTGCCACTCTCAATTCAGCATCTTGTCCTTCACTCCAAAATCAAAACACAAAATTGACATTTAAACAGCATCGTTTACCTAAGCTTACAGCCACCTATTCCGCTGATTGAACTTGAAACCAAAAACTCAAAGTCATTCCAATGCCAGAATTGCATCAAATTCCTCCTTACTGGTGGAGATTCCTTAGCCTTCCTCCTGAATTACGCATCATGGTGTGGGAATTTGTCCCCAATGAGCCGCCGCAATCTGTAATTATTGGCCGAGAAATCAACACCATGAATTTGGTCTGTGTCACACCCGATCCGATTCTTCTCGCACATCGAGACGAAGAAGTGTTTTTGGACGCTTTAGGACGCAATCGCTGGATGTTCTGCCAAAATGGTATTGTACCTGTCGGGCTACCAAGAGTGGTGTTCGACTGGGAGAGGGATTTTATTGGGGTAAGCTTTTAAAGATCCCCTAACATGGATTTACTTGGAGATGTGCACTTGAAACGCAAATCACTAACGTAAAGACAGATTCGTATTCCGCTCCATGCTGTGACGACTCCTTCTCTGACATTTGCTTCCATCCGCGTTAATATCGTCGCCAATAATGACCCAATGAGACTTGAAGCACAACAAATTGTGGTTATGAAGGACTTTGACCAAAACTTGATCCAAATAATCGCTAACCGTGTTGCAATGTGGAGCTTACGAAACGGAAACTTCGCCATCATCTTCACCCAACCAGGCAAGATCATCCTTATTATCTGCACGGAGCCCGGAGAAGACGAACCATTCTCCTCTGCATCTCGTGCTACGCTTGACCACTGGGCAACTTTCACAAATAGAGATCTTGTCGAAGCATCCGGTAGTAAGTTCAGTATCAAAAGAGTCTGTTTTGAGGGCAGTGGAAGAACAAGGAGTGCTTTTATCGAGGACTCTGATTCTCAGACGGAGGGCAGTTCTTCCAATGATTCAAGTCCACGGTCTAAGTCGCCAGTTGGTGTTGATGAGAAGGATAATGTCGAGTTTTGCGATGATACGCCTGAGGGCGAGAATACCGATGGGGAGTAACTGAGATTCCAGAAGTGATCAGGGTAAATGAGTTCTAGATGTTTGATTTTGGCAGTTTTCTTGTCAACATTTGGCGTCTGAATCTCGTATGCGCAAGATAGTTATGATACAGATTTTGTGGATCATAGTTTGTATGACATAGTGTGCGATCGTGTACGCAAATGAGGAAATCTGCACTTTATTTCGCCGAAGTAAGTAGTAGTTCTGTTTATACTGGCTATTTCGAGTTGACCTTCTTGATACATCAATAGCAACTGTTGAAACTGGCAGAACGCATTTTTCGCACGCTCTATTAGGGAATACGAACTGGAAGTACTGTCGTTCGCCAAGTTCTCTGTTTTGAGAATCTCTAACATAATTGTAAAACATTTGCGCTATAATCACACAGACTTTTCGATGTGTCGTTGAATCATAGACCAGATTGCACCAAATTCCAAGACCGAAAATTCTGGGAAGAGTGAAACAAGGGTATGTGTTCCAATACGGAAGAGTAGACATGTTATGAGAAAATAAGTTGTAATATAATTGACTTGAAACTATGCGGCACATTATTTTCTCGATACGAAGTGACAAAAATATCCTCTTATTTGGCAAAACTTTCAATCTCTGATTGCTCCATCATAATCTTGTCCACTCGTCGGATCCGCAACCGTGTAATTCGCGAAACAAGCATAGTCATAATTACTCAACTGGTAACTATTCGCTTGACTCTCAATGAACGCACTCATCTCACACATACCATCCACACGACCACCAGTTGAATTACCACAAGCTCCGCCACGAATGGTGTCGAGCGGAAGTATACCATTATTCAATCGTATCCTGACGAACTTTGTCGTCGCGTTGGCTGGGTCATAACCGTATTGCGAAGGTGTATATTGCGTTCTAGATTTCTTCATAGGCGCCGGATCTTCGCTGGTGCAGCCTATGACCTCGGTGATGAGACGGGCACCGAAGGGTGTGATTTGGGAGAGGATGAAATGACGGTTGGGGTTTGGTGGAAATTGAGTAAGGGAAGGAGGGTCTTTTAAATAGTCAAGAGACATAGCTGTCAATGCCGAGACAATTATGTCGTCGTGAGAGAAATCAGCATAAAACTTCTGGGCTAGTGGGAAAGTCGTCGTGTTGTCGTCCAAAGTTGAGTTGACCGATGAGTTTGAAACGGTGATGTATTCATTTTGCAACCGTGCAAGTAACTCTTGGACATATCCGATTCCTTGAGCTCTTCCAGTCGGGTTTCCAAAAGCATAGTCGTAGTAATCTAGACCACGTCAGTTAGGACACGCTTGTTCTTGCCCAAATTACACTTACAAGCCATATCCAAAGTATTTTCAAATCCAGCCCACTCATCAGCAGTGAAATGATAGCAGAAGTCAGAAGACCCAAGGAAGTTGTATTCATAAGCACAAATGACTTGCATTGCATACGTGTCATTTGTTGTAAGAGTAAATCCTTGTGGTGCATACTCCTGAAGTCGCTTCGTCGCGGGCCCAAGATACTTGGGAATATATGTAAACACGTCTAAATCACCAAGTTGCCCAATGATTGGGTCAAAATCGTTAAAACAACTATCATACGCCGCCAAAGTGTTGTTCTCGGTCCCTCCTTCTGGGATTATCACAAGTTCAAATGGCGATGTCCAATTGGTAAGCTCTTGATTTGCAACTGTCTGGTAGGTAGGTCCAAAGAATCCAAGGGCCCAATTGATCTCCGAATTCTGAATTCGCGCTTGATCTGTTGTTCGCATGACGATTGGTTCACGCAATGTTCCGTTTTCGAATGAAGCATTGTAAGACTTTTGACCAACGGATGCGTTGAAGAGAGTTCTTCCGTACTGATTCCAGAACTGCACGCCTGATGAGAATTCCGTCGCTGCGCCGAGGCCGGTAAGAAGACCTGTGGTTTCCATGGTATAGGTATAGCTATTCAAAAATTCTAGGGGTCCAGTAAATTCGGACGTGGAATTGCTTGATTTCGTGAAATTTGACACTTTTCCCGCAAATCTTTCGTTGTTTATTCCATCCTCCTCATAGCCAATTGGAAATCTTTGCGCATGGCGTTGAAGCGTATGTGCGGATTCCTGTGTTTCGTGAGCGCATTGTTGGTGAGCATTGATTTTCTGCTCACGATTTGACATCCAGCGGGAAGTCCGACATAGTCAACACCAAAGACATTCTCTTCATTATTAGCATAAACAGAAATCTGACCCCACATCCGAGATATTTTAGTGATATCTGTGAGCAAATTCACCGCTGCGTCAGCTCCAACAAAATAAATCGCGGACAAAATGCCATGGCTGAGATACATCGTGATGTTAAGCGAAGGACGAGGTGGTCAATGAGAAACAAAGAAGATCAAACATAATTACCGTGGGAATAATTTTGTTTTCTATCTTGATCCCTAACAAAATCACTAAGCTCAAAAATCTCTAGTATATTTCTGCAGTATCCCGCTGACTAGACTCGATTGATGATAAGCAACGGTTCCAGGCTGTATGATGTAATTGATGACCTGTCGGAACCGCAATTTCAAGTGCCTAGTAACCTCGAATACTTGACAAACAAATCATTGTAACATTACAGTTCAATCGGCATTGCCGCTCCCGGTCAGCGGGCCGAGAACGGAACTGGTGAAAGTATTACTGTAACCCCCATCTTTGAACCAAATGTGTTAAGCTTTCATTTATCGAAACTCTAAATCCTAATTGATGATAAACATTTTTCCCCTTACCTAAAAAGCTTATTCGTGTCAGAGGAGACGAGAGCCGATGCAACATCCTTTGTTTGCCGTCTTTGTTATTATTTTGGTTAGAGAACTACAAAGAGAACAACATGGGCCATCAAACGATGGCAGAACAACTAATTGTGTTGTGCGCAGCCGACAAAGCTTCGCTGTTCTGAGAATAAATTATTTAACCATAGGTAAAAGACTATGTTTTGTTATGTATTAACCCTCAAAACTTTTGATTCCTGTTAAAATGTCGAAATTGCTAGGCATCGTTGGCATCCCGACCTTCTTCAACCCGCAAACAATTATAAGGTCAATCCTAGGTAAGAGACTTCGAGAACCAGAAGATGATTGCGATATCGAAGACAGGGTTGTCTCAAAGAGGAGAGCCCCCCTTTTCGAGATTTCACGCCTTCCTCCAGAATTGAGAGACGAAATCTGGTCGGCAAGTTTCACACCTCAAACACTGCTCTTACGCTTACGTGCTCCAGTTGAGTTGGGATTTCCATTTCAATACGATGTTGAAATGCAGTCACTTTACCAACACCCGAAGACTCTCGGAATAAATAGAGACAGCAGAAATGAGACGTTGCGACACTACCATCGTATACTAGTCAACGAGATCCCCGACTCTTTCTTTTATTTCAACCCAGAGATTGATACTCTAGCTTTGAACTCTGATTTTGTGTTCGATAGTGGCGATGCTTCTCAAGCATTGATTGAAGAAACGGGCTCGGATGACCTGTCAGCGAATCTCGCTCCTTTTGAGAGTATGCGCAAGCTGAAAGAGCTCTTGCACGCTAAATCGCCCATCACTGGCATGACTAACAACCTTGATAAACTACAGAGGCTCGTCATTGGTGGCTTTTACTGGCTTCAATTTCTAGAAGAGCCTGATAGCTATGCTGGATGGTTCCAATATCACTTTGAGGATCAAGTAGAGGTTGGGTTTCGTAATCTGAAAGAGTTAACTTTTGTTCTCCTAGATGAAGCCGACGAGATTAAACCTAAGGAGCATGACGATTTCAGGCTACTGAATCTCCGCTGTCCCGAAGATCAGCAGATTTGCAGGAAAGACATCCAAGCGATGTTTGAGCGAGAGAGAGAATTTGTTCCAGACTGCAGAGTACCAGAGATCTGCTTTTTGGAGAATTGGATGGACTTGAAGAATTAATAAGATTTAAGTATAAGTTGTTGAGCCGTTTTGAATTGTGATTTTGTGAAAGGGTTTATGAAGTTGAATATCTCAATTTGGCCGCTCTGTAGAGAATATTCATTTCCTTTCTTTTAATAATCACGAACATAATAGAGTGAAATTTCTTACAATTTATTAATCAATCATTCACTAATTATTCACCTCGTGCAGTAAGAATATTGGAACGAAGTTCTTGATCAGTGAGTTAACGATGAATTGGAGGTCTGATGTTTTAGAATGAACAGTTGCTACCAGACATAAACAGATAGCCTTAGGTGAATATTAACACCATTTACTGGATTCTGAGTCCTCTTCAAACCAAGCAAATTTTGCAACCCAATTAATCACGAACTCGCGAGATCAAGAAACCAAAATGGACGAAATACCGACAGAACCTCGATTTGAGTTGTTCCCCAAGCTGGTGATAGAGTTACGAACTCTCATTTGGCGTGCGACTTTCTCACAACGTACTATCATGGTCAACAGAAGAAATGTGCAGCAGTTTTATACTGATCGCCCATCCGAAATCTTACACCCCTGGACGATGACAGGACCATACGAGCATCCGGCAGCACTATCCGTCAATTCTGAAAGCCGAACAGTGGCTTTGCGTTACTATCGTCACATCATGAAAGATGTCATCGAATCTACGTCGTATATATATTTCAATCCTCAGATTGATATTCTTGCCGATGATATCCACACGATTCTCATACTACAGGACTATAAAGAAAACGGAGAATTGCCATTGACCCATACGGGTTTATCAGTACGATCTATTCTCAGAAGCTTTCTCGATCTGGAAGAATTACTGGCCCTGGATAGAGCAAATCTTGACCAAGTACGCCATATTGTAGTTGGGAATGCTACTTGGACTACTACCCAAGACTCTGAAGATTTGGGAGCTCGACACGACTGGAATCGTCGATTCTTTGCGGCCATCAAGGCGGGATTTCAAAATTTGAGAACCTTAACACTCGTCTTGCCTGAATATTAGAGTAACGATGCTACCGGACATTGGGGTTGCAACATCATGGAGAAAGAGGAGGTACTAGGGCAGCAAATTTGCCGAAAAGAGCTGGAAGGAATATTTCAGGAGATTAACAAAGTCGAACCGAGTTTCTGTGCACCGGAAGTCATCATAATTAATCATGATGATCCGTCTGTGCCGGAATTCCCCGTAAGATATTGCCAAGAAACACGAAGATGGATGAATCGTGAGGAAATTCTCAGAGCTTAGGCGATTGCGTAGAGAAAAGCAATGTAATGATTATTATGAACAAAGCCAACAGAATTATCGCTTTTTGACTCGACAATGCAGAGCATTAATCTCCAACATCCGTGCAAAGTTCTTCCAAAATGTGCGGAGATGATGTCCATTCAACGTAGAAAATAATTGATCCTGAGGCAACTAAATAGATTCACATCCCAGACCATGAGAATTTAAAAGTCGATTGACTTCTATCTAGTGGCAATTCCAGACTACCGCAACTATCCGTGTCCCATGTTAGCACATGTACAGGGACCTTTTTCGCACGAGTCACTGAACCAATTGAAACTTATTGTGGCATGGTATTTTTCGGTTGATGGCTCGTCAAAAGTGTTGACGAACTCGAGAACATTCTCAATTGATACCATAACCTCTGGATGAAACCCGTGAACGTAAAACGTCCAACGATAAAACGAAGCGCAAGAAAGAGAATGATTTTCGGTGAGTGTCGAAGATGATTCGCGGAAGTTGTTGTAGATCTCTTCCAGTGGATCTTCCGAGTGTATCATATCTGCCCAAATACGATTTCCGAAGTGTGCGAGTGCCACATAAACAAAGCTGGTGGGCTCTTGGGCGAGTTCGTTACCAACACGGTCGTACATAGGTATTCTAACGGAACCTAATGACAACACAACATAAGGCTTAGCCTGTCGGTGTGGGAATGATACCGAGAAGACGAAGTCTTCTGTGCTTTTTATACTAGCACCATATAAATAACGAGTTTCGGCTTCTACCAAAAGTGTGTCTGGAGCAAAGTCGAAATCATTGCCAACATGAAAAGTGAGAGTAGAAAGAGGTAGCCTTCTGAACCTTTGTGGTACGCGATTTTGAGCTAATTTAATGTATATAACAGTGGCGCGGGCTTTCGAAGAGGACTTGATTTGTGAAATTGCGTCGAAAACAATCGATGGATGTGCCACTCTCTCGAAAGTGTCTATGGCCGCGCCAGGTTTTCCTTTCAAAACTATTTCGATTGGAGAAGAGAGTGATTTATTCCTACAAGCAAGATATGCGACGTAACAAGGAAAGTATGAAGATCTCACGATAGGGAGCTGAATCCGAGTGCCAAAATTCGTCAAAGCATACTCTGGCTGAGGATCTCGGTTGGCGAAAAGCACTGCGTACTCGTCATAGTCGATACAAGTGAGATTGCCGCAGAATCGGAATCGCTCCGGAGATGATGCCAAAAGACCATTTGGATAATCATTGGGGATATTCCATACGAACAAGGTGTGATCAAAAGCAGTTTTCATGATCTCCTCCTGCAGTCGTATGAACGCCTTCATACCCTCTCCGTACAGGATCGGCATGTTAACGTCGAACTGACCCATAAGACTGTAGGCCAAGTCTTCTTGACGTGTCGCCTGTCTATCACTTGCCTAAGACATAATCTGTGCAACATTTATATCGCTCGACAGGCCGTCTTGTAACACACTGATGGCTATGTTCGTGACTTTGGGGACTCTTTCCGCCATTTCTGACTTTGAAGCGATATATTCCCAGTTCTTGGCAAAGAAAGAAAGTGCGACTGGTGCGACGAGTTCCTGCAGAGTCCACGCGCGTTTAAACCAAACACTACCTTCCACACAAGATATCTTGGGATCCCAGAGATTCAGGTCGGCAAATGACACATCTTCTAGATATGCATAGCACACCACAGCTTGTTGATACCAAATGTACATAGAGTTTATGGCCTCTGAAAGCTCAGCGCTGCTGGATTTGTCGATGCAGCACGTATCGATCCACACGTATTCGAGTCCTTCAGCCAAAGCCTGTAAACAGCAGCCTACCACCTTTTCATGCCCTTGACCCTTTGAAAGAGTTATTCCGTCCTTGACATCTGTGAACTTTAGTTCTTCAGCTGGATTTCCCCAGCGATGGGAGAGTATGGCGTAGCGCGGGATATCAGAGAAATGCTCCTCAAGCGAAATTAACAATTGAGGTTCTGGTGCATTTAAACCACCGACTAGATCGCTAGGCTCCGCCTTCTGTATCTTTAAAAGACGCATTTTAGCAGGATGTTTGATGAATTTGATGTTTCGCAGCTGGCTGGTCAAACAAGTTGGAGTAAGGCTGGGACGACTTGCACGTTCAGCCGCAATGGCTTTTGGTCATCAACAGATGCATGCATGTTCAAGGATTGCGCAGTTAGCCGAGAATATTGTCTAGATCCCAAATGCTTATATCTAATACATATCCAGTTGAATCAATGATTATGAATCAATAAGTACCTTTAATTATTATCTCATCCGGCGAATGCGAACACAAGAGAGATGTTTATGAATAGAGGAAAATCTGCGACTCACCTATGGCCTATGGAGACCAATTTGAATTATTGATTATCAAGTCTATACCCTGTAGCTCCCAAGATCAAAACCTCCCACAATCGAGTTCTCCGTTTGGAGATTATCAAATTTAGGAGGAAAGGGGAGTCATTTATTAAGCGAATGCCAAGAGATGAACTCCTTTTCATGTAACGAAAGATTAGTTTTTGCGACGGTGAATGTGAAAAAGAAAAATTGTCCGACGAAGCAAAGAATAATACATACGTGTATTTAAGTCCAGTCATGGTCACTCTGTACACTTTGTCAATTTTTAGCAATTTTAGCAACCACAGATTGTGAATGCACAACAGTCCTTGTGGAACATCATAGACCATCAATCAAGATTACTATCTGCGGCTGGTATTTCTAACCTCCAATTTTTTCACTCCATACAGGAGCATGAAAGTTGCTTGACGGTCTTCGGAATTGAACACCTATCATTTTTTCTACTTAAGCGTGTCTTATATCTTCGGTAAGTAATATGTACACCCAGTCGCTCTCATTTCTATCCGCTGATCTGTATAGATTATTCATCATGACCGAACACACCATCAGCGTCGTCGACCCAAGTCCCGCATCCCTCGAGAAAGCCAACCCAAGCATAGCTCCGAGCACCGAGACAACACCAACCACTCCCCTCAAAGAATTCCACCTATTCCCAAAATTGATACCCGAACTCCGCCTCAGAGTATGGCACTTCATCTGCCACGAACCCGGAACCGTTTACATGGACTACATATTCCAACCCGACGTCCCGGCGAGCCTCTGCAAGTATCCCATATGTCGCAACAAAACGTCCGTCCCCCCACCAGTCTTCCATATAAACAAAGAAAGCCGTACTGAAGCTCTACGAATTTTCCGCGTCTTTATCCCCCAACAAAAGCTTCAACAACACGCCAACATCGCACAACAAACCGTATACTTCAATCCCCACGTCGACACAATCGTAGTACGGGAAACCTATGTCAGTTTTTTTACACGTCTTGTTTTAAACAGCTTGAGTAAGAATGTACTGGTAATGATTCGGTTCTTGGAGTTCAAGTCGGTATCTGTGAACGACGAGTGGTGGTTGAGTCGGGAGTTGCTTTATAGTGGGATTCGTGAAAAGGAATTCACTCCACATGATAGTTTAGTATCGTGCTTCGTGAGCCTCACTAACATTGAGACGCTCGCGATTGTGGTTCTTTCTATGGTGGGCAGGTGATGACCGATACACTTCATCAGTTTTGCAATTCAATTCCATTGCAGGTTAAGGGATATAGAGTCCCTCAAGTGGTGGTCAAAGATAGATTCGCTAGCTTACGCGCGGTCATACCTGGGGCTGCCGAGAATATACTTCGTTGGAATTGAGACTTTTGAGTTCGAATTCCAAGTATACAAGATGCCAATAGAATAGAGTCATAGTTTTGAAAAAAATCAGAGAACAGGATGTAGATCCCAAAAAGCTTGTTTATTACTAAGTCCCCAAACTCCTTCTTAGCCCTCCCGAAAAACAAAATCCAATAGAGGGAGAATGCTCGCTAGAAGAATGTACCTGCCCTAATATAAGAGGGGCCCAAATATGATACAAATTACACAGTTTTCTTACAGGCGAGCTAACTCGACTTGCCGATACATATACTAGTCCGGCAGGATATACCACGATCACAAATCCAGTAATCTAAGTTGGCTTCTCACCCATTACATCAATATATCCTCTACCCTTCTTTTTCTTTGCACCTACTCGCTTTGCGCCTCCTGTTGCCGGGCCGAGAAGATCATCAATACTGCTAGCATTGCTCATTCCGGTACCTGGACGACTAGGCGGGGCACTTGGTGGCCCATTAACACTACCATTACTAGCAGAGCGGGCCATTGCTAATGGTCCGGGTGGTGCTAGGGACGGAAGATCCCCAGTTGATGCAGCTGGCCCATCATCCTGAGCAAGTGGACTCGGACCTTTGGCGCTCTCTGACGCCGAGCGCACGGCAGGGGGGCCGCGAAGCGGAGGGGCAGCTGCGCCGAGAGGGGTTCCACTCGCCGTTCGTGGTGGCCCTGCTCTGGGAGGAGGTGGTGTTGCTGAAGGAGTTGGCGCTGTGTCGCCACCCTTCTTGTTGATCCATCTTTTTAGATCAGGATCATAATAAAATGAGCTTTGCTCGCCAAGCTTCGCTCTGATGGGCTTGTTTGGTTGTGCAGACATATCTGCAGCTTCTTTCTTTCCACCACCAAACCAACCACCAAGTCCCCAGCCTTTCTTGGCAGGTGCTGCATTGCCTTTCTGAGCTACAATCAGTTAGTTGTGAGCAAGTAGCAATTGGGAGAGTCTGAGACTTACCATCTGCCTCAGCAGCCTTCCGGAAAGCCTCTTCGGCTTCCCGGTCCTTCTCTGCCTTTGATTTCTCCCCAGTGGCAGATGTCTTCTTGGGGATAGATATATCATCATCATCATCATCCATAAATGATTTCTTTCTAGGCTTGGTGTCGATTGGTGAATCTGGCTCATCGCCCATACTAGTTGGTTCGTATGGAGTGTACCCACTACTTGGCGGCTCATACCCCGTATTGGAAGGCTCATAAGTATTGGATGGAGGGCTCGAGTTTGTGTTTACTGTATCATCTTGTTTCGATGTGGAACTAGGAGGTTCATAGCCATAGGATGCGGAGCCGTTGGAGTTTGTCGGTGGCTCGTAACCATAAGGCTGAGCCCCATACTGTGTTGATTCAGATGGTGTATTGGGGTTGGACGGATCAATATTTACGGTATCGTTCAAAGATTGTGACGCATACGAGCCTGTAGGCAATGGATTTGATGTGGCGTTTTGTTGAGAGCCGTAAAGTGAATCATTGGCTCCGTAAGGGGAATATGGGGTTTGCGGCGAGTAGTTTGAGTTTGTTTGTGAGTTATAGCTATTCGGTGCTGGTTGCGATACCGGTCGATAATCCGACATTTGCCGCTGCGGTTGATAACGTTGGTGTTCTCCGGATGACCGTGACTCCATTGATGTCCGAGGCTGGGAAACATATGAACCGCCGCTCTGGGGCTCAGGCGTGTACGTCCTGCCAGGTGCGTATCTAGAGTTTGTCTTGCTGCTGGCTGCTGAACCCGCGGCGCTGTTAACCATGAGCCCGCCATTGTAACCCCCGTAAAGGTCAGAATTAGAAGGTGAGCGACTAATCGTGGGAGTACCACCAGAGATCCTGGCAAACGGTCCAACCTCCGAACCTCCAAGCGTGGAAGTACTACCGCCCGCCGAGGTGTCCTCCTCGTCTCCAGCCACGAACTTACTGAGCTTATCCCACACACTTCCAGAAACTTGGCTAACGGTTGGCTTGGAAAGCCATGACGAGGACTCGGATTTTGGTGATTGCTTCAACCGCTTACTTAGGTCCTCTAATGCTGAAACGAGAAGCGCATGGTGATACGGTGATCGTTTCGTTTGGGAGGTGACAGAGCTGGCCACAGACTCGCAGTACATGAGCGCTTGCTCGCGGTAGCCATACTCGGCTAATATCGCAGCGTGTTGAAGTTTGTAGACTGACAAGTGAGGGTAGGAGACTGCTATATTGCCGGTGCTCGCCAGAGACATTCCATACTCAAACACTTCACTCAAAAGTATCGGTTCCATCTCTTTGTCAAACTCAAACGGCTGACGTAAGTGGTCGGAGCCAACGAGAACAATACTAGAGGCAGGGTCGTCGATGCCACCAAAGCTGGAAACGCTTCTGGCAAACAAGTAGCAAATATGAGCAGCTTCGGCGCGACCATAACCAGACAACAGCTTGCCCAGGGCGTTAAGAGCTTGGACATCATCGGCGCTCCTGTTGCTTAACACTAGTCCGAGGGTTTCCCGCCACCTATCAAGGCCTTCTGTTGCATCCTTGGAAGGACCAGTAGAGCTTGATGTGCTGACCATTTGAAATCCTGCACGAGCGGAAGGCGGAACAAGTTCATCAATGCTTTCTTCAAAATTCCCGGCAAAAATTTCATATAAAGCAGCCAGAGATTCTGTATTATCCCCAATATTCCTGACCTCCTTCTGCACGAACTCTTGTGCGACTTGTCTGTATAAGTCGCGCGAGACTGTGTTGGATATCAACATTGCGTGGGCCCACAGGCGCTTGTCAACAGCCTCCCACACGGCCTTTTCTCGTTCTCCTCGAAGTAAGTGTTTGCGTAATTGGTCTACAGATGTCGGGTCAACAGGGTCGGATCGTGAGGCTGAATTGGAAGACTGAGAAATTCCAGAGAGGTCTGCACCAGTTGCATATATTGCCGTTTCACTAGCGTTATTGTCGTCGAGTCCAGGGCTCATAACGTCCCTCACAGCTTTGTCGACCGCCGGGTTCCCCTCCAGCATGCCGTCATTCTCAATAAAAACTCTCAGAATCTTCCAAAGCAATATACGCTCCTCAAGCCGCTTATCTTCGTGGCTGAGATTGTGAAGAGTTCGTAAGTAAGAAGCATCTTGCTCTAAGAGTGCAACGCCAGCGTTCAACCAGTTAATAACGTCTTTCTTCTTCGACTTTCCCTTCAGGGGACCAGGAAAACTAGTGAGTCTTTCCGGAAGAGGATCAACTGTTTTTATGTTGGCAATCTTCACTTCGCCGGGACTTCTGATGATCATGGGCACGTTCTGGTTCATCCCATAACGTGGAACATCTTTGGGGAAAGAGGTGACGAGTGTCCCGCCCACACCCCAAGCAAATACTGGTGCACCCTTCCAGCGCTGCAGAGGGTCGTGCTCGCGTCCATCATTCGGAACAACAAAGTTGAGACTGCGAGAAGCAGCTCTTGTTCGATTTTGAGTTGTGTTCACCGGTGGAGCAATTGGCTGGAAAGTGGAAAACCCAGTCTGGTTTCTAGGTGACGTTGGAATCTCAACGGAGGCTGGACGCTGGTATGGGGCAGAACCGTTCATCTCGAGCCTTGGGCCACTGAGGGCAGACCCGGGCGACTGAGTGAGAGATCTCCTTGGCGGCATAAATGATGGTGGCTCGCTCCTAGCTTGAGGCGGCTGCTGAGGAAGATAGCTCGAGCGCTTAGAGGGGGATAATGAAGGTCGAGCAGTGAATGCTTGCGCTGGGGGTGGGGTGCGCGGGGGAGGATGCATTGAGTGAAGAGGTTGAGATGGGTGCGAGTTGTTGGGTATAGTATGGGTAGAAAGCGATGCCTCATTCTCGTCAACTTCTTTCATTGGCGGAAGAGTGTTGCTTCTTAGATTCGACTCATAGCCAGAGGAGCTGACACGATGATCGGCTGTGCTTTCTGTCCGATGGGACCTTGGGTCCGGGTTCCTTTCGAACTGAGCTAACGGGCTAGACGTACGAGGCTGATGAGCAAGAATAGGCGGCTGTACGTATGGCTGCGATTGTTGACGGGATAGTGCAATGGGTGGGGCAGGCGAGTATCTCGACTGCGCTACGGGAGGAGGTGCACTCTGGCTCGATGGCTGTAACTGTGGTGGCGCTGGAGAGTATCTTGATGCCGTGCTTGGTTGCGCAACTACAGGATTCGACGGCAGGGAAGCATACGGACTGACTCTATCAGGCGCGACCAGACCTGCGGGGGGAGCACTTATCGGATTCAGGGGCTGTTGCTGATACTGGGCTGGATGTACAGATTGCCCATTTGTTGGTGTAAAGTTCTGGGGTGGCGCGGAAGGTTGTCCATATGAGTTAGCGGAGGGAATAGGGGCATAACTCGAGTTCCTCGGCGCTGGCTTTGGCCGGCTGGACACTGGCAAATCCTCAAAGAAACCACTAGCAGAAGGACTTGGGCGTGCCGGGACAGTCGACGAGGCTTTAGGTTGCTGGAATTGATTCTGCTGCACTGGCCCATTACTACTTGTTGGCGGAGACAGAGCAGTTGAGGTTCCTCGAGGTGGTGGCATTGCTTGTGGATTCATGCTCGAACTTCTTGGAGGAGGCACGCTAGCCAGAGAAGCGTTACTGAATCCACGTCCCATGTTCTGCATGCTTGCCCTTTTGCGGGGTTTCACTACCTCCATGGGGAGATCGTAAGGGGACTGGTATCCGCCCTTTGAGCGATTTGCAAAGCTCTGTGCTTTTGGCATGTCAGGTCTGGGTTGCTGTGATTGCGAGGAGTTGGTCAGACCGGCGCTATACGGTGTAGAGATCATTGGGGCTGCTGTAGGTTTTGACAAATCCATCAACAGTGGCGCTGCGGGTGCATAGTTATGGGCAGATAATGGTGCGGGCGGGTTACTCGAGCCCGCTGGGAGATATCTGTTGCTACTACTCGTTGGTCGAGCTGTCTGTGGCGAGTAACCATTAGTACCAGAAAGTACAGTTGGCGTTTTTACTGCGAAGAAATCTCCCGATCCAGTACCAGTACCAGATCCAGCAGGCTCATCGGGATCATCCAAAAAACCTTCGTCATCACTGCCAAAAAGCGCTGAAGGGTCGAGCGGTCTACCGCTCTCCACGGGTTCATCGTCTGGGAGTAGCTCGTCGTCCTCATCGTCCAAGAACTCGTCACCTGCTAGTGCAGCTTTCCATTTTTCAGCAAGATCTGCCTCGACAGCATCTAACTCTAATGGGACGCCCTCTTTCGAATTTTCGTGGGCTGGAACATCAAGTTCTCCTATTACCTGAGAGATGATAGTGCTAGCTGATGCAGCAATACCGCCCCCAGTTGCTCGATGAAAAGACGTTTGTTGCTCGTCTTTGGGTTCTATAGGGGTATCGAGTATATCATCCTGTGGCTGCAAATGCAAAGAATCCATAACTTGCATGGTTGACTTTCTTTCAAGGACCGCTGGTGGAGATGTTTCCTGTTGTTCCGTGTCCTTGGACCTACTAACTTGGGCGAAAAAGTCGTCTCCTTCACCAGTCTCAACATCCCCCAGAAACGCCGAAGAGCCTTGACCGTTGTTTTGTACTTCCTCGTGTTGAAACAATGGCACCCCTTCTTCGTACCGGGCAGTGTCCTGATCTTGTGCCTGCTCATAATCACCCCCATAAGATCGCCCATAAGCTGGTAACGATTCTTCCGCTTGGCCCGATTCCAGAGGTGTTGACGCTTCGGAAGTTGAATTTGGATTCGCAGCCTGGTGAGAAAAGCTCGCGTTTTCATCAATTGTATCATCACCAAACATCTCGCGTGGTTCCTGCTCAATCGCATTCATGATAGATTCCGCTTGACTTTGGACCATTGTCTCCTCCCCATTGTCTTGTGCTGGATTGTGCAGCGGTGGTACCGCAGGGAAAGAATTTGTCCGGTCGGACTTGGCTAGCATTTTGAAAGGGTTGGTGTCGTCTTTGGACGAATTCCATTCCGGATCAACATCATCGTCCTCGCCCCAACTGACGTCGTCCGAGACTGTCCGCGCGAAAGACATGGTGCTCAGGTGCTTGTTTTCGTGCTTAGGACCCTCAGAAGGAAACTCTGCCAAGGGGAAATCGATTTCGTCGTCGAAATGATCTGCTGGATCAACGCTTTTATGCACCGGAGATTCCTGTAGCTCAACACCCCCCGGGCTGGAAAGAGACGTGGTAAGCGCATTCCGCAAGCTGTTCAGCTCCGCATCATCGCCATTGTCTTTTATGCCGGCGATGGAGGGGTCTTGTACTGGGACTTCGTTTCGTCGCGGAGGATCTGTGTCTGCTGGCGGAGTGCTGGTGTTGGAATCTGGGTTCGAGGCCTCGGTTGCTTGAATCTGCTCAGGCAATGCGCCAAAGTGCGACGAGTCCTGCGACGGTTCCTCTGTTCGGTCTGTCAATGAATTTGGCATCATGGCGGGATGCCATGACGATGTCGCAGACTCGGACGCCATCGCAGAAAGTGGTATCTCAGAAAGAATCGAATACTATTATTTACGTTAGCCGTCCACCATCTTGGTATGATGTCGATGTGCATTGTACAAAGAGGATTGAAAATGCATCAAACCTGACTTACTTATACAACAATAGCGCTAAAAAACAATTCAAATTAAGTAAGGTTGCGCAATGTGAAAAGGCGAAGCCATTTAATCCGAATGGCGAGAAGACCGGTTGTCTTGAGACGTGAGATGTGGTTCCAGTGAGACGAGGACGAGATAGGAGTCGGAACTTTCGCGACGAGGCGAGGCCAGCTTTCAGAATCGTGGCCTTACAGCCTGAATACCTCGCCAACTCAACGCGTGGCTGAGACAAAGACAAGGCTACCGTAATTCACATCTGCTTCAGGAATCTGGATACGTTTTGGCATTTCGTTTCGTTTCGTGACAGCACAAACTTTGGCCGACTTATCTCCTCTGTGTACTAATGTGTGGTTGGATCAAACGGCATCACCGCATCAATGAGGCATGTCGTCGAGACCTCTCCATCAACCAGAGGACCCCAATTCACCTGCGGATGATTCGGATTCCGACCTTGATCTCGATATCCAGGAGCTAGATCCCATCACAACCTCAAGTCCTGCCAGCCGCGAAGGATATCAGGACCGCTACACTCGCGACGAGCGGCGATCGGCGCACATCCCTCTGAGAAACCTGCGCATGGGAGGCTTGCGAGGACCAGGGAACCGAAATAGAGGATATGGAGATTTGGGCAGAAGGCGGGACACGGAGAGTGAGGACTTACGCGGTTTACTTGCCGATGAGCATGATGGAAGATCAAGTCGAGATGATGAGGCGAGATCCCGCAGCGCGCAGGACGATGCGCCGTTGCTCTCGTCGAGAGATCGCAAACGGCGACCTAGTATGGATGCTGCTATCAGCAGCATGAGTCGCCTCAGTTCAAGAGTTAGGCTACCAAGCTTCCTGTCATCATCCAGTGCGTCTATAGCACTACCTGCCGATAACGAGAGTAAAGAGGAGGAACATGACCCGGCGTCATCTAGAACTGTTTCGATCGGAATGCCACAAGCTACAAGATTCCCCCCAAATGCCGTCTCCAACGCGAAATATACCCCTTTCAGCTTTTTACCTCGGACCCTGTATAACGAATTCTCTTTCTTTTTCAACATGTATTTTCTCCTAGTCGCGCTTTCACAAGCCATCCCGGCGCTACGGATAGGATATCTTTCGACTTATATTGTTCCACTGGCTGGGGTGTTGGCAATAACACTGGGAAAGGAGGCTTATGATGATATTGATCGACGACGGAGAGATTCAGAGGCGAATTCAGAGGGCTATACCGTCCTGGTATTTGATAGAATGGGTATGGGTGACGTGGACAGATATCGAGCGAAGCGCAAATTAAAGTCAATGACCAAGTCAAAATCGAAAAGAAATTCTCTGGTTCAACCTGATCGACTCTCCGATATTCAAGAAGAGGAAAACAGTCTTGGGGGTACGGGATTACGCGCATCCCCAACCTCAAGTGTGCGCGAGGTGACGAAGAAGGCAAGGGATCTCAAGGTTGGAGATGTGTTAAAACTCAACAAGGATCAACGACTTCCTGCAGATGTAGTAATCTTAAAGAGTTACACCAACGAAACGACGTCAGACCAAGACATTCCTAGCGAGCATGAGGACGAGGAGTTATTGCTCGACACGGTGTCCGATTCGCCCTTGGATAAATCTAATGAGCCGGCAGATGACGAACGTGAATCAACATCAAAGGCTAGCAATACTCCATCTGCAGATGCAACAGGTGTAGGAGAGACTTTCATTCGGACAGATCAGCTCGATGGAGAGACCGACTGGAAACTCCGCCTTGGGTCGCCGCTCACACAACAACTTGAACCAGCAGAATTCACCCGCTTAAGGATAGTGGCCGGAAAGCCAGACAAGAAGGTTAATGAGTTTCTTGGTACCGTAGAGCTATTGCCTAAGCGTGGTGGTTATGATACAGATGTGCCCAAGCCTGACCCCGTTGGAGAAGCGCCAGATGGCAGCTCTGAAAACGAATCTGCACCGCTCACGATTGACAACACAGCATGGGCAAACACAATTCTCGCTTCAAATGCAACAACTCTCGCCGCAGTGATTTACACCGGGCCTCAAACAAGATCTGCGCTTTCCACGTCTGCCTCTCGGTCTAAAACTGGTCTATTAGAATACGAAATCAATTCTTTGACCAAGATCCTCTGCGCGCTCACTCTGACTCTGTCCATCGTTCTAGTTGCACTAGAAGGGTTTGAACATGTCGCTGGAGTCGCATGGTACGTGAAAATAATGCGATTTCTCGTACTTTTTTCAACTATCGTACCAATCAGTCTTCGTGTAAACTTGGACATGGGGAAAACGGTCTATTCCTCTTTTATTCAAAAGGATCATGGAATCGAAGGTGCGGTGGTCAGGACTAGCACTATTCCAGAAGAGCTCGGTCGGATAGAGTACCTCCTCAGTGATAAAACCGGTACTTTGACCCAGAACGAGATGGAAATGAAGAAGATTCACGTCGGCACTGTATCCTATGCGAATGAAGCCATGGACGAAGTTGCCTCCTACATAAAACAAGGATTTTCTGTTTCAGCTCCTACGGATGCAAGCCAACCTTCAGTGCTTATTACGCCATCGTCAACGTTTGCTGTTTCCACCACGAGTACAGCTACTCGTACTAGACGAGAAATAGGCTCGCGTGTCAGAGACGTCGTACTTGCGTTGGGCATATGCCATAATGTAACACCTACCATGGAGGAAGAAAACGGCGAAACGATTACCTCTTACCAAGCTTCGTCGCCTGATGAGATAGCAATCGTCAAATGGACCGAGGCTGTCGGGCTTCGTTTGATTCATCGTGACCGTAAAGGAATGCTGTTAGAATCGGTCGAAACAGGACGCCCCGCTGTGCGGGTTCGAATCCTCGAAGTTTTTCCTTTCACCTCGGAGGGGAAACGCATGGGAATCATTGTTCAATTTCTCGATGGTACTGAAACGTCACCAGTCCCCAACATTGACGCTGGAGAAATATGGTTCTTTCAGAAAGGGGCTGATACCGTAATGACCTCCATTGTGGCGTCGAACGACTGGCTCGACGAAGAAACAGCTAATATGGCTCGGGAGGGTCTCCGAACTCTTGTAGTCGGTCGGAAGAAAATGCCAGTAGCCCAGTACAAGGAATTTGCTTCCCAGTACAGAGAAGCTTCTGTTAGTCTGAACAACCGTGATACCGGCATGGCAAATGTCGTTGCTCACTATCTCGAGAAAGACTTGGAACTGCTTGGTGTTACTGGCGTAGAAGACAAGCTGCAGAAGGATGTTAAACCTTCGTTGGAATTACTCCGAAATGCAGGTATCAAGATCTGGATGTTGACTGGTGACAAAGTGGAAACCGCTCGTTGTGTTGCAGTGAGCGCCAAGCTCGTTGCTCGCGGGCAGTATATCCATACGATTGCCAAACTTAAGCGCAAAGATGAAGCTCAAGATCATCTTGACTTCCTAAGAAGTAAGACGGACTCATGTCTTCTAATCGACGGAGAAAGTCTCTCATTCTTCCTAACACATTTCCGGAATGACTTCATCTCAATGGCGGTTAAGCTCCCAACAGTTGTAGCATGCCGCTGTTCGCCAACACAAAAGGCTGACGTTGCGCTCTTAATCCGAGAGTACACAAAAAAGCGTATCTGCTGTATTGGAGATGGCGGTAACGATGTCTCTATGATCCAAGCTGCCGATGTTGGAGTAGGTATCGTCGGAAAGGAGGGACGACAGGCGTCACTGGCGGCGGACTTTTCCATCACTCAATTTTGCCACCTGACCAAACTTCTGGTCTGGCACGGTCGGAACAGTTACAAGCGCAGTGCCAAGCTCGCACAATTTGTCATACATCGTGGTTTGATCATCAGTGTATGCCAGACCATGTACAGCATTGCAATCAAGTTCGAGCCAGAAGGGCTGTACAAGGATTGGCTGTTGGTGGGATATGCCACTGTATATACTATGGCGCCCGTATTCTCTCTTGTTCTCGATCGAGACGTTGACGAGAAGCTTGCGAACTTGTATCCCGAACTGTATAAAGAACTGACCACCGGGGATTCGCTATCATATAAGACGTTCTTCATCTGGGTTCTAGTTTCTATCTACCAGGGTGGCATTATACAAGGCTGTTCTCAACTCCTGACGGAAGTTGATGGGCCACGGATGGTTGCTGTTAGTTTCACGGTACTGGTCCTTAACGAACTCATCATGGTCGCATTTGAAATTACGACGTGGCACCCCATCATGATATTTAGTCTCGTCGGTACACTACTCGTATACGTCGGATCAATACCTTTCCTTGGTGGGTATTTCGATTTGAAATTCATGTTAACACCGTAAGTTCCTCCAAACTCTTCATCTGTATTATTCTAACTTGACTCAGAGGATTTTTCTGGCGTGTGGCAGCAATAGGAGCGATATCACTCATTCCTCCTTATTTATTTAAACTAGCCCGACGTGCGTACAAACCGCCTAGTTACAGGAAGGTTCAGGGTATATAGGTTGGAGGGATTTATCATTTTCATTAGCGGCATAGCGAACGGTGTTTTAGATAGGCTTGGTTATGTCATCAATATATGTATCATTATGTTTGATTTAGCGCTAGAACTTCATCACTTTAAATGATATAGTTTGTGGCAGTTGCGGGTGCTCTGAATTATCTGTATTTCCCGTCTTCACCGCCTTCTTTACCCTTGGTGGCAGAAAGTGCGTCATGACTTGATATCAAATAGAAATTTATCTCGAGACTCGCAATGGATTTAATACGGCCAGCCAAAACCCGATTGCATCTGCTCAAATTTTCTGTCAAATCCGGTCGGTTCCGTGTGTCCAACCCCTTACAATGTCAGTCAAAGGCATCATATGCTAGACTGGTAAACTATCGAGCTTTCAGCTCGACCGTTCGGGGACATGAAGAGCAGCGTCAACATAGGGTAGCTCCCGACCCATTACCTCAACGTAATTCGAAACGAAGCCGACGGTCAAACGTCTTCAGATATGTCTTCGTTGGCAGCCTAGGTATCGTAGCGTTTGCTTTTATCTATAATCAAGTTGGAAGCACATCTCAATCCGCCATATTCGAACCACCACGCTTCACACCTTTCACGATCACTCGCCGAGAGATCGTCTCTCCGACCAGTATCCTCATTACTATTCGACCCTCCATACCGCCCAATTTAATTCCATCCGATCCATACGGCGAATCATGGCGACGCGGTCCTTGGTCCGTCGAGATCAAACAACCACAACTCCAAATCGCAAGATCTTATACACCTCTCCCGCCAGGTGCAGATGACGAACCAGGTGACCTGCGGTTTTTGATACGAAGAGAGCATAAAGGGGAGATGAGCGGCTATTTGTGGAGTTTGAAGGAGGGAAATGATATTTGGCTGAGAGGCCCGAAACGGGAATACGAGTTGGGGGAGGATGTTAGTGATGTTGTGTTTGTGGCTGGTGGGACGGGTATTGCACCTGCGCTGCAAGTCGCACATACACTACTGGAAAGACGAAATGGGAAGATCAATCCTAATATACGCATCTTCTGGGCGAATCGACGTCGGGAAGATTGTCTTGGTGGTAACGGAAGTGACAAACAAGAGCTTGGACCCGTTGTACGGGTTATCGATGAACTTCAACGTAGACATCCTGGGAGTCTGAAAATGACATACCTGGTTGATGAAGACGGGAGTTATATCGATCAGAAGAAGATATCTGCTGCTTTGAAAGAGAATGCGGGGGTTAAATCACAGCCTATCATTACGAGGATTGACTCTAAGATGATATTTGTATCTGGCCCAGAGGGCTTTGTTGAGTTTGTTGCTGGGGGAAAGAGGTTTGAGGGTGGGAAAGAGGGGCAAGGCACGTTGGGTGGATTGTTAGGTCGGATGGGTATCCGAGATTGGAAAGTCTGGAAGTTGTGAGATGGTCTATTATCCGCAATTCCCTCTCACTCATATGATACCCTCTAAAGTTTTCGGTCAGCCGATCTCTCCTCAACAATCTTTAGTTTCAAGAAACAAACAGCTAGCGTTATCGAGAGGTCCTCGTAGATTATCTAACAAAATCACCCCTATAACTCCAACCAACCTGCAAATTGCGCGTTAAAGAAGTCCCCAACGTGGCTCTGCTTGTCGCGAGTTTCTCGGTGTGATGTGCGACAAGGAGCTTGACTGATCAGCGAGCTTTCTGCAACTACAATCTGTTCTAACAGGGCACTTATTATTCGTGTGAATGTCCAAGTTCGAAATTCAGTTGCCCAAGCGCCTTGAGGTGTCAAATCAGTGGCCTACTTTTCAAACCGTAACAAAAAAGTTGGTATTGGATTTGAACATTTTCAATTTTGGAATAAGTATACCGCTCATCGGACATTTTCCAGCTTGTGTTCTTCCACAACTCAAGCTCCTTCATACATTTCAACATATTACCACTTCAGGGACGCTTCTAGTCTGTCATTCATTTTTCTTGAGAGCCAAGTTGTTCGTTCTCACATCACACTACCTGACCAAATGGCAAAAGGCGCAACCGCAGTTAAGAAACCTGGTCTTTCGTCCCTAGCCAAAATATTGTTTACAAGAGCAAAGAAGCTCATGACTAAAGAGTATCGGGGATGTACGGCATTCGACAAGGAAGAAGCCGAGTGTAAGTGGTTGCCGACTTCATGTTGGACTTTCTACTGAAATATTAAAGTGTTTGCCAGATGATGCAATGAGAGTTATTGACGCCACAATGATCAATATCCTAAATCCGCGTGGTGTTTCGCAAGGAAAAGTTTTGCATTATGAATTCGAGCTCAGGTTCTGGTGGGATTCGTGGGGTGTCGAATGCTGTTCCCTTCTTGAGGATGGGCAAGCAGCAGGCCCAGCTCTAAAAGATGCAAGGATAGATACTGGCCGTGGTATGAGGGACGCTACATATGGATAACACATGTCAAGGACTTGGTCTATCACTGGAATGTTCACTTTGGCCCTCCTTGAAACAGCGTTTCGTTTTGATGAAATAGCGTTTCGTTTTGAGGAGTACAGGTGGGCCAAAGCAAGAATAGGTCAGTTATACCATTTGTCAAATATTCTTTACACTGCTCCTAATCGAATCATGGGTATTTCCAAAGCTAACCAACCCGCCGAGGATGAGGGAGGTGAATCTACCTATGTTTCGATACGGGCGGACAGAAAATGGTATCTTGCGGGGGTTCCGGATGCTCGTGTCGCCGTGACGGGTACTGCCTCTACTATATCAGATGTTGTGCAGCAGATATGCTGGCTTGGTGCAGCACAGAATCGTCCGATAGGTAAGAAGGAATACAATTACAGCATACCACGGATGGAACATGATCCTGTAGACAGTCACTATTTCGATATATATTTCGATCTCCCCCCAGTCAAGTGAGGACAGCCAGGATTTCTATTCTGGCTACCAAGTTTCTGACAAAGTTGACTATTGATAAGGCTTTCATTAGACAAGACAATGTAGTGCGAAAGGTGTGTAGTTAACATGGGATCACGAAACACAATAATGATACCTAGGCTCGGCTTGATCTCTTCATTCATGCATTTAGAGATTTTTGTACAACAGCGTCTCTTTATTTCCTTAATAAATTTTACGAATCTTTGATGGCTCCTTAGATTGTTTGTATTTTGCATGCTGGGGATCATATGGGGTTATTTCGAGCTCAAAATTCAAACTCAATCACTTGAGAATTGTATAGTGTTCTTTTGAAACCTAGTGACAACGTTCACATCACCTGTATGGGAAAGATTTCGGCAACCTTACTCGATGTGTAAGGTTGGACAGAAGTTCAACTTTTGGTGCAAGGAATAGAACAGCGGTATCAATAGTATCGTCAAAATATCTAGACCAGTTTGTTGCAAGACTGACGGGAAACTTTCCAAACATAATAAAACCAGGAAGGAACTTCCTAACACTCATTCCTGAATAGGCATGTGGAGCTTATTTACACGCTGCAGTGTGTATGTTTGTTCAAACCACTGAGTAGATGTAGCTTGCTAGATAGAGGATATCGATTTTCTACTACGAATAAATGTGCTTTTAGTCTCGACAGACACCCGTAATTGTGCTTTATGCAATCTTGCATGGCGAGGTATCAATATGCTCTGCGTTGTACCAATTGTGGCGTGCCCGAGGTCCTACCTACCCCAATTTCAAGCTTCCCAGGAAGAGCAACTTTTTGATAGGCGGCTATTTGCAAGCAATTTTGCTCAATCCACTACCAAGTTACTATATTATTATGTGTCAAAGGCTCGAATTAGAGACTTCGGAACAGCTTCATCATCATGCCATAGTGACCCGTACCCATGTATTGCCAACAAACTCGAGTGTATCGGCTCTTCTGTACTCTGACATGAATGTATTCTCTTCCTATGAGACCAGAAGATTTCGTAAGAGAGTCTCAGGAACGTGGTTCGGAACAAAGGAGTGGCGATGGCAGCTTACTGCGCTCTTGGAAATCGTATGAGGGTTTTCAAGGACTCTAGTATCCTGGATTTCTTGTTGTAATTTTGAACCTGTGGCGAGTGACTGGAGATTTGGATGGCGGGCTTAGAGGCTTTGTAAAGGGTAGAGCTGGAGGAAGAGGAAGAGTAATTTGGGGATTAAGATGAAATCGATCGCTTTTGGGACTCTGAATGTTCGAGAAGCTGTCAGCCGTAAGATTTGGTTGGGGAGTTTATTGAGGAGAAAAGAAAGTCAACCGAACCTGTGATGAAACTTCTTTGTTAGACTTTTCTCTCGGTAATGAAGAAGCGATCTCGCTGAGATCATCTCGGCGAGTGTTCCAAAGCACAACCTCGGTATACGACATTAGGCTTCTGAAGTTCAGTTAGAGACAGAGCGGTTCTTTCAATTACACTCAACACATCCGTTTCTGTGTGGAAGACATCAGATTGAGTTATTGGTCCAGCATGAGCCTTGCTCTTCCAAATAGCCAGCGAAAGCACATTTGATCCCGATTAATCGCGCGGGTATCTGGTTTGGACGAGTATACCTGCCCTTACGTGGGACTCTCCAGCAAACAAAAAGAGTCTAAAATTCCTGCCTGTGTGGGAAGCGCATGTCGTTGCGTACAGGTTATCGCCAGCATCGCACAAAAATGTATTCTCGGTTCCCTGGGCACAACAACTCCCGCTCGACAGTACGAGTACAGGAAAACGGACACAACGTAACTAACCACGGGCCCAGATTTATGTGGTTAGCAGAAGAGTCCTGGAGGGCGGCACCGTGGAGCCACAGTGAAGTGAATAACCTGTCTGTCGACATGTGAAGATTGCTTAGCGGACGTGATCTGGACTATCCGACCAAACTTTTCGCAAAAACAAATACTTGGGACTATCGCCGTATTACATGGCTACTTTAGAGAAGAATCAATTTTAAAATGTCGATATGCAGGTCGTTGGAAATCTAGATGTTGTTATTCGTGGAAGTGTCGCGTCGGTGGGTATATTCGAAAATTGCGACGGCGGATCTCTGCGAATATTTTAGTCATTCCGCGGAATAACCCAAGACTCTCGTTGCTCTCACAGCAGACTTCAAGGAATAAACACGGGAAACTTTTCCTAATTTAGTCAGGAGGTCAGGAGAAGCGTCATATATCCGTCACTGCATTGACGAAGTGTCCACGACCTTTCCAGTCAATGTGTACGACGTAGCCATCACAAAAGTCCAAGTTCTAACGACAGTTCTTCCATGTTTGTTGAAAGTTATGCATGAGCCAAAAGGCTATACCGTACCTCCTATTGTTGTTTTCAACGGATGTTGGAGCTGTCGCGAGGAAGCTCGATTCGACCCTGCCGGACCTGGTATGCATGGCTCGCGGCGGTGTGTTCTTTTGCATTCAAATATTCAGGGATAACCTTGCACAGTCACCAGGACTCAGAAGTAAAAGATTACCCATCGGGATACGGCCGCGCCAGTGGTGCTGTTCCAAGAGATCTGGCTGAGCCGGATTTTTCAATCGAGCCTGAACTCGTCTACATCAGCTGCACAAAAGGAGATGTAAGTGATTTGTAAGCCATCTAGATCATCTAGATCATGTATAATGTCCTTCATAAGATCATACTCAGTCAGTAAATACTCTTTGCTATACGTCCAGGACAAGTGTCTACATCAATGCCTTCGTCGACCTCCACATATACTTGCTATCATATGACCCTTCTCCATATGTAGATCTTGTCCGCCAGATGATCAGCGGATATTCCAACCTCCCGGACCCCCCTAGACCTGGCAAAACCCACTCTCATGATCTCCTAGACCAAGCGGAACCTACCGAAATCATAATCACGATGGAAAATACCATACTTACACATCCACAACTTCCCAATTCGTAAAATGCAAATCTGTAAATCGTGATCCGCACCCGTCCCGAGATCCACGATCTTAGATCTGGCACTACCCACTAGTTGGTCCCTTCGAACTATCGACTTTCACGCCTTTACACATCCGGCTTGGCTTCCGCCGGCACTGCCACAAACACCCACAAATACCAACGGCTTTCCACAAGGAACCATCATTTCTACCACAATAATGTGTCCGGCCGAGGTGAAAACAGATACCTGGATACGGAGGGGTACTCTTGAGGCTCTAGGTCAAGTTAAGCATGTGGCTTGATCGTCAGCGCTTGATGAGGAAAGCCTCACCCTGATCGTCCCTAACACGGGGAATTTAATAACTATTTATCAATTGGGCCTGTGAGAACCCGGGAACAGGATTACCATACCGGAGAATATATTCGACTTGCAACAGACCGCGTGGAAACCTGCTTAACTTTCTTTTACAGAACCAAGGTTTAGGCCTGACTCGGAGAGAACCCTCCTTTCTAGAACGCCTCCTACGTTAACTTCACAACCAAAAATCAATAGGCAGTCGGAGAATTAAACACGACTTGCAACAAACACTGTAAGCACGTAGGAAAATTTTGGTCAACGCTTTGAACATGAAAGATCTTCGTAGGCTAGAAGTGGACGCTTCTCCATCATTTTTCAACCTCGTCTGCCACGTTCCAATAATACCAAACCCCGAGTAACTAAGTCGGAGAATTAAACACGACATGCAACAAAGAACTCCCAAACCGAGGAGAAAACTTACTTGCCTCCTGTAGCCTAAGAACATTCGGGGTGTTCCTACGATCTTCACGAGCTTAGGAGCCACCGTTACTCTCTCGCTCATGGACCTTTCACGCGAGCAAACTCAGAAACAGAATAGCTCTTCGGAAATTAAATGACGATTTGCAACAAAAACTCTTAAACATGCAGGAGAAGCTACTCCGACGTCTCAAAGATGAAGATCCTAAGATCTTCAGCTAAGAAGTAGACGCTGTTCCTCGCCGTTTAAGTTCTCACGCGCCAACGTTCCGCGAAACAGATAATTCTTTCAGGAGATAAAAGACGACGTGCAACAAAGGCTTTATACTCGCGGTAAGAGTAACTCTGATGCTGCTGTATTCCAAAATTTAAGGGTAAAAGTCAACATGTTCATGAGTCTAGGAGCCGCCGTTTCCTCTCGTCTTTGTGGACTTCCTTACCCACGACCGAAAATACTATAGACCATTCGGAGAATAAAGCACGATTTGCAACAAAGATGACAAGCTTGCATGCAAAAATACCTAGTCCGAGACTCTTATAGCACCCCGAAGATCATGACGAGTCTAGCACTAAAAGCTTCTCTGTGTTTTTTCGCCAACTGTCCAGAACACAGAATAGTACCTCGGGGATTTAAGATCCACTTGCAACCAAAAGCCTTCCTAGAGACGGTGAACCGTTCTCTCCCGCATCAAGGTACCCCAACCCTGGGGAATATCCATACTGTCTGACAAGATCTCCATGTAATGAGCGTTAGACCCATCCCTATCTTATTCGTCTCACACCAACGATCTAAGAACTAGAATAGCGTTCCGGAGAATAAAACGCGAAATGCAACAGAAACCCTATGTGCCTAGAGTAAAGCATGTAGCCCCCTCTCAAAATAGACAATGCCTGAATTCGGCCGAAAAGCTGTGGTGGTGGTAGTGGACAATAGCCCAAAAACACTTGGTCTCAACCAGTCCTCCCCGATCGAAAAGCCAGAACAAGACAAGCACCATCGGAGAATAAGCATCGACCTGCAACAGCAAAACACCCTATCTTCGTACCCAATATATCACCGGCTCATTAAATAAGTGGAATCAAGCCACGTTCCCAAAACCCAAACAAAGCAACCATCGGAGAATTAATCACGACATGCAACAAAACGCTTCCTTTCCCCATAGTACCATCCCATCGCACGTAAGGCAACCCGTCCTCGGAGAATATTCATGCGTTGTCGTGTCAGGCAGCTGCGGGAAGAGGGTATATAACAGGCATAATAGTATAGGTGTTTCCGTCATGCAAGCAAACGTTTCGCTTATTATTTGGGACTTACGAGCGATGTTTCTAAGGCAATGGGAATGAATAGTACCGCGTTCCCAACGCCCGGAGAGTAATAGATTGCAATTGCATGACAGGCAGTCGTTGAGTATGGGATGTTGGAAATATTTCCATCAATGAAAATGGGGGAATTGGTAAATGCACAGTATTCAACCCCGTGAGCCTCACTATAGAACCGATATCATTACCAAGCACCGTTACTCATGCCATCCCAACCGCCCTCCTGACTTTCCCCATCTAAGCCGTCCTCGATCCAAGCCATTTTGTCCAGTTCCCTAACAAAGAAATCATGCTCCTCTTCCAACAGCTTCATGTCCGCGCCCATCTGATCAGGGTATCGCTTAATATTATGCCAGTGGGTTAATGCACGAAGGGCTTGTTCTAGTGGCAGCGCTTCTTCAACCTCGGCATCGACATCGCTGCCCGCGAGCCAGTCATCGCGAAGTTCAGGACGGCAGTGAAGGTATACGGCTGTAATAACACGCATATTGCCTTGACGCCACTTGCGGCCGCAGAACGGCACTTGGTTCTTGAATAGTTTTAACGTGTATAATCGTAATTCGGGTTGGGGTATCTTTAGAGACTTTTTCAATATGTTGGAAGATTTGTACTGAACTAGTAAAAGGTTCCGGTGAGCTTTATTTTTGCAGATTTTCTGCATGATACGGAGAAAGTTGATGGAAGAGAAAAAATTGCGCCACGAAAATTCGGTAATGGGTTCAGCTGGTAGATCACTGGTCGGGTAGCCCAGCTCGTCGACTTCGGGAGGTTCTCGTTTGCCGGTAACTTGGCCATCCTGGAACGACATGGCTGGTAGTTTATCGTCTGCGTCCGCCTCTGGTGAAGTTCGTTTCGTTTTTATTGCAGGCGGAGCGGCGTCGTCTTCACTTTCTTCATCTTGATCCCTCTCCAGACTCATAGGAGCATTTCTGCTGTTGCTATTGCAAAAGCTAAAGAAACTGGAAGTGTCAGCAAACACGAAACTCCAAACAAAGAAATGACCAACCTCATATCGTCACGGTCAGTTTGGCTATCAACAACTTTATCAATCTCTTGATGTGCAAATAGCTTCAAAACTAGGGGGAGGTAGTTTGCGTCAAGTAGTAGCTGAGTAAAATACTCAAATTTGAGCACATCTGCTAACATTAGCATTGGGCCGGCATTGTATGCAAGGGTGAGTTACGAGAAACCTTGAACCACTTCAACAAGACGAGTAAAATGGCAGAGGCAGCTTTGGCAGTGATTTCCCTCGACCTGAGCGCTTCAATCTCCTCTATCGGCAGTTCAGTAGGTTCGACCGGGTTTGGCAGGGGCACATTGGCAGGATCTGGTCTGTTCTGAGTTGGGATTCCATTGGCGCGTAAATTTGTCTCTGATCTAAAGCCAGGAGCAAGATTGCCTTGTGGTTGCCCGCTCACTGGGTTCATTAGTGCGGTGACGTTGAGTAACACGGCTTTGAGAAGGACAATGACAAGCGACTGAAGATTGGGTATTGATGCTCGCTATTTTTGTCAGTATGATATGCAGCAACGAAGGAGTACACATACATAGAAGGCTTCCACAAGCTCAAGCTTGTGTTTTATTTTGGGCGAAAGATCAGGGTTCGGTCCAAAGTCAGGCTCTGCCTTAGATGGCTTAGTTTTCTCTAGCAATAACTTCCTCTCCAAAATTGTTTCCAGATCAAGCTCTTCAATATCATCATTTTCACCATCCCATCCTCGTTCAAACTTTAGGAACATTTCTCGCTCATCCCACAGCTGGCGCATCGCCCTCGTCATGCGCATCCGGCCGGCGAATAAATCGCCTGCCTCCAGGATGGATTTCGGAATGTCACTTCCCTCCCATTTCCTACCGACAAGCGCACCCTGCAAGCCAGCTGTGCCTTTACCACCAGCACTGTTACTGGTGCTGTCTAAGGGTGGATACATGAAAGGGAAATTCTGGTTAGTTTGATAATTTTGTTTCTTGCCAGCCTTGCCTCCTACGGCAGGGGAAGGAGGCGGCGAAGGAGCTGGGGTAGCAATATGTACAGGCTGATGAAGGATAGATGCGCCGCTACTGTTGACATTCATAGCAGAGGGTATGATACCGTTACCACCGTTGGCTCTTGTTGGTCGATTCGGGAGCGGTGGAAGAATTGAGTTATTTTCGGGTTCCAAGGGAAACAAAGGTAACGGAGGAGTATATGCCGGATATTTTGATGTGATTTCTTGGCGGAAAATGTGGTAGTCTAGAGGAGAAGCCGTAATTAATTTTCCCTGAGCGCCATTCGCGTGTCTCACTTCGCTTGTAGCTTTTTTGACAACCTCGACCTCTTCAGTTCCACCGAAAACAAGCAACAGAGATTTCCAGAAGAGCAAGAAAATCTGGACATTCTAGTCAGCGCTCATGTAGTATTTAAGTAGAGGTAAATTTACCCTCGTTTGTGGCAATTCGTTTGCCTCGTCCCAGCGAAGTTTGGCGGTAACTGTAACCATAAGTTCCACTAAACTTGGGTTTAATTCCACTGCTACCTGTTAGATGAGCTTAGCTGATAGCAAATCGGAACTCACAAAGCTTCGTTCGAGGAGACTCAAGAGTAATAGGGTCATTTCGCACTCCTTCAATTAATAGATATTGCGTGGTCGTAACATTGTCTAACTCATCCTGGATAAATGGTATATCTTCCTCCGTCAACTTTGTTTCGCGGTAATCTTCGTCCCTAATTTACTTAGTATGGCGAGAATGGCTTGAATCGTGTACTCTCACCATAGTCTTTTGAAGGCGTTCTGCATGACTTCGTACAGCAGAGGAATCCCGCCAGCATTAGCAACAAGCAGTATTCCTGACTTCATATGCTCTAATTGTATCTGCGTGGCCCGCGTCTTATTCTTTGGTGCATCTGCCTCTTTGTTTGAAAGTTCTATTCCAGCCGTCTCGTCCCAAACACCAAGGATAATGTGGAGGATAGTTTGGAGACTTTTACATCGGCGACGCAAGTCTGTTGCCAAAAGCCCATTAATCTCTCGTTCCGCGAAATTTTGTCTCTCCGTCTGATTTGCATCCAGCCATGCCTTTCCAGAGAACTTCTTCCACCTCCTGCCAAAAGTATATTTTGCCCTCTGTAGCCGCTTATATTCGGCCTCATTGTATGAAAACCACTCATCGATTTCTTCCTCGAAGCTTGCGGTATCTGCGTAGGTGAAGGCATAGCTGAGAGGATCCGCCTTGGGGAATTCCGTAACAATCCGCCTCAATTGCATCAAAGATAGCGAGTCTTGTGGATTGCCAACTTGCTGGGGAGCAGGAGGCGGCGGGGGTTGATGTGGTGGGGGAGGCTGAGGTTGATTTCTCGATAATTGCGGTCTTCCAGAGGGAGAATTCGACAGCGGCGTTGATTGAGCGGGAGCTGGCAATCCTACATCTGCAAGACCAGTATCTGCAATGTCCGCAGTGTCCTTCGGGGTGGCTGCAGAATACGCTGGTGGAGCGTCTACTGGACCTTTCCCTGGCCAAAGAGAAGCCATCGCGCTCGGAGGGAGGAATTTGGATCAAGTTGGTTTTAACAGCATCATGAGCCCAACACAAGAAGAACAATGTTCACTCGAGATCTACGCGACAGTGTGCTTTGTGACAAAACGGTTGTTGTTGTTTTGTTGGATCTTAATTGTGATGTCTGGAGTCTGTCGCGCTTCTTGCCCGTGCGCGTGGTGGACTATGATAACGATAAGAGCTCTTTCATGGCACTGAAACCAAAGCTGGAATTTGATCTTTAATTATCCAAAAATGAAAAAAGAAAACCTTGTTGAGAATTCACTATTTCGAAACAGCAAATCACAAAAAACAGCGGTTGACCCAACTTAGCAGAGAGAATGGGAGCGGCATTAAAGTCAACGAAAAGCAAAAAGATTCCATACCAGGGAGTCGAACCCTGCGCTACCGCGCACAATCTGTTATGAGAGGCGGAAATGTTACCGATACACCAGTATGGAAATCGGAATATGTCAGAACTTTGGTTTATGTAGTTATATATAACATTTTTCATTTAACCCGAGTATGAGCCGATCCAAATTCGATATTGAAAACGTTCGTCAGCTTTCATCTACAGCTAAAAGTAGATATTCTCCTGACATAACGAAGCCATTTTTTCAACTCCCATACTGAAGTGTTTTATTCCACAGATCAGATCCTTTCCACACATTTAAATTCGCTCGTCGCTAACAAACTACGTAACGTTTTGTTTTGATTTACCACTACGTTACTCTCAAACACACGGGCGACTTCCTTGATATGAGCATCTATCTCCTGAATGTCGTGTGGTGCAACCTGCTAGTTGACTTGTTTGAAATTGTCTAAATGTGGGTTTTTTAATCCAGAAGGGCTTTGAATGATCGAGCATAAGTTCTGCTGCTAACTTCTCTTTCAGCTTTACCCAGTACCCAGCGTCAGCGAGAGCTATTATATTGATAATATATGATTTTGTTGATTTCTAAGAGCCCTGAATTCCAGTCACTCCGCGTTGGCAACACATGTTCTGTAGCCTTGATTTCGCGGACTTTGGTTGTTGTGGCCCGCATCATGATTAGAAACTCTCAATTTCCATGTATCCCTCAAATTTAGCCTCAAAATTATATAAACGGCGAGGTGGTCCAAGAAATTTGGATAACATGTAAGTATCCTATTCGCTGTCAAACCGATATCAGCGGTTGGTTACATTTTCGATTGTAGCCGAACCCTGCCTGCATCTGCCTGATTTTTGCTGCTGAATACTCGATCATATTCTAATCCAAAGTAGCGATGTAAAACAACATGATACTCGAGTTTTCAAACTCTATACCTAGAATCATGGCCCCCTCATTCTGCTCCGTCTGCGGCAACATCCTAGACATCTCAATGGCTGATTCAATTAAATGCGATTGTTGTGGTGAAGACAATCTAAGTCAGCAGCTTAACACTACTTACCTATTGTCTTCCTCTTCTGACCCAAATCCTAGATACAGCGATTCAAGAAACTGTGACTACAAAATCCAACAACTTCCCATCGATGCTCCGCCAAAAACTTGTTTCTAAAACCCATATCCTCACTGCGAAGGATCGCGAGAACACCCGACGAATCGATCGGCAGTGTCCCGATTGCAAAGCGAAGGAGATGAGTTGGTCAGAGGCACAATTGAGGGGTGCGGATGAGGGAAGTACGATATTTTATCGGTGTGTTAAGTGTGGGTATAGGTATGTATGATTTGTTCATTCTCGAGGTTTTATGTAGGAAATGACAGCTAATAAGGTGTGATGATGTAGGGAGAAGGAGAATAATTAGGCGGTAGACCGAAGATCCAGATTTTAACATGATTTGCTGTTAGCTGATTTGAATCCAATGCAATGAAATTGGTAGTGTAATTCAAAACGTCGTAATCATTCGCTATGAAGCACGCGGCTCTAGCATAGCGAAAAGCTGTATGCACGCTTTGAATAACTTCATTTATTTAAATTCATCAATCAATACTATCAATGTCCAAGTTCACAAGCTGGCAAAAATGTCAAAAATATCCTCGTAAAACAAGTCTGTACTCAACATGATGACTCAACGTTATTTGTTGGGTGCAGTTCAGAAGATCTGATATCTTGTAATAACCATAGTGAGTATTTGATGTGAATAGTTTGTTAAGAGAATTGAGCCTGGCACTTTGAGTTAGAGAACAGTTCAATTGCAATATATCTCGCTTAATCTCCCCCTAAATATTGTCGTGTCGACAATGACATTTGAAATTGCTTCTCAACATGGTAATGAAGAGTCCCCTTAACGAAGTTCCACTAGACACAGAAGTCTCCGATTTAGAATCGAAATCTCTCTTGGGGAGGCCCATCTAAATCCCCAAGGCTAACTAACAGAGCTCTAACCTGAGCTGGGCGTGCCTCCGATGAGCTTGCAAACATTCTTCAATCAATGGTTGCTGAAGCGGAGTGTGTATTTTCCAGGTGAGATGGCACACAATTATTGATTAGCTTCGCAATTTTTGGACAGATAATGGCAGCTTAAATCTCTGCTGTGTAGCTGCACCAACGTCTTCATTCCTCACCTGCAGTTTAGACAGCTCACAAGTCCCACCCTGTTGGGGCAAATTTAGTGAGATCGAAGGAATCCTTCTCCATCTCTGCTATACCGGCTACGATAGGACCAATCCCACTGCCAACAGAGTCCTGGTTCAAATCAAAAGGCTTTGTGATTCTTGCATACGCCGGTCTCCAAGACCTCGGGTCCACAGACTTAGTGAGCTTCGCATGATACTCGAGCCGAATCGAGAACTTCCCTTCTGTCTCCACAATAAGAGCTGCCTTGAATGAACTTGGAACACCTTCTCGTGTCACATCATTTTCGCTGAGGGTCCACGTTACGGTCGAAGCCTCAAGCACCGAAAAGATTCGTGCTTTCTTGATCTCGGTCCGCTCTGTATGCCTTTCGTAGCCACTTTCTAAACCTCCTTCTACACCACCGCCAGAACCGCCCAATTTACCACCGACTTTCGATGTTTGTTCGACAGGCAAGGCACCCTCTTTACCCTCCCACTCATGAGGCTGGTAAGCGATAATCGAGGAGCCATCAGCTTTGACGAGTTTGAGCTTGATCTCTACATATTTAAAGCGGACTTGGTAGGTCGGAATGAAGTTGCACTGAACAACGACAAGACACGCGGTCTTTCCGCCGAACTTTCCATATTGGACCTGTGTTGCCGTCGTTGTGACTTTGCTCTGCCGGATGAGATCTACGCTAAAGGGTTGTTCGTCGCGCTCCGCTAATTCGGTGTCAGGCTCGAAGCAGAGCTCGCTTTGAAGCGGAGGATTGGCAGTAGGCTCCGCCATAGGAAATGAAACGTGGTGGAATAACCTCACCTGTTTCTAGACAAATTAACGGTTATGGCTGGGGTCAAGCTTCTTACAATTTGATAGAAACCGAAGAGGAGAATCGTGCGACGGTCACGTGAGAGGGGCGTGACTGATTTTTTTGTCGCGTGAGTCGTTTCAGCGCGTCGTGTAACTCGACGTAGAATCATAGACTACCTATCTAGGTACTCGGCTCATGAGGGCACTAGTGTTTCTATCGGTATTATCCCATTGTAAGTTTAAGAACTAATTGGTGACCCTCGACCTAGTCGTCATGGAAAACGAGGAAATTGATGAGACGATGGCCACGTTAATGGATGCAGTCAATCTCATCTGTACTGTTGAGGATGAATATGTTCATCAAGATATCCAGTGCGATACCTGCAGTCAGGTATGATCCCCGTGGTTCTTTTCTCATGATGTGGTTTTGGGTTGCTTGCCAATGCATCTTCTCGTAGCCCATCGTCGGTAGACGGTTCCGCTGCTCCAAATGTGAAGACTTCGACCTTTGTTCACAATGTCGCTCTAACGGATTTGGCGACGAACACGATCCAGATCACTTGTTCTATCCGATCCAGTACCGTCGGCTGTTCCTTCCACCAGCAAACGGTGAGGACTTTGCTCTGCTTCAGAAATTCGACCAGGCTACTACAAGCATGTCCTTCTATTTGCATTACCCGTGGTTCTTTGGGCCTCCTATCTTCGAAAAGCTAGTCGTTGGAACACCAAACGAAGAGGAATCTCGCGCGTTGTTGGTGCAGCTTGAAGAGTCTCTGGATGGTATTCACTTACAGGTTGCCCTGGATGGAGTCATTCGGCTGCTCGCTCCTGAAGATTGGAACTGGCGCCAGGTACAAGACCATGTTAAACCCCTTCTCGAGCTTCAGCTTGTGCGTGCACAATCATCTAGCTCCTTTTATCAGCTATATCATGCCCTGGAAAGCCAGAGCAACGTAGCGCAGAGTGCCCCCAATATCAACTCATCTGAAGTTTTACGACTCAGAAAGCTCCTTTTCGATACTGATCTCGACCGAAATTCTGTCCAGGGATGCAAAGATGCTTTGAAGGTGTTTATTGCTTCCAGATCTAGCGGTGATGGCTTCGCGGACCTGTCCATACCTGCAGATAAGATCTCCGAGTCCGCAAAATACATGGAGATGTTATCGAGGGGTTTTGATGTAAGTGCCTATCTATCCCACAAGATTGAACAGTGTCAAATTACAATTCATGCAGCTTAACTCAGCATTTCTTCCCATATTCGAAGAAGTGGAAGCTTTGCTGAAGCTTCGGAGACCGGGTTCGCCAGACCGCGAGGTGTGATTCCAAGTTAGGCTGTAGATGTTTGACGACTCACAACAGCTTAGTGGTCTATATCGAAAAGTATGCAGACATGGCAAGAGTATACGATAGCGTATAGTTCAATACTCGCCCGGGTGGTGAGACCTTACATCGCTCAGCTTATGCTTTAGATATTAATATACCCCAATTCAGGAGCAATATCTCGATCAAAGTTTGCGCAGGGTCACAGATATGGGGAACAATTCATGTTATGGTTCACTACAACCGCAACCCTCCGATGCTATCCTGGACACATTTACACACCTCATATTGTGCAGGCAATTCAAAGCAGCGCAGCAACTGATTTCGGGGTTGGATAATCTCAATCCACTTCATGTATTGAAAATTATGTGCTTCTACGAACTGACTGGAGCTGTTTCAGAAGCGTGCCATATAGCGCACTCTGCAGTCGAGCGCTTCCATGTGAAGGCCCAAATCGTAGAAAACTTTATTTGGAATGATATTTTCATGCTGTGTGAAGTTTATTTCAGTTGCTTTACTCACGGTCGATGGACAGAAGCGATAGTGAGGGCCATTGCTACATTGGATCAAATTGCTTCGATCTCCGAGACACTTTTGAGTTTTGAAAATGTGAGTTGTTATCCCGTGGAAGCTGGCGATACAATGTGAAAACTAACGGGGGCATGCTACAGTGCGTTCTTGAGCTTTACTGTTTCAAAATATTTCTGTTAGCGGCCAAAGATAGAAACGATCTTTTACAGCCCGAAATTGTTTCAAGCTTCACTACACGCCTTCGTTACCTTCGAGAGTCTTTGAATAAGTTTGGTGCTCAAGGACTGGCTCTGCATGTGTTCGACATAGAGCTACGTGTCCGTCAAGAAGAAGAAATGATCTTCGAACTTGAACAAACAGAAAGCCTACGACATCGGAGAGTCTTGGTTGTGAAATCAGAGCCTGCCGTTAGAAGCCTTGAGGACTTCTTGTTTATGCTTTCGAAACATCAAGATAGTGAAAATCTTGGCAGAGAACAAGCTGCCGTTGAGGCGTCTGCCAGACTTCTTTTCGGCTATGCTTTGGCAGAAAATGAGCTAGACGATTTGACCCGCACCATTATGAAGAAGAACCTATGTCGGGTCTGGCAACTGTTCGAACTATGCGACTCGTCGCTTGGTAAAGCTGAAGCTGCACTATTAAGTTTACGATACTATACGAGTCTTGATACCGCGGACTTACCTGGATGGAATGGTATTGAGGCCTGCTTCAAAGCCCAGTCGTACTTCAAAGGCCTTATCAAGTTTCACGAATTCCAAGCGGCTGATAAACTTGACACCAATCCTACTAAAGACGAGACTCTATCAGCTTCTTTGCTACCGACAGGACCATCATTATATCGAAAACTCCTTCCGATAGCAGAGGAAATGGGTGACAAGCTCTTGTTCAGAAACTGTCGTGTGCGTTCGATGCGTAGTTGGATTGAAGGACCTACTTTTATTATGCTCTGTGAGAACGTTTTTCACCCAGACACGGGACTTCTCGGCGATGAATTGTTTCTAGAGGCTTCGAGACTTTTGAGTCAACTTTATGAGGTCAACAATAACTTCATTGAATCATCAGCCTTTGCATTGCTGCACTTGCGGCTTGCTCACGCCCGCCAAGACCATGTACTCTTAGACCTCGCAACCACGTTATACTTCCGTTGTATTGGGAACATGGTGTCGACAAAAGACGATGCAGATCGTATTTACGAGGTTGCAAGCCTTGCTTTTTCTTTCGATAGAACGATCTCTCGGTTGTGTCACCCGGTATTGGCGCAAATGGAATCGTCAGATTTTGTCATTTCGGCAGGAAGCCTTCCCATCGAATCACTTCTTTGGCCAGTCCAACTCGTTCGACATATTGTTGAGGATGATGGCATCCAAAGCATGTCGCCGCAGCTGATTTCGGTTGTCTACAGGTCCATAAAGCTTGCCGTTGACCTATTTCTTTTGCTACCGCGCGAGTTTCATGGGCTCTTCTTCTCCAAGATTTGTGAGGCGCTTGGTCTCGCCGCTGAAATGCTAGCTAACCCAATTCTGTCGCTACTCTGTTACAACCTAGGGCAATCACAACTCGTCGCTTTCGATGGGTATATGAGAGCGGTATTGCAACTAAGGATTGGACGACGCATTACTTCATGGATCTACACCGACCGGTCTAATTTTCTAGCGCTCCAGGAAGTTGCTTTTGCGTACTTAGACCAAGCAGTCGACTTTTTTTGGGGCGAATATTCCCGCCAGTCTTCCTACAGGAACGGCTTGGAATCAAGCCTCGTCCTTGCCCGGGCCCACCTGCGAGAGGTCCAGTTTCTGATTGAAAATGCTGACTGGGGTGAACATAATGATGCTGAAGACGAGGATCTGACAGAAGAACAGCAAGCAAACAAGAAGCGACTACAGGGACATTTTGAAGCAGGGCTGTCACCCATTCAAAGGGCAATCGCAGGCAAGTGAGTGGACATTGTTGCATATTTGACTACAAGATATATATCTAACTGACAATGCACAGTCTCGTTCTTCGTCGACAGCTTGGGAGTTTGCCAGCGATGCAGGCTTTAGAGAACAGCAGGCTCTTCTACTTTGGTGACATGGAAGAACTTTACTGGAACGAAATGGGCCTTGAAATGGACAAGTCGAGGATCACTCGGGATCCAGAACCTTTATTAGTTGCAATCCAGAAATGGAAAGCTGTATCGCTCAGAGATACCATTTCTCGACGACTCAAATATGACACACCAGCTCCCGAATCAGTGGCATATGGGCAGCCCTGGTCGAGCAACGTTAACATTCCAGAAACGCTGTATCCAGTTATCGAGCCGCCTGAATTCGAAGAAAAATTGATCTGGGGCATGGCTGAGATTGCTGAGGCACATCTGGAAGCCGGTCAGAGTATAGTATTCGTAGATTGGACAAGGTATTATGATACGCTGTTCATGGTCGCCTATGACGGAACCGAGGGACGAATAAAGAAAGCCGTTTTGGAGATTGACTACCATGCGATCGAAACTTGGGTTCATAGTGAGTTGGGAGTATCTTCTCTTCATCAAGGTCGCACAAACCGAAAGCGTTTACACAAGTCCAGCCGACTGAAAGACCTTAGACCAATTTTGGAGAAATTGGAGGGGTTTGTGAAGCCCAAGGACTTGCTGGTTTTCTGTCCAACTGGAATTCTTCATGCAGTCCGTAAGTTCCATCAATTGAGGCCAGACAGTAGTGCGGGTACTGACTACTAAATAGCATTGCAGGCGATCCCTTTTGGTTCTAAAGGTAAACCACTAATCGCCTCAAATCCAGTAGTCTTTTGTCCCAGTCTTTCACTACTCCAGACTTGTGTCGCGAGTGTTCAAAATTCCCCAGTCCTCAGCAGCCTTCCCGCAGCGGCAATCACAAGACTTGGACCAGGTGATGCGCAGGAAGAAGTTCGCATGTTTGAAACTGCGCAGAAAGGGCTAGCTGATGGACTGCTTCAGGCGAGCTTCACGAGCGGCGAAGAGGCCACTCGTGACGTCTTCATGAATCGATCTAGAGGGACCCGACTTCTCCATTACCACGGACACGCATATCTAGAAGCTGCGCAACGTCGAGACCGAGCGTTACAGCTAGAACCTCGAAAGGCTACCATGGATCTGCCTCAGAACGATGGACTATTGACGGTAATGGATATTTTCGATTTGAAGCTAGATTCGGCAGTGGTAGTTCTTCTAGCATGTGCATCTGGCGAAGACGATGTCGCACCAAACGACGACCCTTTGGGTCTGCTCTCGGCATTTCTATATGCTGGTGCTAGCAGTGTTATTGCTACAAGATGGCCAACGCAGACTTCTGATGCCCGAGATTTCGCCGAAACTTTTTATCAAAAGGCGTTTAGCAGCCGGAAAGATGGCACTGTCAACCTTGCTCTCGCCGTCCAGGCTGCTGTTCTTGAGTTGTGGGAGAACTGGGATGAAGATGATCCCTACCACTGGGCGCAGTTTCAACTTCGTAAGTCAAAATTGTGAGCGAAAACGAAATGAGTGATATTAACGAGTTACAGATGGCTGTTGGTTCGGAAAGTTATGAGATTAATGAAATTCTCGAATTAAAATTAACACCTTCGACACTTTGAATGATACCGGTACCTACTTTTCATGGTTAATAAATTTTAAATTGTTAAATTTAATAAGAATAGTACAAATGCATGATTTACTTGTCGGCTTGAGCCTAATTACCCACCCAGTAGGAGGATAGAACCCTGGGTAAATTAGTCGATCATAATCTAATAGTACCTCTAGACTCAATCTCAGCTCGAATCGACAAACCCTGACCAACATGCGCTATACATAAGGTTCTCCCACAAGAGTTCTTCAATAACCGTAACCGTAATTGCTATACCGACACCTCTCACTCGACTTCTTCTCAAGTTCCTCTACTCTAGCATTCAGTCTCTTCCGATCGTCCATCCAACAATTGTACACTTGCACCATCACGAGAGTGGGCAAATTGCTTGAAAAGGACGTTTTCTTGAAGTCATCGTCATCTCGAAGAAAATTCAAATGCCTCACCAAGCAGACACTTATGGCCTTACGAAAATCATCATCGAGCGCGCCGTCATCGATCTCGGCGAGAAACTTTGAAACGCGTAAGCACTGATGTGGGGAGATACGAATTCGTACGTTTTGACTGCGAGCTTTCGGAGTTCGGGTATGTCATAGTAGTTGCCTATCACATTCATGTTCGCGTTGAGCAGGAGCTTGTCTGCCATTTCCATGAAGGATTCTGGGGTTTTGGGGGTGGTGCAGCCGAGATCCTCTGTGAAAGCTTTGTGGCCATCTTCGTAGTTGTCGGTGTACATGAACTCGATCATGCGTTCCACGGTCTTGAGATCAAAGCCCTAGATTAACATGCGACCGGTCGAAGCTTCTTGGAATACTCCGTCGCATGCTGCGGCCATTACTGGAGATCGGGTGCAGACGACGGACTTGTGGACGGGGATTTCTTTTCCGTGGCATACTAGGATGAAGTCGCTGTATTTTCTGGTTTCGTAGAGTTTGGCTAACACGCCGGGGGCGAGTGTTGAGGAAGTCATTATTGATGTGTGATCGTGTGGCGTGACGATGTTGAAGGTTGTGATTCTGAGAGGTTATAAAATCCCGACCGAGGGGAGAGAGATGCTTTAAAGTTATGCATTTTTGGGGATAGTGAAATGTCTGAATTACAGCCGAACTAGGCGTTGCAATACCAGAGTAGATGGCAAATGGTCGATGAATCAACTGGTGAACAGATTTCTTGCTGATTATTGCGTGAATTGTAAAATCACTAACTGTACGGCCTCTGAAGACAACAGATATCCTTTAGTCTGTTCATTTAGAGACCGAGCACCTCGGTTAGACATCTTGTAGAGTGGCAGGAACGGTTAACCATATATCAAGTTATCAACCTTAAACAGTGAGGGGCAGGTAAGGACCCAGTTTTGAGTGAAATCGAACCTGCAGAGAACACCATACATGTTACTGTTCATCCACAATTGCATTTAATGCTGGCAGCGGAAACAACAAATCTTGATTGATCTAACTGTATTCGAATACTTTGCACCAAGCTTAAATCATAACACAATAGTTGTCAAGAATTAGCTTTCTGCCTTCGTATCCACAAGCCCCTTGTTATACTTTTCAGGGAGCCGACCACCTGCAATCTTGTTATTCTGAACAAAGGTCCGAATCTCAAGCTCATCCTCATCAGTAAGCTTGACATCAAGCGCAGCCCAGTTCTCCTCCAAGTACTGAATCCTCTTCGTCCCCGGAATCGGGAAAATATCATCACCCTGCTTAAGCAGCCAAGCAAGCGCCAGCTGGGAGGTGGTACAACCTCTCTTATCAGCAAGTGCCTTGAATCCATTGACAAGTTTGACGTTGGCGTCGCGCACATTTTCGTTGAAACGTGGGAATGCAGCCCAGCGTAAGTCTTTTTCGTCTGTGACAGGTTCGTTCTTGGTGAAGGTTTCTGTGAGGAGACCTCGACTGAGTGGGGAGTAGCAGATGACAGCCACGCCGAGCTCTCGACAAGTGGCAAGAAGATCGGTGCCTTCGGGACCCTCGATGTCGAGTGTGAACGGGGAGTGTTCCATCTGAATGGCAGAGACTGGGTGGATCTTGTGTGCTCTGCGGAGTGTGGTCGAGGTTACTTCGGATAATCCGATGTACTTGATTTTACCTTCTCTGCCCATAGCGTCAGATGTTATAGGGGATTTTGACGTCAGATTGCTCACTTTTTCAATTCTACCATTGCCCGCATAGTCTCTTCAATTGGAGTTTCGCGGTTTGGACGGTGAAGCCAGTCTATGAATTGTCAGATGGTAGTTGTAGAAGACCGCTACACAGTTTGTGAACGACGTTTTCGGACTTACACAAATCGATAGAGTCAATACCAAGTATCTTAAGACTTTCTGCGCAAGCAGATTTGGCATATGCAGCAGAGCTGTCGATGTTGCCCAATTGAGCTCCTTTAACATAGCCAAATTTGGTGGAGAGAAAGATCTGATCACGCTTGCCAGTACGCTTGAACCATTTGCCTAGCAAGGCCTCACTGTCTCCATAAAGACTGCAGTCATCGTCAGCAGATAAGTGAAGGCCGGTGGAAGGTAACTTACTCAGCACTGTCCCAAAATGTGGAGCCTATCTCAACAGCTCTGTCAAGTAATTTGAATCTTTCCTCGTCATCTGGAATCGATCCATATGCTATGGATAAAGGCAATAGGCCAAATCCCATGGCTGGCACAAGAGGACCATCTTTTCCGAGTTTATGTTGTATGACAGAAGGTGCAGGCATGATGAGGTTGGTATGAGTATTGGAGTTAATAGTCTTTGGAAGGCTTTGATGTGAGTTGAAATGTAGTGAAGAGTTATTTATAAGAGCAGGTCGAAAGGGAGCAGCATTTTATAGCCAAATTTTCTCGTCCATGTTTCCGTTTTCCCGCCGCTTTCCTGTCTCACCGACGCTCAGCTGTGCCAGAATCAGACGCCGACAGCGACTGTTGACCACTTCTCGTCGTAAGCATGATGGGATCGATACATTTCTGCATGTTGTTGCGTGTAATTGTGGTTCCAGAACCTGAAAAAGGAGGCGATGGAGGAGAGACCCACATGTCGTTGAGAGCGCCCCGCACAGCTCAAATTCTATCCAATGAAATGAGAGGAAAAGCGAGCGAGCCAATGAAACATCAAGTGGGTCTTACCTGCATTACAACAGCTCAATTGTCACTCCATCTTCACAACGTGAAAAGATGGTTGCAAGTCCAGCCTACTCATCGTGGCGGCGTGAGTCAAGGTCCGGTCAAGACATCATCATCTGCATAGCAGATCCTTGATGTAGGACTAAAACGGTGGTTTTCCTCCGTCCAAGTCCGAATATCTTTGATACTTTGGGCTCGAAAGTCATACGCTTCTGTCAACAAACAGTATAATTACACATTACAACAAAGATCTATAGATGGCGAAAATAACAAGATACGACCAGAGAAGCAGCTCTTCCGGTAGTAGCAGTTCTTTTCGTAGTAGCAATGGAGATCGCGAGACAACTCAGAAGAAGGTTGCTTCGAGCCGGAGGAAGGTAAAGACCGGATGCCGTACCTGCAAGTCAGTATTATGATCTGAAATCCGCCTCACTAGTAATATAGAACTGATTGATCCAATCACAGAATTCGAAGAGTGAAGTGTGATGAGGGTCGTCCTTCATGCAACCGATGTTTCTCCACGGGTAGAACATGCGACGGATACGGCATATTTGGTGGCGGAGGTAAACCTACCTCGGGCGACTTTATGATGTCCAAGAAGCGCAGCGCTGTTGGGGTTGGCTATTCTCCGAAAAATACTCCGGAATTCTGGAGCGTTTCCTCTACAACCGAGGAGAAGAGCTATTTTGAGTGGTTCAGGCTTCAGACGTCGAAGAAGGTACCTGGCATATTTGCCTCATCCTTCTGGGATCAGCTCATCTTACAGGCCACCGCAAATGATCCAGCTGTTCTACATGCCGTTCTTGCTTTGAGCTCTATTCAAAAAAGAGAAGTATTCTTCGGCAAAGATTCTCGTGACGTACAAGTTAATCTACTTGATTCCCAGGAAAGCTTTATGCTTAGACAATACACAAAAGCGATTGCTAAGCTTCAGCCACATTTCTCGACCAAAGATCGTTCTTCTATTCGCATCGCGCTAGTCACGTGCGTGGTATTCATCTGCTTGGAATATCTCCAAGGCCACTATAGGACAGCTCAGACTCATTTTAAGAATGGCTTGAAACTTCTTAACGAGATAAAAGTGACGGATCTTATCGATCAATGTATTCTCGAAGAGTTCACCAAACTTAACGTCCAGGTGGAGCTACTAAGATTGGGCTACCGTCATTCATGCTCAGTGGTCCAGTCGACTGGGACACAGCTTTCACAAGGTACATTTCACTCGACACGCGAAGCCAGACAAAACATGGACCAGATTCTAGACCAAATATTTCGGCTCACAGAAGAAGTAAGAAAACAGGGATTGGAAAACTCGCCGACTCCTTCCACTGATCAGGTCGACCGTCAAACACTTATCCTGACACGACTTTCAGGATGGCTTCATACCTTCCACGCGTCGAAAACAAAGCTTCAAACTCCCACACTTGCACACGATAAACTCATGCAAGCTCAAGTTACCATGAGAGACAACTTCGCCTATCGAGTACTACGAATCTGGTATGTTTTTGCAACGGTTATGACGAGTGTTGCAATTTGGCCAGGCTGCGAAGTGAAGTTCGACGACCACACCAGTGACTTCGTCTCCATCATTGCCCAAATGATAGATTTACGAGCTATTGTTCCCGCCACCCAAAAGGCTCTTTATGACACTGGCAATGAAACCACACATTCAATCTTTCATATCGGTCTAATGCCTGCACTCTATTACACTGCCATCAAGTGTAGAGTGCATCGCATTAGGCTTCAAGCAGTTCGCTTGCTCGAAGCGACTTCCCATCGCGAAGGCCTCTGGGATGCAAAAGTCTTTGCCTGTGCTGCAAGAAAGGTGATGGAAGTAGAAGAACGCGGGTTCTACGCCGACTTTGCAGATTTTGACGACTTTTCTATCTTCGAAGTCCCTGAACAAAAGGATCTTGATACTCCAACATTGCCAGATACATATCGTGTCCATGAGGTTGAAGTTGTACTTCCAGACAGCTCTACGGAAGGCTTGCAATTGGTCTGTCGACGAAGACGAGATGATGGAGGCTGGGATACGCTAAACAGCAAGTTCGATCTGACAAACCATGTTTGGCAAGATAACTACGGGTGGACGGACGCTTCATGAATCGGGTTTCTGGATGCAAGTAACTGCCAAAGAGGAAGGTTTCACAGTACAGCCCTCCGACATGACTCCCATCTTCAGAACCAATTATACTAGACGGCAGAGCACTTGCTACTTGTATTCTTACCCTTCTTGAAGATAGCTTAGACTTTCGGACGCGACTTCATTGACCCTTGCGTCCAAATACTCGGCATGATGTAACTTGGTATGAACATGAATCCCGGACAGATGTAGCGAGTAAAGCACAATCTCTGCAACATTAGGATATCGCAATGCTTTATCCGAACTCAGTAGACACGATATGTTTAGTATCCTACCAACTAAGGCTTCACTTACAAGGTACTTCAGGCAGAATTTCAAAACTTTAAGTTGGAGCTTGTCAGATCTTACTCGGTCAATGGGTTCGAAATAACGGACAGCAATTGTCTCGAATCGATGACCCACTAAACATCGCATCGTAGACGGCTAATCTTGTGTTCACCGCTTTTTCACTGCGAAGCGGTGAAAACATTTATGTTTCCGACTACGATGTCTCGCTGAGGACAAAATAGATGTCAGTTACCAACTCACTAATATTAGAATAAATAAGTCAACTTCGAACAGAGATCAAAAAGCCTTATATACCCCAAATGATTGACGGAATGTGTTATATTGTTCTAAGTTGATCCACTACATTACGATATTTCGTCAACTTAATGGAAGGAATATCGCGTTTCGACTGCCATTTATTTTGTCCACCGCGAGGCTGTTCACGAGCGCAGCGAAACATTACGTGAAGCCATGCGAAGTAATGGGTCCATGCCAGCATTTACTTGGAATCCCTTCAGCTGCCTCTACGGGCACGATTAAATCCGAGATTAGTAGTTGCCAGATACCCACTCTTTTCGCATTATAAGTTCGAATGCAGACAACTACCTGGTTGTTCCTCCAACAAGAATTCCTGTTACCTTGCAAGAACCAACCATGCCCCTCATCACGACTTTCTGACTGCATATATTCCAACGGCAATTACAACAGCTAATTAGCCAGTATGATAAACCATCGCATTGGCCGTCAAATGCTTCGTTGAAAAGTATATAAGCCGACTATCACCCTCTGCAAATCCGAAAGGAAAAAAAGAGGGTTCACATCTTTGAGCATTTTTCCATCACAAAATCGAAATGGTTTATACAGTAACGGTCTTTCTCTGGCGCAAACCCGGAATCTCGCCATCTCAATTCCGCAATCATTACGAAACCGTTCATATCCCTCTCCTGAGAACAAAAGTCGGCAGCTCATTCCCCCTCACGCATTCTCGTCACTATCTGACACGCACTCCAAACTCGCTTGGTTCCTCTGACAACTCCAATGACAACCACAAACCCACGATATTAGGAGGAAAGCCGGAGGATTTTGATTGGGACGTGTATAGCGAGATGGTGTTTCAAGATTACGAGCATTTCGGCGTCTTCGCGCAGAAGATGGGTGAAATATCCGATGGAAAGGACGAGGAGTGGAAGGTTGACTGCGAGGCTTTTTTGGATATGGACAAGATTGCTAGTCGGATGGTCATAGTTGATGAAGCGGTTGTTACGAAGAGAGAATGATCTTCTGGAGAGTGTGAGCCTGGGAGCCCGGGAGTCTGAGAGCAGGAAGCCCTGTGAAAGTTTTTACACAGTTCTCGTCCTGGACGAATGTTCGAAACATGTTACATTTCTTACGTTAGAATATTGTAAATTGGGGAGTGGCTCGCTTTTCGTCAATTAACACATTAAGCGCCATTTCTTTCCCTATCCTATCGAATGTAGCGGATAAATCTGAAAGCGGAGGACACTACCATATACTATGCTCTCCAAGAGCAAATTCGCTGATTTTACTTTACTTTTTTGATTTCGATCTTCTATAATGACCAGGACGGTCTGACCTCTACCTCGCTGACATTCACCGATTTTGATTGAATTCAAAAATTCACCAAAAGTGAAGCCCACACAACAAAACTTTTGTCGGCCGAGATAAAAACCCCTCACCTTCTCTCCTCAACAATTTCCTTTTCACGACGTCTTGTTAAATTACCCCAATCCTCGTCTTGCCTCGCAGTCCATCACGAACAATGTCGATACAACCAGACGCGCGCGACCGCGCAGATCCAGACGATTTCAAAGGCTACCTCGACTTCGATGGCAAAGAAGGGCAAGGCCTTTACTCCTACTGGAATCTTGACACCATCGAACACACCTTTGCTATCTTCCGCAATTTCAAAACCGCAGATGGAAAAGTCGCACACGCTCCTATCACTATACCCAACCAGGATCAAGCCGACCAGCTATACAGGAAACTCAAATCCATCATCGTCGATGCGTGCAAGAATCAGAAGTTCCGCGGCGGTGCGTTTGCTGAGAAGGTAAAGGAAACTTCAGCACTCAACGATATCATTCAGTTCATATTTTGGTCCCCCGTCATGACAAAGGAACATCGATACTTCTTCAGGCAGAGTATCTTGGCAATTTTTACACAAACAGTATCGAGGCTCAAGGATACGGTTATGTTGGGGCGAGACGGATTTGATGATGAATATCTCAAGGATTATGATGATACACTGAACGAGATTAAGGAGTTCTTCCAGAAGGAGAAGGATAACCCGACGCCCATTCCGACCGATATATCAGTGAAATGGTTGGAGGAGTTCGGGGAGAATTTCACAAGGGACTACAAGCTTGCACTAGACTTGAATGAGAAGGGTGAGGATGGTGCGCCATTTGCTACTGCTGTTCCTATTAGGGATGAAAATGGGTTGAGTGAGTTTATGGTACATAAATATTAAGCGGCGTTGTTAACTCGAGTCAAGCAATTAAAGGTTGGGATGTCGATATCAGAGAATTGTACCCCGTTCGATTTGACCCCAGAAAGAGAGCCAGCTACTTGAGCACAAATAACAGCATCAATATGGGCGCCCCGTCTGGATTTGATGGCAATAAATTAGGTTTGTCGTGAATCTTCCTTTCACTCGCTCTCACTGACTTGCCTGTAGGGTGGCAAACTACAAGCAAGCCAAGAGCGCCTTCTTTTATCAGCAAGCCAGTGAAGTTTGGCCCGAAGTTTCCCGACGTTAATAATACCCCGAGCCTACACCCCCCAAGTCCGGAAGTAGAAAATGGCATCGGGTGGCAATCTGTGTTGGGTGATGGTCCTGAGGACTGTGAGACTTACAACAAGGGTGGAAAGCAGAACAGATTTGGAGGAAAGGAGAATCTGCGCAAGATGTTCGGGAAGTAATTTCATGAACACTTGTAGGTTTCGATTTCTTGTGGCAGGATGTGTACGCATGTTTTCGAGTCAGGTTATCGTATGGTGGAGAGACTGTTTTAAAGTTGCTTTAAAATCAGAGTTCTAAAAAGCGAGTATGTAAGTTACCATTAGATGAATTGATTCAATTTTGATGGATTTGAAGTTTTGGATCCCTATGTTAGTGTTAATTCCTATCAGAGTTCAGGTGAATAAGACATCGGTATCTAGCAGCAGCTGTGAATAACACTCGTCCACGTCGTTGTATGCAAAGATTTCAGCGGCTAAAGTAGAATCTTATCTTCGGGGCTTTCAAGTGCCGCCGAAGGGCTTTTATGTTTGAGGAACTGTTAATGATACACAGACGATAAGCTGATAGAAGTGAATTGCCTTCCTTTCGTTCAAACGAAGGCGAGGTTCATTGCTATGACAACTCCTGCCGAGCACTGAGTTTTAAGATATACATAACCTCAACTCGACCGCTCTTCCCACCACTTTCTTGAATACATCAGGTTGCAGGTAAGGAGGCAAGTACTATTGTAACATCATGACTTCTACTCCTCAAATCTTGTAAAGCCATATTTACAGCATCAATTGCACATCAATTTCTGCTAACAATTTGCCCCCTCTTTCGCTGCCAACATCTTCAAGCAGAATCTACTAAAAAGGGCTCACCATGAGCACCAACACTACCAGGGTCCCCTTCATCAAACCCTACCCAGGTCATAAAGCCTTCGACGGTGGAAACGAACTATGGAAATATGCAGTATTTTTCCTACCATTTCTGTTTGCGTTGTCGACAGTCACTCTTGCTTTGCGCATCTACGCTAGGGCGGTCATTCGAAAGATATGGACACTGGAAGATTGTGAGTGTTCCACTCCTCTCGGTAGAATTCTGAATTGACAAGCAACAGATGCTGCTATTGTATGCTGGATAGTTTACCTAGCATGGTCCATCGTTGCAGGAGTCATCTACTGGAACAAAGGCGGTTATCACGGCTGGAACTTAACCAAACAAGACCTCAAGCAAATTCTCCACGTAAGTCACTCTTTTCACCCACAAAATCATATTGACACCCAACCAGTGGCTCAACATAAATACCATCATCTACAGCATAGCAGCCTGTCTCACCAAACTGACCATCCTCTCAATCTACCGCACTCTCTTCGTGACACAGCGGAAAAGCAAATTCAACATCATGCTCTACGCTTTCGAAGCCATACTTGTAATCTTCTACGGTGCGCAAACAATCGCAAAGTGTTTTGAATGCATTCCTAGAGAGCGCATCTGGAATCCTTCGGTCCCTGGAAAATGTCTTGATTGGGATGCGTTGCTTGTTAGTAGTGGTGCGTTCAGTTGGATCTCAGATATTGTGATCTTTCTTATTCCTATTAAACGGGTTTGGGGACTGAATATGCAGAGGGCTGAGAGGACGAGGGTTATTGCGATTTTTTCGATTGGTTCTATGTGAGTCGTGTCTTCACAGATGATTTGTTTGTTGGGGCGATATTGCTAATGTATTAAAACTTAGTGCTCCCATCTTCGGTGGTATTGGATTTATCGCCCGTCAAATGATCAGCGACAAGCCAGATATAACTTTCGACTACCCACTAATAATGGTCTGGGGGTAAATAAACACTTCGCAATCTTCGTCTACCAAAGCTGACCAGACAACACAGGACCATCGAAATCGCCGCTGGAGTAATCATCGTCTGCCTACCTTCCTTATCAATCTATTTCAGGAAAAACAGGCCTGCAACGGACGACGTCGAACTCACAGCTTCTGGGACTGGAAAGCGGAAGCCTTCTCGCTCGGAAAAGAGCCCGAATGCCACCCACAACGGCGAACCAAGAGCACCAGAACCGATTTTCGTTCCTCCGCCCACAAGAGTAGAAACCACCGAAACCTCACAGCGAAACTCACGTCTGTGCGAAAACCAAAAAGATCACACGATCGTGACCGAAGGACTGACACCATGGACCAAAACCGAGCACCCCCGTGCTGAAAGTGATCCTGCTCGTGAGGGTAAGATTACCACGATCTGTGAATCTTCTTCGGAAACAGTCCGTCCTAAAATTGGGGAGTCGCCGTGGCCTGAAAAGAAGTCTCGTATTAGTTTGGATCTTGAACGAGGTGATCATGGGAAAGAACACCAGTTTGGTATTTTCACGTCGACTACGATTACGCAGACGGTTTCGGAGCACGGTTCTGTTTGACTTGGGATATGCGGGCGTTTCCTGTTGGGGATTGTAATTTTAGTTGATGGCAATATTTTGGGTGCTGGAGGAACGAATATTATTGTCGCCGAGGCTTGGGATATTTGAGCACCAGGATGTGGTGTTATTGGGGTTGAGCTGGAGTTTTGGTCGAGAAAGTAATTGGTGTTGAGCTTGTGACTCAAGTACGCGATCTTTTGAAATTTGCAAAATTGTATAGCAACTAAAGTTGCAAACCGTTGACGGCGTTTGTAAATTTCAATTTGGTGGCATAATTAAAGTTCACATTGCCCACTGGAAAAGGAGAGACTACCCTCGCTATTTACTTGTATATCGTGGGTTGTGGAGAGTGAGAAGTGTGAAAAATTTTGAGATGAAATGCTTACGAATGTTGCCGAGAACAATTAGCTGTTCGAGCTCTCCTGCCAATTACCGGCCTAATGACGGTTTGGAATCGTATCACTGGTAATTGAAAAAGCTACTGGCATTTGTTCTGTGTCATTGAGCTTCCGTTGAAGGGTAAATCTCGAGAAACCTATATGTACCAAGACTGTAACCGGAGAGCGCCTTAAGAAGGTATCTAGTTTTTGACAGTTCTTGATCAAAGTGTGCAATATCAGAGAGTTCCGATAGGTCAAGATCTCATCCATCTTCTCAGAACCTACTGGTCATAGTACAATGACATCCCACGGAGTTTCAGAAGTCTCTGATGAATTCAGTGACTGAAATTTTGTTTCTGTGGATATTTTTATTAGTTGCGAAGCGATGTTGTTCTCAGAGGTTCCTACAAGAGGCATGACATCGATATAAGCTTTTTTAAGAGCACATATAATGATTGAAAGAAATTGTGGAACGTTGCAAGTGAGGTTGGTCTCGACGCAGGTGCCAAGATGTCGCTTCATTTTGTGGGGCCTTCCATCATGATCTCAACTTCCAACATCACCTCTTGCCTCAACTCCCAGCCAACATCACAAGCAAATTTTAAATTTCACGACAATGACAAGGCGAATTCTAACTTTCAAAATAAGGCTTTCGCGAATCTGGAAAGCTGCCCATGTGGCCGTGAGGTAAATACGTAACTGCTCGGCGACCCGAAGTCTTCACCCACCAAACATATGGGTTTCAAACGGGAAAACATGACGGTCAAGACCGCAAGAGAGAAATTTGAGAGGTAAACGACGTCTCTCCTGGCTTTCTAGCCCTGTCTATCTATAGCAAGGCCTAAAGCCACGTGTTTGTTATAGATTCGCATCTGGCATTATGGCCGACTTTCCAGAATGGAAGGAACGACTGAACGACAAGAAGCCATCATATCTTTTTGATCCTGGAGCTTGAAAAGAAACCAGCAGAGACACAATATATGATATCCGTCATCTGCCAACTCTCATTCCTGATTTCATCTCTGTCGTTCTTTATTCTTATTTGTTGCGGTTCTACGAAATCATTTCTATCAACAATACCCAAACTCATATCCTCGCATCCTTACCTCCTAGCTGTTTTTGCGAGAACTCTCCAGAACAGAACCTTGGGAGCAACGGAGAAACGACGAGGGAATTGTGAAAGAAGACCTAGAAAACAGCCTACCGTTAAAGTCAACATGACTACCGATCCACATCAATCAGCTCGGGAAACAGAAGAAACTTTTGGTAGACGTCCATCATTCCAAGAGTTGTTGAGCACGTATGTATACTCTGAAGACTTTCTATAGTATATGTAGATACTAACCTTGATAGATTATCTCCGCTTGATATACCCCCAAGAGGTTTCTACCGTTACCGGAATCTACCCCCGAATGTGCTGCCCCCTGATGCAGTCAGACCTGCAATCCATTTTAAGTTTTCCGATATTATCCGCCACGCGATCCGATGCGAAAGATTCAAAAAGGGAATATTCATCCGCTATAGGGGGATCTTCCAATGTCGAGATGGGATCTTTGCTAAGCATATGCTAAAGATTTTTCTTACTTCGCCCGTGTTCAAGGTCAGAGAAAAAAGGGTCTTCGAAGCCTGTTTACTTGCCATCGAGAGGAACCTGTATAACTCGACTCTTGTTGCGGTTATGAGAAGGATTTTTCGCGTGCCGCCGAAGAAAGCACCTTTCCGTGGAAGAAAGCCATTTCGCGAGTTGGTTGAGGTTTTCAAGAGGTATGGGTTGGGAAATCACGATCCTTGTCTGTCAGAGACTGCTCGTTCCCATCCACAAATACTACTCGACGAACTGCCTTCTTTTGAGCTTGCCGATGATGAGCAGTCTTGCTTCGAACTCTCCCATGATGAGCAACCCCCTGTTGAACAAGTCGTCACCGAAGAGCTTAACCAATTTTCCATAGACGACTATCCACCAATAGTCCCTGTAGCTGTAGTTTTCGAACCAATGGTTGATTACTCTACGGTTTCTTGGGATGATTCGGAAGGTGAAAATCAGCCTGACTCCAATCTTCCTACACCACCACCGTCCCCTAGGTCACCACCGGAGCCAAACCAGTCTGCCCTTACCACTCCCAATACAGAGGCACGGGACATCATACCTCCTAGCGGGGGTGAAGTTAGTAGCAATGAACCCGCTCGTAACAGTCCGGAAACTAGTGATAGTACACTACTCACTGAAGAAGAGCAGCCTAATCAGCCCAACTCTACCAATCGCTCTACACCAACACCGGAGCAAGACGAGTCTGTCTCTACTTCCCCCCATACAGAGCAACAGGACAACATACGTACTACCGGAGGTGAAACTAGCAGCAACGAGCCTGCTCGAAATGATCCGGGAGAAGAGCGTTCTGCCTCTCCCAGCCAAAATAGAGAAACACAGGACGACACAGCTACAAGCCAAGACGAACTTAACAGCAACGAGCCCCCTCGTAGCACTTCGCAAACTGGCGATCCTACACCATCGGAACTCGAACTGTCTGCCTCTATTACTCACAATACAGAGACAGTGGACGAAGAAGTACTTGCCAGCGAAGGGGAACTTAGCAACAACGAACCCGCTCTTGATACTCCGGAAGCTGGCGATGCTATACTATCAGAACATGAAGAGCAGCCTGACCAGTCTGACTCCACCAATCTCCCTGCAACACCGCCGGAAGAAGGGCAGTGTGCCTCCACCGGTCTCCTTACACCACCACCGGATCCGGATCTACAACCGGAACAAGATCAGTCAGCCTCCACTACCCATAGTACGGAGACACAGGCAGCAGAAGAGCAGTCAGCCTCTATCACTCACAACACAGAGACACACGAAGACGTACCTGTTAGCATAGGCCAACAGAGTATCGACGACTCTGCTCGCAACAGTCCGGAGCCTGGTGATCGCGACGCCGAAACAGCAGGGGATGATGCGGACCAGCTCACGCACGCACGAGAGGGTGGTTGCCAACATAATTCTGGAGGTTCTGACGCAGGCAACTCTCGCAGCCCTTCGGGGGATCGCTCTCGTGACAACGTCGACCGGTCTGCACATTCACCCGTGGAAGAAGATGATGCGTAACGATAAAATGGGATGGATCTTGGTCTATCTTTGTCTGAGGAAAGGAGCTTGTGAGGATGAGAGAATTTTCATGAGTTTGTTGGCTGATGATAATGATATTGTTTGGACATGCGAGCGAGCGAGCGTGTTATGGATATTTGTATTTTAATCTAGTCAGAATTAATAAAGAAAGATATTTCTCAGCGAAAGACGATGTTTATGTTTCGCAATGGCTGAAATATGACATTTTAACAAAAGGGGTTGACGGTGTGTTTAATGATTTGATTCTGATTTGGTAAAAAGTTAGGTAAGATTTAAATCAAAACCAGGTCAAACTAAAGGTAATCAGGATTGGATTACATCAAGATCAAAGTCTCCTAGGATTAATGCGAGGAAGAGTATTGAAAAAAGGTGTCTTGATATTACGAGAAAGTAATATTTTTACACCTATCTAGAGAGTAGGTAGTGAGTTATTCCCGAGATAAGGTGATAGAGTAAGTTTAGGGTAGAGGTGTAATCTGGTATCATATCAGATCAAGAATTTTATAATCAGATCGATTGTTTTAGTAAAGACCTTAGATACCTTCTTTAATAACATCCAAAAAGCACCTTTTATCAAGCTTCTAAACTACCTCGGTATTTAGTAGAAAAGGCACGCAAGACTCGCTACCTTTTTACAGTAGAGGAGCGGGTCTTTGAGACCTCAAGTGTAGATTTCCAGATCCCGGATTCCGGAGGAAGAGTTGTAAGTTTTTATACTGATGGGATTACTGTAATACAATTAAGAAGAAGAAGGGAAGTATTTTGATGGATTTATTCGTGCTTGGTGGTAGGGTAAATTATGTGTGCGTTGTTTCTGAGTATATCTTGTTGAACCCGTCTTTCTCCTCTGTCCCTTTTTGATCGAAATCCTTATTCGAATAAACCACCGTTCGATCACTTACTCGCACTTCACCGTGGTGAGAAATTTTACTTTGAGAAATAAAACTAGGGAAAAGTAGCTAGCTATAACACTCTTCACGGTCAACCCCCAAACCATTTTCAAACTTCGAATATACTTGCACGCTTAACCCCGCAAAACCCATAACGGAATCTCAATGATACGCAGAGTTATATGAAGGAAGGTATCTGATAAAAAATTGTATATATAAATCTTCGAGTGCTGGAATTTTTCAATCATCTAATACTTTCTATATCGTCATGTCATGCATACGCATCATCATATCATATCATCTCATCATCACATACATAATACACTATTCACTCAAATTTCCCAAAAAACCACCTTCCCTCCCTCAACATCAACACACCCTACTCCCACCTTCTCCACTCCTCCTCCACCCTCTCAACCTCCCTCGCCAACGCCCCCGACTCAAACCCCAACCCCACCCTCTCCCTCAAATCCTTCAAATCCTTCTTCCACGCTCCCTCCACGCTCTTCCTCTCCCTCGCCCTGCTCGCCAACATCTTATAATCATCCTCGTGACACGCATCCCGGAAGACCTTCCTCATGCGCTCACTATAGAGCTGACAACTCGCTTTTGGCAGTCTAACCCTATTCTGCGCGAAGAGCTTCGGGATGGTATGATGCATCTCCGGCCACACGACCTCATCAAAACATTCTTCGCAGACGGTGAACTCAGGAAGTTGTGTGATGATATGCCATTTACGATCAAAGAGGTCTTTAGACCCCTCGCATTCTTCGAGTTGGGAGAGGCGGCGCGTCATGGAGACGAGAGAGCGGGTGTCTGGTTCTTCGTCGTAGCGGGCGGCTGTGTCAGAGGTGACTTCGAGGGCGTCAAAGTATTGGACGAAGCGTTTGCTGTCGAAGCGGAGATCGCAGAGACGGATAGAGGGGTTGGAAGAGCTTTGTTTTTTGGGAACGAAGACGCCGCGGATGGGAGGGAGGAGGATTTCGATGGATTTGACGCAATTTGGACAGACGTCGAAATTTGGTATCGTGGATCCGGTTTTGTGATCGATGATTGAGTGCCATTTTCGCACACCTTCTTGTTTGCCTAGACAGGGTGGTTCTGTTGAAGCAATATGTGCTAGACCATAAAACAGCTTCAAGTCTCGACGTCGCTCTTTCAACGTCAAAAGCCATGCTATTCGGTACCATGGTGAACTACCAAAATCACATCTGACAGCTGCATCAGGCGGACGTTGAGGTGCTAGTATAAAGTGATTCCGAAAATCAGTAGAGGCTATCGTGTTATTGAAACACTGAGGACAGATATTGAAAGGCGGACAATTTGGTAAAGTCAACCAATCATTTCGTCCTCGTGTATGTTGCATCCGAGGACATGTGGGTAAGGGAGGGATGCTACCACGTTGAATGTCTTCCGACTGTCGACGATAGACCCCCATAGGTCTCTCCAGCTTTTCTATTGGCGGTGCAAAAGGAGGAGGCTGCCAATAGGGTTTAGATTCTGGAGGTCGAGGGGTAGCATCTTTTGTTTCGTTATAGCGAGGCATAGAATTTCTCGGCGAATCTCCCTGTGAATACATATTGACCATTGGTGGAATTGGAATGGGCATAGAGGTATTAGTTGGATATGGCGTGGATTGGTTCGGTGGTGTAGGAGTGCCACTTGTCCGTGGCATTGACATAGGAATTGATGGAGCCTCGAAAGGATTTAGTAAACCCTTCCGAGCATGATTTTCAACTGCTGAATGTGGTGATATTGGTCGAGTATCACGACGCTTTTCGGTTTCGCGAGGGAAGGTTTGACTTCGTTCATACTCATCACCTCTGAGAATATGACTTGGGGATGGTCCTGGCGAAGGAAGTGGTGAGACTAATCTTGACCCCGGCTTAGACCGACCTTTGCTATCCAAGGAGGATCTATTTGATTTCGACGGTGACTGATTTCCTCGACTATAGTCGTCGACAGTTGGGAATGCCTTTTTGATTTTGGGTTCACGATAATCACGTCCACGACTACGATCATCATCGCTGTCCACCAACTCATCTTCACTGCTGCTATAATAATGCCTGGAATGATTTGAATGATTCGATCTTGACGAGTGACCCGTCGATGGTCTGTCTGAATAGCCAGATGCCCTTCTCTCCATTCTTGGTGCTGCGTGTTCATCCGAAGATTGCTTGGGTCTCCGCAGCCTCTCATAACTTTCTTGTCTAGGGAGGGGAATATGATAACTCCCACTACTTCGTTTATCCTGTCTGGATGTCTCAAATGATCCGCTGCTCCGTTTATCTGCCGATGGAGTTCCAGACCGTGAAGATGGCCGTCTTTCTGATGTAGACGTATTGTTTATCCTATCGCCAAACGTACCAGGACTGTTGTATCTTGGCGCAGAAGAGCTGAAACTAGGTGGACTCCTAATGGCGTCCGGAGAAAGGAAATAGTCTCCAGGATTAGTATTACTTGAAGCATGCGCATTTGATGCATCTGCTTTTGGCGTCTTGTCTGTATCAATGGGAGACACTGCAAACGCAGAAGCACTTCTTCTAAATTGCGGCGGAATACGCGTCTCCCTTGATAGCTTCGTTTCGAGCGTCGGTAGATCCTGTCTACTTCGACTTCTCTGCAGCGGTGGCGCTTGTGGTCTGATTTCCTTTATATCTCCCCTGTCCAGAATATCATCTCTTTTCTTCGTCTCAGACTTATGACTTTGGCTCGTCTCTTTCCGCTTGGCCTCCTTTCTCCTTCTAAAGTCTTCTTCGGAGGTATTCAGCGACGATTCAGCCTTTGGAATAAACACAAATCGTTTCTCATCATTCTTTTCCGCATCCAGATTTTTACATTCAGGATCTACCTGCAGCCTGGCAGCTTCCCCAGCTGTGACATCTGCCTCAAGTATGAGTGGAATCTGATCGATTATGCCTCGCAATGGAGGCTCGTAAGTTGGTGCTTTCGAAGTTGCAAATGACTCCCTGGCCAAAGAAACGGCCTCCTCCTCCACTGTTGGTTTGGGACCTCTTTGTCTGCGAACTCGGCCGCGAGGTCGTTCGTATCGTGGTTCATCTTGGGTGTTGTCGGAGAGGTGGCTATGGTGGTACGCGCTAGGTCTCGGTGGTAACTGTGGACTATAAAGGTTAGAGAAACCTTTACGAACGAGCACAGAGCACATACTTTGGTGGATTCGGACTTTTCCCTCTCGCGGTGGTGAAGAATCCTCGAGTAAGCAGCTCATTGATATCCCGCCGTTGCGATTGAGGACCCTCCATGATCTTCACTCTCCGTTCTTAGCACTACAAACGGATCCCTTCACTCGATGCCATGAACAGAACAAGTCGTGAGTCAAATAACCATAAAAAGCTAACCAAATATACAACCTTCACATACAAAACAACCCGCTGGTGTCTCCGGTCGTCGTATTGGTGGCTGGCGCGGAGAGTAAGAAAAGTTGCAGGGCTGTTGAAGGGAGAGGTTGCTGTGAAATGCGGCGCAGACAGCAGCGGGCAGCACAGGCGGGTTTAGCGATTGCCCCTCCTCAGAGCACGAGCACTCACCCCCGATTCCAGGCGGGTCCAAGCCTCTCTGGGTCGACCGAAAACCCCTCTTGGGGCTGCAACACGACGAAAAAACCTCCTGCACGGCACACGACACGGTATTACGTCGCTCAGCTGGAGAACGAGCCAGAAGCTCCACGTTTCGATCTCTGCCTCATCCACAATGCCCGCCTCCACAACGGGTGGAAGACGGATACGACGGGTCAGGACTTAGCACCAAGGACTACGATGCAGATGTGAAGAAGTGTTTTTACAAAATGAAGGTATTATTGGTGGGGGGAGGCGGATGGATCATGGATTCGTACTACATGTGGGAAAGATGTACGAAATAGCGGTGGAACCAAGAATAGAGGGGAAGGCCGACGAGTACTTGGGCTGGAACAATCGCGATAATAGTACTTGTGTCTCAAAAACACTGTATTTTGATTGATGATTATGTCTTGAAGATTGTGGCATGGCATTGTGAGTGTACATACGATGCTCTGCATTGCATGTTCCAGTCATTCGAAGCAGCCAATGACCACTATATCAGGATTTTCGGTGAGTAATGCTCCAACTCGACCCATGAATTTGCCTCTCAGCGTTTGGCGAATTAGTGGTCTGTGGTTCCTGGAATTTTGCCTCGTATGATTTATGTTGCACCAAGATTTTCCTAAGCTTCGTGGCTGCAAGAGAGAGACAATAGTCAGCGACAAAACTCTTGAGGTCCGGTATTTCGAGAATCAGTAGAATGAGTAGGTATAGTGGATAGAATACGTCTCGAATTTCTGGGGTGGGATGTGAATATTGGGATTGCCGTTTCCATCTGAGAAAGGCCCTCGTGGTGACCTGCTCTTGTAGCCTCGAAAGAAGTTATTTTGAACCCGTAAACGCGTCTGTTTAAGCTTGATGTCCTTCCATCTCCTGGTCCCAAATCATGAAACCCGCAGGCTCAAGAACTCCAACATCCCACATCGGCCAGAGCGATCCAATCTACGAACTCCATCTAGATGAATCCCCCTCTTCATAATACAAACCCATCCCAAACTCCAAAATCAAATTCCAAACGGTGATTATTCTCACCACCCATCAACACCCTCCTCATAATCCACCAACAAATCCCTAACATCCTTCCCATCAACCAAAAACTCCTCAATATCCCTATCCTCCTCATCACCTTCTTTCGCCCTCATTTTCTCCTCCCTCATTTTCTCCACCTTCTTCGCTCTCTTCCTAGCCTTCCCACCCCATCCCCCATCATCATCCCCTTTAACCTCCCCCTCCCCCTCAACTTTCTTCCCTCCCTCCCGAATCATATTCGGCGTAACCTTCACACCCTCAATCTCCTTCTTCAAATGCATCCCCTGCGTCTTCTCCACCGCTTTCATCAGATACGGACGTAACAATAAATACGCGCCGACGATAGCGACGAGCCGGATGTAATTCTGGATCGAGAGGTCGGTGAGGGAGTGTTTCGTGTTGTGGGCCAGGCGCTTGCCCATTGTGGAGAGGAAGTTGAGGATGTCCATGGGTGCGTGCAATTGGATTTGTTTTCGTATATTCGGAGGTGTCTGTGATGGTTATGTACAGAACGTAAAGGTAAGTTGCGATTTGGATAGAGCTTTGTTTGTGTGCTTTGAAGATTAGAGGGAGATGGACTGGAATAAGAAGTTTCGGAACGGTCGCTGGCCCCACAAGACGTAATGCCGAGCCCTCCGTCGCGTCTCCCCACCTACAACGCGCTCGCTCAACACCATCACACATTCAATTCTCCCTACCCACCCAAAATACCATTAATCTCCTCTTAAAATGGATGTTGCACTCCAAGAAGTAAGCCTCAATCTTCAATATTCTCCAATTTCTCAATTGTACCCTCTGTCCAAATCACCCGACCAATTCCTCCCTCTCGACACCACCTTCTCAGTCAAGCTTCGAACTGACAGCGCAATAGCAGCTAAAAGCCGCGCTCTGGTTCTCAATCGGCAAAATCGTAGATGAAGAAACTCTACGTTTGAATACGAGCGCGACACCACAGTTTATCGGTGCGTTGACTGAGATGGTTTGGACGCAGATTGGTATGTTCTACCTCTTCTTTCCCCCCTCCCATTCCCTCACCGCAACCATATCCCCCAATACCAAACCCAATCCCCCCACCTCATACCTCTCTCATCTTCTACCCAACCCAGCTAACACTGCCACTCTCCAGAAAACGTAGCAATCGACCTCGAATCCTTCGCCTACCACGCGGGTCGCACGGCAGTGACAACAGATGATGTACTGCTTCTTACGAGACGGAATGACGCGTTACAGGGCATTATACGAGATTTTATTGAGAAGGGACGGGATAAGGGGGGGAGAGGTGGGAAGGGGAAGGGGAAAGGGAAGGAAGCGGTGGGGAGAGGGAAGGGGAAGGGTGTTGCGAAGGGAAATGGAGGGGGGAAGGGGAGAGACAAGGGGAAAGGACGGGCTGTGGGTTGAGAGGGTGGAGGAGAGGGGGGAATTGTTGATATGAATGAACATCCAGTGCAGAGGATGAAGGGGGTAGAGAACTAGAGATGGAGGGTGCCAAAGGAGAGGGATGATGGAGAAAACCACGTCGCGAATAGAGGTTGGAGATGAGATGAGATGAGATGAGATGAGATGATATACCCGGATCTCGCAATTGAGATGAGAATTTGCCACAGTACGAACGACGAGTCCGATACCTAGCTACTCGTCCACAGTACGAACGACGAGTCCGATACCTAGCTACTTGTTTTACAGCAAACCAACATCATTGCGCGAGCAAAGTCCGGATCAAGAAAAGAGTTATCCGATATAACAATCAGACCTACAAGTCGAAAACCATGAATCTACAAATAAACAAACCTCGTATAGACATATTATATCCTTAAAACCCACCAACAGTCTAACCCCCCATCTCCGTCCACTTCTTTTTATTTTCGTCCTACCAAACTTCCCCATCCCATCGAGAGTGCTCGAATTCGCTTTAGGAGAGGGAATTCTAGGGTATATATATACCTACTAAACGGCTTATAAAGTAAAGTGTTCTTTAAGTAATAACAAATATACATACCTAGGTACATATAGTAGGAGGGGATTTCAACACACATTAACATTTTATCTAACACTTTCTACTTACTCTTCCCCTATACCATCCCGACCGCCCCCCCACACTAAACATCACAAGCCCAAAAGGAAAAAATTCCGTGTTACCAAAACATACGTTCATTATCTAAAACACACGAATGCCAATGCGGACCTATATATCGCTAGCTGCTCTCTTCAAATCACACACAACCTCCATCCCAAACTCAAGTCACCCTATCTCACCTTACCACGCCCCATCCCCCATACCTTAAACTCCCTAAGCTAATCTCTTAACCCCCTCTCCTAATACACTTAACTAATACACCTAATTACATCCACCCCCACTCATTATAAAATCCCTATTAAACATTGTTTATTATACGACCACTCTATTTCCATCCCTCCTTATTGAAACCTTCTACGAGCGAAGCTATAATGTGCTTAGCGCTTACAACTCTCACCCACACCCTCTACCCTCTCCTATCACCCTCTACCCTCTACCCTCTCCTCTCACCCTCTACCCTCTCCTATCACCCTCATCTCACCCACACCCAACATCATCTTATCCCCCAAACCCCCATCACCTCTCCTGGTTTCCTACCTCCAACCACTTACCCAATCCAATTTCCCCCCAAAACCATCCTCATCAACCCCTCTCCCTAAACCATATTCCTCAAATAACCCTCTCCCCCATCCTACCTCGCCCCCCACCAACTAACCTGACCTCCTAACCTCACCACACCTCACCTCACCTCACACTCAACTAACCTGACCTCCTAACCTCACCACACCTCACTTCATTTCACAACCTAACCTACCATACACTACACTCAAACGACCACTCACTTTTACTTCCCTCAAATACACCCCACTCACCCACCTACAATCTCACCCAATTCCAAGCTCACCCAATTTCACGCCCACTCAAAACCCAACTCACCACTCAAAACTCATCTCACCCCTCTTCATTTTACCCCCCTCCTCCTCCTCACAATACTTCCCTCATTATTCTCGCCAGCCAAACCAAAAATCTTATATTCCATCATCAAACTTCCCTCATCAAAGATGAAAATGGGCACCTACTTAATTCTCACAATGCTTACAACTTTCACTTTCATCTCATCTCATCTCATTCACACTTTCACTCTCACATCAACCCCGAAACCCAAATCTTCATAAATTGATATACAATTCTCATTATTAATAATTACGCTAAGGTATCATAATCCCCCCCAAACCCCAATAAACCATATTACCCCCGCTTCAAAAACACGCTGTGCTTATATATACAAACTCTCCCCATGATTCATATCACATACATTCCCCTCACCCAATCATATCATACAACACCAACAAAAGAAACATCTTCAATTTTCAACTCCTTTAAAAGTTCCCGCCACGATTATAATTCGCCGCCGGCATCGTAGTGGTCGTAGTAGTCTGCTGACCATTCCTCACGAAATCCTCATGAACATCCTGTCCGAAATGACCCTGGGCACCGTATGGGCTAGGGTGAACCGGGTGGTGCGCAGCTTCAGCAGCGAGTCCACCGGTTGCGGTGGCTGGAACAGCGGTGTTACCATAGGTAGCAGGTGGGACGACGGTGTTGTTTCCGTATTTGTTGTAAGCAGGCTCGTTACCGACGGCGGTGGACTCGGTGTTGTAGGAGTTTCTGACGGCAGCTGGAGTGGTGTGAGCAGGGAGGGCATCTGGCTTCTCGGCGTCGTGATGAGCGACGGTCTTTGGCTTTCTTTGCCAGAACTTGCGACGTGGGGAACCGGCAGTATAGCCGTTGTTTGGGGATGGGCCGAAAGCCTTCTCTTTGCGGTGGTGACGCATGAGTGCGAGCTCAATGAGGGTGGAAAGGAAGAAGAAGACGCTGAGGTATGTTAGTTAATGTTTTCATAAAGAGGTAGGGAAAGACTTACGCTCCAACGACAGCAACGGCGAAACAAGCTGTGTTAAGCTTGCAGGCAGTGCGGTAAGATGGGAGATAGACGATTCCATCATCGGGAGTGGTGACTCTGTTTCCATTTGCGACATTTCCAGTTCCAAGAGGAGTGTTGACGATGCCAGAGCAACTTGATGCACCATGTCTGGTAGCATAAGCCAAGTAGATGAAAGCACCACAGAATGCCAAGTTGAAAAGCACCGCGATGAGACTAGCAACCAGGATACCGCCAAGACAGCAGACGAGGAGGAGTGCGAAGATGGTGTAAAGAACAGCGGCACCAGAAATACCCTCCACAGCACGGATGTAAGTATCGACGTGCAAGTTGTTGCTTACAAGCGCCGCCAGGAAGTAAGAGAAGATTCCGAGAATGATAGCTGCGCAGCAGAACTCGATAAAGTACATGAAGAGCGAAAGCCCTTTCAGGGCGAGTCCTCCTCCTTTGGCCATTGCTTCGTCGTGGATATGTGTGAGGCCTTGAAATTTGACTTTTTGTCGGCCGGTGATGGATTGGGCGACGGGACTGGATTCAGTGGTCGGATTAAGTGATAGTGGTGATGGTACTGTGAACTTATTAATTTCTATTCATGTCCTGGTAGGTATCAAACATACCTTGCTCACACTCTCGACTCCTGGATCTCGGAGGGTTAAGATAATTGCTAGTCTTGCGTTGTCGGACTGGTGATGAAACTGGTTGGGGATGGGAACTCATAGGAACAAAGGCGGCCGTGATGATATACTTATTTCCTTTGAGCACGAGCAACTGGAATGATGACGAAACAAAATATGTGGGGTAAGTGGCTTGACCTGTGTTAACAAATGCTGTGTTCTGTATGGATGTGGATGATTCCAAGCGGTCGATCGCTCAGCATGCGACATGGAAGGCTTGCAGATTTGCTAGCTTGCCCGGTCCATTCATCATCGTGCTTGCCGTCTTTGGATATCAGGGTTTTTAGCTGCGTAGAGGTAATGAAGAAAGCGGCATGCAGTGTGAAGGAATGTTGAAGTGTAGGCCAATGATAGAGATGGTAAGGTGTTACGACTCGTTGCCGCTTCTCGATGGGTTCTGTGCGGTAGATGAGGGTCTGTTTTTGTTCCTTGTCGCATGGAGATCGAGGGATACGTAAGGACATGACGAGGAGATACCTGGATTGAACAATTTCTTCCTATCCTGTGGATCGATTCATCTTCATCAATTGTCATCTTTATTGATATCTCCGTACTAACAATCCCTTCACAACTTATCCCCTCTCTCTCTTTCATCTTCGCAGTGCCAATCTTTTCATCTCAAACATAACCATCTCCATCAACACAACACACATTTTCGATACAAACAAACCCCAACCTTACGTCACTCCAGCATCTCCCAATCCCTGCTCTGCAAACCCTGCCCGCAGATCTACCGCACCGCCACACTATAAACAAGGTTCCTGTGGCGTCCATTCCCTACGGCAGTTGAAGCAATTAATTTGAATTAACTTTTAGCTTCCAAGATGCGCGTGCGAAAAACCAAGGTACAGTACATATGGTCTAGACTATGAGATGGCTCTACATTTAGGGGTGTTGTGAAACCTGTTGTGAAGCCACATCAGTGTAAACAACGTGATACGCCGCCTATTTGTCGATGGTGACTTGGAGAGCCAATTGTAGCACAATCGATGATGACCTAGACGGCTGTGGCTTTTAATGTACTTAAGGTAGAGTGTGAGTCCCTTGGTTACTGGAAATGAACTACCTGTAGTGTCGAAAAGCTTGTCGCAAAGCGTGGATGGATGATGGTGAGGTTCTTAGATGTGTTTAAATTTTGATTCCCTGTCTTTGATACTTGATAAATGCATCACAAGTGCCGCGCATACTACGTTTGGTAGCCTGAGCAATTCAAGTAAAGCAAAGAAACAAAATCCACTATAACGATGCTACTAATTACCCTGTTTAGTGTCTCCCTATCGGCTAAATCATCAACATGTTGCATTTAATTCTGAGGAGATTCCATGCATTCGAGAGTTTCACAAACGAACAATTCATTCTAAAGAAAACAATTTTGCAGTTCCATTTGTCAAAACGACAAACATGCAAAAGGTATTTCTGACGAGCCTCGACTGCACGGCAAACCAAGGCTCGACAACCTAGCAACCAAGATCCGAAAAGCCACTAGGCTGGCAATCAGGATCGAGAGGTCCTATGTGGGATCCCTAGGGCATGAGTTCCAGAATAAAGTTTTGAGCCTGCTCGAAAAGAAATCTTACAAGTCAGGTTATATACGGCTCTACGTCAAACTATCAACAATCTAATCAACAATCACGCAAGTATATGTGCCAATAATAGAGTCAAATGATTATAGCTGATTTTAAGAGTTACCTTCTTACATATCTATCACAGAAAACCACAGGTAGGTACAAAGTGTATACAAGACTGGCAGAACACCCTCCACTAGCAGTCCTAAAAAACAGATTTCTAACACTCCTTTCAAGCAATTATATCTGGCCTGTATTATAGAAGCGATGTTTTATATATTCACACCAGCAAATCAAGCAAATGCAGTCAGTGTTTAGGCAGAATATCGGTATCCCGTGGAGAAGAGGTATCGCGACATGCTGGTACCCCGGCCGTTCGTTGACTTCCGACGTGGATGTGGAGGATGTATTCTTGGGCCCAAAACGTTAGAGGAATGTGTGAGAGTCAATGCCTTATGGATGTGTTGTCGAGGTTTGATGCGAGGTAAGTGGTATCCTGAGAAACGGACCATGATGAGGGGTGGCCTGCGGTGAGAGAAACCGTCATAAGTAAATAATGGATCTTTCACCTCGATCCATCACAGATTTTCAACATGTGCGCAGAGGATATATTTCTGATGGTGCAAGATCAGTTGAAACACCTATTCAGAACATATACAAGAAATGCTATCTTGCAGGTATGTTATTGACGACGTTGCAATCTATCATAAGGGAGAACTTCATAAACATAACTCCAGAATTGTCACAGGGCAACCATCAATCACTAAAACTTTTTCTTAATATTAATATCTAACTATAGCTACCCCACCACTCTAATTCTTCCCCGTCCCAAAAGCCTTATGAAACCCCGTAAGCGTAACACGGTATCTAACATCATTAACCTTAACCTTCTCAACCGCCTTCTTGCAGCCCTCCTCACTAATATCAATCGTCTCAATCATCGGCTTAATATTCTTCTCACTCGCCAGCTTCAACATGGCGATAGCCTCCTTCTTGCTCCCGATATGGGACCCTCCCATCTTGGAGCCATTCGTGGTGAAGACCTGCGCCTGGAATTGTGGGAGCGGCTTGTCTGGCAATCCAACGTTGTGGAACTCGCCGTTGATGTTGAGCGTGCCGAGGTAGGTCGCGATATCGAATTCGTTCGTCATGTCCGCGCAGTTGAGGATGAAATCGAATGTGAACTCGAGACCCTCGGACCATTTCTCGTTCTTGGTGCAGACGAAGTGGTCGGCGCCGAGTTTCTTTGCTTCGGGTTCCTTGGAGGGGGTGTGCGAGAGGGCGTAGACTTCGGCGCCGAGGGCCTTTGCCCAGAGGAGCGCGAAGTGGCCGAGTCCGCCGATGCCGAGAATGGCGACTTTCTTTCCTGGACCGCAGCCGGCGCGGACGAGGGGGCTGTAGACGGTGAGTCCGGCGCACATCATGGGGCCGGCGTCGGTGGAGGAGATGTTGTCGGGGATTTTGAAGACGAATTGTTCGTGGGCGCGGATGTGGGATGAGTAGCCTCCTTGGGAGAAGATTTGGTTTCCTGAGGAGTCCTTCATTGGTTTGTCGGAGTGTCCCTCATCCTCTTTGTATGGTGCCATGTAGGTGTCTACCTCTGTTAGCAGAATCCTGTAGGGATACATGCTGAATTACTCACCAACCATATTAGGGCAGTAGTTCTCGTTGTCGCTCTTGCACATCTTGCACTGCATACAACTCTGAACTTGTGCTCCAACACCAACACGATCACCAGCCTTGAACTCCTTGACTGCGTCACCGACTCTGATGACCTTGCCAATAACCTCATGTCCTACGCAGATAGGAGAGGTAGCGAGTTCACCCCAACCTCCAGTGATGGTGTGTACATCTGACCCGCAGACTCCGCAGCACTCGTTCTCAATATCAACATCGTGAGACTCAAATTTCTTTGGTGTGAACTGGACTTTTGTTAGAAGTTATCCTCAAGTCATACCACATGGAGACACACCTTTTGCTTTTTGAAATCACTCCAGTTCTTGCTATCCTCGATCATAAAACCCTCGAATTGCTCTGGGACAGACATTTTGGAATAATTTAACTTTTGTTCGGGAATTTAAAAAATAGTACAGGGATATCGTTGAAATTGGAATGAGAAACAATGAAAGAGAGGACCTTCCTTTTGTTTTGTACTCAGCTTTAGAAATAAAGGAAGTTCGTTGGGTGGTTCTGGAGTGAGGTGACCTCATGAGTGAAGGGGATACCTCCGGCATACCTTCCGATAAGGATACGCGAGCGATGAAAAATGATCCAGAACTAGTACTAGACGCAAAAGACATGGCCCGAGTAGGGATCAAATTCCCATAATTTGAGTAACAGAAAGGCGATGGCACCCAAGATCGCAAACTTTTGTCGAATCAGAGGCGAAATTGTTGGATGATGTCAGGGATGCGGATCGAGGGGTAGATTTGAACCGAAAACCATCCCGCATCATCGGCGATAACAAGACGACAACATCATCTCGCATGAATAGGTAGGTACTTGTGGGATTGGAGAATAACACAGAATAAACGAAAAACAGTGTGAAGAATGTAATGTTTGAGAAGATGTCGTCGGCGTGAAGAAATTAAATGAGGTCGTGGTGTTGCAATTGATGATTTGCATGTCTTTCGGGAGCCCTCAAACCCTGACGGGCCTTGTAGCATGTTCCATTAAGAGACGTTTTCCGCGACTTGCCGACAAGGCGAAAGTACGGAATGTCACTGAGGCTTAGGTTGGCTTCGGCGTTTGCGTATGTGTTCATCGAGTATGTGGCTCGATTGAGTATCAGAAACGTGGTCTCGATACGCTCGCGTAGCTCGCTACACCTGCAGCATATGTGAATACAAGAAACCCCATTCATAAATACATTCTGTCAGGTCCCCAATTTATTCAATTCGACTGGTTGTGTAATAATCTCTCATCGATGTAAGAAGCTTACTGACACAGTAATTTGCTTGCAGGACTCGAGTAAAGTGGGATGACACCAAATAGGCATAACTCACAGTGAAGCTCTAGCCCTGCAAGAATATCCTTCTGACGGACGTAAAGAACTGCTTAGTTGATAGGTTTTGTTCGCTGTCCAATGTATTTTGTGTATTCAGAGATAATCGACTCCAATAATGTTCGAGACATCCGTGACGCGAGCTGACATCTTGGAGATTCAAAGGATGAGCAAGGCAACCACAGCAAGAGGATTCAAACGTTCGGCACGCTAAGGACAATCCACGGCGCTGCAGATGACTGAGGATTGTATGAGACTTGGGCATGACTGTATAATCGACCTTGTCGGCGCTTGTCAGTCAAACATCCATCGATCGTGTTCATGATTCCCGAGTCACTGATTTCGCCAGCGACTTGCAATATACGCGGGACCATAGACTGTCCATGGAAATAGAACGCCTATCAATAAATCAGCGTCTGTATCTTGCGAAGAGGTCAAACACTACCTATTACCCAGACTTGCCTAAACCTCATACTTAGCAATTCGAGAGCCAAAGGGAAAAAATAAAAACAGAAGCTTGAGGGAAGACAGAAGACAAACAGGACTCTATAGATATTGCGAACGTCTTGTATAATCTAACGCAAGAGATCTACAAACCTCTCGCAGGTTAGTTCAACATAAGCTACCTTGATGGCGCAACCTTGATGGCATCCCAATTCCATCACGTCTTCTCCCGTGACCATCTCACAAGCTCACAATCGTACTCGCTTGACAATTCAATCTCATCTCCCCAAAACCTGTCGGGAAGTTCCATCGACAACAACAACGAAACCTCACGTGCATTACCGACGACCGCTCAGAAAAGCCCGCACGTCCCTTTCATCCGGCTTTGCTCGGCTATCACTTTTCACCTTCGTCAGACCCACTAAGCCGAGACAGCACACGAGTCATGTCCATCGCTGAGCTGGGAAATTCCGTTTGGCAGGTGAAAGATGATGTAAAAGCTCGAGTCTTGTGAGTTTGGATGTGTCAATATAACGTTTATGTTTGTGTTTATGTAAACGGTTGGGTGCCGCGTCAAGTACCGCTATATTTGCGGAGAGGCGGAATAGGTGATTGAGCCAGTAATATCAGCCGTGAAAGTACAGATTACTGTAGAAGTTATATTGCTCACATTTACTTACCAATATCTCACGTCCAAAAGCCATCACCCCGATTCCGGAAATCCTTCTCCTCCCGATTTCGCTTTTACAGGATGGATAGACCGGCATCGAGTGGTTTGCCGCGATGATGCGTCGTACCCCGACTTTTTGCGCGTTAGAAACTGGAGAAGTGGGTTGTAGTGGATTTAGACGTTTGAGCGGTTTATCTAGTTTTGCATCTAGGTTTTAAGGGGGGTCTAGATGGGGAGTTAGATATTTCGAGGCCATCGAATTGATGGAGAGGCTATCGTGATGATCGTGTGATGATGGTGTTGATTTCTTGGGTCTGGAATTCGTGAGAGGGCAAGGTTAGTTACAGAATCGTGGTGAGAGGGACGGGACAAGATGAGCTATTGTGGAGTAGCGGGGCTTGGGTTGGATTGGAACGCGGGGTATGGATCTTGGGATATCAATGTTTTACGGGGTCGAGAATATGAAGTAATCGAGTAGTGAGATGAGATGAATAGATGTGAATCTTTTGATGATTTAGGTATTGGTGGGTCGAAAGGCCAAGTTTCTATGTATGAGGTAAATGGTAAGCTCACATGTAAATAGACAATCTTGCGGTACTCGGTAGAGCATATGTCAATGAGAGCTACTTCAGGGGGTTTCAGTTTCTCACATGTTATATGTCTCAGCAATCAGCTGAAGTCAAATGTAGATAATTAGAAAAAGCGGTCTCTTTAATCAACAGCATGGGAGACAACTGATTTTCATACAAACCTCCAATTTGAACATCGAAATCATAAGAACAAAGCACATTTTGTGTGATCATAGATAAAATCAATCTCGAATATCAAAGATCATATGCAAGAGCAACAATACTAGTCAAAATCAAGAAAGACTAGACTTCCATTTCCAATCCTTCGAATCTCCATAACCTATCACATGCGTCCCATAAAACCTCCATTCCTCCCTCTCCCCTCCACGAGTCCACCCACAGCTCCATCCCTGTCAAAATTACGTTTGAATCTCCCGCAGGGATTAAATATTTCGGCGGGTCCCTCCACATTTTCGTTCAAGCTGCTTTCTTTAAGTAAAAGCGAACCCCCAGTCACGCGCGGAATTTCTGGAAGCTGTTTGAATCTTTTGATCTTTCCCATTCGTGTATTCTTCGTATATACGGAATGCGCGGCTTTCTTCCTTCAGATCTTTGTTGATATTGAAGTAGAGAATCGAACCGTCATCATAGACTCGAATTCTGGGTGTACTTTGGAGCAGGTACCAGTGTCTCATCCAGTCGTGGTCATCACATGCATCCACCCACTTCGTACCCCCCAACATCGCCCAAACAAAGCTCCGGCGAGATGGCTTCAACCGCTCAAGAACCGTCAAATGTACCACCACCATCTGCTGGTTCGCAATCCGATTCCCCACGACCCGGTTCTTCACAATCCAACAAACGCAGTAGTTCGCAGGCTGGAAATGATGAGGACAAGAAAGCCCCTCCCAAGAGGAGAGCCGCAAAGGCGTGTAAAGCATGCAGGAGTCGAAAAGTTCGTTGCGATGTGATGCACAAATACCATTTCACGCCAGAAGGAAGTGTAACATGTTCAAATTGTACAATGGATGGCATTCCATGTGTGGTGGAGGAAAGCAAGCGTCGCAAGTAATGAGGCCTAATCCGGACTTTTCGAATTTATTGATGTTAATTGGTCCCAGAAAGCAAATTTCCAATGGTCAAATTCCGGACTCAAGTCTACCCAGCGGGACATCCGACCCTTCCGCAATTGCGGCGGCGCGGGCCCTTGGTTTGGTAAACGGACTCATAAACCCTTCAGAAATCAACAATGCCGGTGACAGAAGGTGGAGTGGATCTACGGACATTTCCACTGACGGTTTTGCGAATGGGCATATGCCTCATTCAATCTGTAAGTGGCCGCAAACCACTTAATCGAACTTTCACTCACAATTATAGATCGCAATGCACAGATGAACAATGGCGAAATGCTACGAAGAGGAAGCTATATCCGTGGTCAGTTCGAAACAGACAATAATCTTGTAAACAACCTGCTCAAATCTGCTTCCGTGACTGGAGACAGAACTGCGGCCCCACCAAGATCCTCACCGTCGCCAAATTTTGAAACCCTCACACAAATTCCGCAGAGCACGCGACCGAAACATCTCTTACCAGCGTATTTGAAACCACTACCCACGCGCATGACATCGGTCGATATCGAGTTTTTGTATGCAAAGGGAGCGTTGTCTTTACCAGAAATGAGTGTCCGAAATGCACTTATAACAGCTTACCTGGAATATGTCCACCCTTACATGCCATTGATTGAGGTGTGCGAAACATTGCGAATAATCGATGATGAATCGGGATCATCTGGAAAGATGAGCTTGTTTCTTTTCCAAGCAATGATGTTTGCTGGAACTGCTTTCGTCGATATGGATGTTCTGAGGCGTGCGGGTTTCACTAACAGAAAAGCTGCGAGGAAAGCATTCTTCCAGAAAGCTAGGGTATTTGAACCATTACTTATGATATTCATTCAGGCTAATATTTCCAGGTCCTTTACGATTTTGATTATGAAATGGATCGTATTTCTTTGGTACAGTCGCTTCTTTTAATGACTTATTGGTACGAAACACCGGATGATCAAAAAGATACATGGCATTGGATGGGCGTCGCAATTTCTCTCGCTCACACGATCGGGCTGCACAGAGATCCTGCGAATTCTAATATGGAACCGAGTCGTAAGAAATTGTGGAAGCGCATATGGTGGTCGACATTTATGCGAGATCGCCTTGTAGCCCTCGGGATGCGAAGACCCACTCGGGTGAAGGAGGAAGATTACGACGTACCCATGTTGAGCGAGGACGATTTCGAGACTGAATTACTACCTTTATCGAATAACATTGTCCCGATCGAGCACACTCTACTTCGAGATGTAGCGGCCCAGAAGGAGCTGGCACAGTTGTGTATTGCCAAGGCAAAGCTCTGTCTGTGTGTCAGCCATGTTTTGGGAGCACAATACTCCGTACTGGTCAAGCATCAAGGTATGCAAGGCCAAGAAGGTACTACGAGATCAAGTGTGATGCTATTTCCGAAGAAACTGGATCAAACCGATGAAGTTCGTCGGTGTGATCTCGAATTAAAAGAGTGGTTAGCAGAGCTTCCACCAGCTTGCGTATACACGGAGGAATTAGGGCCAGGAGCCAGTGCGCCACCATTGTTTGTCCAAAGATCATTATTACACATGATATATTTTACAGCTCTATCAGCACTTCATCGGCCACAGGTATTGCCAAACGCGCCAAGCGACCCGTCGGCATTATCACAACTTACCCAAGACAACTCGCGGAAAAGAGTACGAGAAGCGTCAAAAGAAATCACTAGAATCTCAAAACAGCTTCATGTGACGGGTTTGGATCGATATCTTCCAACAACCGGTGTTACAGTCCTCCTCCCAGCGATCATCATCCATCTACTAGATGTCAAATCCCCAAACGAAGAGGCTCGAAAAGCAGCGATGCAAGGATTCGTCCAATGCATGCAACTCCTCGAGAGACTTCGCGAAAACTACTCTTCCGCGGATTTTGCCTCGCAATTCCTGGAAGCAGCAGTCAAGATGGCGAATATCGACATGACATTAATGCCTCGACCACAAGACAAACCACTTCCGACCACCGAGGGCGTTGAGAGCGCAATAACCACGGAAAGCATTAACCAACTCAAGGGTTATGTCCAAGGAAACCGCCGCACTCCACCACACGACGATACCATCCTTTTTCCTCAAGAGTCTCATGCTAAACTTGATACCATCGCCGCGCTCACACCTCCAGATCACCAAGACGCGTTACCTCCAAATCTAAACTTTACGAACGATCTCACTCTCCAGTTCGATCCAAACGCTAACGGCGCGTGCGAAACGGATTTCTTTATCAATTTCGATGCGACGGCTGATTCGTATATGGGCGATGGAGTGTTTGGAGGCGAGAGTGGTCTTGACTTGTCATTCATGAATGGGGGTAAGGAGGGGTGGAGCCGCGTTGGGAGTCCAGCGCTGTTTGGGGGCGAGTTTGGGGATCTGGTTACGGGGAGTGGAGAGGGCTTTGTGTGAGGTCTGGGCTCAAAGATATTAATCTGGAGTGTTAGAGTGTTGAGATCGATGGCTCGAGTATGAGTTTGAGTACTATCATTGTCGGCGTCTGGGTTTTGTTTCAACGTTTTAACGACATGGTTTGGGTCAGGAACATTCGGATCTGGAATATGATCTACAGGCGTCTGGAATCGGGAGCCGGGCGGCTCCTAGATGCCAGGTTATTAAACGGCAAAAGTGGTGGCGTTTGAGTTTGAGGTTTCTAGATGAGTATGTATAATTACTTGTTCCTATTGTCGTTGATTACACATGTTCAGTGGGTAGACGAAAATAATGTACTACGAGTTACACAAGTTTCCTACTGGACAGTCGCCATTCTTTTGAAGCAAATGCCATTACATAGTGCCCCAATAATTTCCACATTATGATCAGCCAACGAGGCAATGGCTCGGTAGCTATTAACTCCTGTGACCTCTATGTCTTCCAAATATCAATTTTTTTGATTTGCATTACAACCCCTCCGTCTGCACAGTACATCGGGCTAATCAATTCCAGCAATTCGGCTATTATATTCTCGGCAATTCTCATGTGGGAGCTTCATGCACGACGGTAGTACCCTCAGGGCAGAAACGTCCTCATCTATTTACATGCAAGTGATTTCCAAATAGTTATATATCTCTGCCGACGTGCCAAGGTGGGAAGATTTGAGTTCCCCGCTGCGTATAGTAGATGCTTGATATAAAGCTTCGTCGTTCTCTCGATGCCATATCCCAACCGATTTGCAAATAAGATAGCTGAATACCTATCACCGCAATCATGATCACCTCCTTCGTCCTCCTCGGCCTCGCAGCTCGCGCCCTCTCAGAATGCACCCGCGAAGTCCTAATCACCGCCTCAAACGCCTACATCTCCGCCCAATCCTCCGGCAGTCTCACAACCTTCAACACCCTCTCCGCAAACCTCACCTACCTCGAAAACAACATCACCGTCACGCCCTCCACCTCCCTCCTCGCCACCCCCATAAAAATAGACTTCAACCGCACAATCCATGACACCGTCCTCTGTAGAACCTACATCGAGCTCACCGCCGCCACAAACCCGCATCCCTACGTGATCTCCACGGCCTTGTACCTCACCGACGACAAGATCACCTACGTCGACTCCGTCGTCGCCGACGCCGGCGACTGGGCCTTCAACGCCACCGGCCACCTCACCTACACGAAATCCGAGTCCTGGCCATCCATCCCGCCATCCGCCCAACTCCCGCGCGCGCAAATCCAAGCAGCCGCAGACGCCTACCTCGACTCCTGGGGCAACGGCTCGGTCCCCGTACCCTACGGCACGCCCTGCGCGCGGCTCGAAGGCGGCTCCTACACGGACACCAAGAACAGCGGCAAAAACACGTGCAAGATGCCTGAGTTCCCGAAGCCGTTCTACGCTGGGAACCGCCGGTACATAGTGGATGTGGAGATGGGGGCTGTGGCTGTGTTTAACGATTTCCCGTTTATTGAGAAGACGAAGCCCGCGGGGACGCCGAGCGTGAATTTTGTGAGGGTGGAGGGCGGGAGTGTGGGGGGCATTAGGTATGTGCATGAGAATACGGTTTGTGCGACGAGGAATTGTGGGAGGTAGGAGGGGGGAGTACGAAGATCTTTTGAACGAGATGTCGTGAGTGATTTGGCTGATATCGTTGGTGGAAGTTTGGAAAGAGTTACAATTTGGCTTTTTGTTTGTGAGGCGATGGATCAAATATGCGTCCTCGCAAACTACTTCGACGGCATCGTGTTGACACTCATATATTTAGCTAGGAAATAGAAAAGAAAAATTCTAACGTCTGTCCTGTAAACGATCTAGTGTATAAGATGAGTTGAGTTGAGTAGTGAGCACAGCTCAAAATATTTGTGAGTAGTGCTACTCAATATCTAACTCAACTTAACTCATGATAAGTCATGAACAATTTGAGTAAGTTGAGTAATCCTTCAATACACTGTTTCTATTCGTGTTATATAAGTTTCATTGAATTGGTCGAGTAGACAAATCTCGGTAATCTATGATATGTTGCTAAGGCGCTCTGTGCCATACTATTATCACTGTACTCGAGATTCCCTGCTTTGAAATAATCAAACCAAGACGGTTTGGTACCATAATTTTTCAGTCACATGGTTGTTAGGATTGAATCGTGAGATGCTGATCTATGATTTGTTATTGAATCGCTTGAGAGAGAACCTGAGGTTTCTAGTAGGGATTGGAATATAGAGTATGATATGTTTGTTCATGATGATCAAGAGGACGTAATGTGGGTGATGGATGAATCGCCGGTTCAAAATCGAACGTTGATTTTGTTTAGTTGGACATTGAAGGATCACATATTAACTCTATCAAATACTTATCATGAAATTTTAATTCATTACACCATCTTTATTCAATATATACAAAGAAAAGTTATATCCCACTCCATCCCCCACCCCTCACATTTCACATCACCTCTAGAAGGCAACACTCCCCGTCTTCGGCACCTTCAAAATCCCCGCCGCAACCAATCTCTCAGCCAAAGTAAACACCATCCCATCACACCCCTTTGCCGCAACAACGCTCACAGCCACAGGCAAAAACTCCTCCTGTCCACTGATAGTAGAATTATAACTCGCCTGTCCAATCGGGAACACCATATCCGGTTCCTCGGCAAACCCACTCAGCCGTCCAATGCTGATTCCAGTAGGAATACCCGGGGCGCTGTTATAGCGATTTCGGTAGCTAGGCGAGCCGCTGGAGGAGACGTAGAGGAGGATTGAGTCGGAACAGGTGTCTGGGGAAGTTTTAATCACGTTCGAGGACCACCAGTTGCGGAAGATGGTCGCGTTCTGCACGGCTTGGACGGATGCGTCGGCGGGGAGGTTGTTTTGACCGTAAGCCCAGCGGATGAGCGGGGAGGGGTTGACGAAGGGCCGTTTGCCGTTGTTGGCCGCGGCGTAGTCGGCGTAGAAGGGGAGGGTGAGGAGGGAGTATTGTTGTTGGGAGATCATGGCTGGGTAGGCGAGGTTGAGGAGGCCGGAGAGAGAGACGCCGGACGCTTCTGCGGGGGGGTTCGCGGCCCAGAGGTTTGCGGGTACGATTGGGGTGGTGGAGTTTGCTTTTAGGAAGGTTTGGAGCTTGGAGAGGAAGTCGAGGAGGATGGAGGCGGCTTCGCTGTTGGCGGTGGTGGGGAAGCCGGAGGTGAGGATTTTGCGCGGGAGAGAGGTGAAGTTGGATGTTATGTTTGTGCCGTACATGGCTTTGGCGGCGGTGTGCCAGAGAATTGGGTCGCGGGTGAGGAAACCGGCGGTGTCGAGGTCGGGGGAGAGAGGCATAACGCCGTCGAGGGTAACGAGACCGTGGGATGGACGGTTTCCGAAACAGCCGTTTGCTCCTGATGGACCGCGGATGGAACCACCTGTGTCAGATCCGAGGTTGATATCGACCCAGTCGTAGGCTCCTGCTGAAGCTCCTGGTCCGGAAGAGGATGAGGATGGATCTTGGTAACCGTCACCTCGGGCATTGAAGGGGCAGTGGTAGTCAACCCAATCTGGAATTTAACGTTAGAATAGCTCGGTTCTGAAGTTGTTTAGGAGTAATTACCTGCGGTAGGACTTTCGCCATTGGCAAATTGGGAAGTCTTTTGCTTGCCAACAACAACTGCACCAGCGTCAATGAGTCTTTGAACAGCTGGAGCAGTGGCAGTTCGTGCTGGGTAGAGATCATAGTATGCTCGGTTTCCATTGCTGGTTTTCACACCTGCAATATCATAGATATCCTTGATACCGATTCTAACACCAGCAAGAGGCTTTGCAGCAGTCTTGGTGTAGTAGAGTCTGGATGGAACACCGATTGAGAGAGTATCATCTCCAGGAACGGCGGCGCTGAGAACGGAGTAGCTACCATCAGTGTTTGGTTTCAAACTCTGCATGAAAGCACCGTTGGAATCCTGGTACAATCGGTATGCTTGGTAGACATTTCCGGTACGGGCAGACATGAAGTATGGTCCTGCTGGGATTTCGGTTCTCCATCCAGTGATGGTGTAACCTTGAGCTGTGACGGAGGATTGGTATGCTCGTGCTGGCATGAAGAGTTTGGTGCCGTATTGGGTGAGAGCAGCTCCGAGAGGGTATTGCACATTTGCTGGAGCAGATCCAGTGTGCTTGAGGTAGACAGCTGGTAAAGTCAGCGAAAGAAATATCATTACATAAGCGAGGTATTTACCTTGCAAGAATCCCTTGTTGAAAACATCATCCGAAGCGGTGTAGTTATCCACCATTGCTCGGAATACTGTTGTAGTGAAAGAGCTGGATGAATCCGCAATGACAGTCAACGGGATCAAGTCAACTCCAGTAGTCGATGCTCGCGCCAACATGTCTGCCGACGCATCAATGATCGAAACCACTTCTGGAGCAGCATAGTAGTTGATTCCATCCACAACCAAAGTCTTTCCAGATTCAGAAACAGCTGCAGTAACATAGCTAACGAGTGTAAGTGCTGTGAAAACAGCTTTCATGACTTTGAACGACATGATGAACGAAGGAGTGGCAGTCTGAAAGATCAAGACCAGTTCAAGGGGTAGGAAGGAGGACGAAGAATTCGCTGAAGAGTGAAGACATGGCTGATGTCCAAGTATATATATTCTTCTCCCAGATGCGCATTTCGGGCAACATGAGAGATATTGTGGATCTCAGGCCGAAAAAGAAGGTTCTATTCAGGTACCCGTCCTGAGCGATAAAGCTAGTATCAAGGTGCCCGCTTGCTACTGTACTCCGCATACCAAACTATCGGTTTTGACATGCATGAGAATTTCAAGAAATCCCATCTTTCGAGTCTTGATAAGAAATATATGCAGGGGTGGTATGCGGGATAGGGGCATGAAGTGCTAAATGTAGAAATCCAAAGGAGAGGTAATCTTAATTGGGAGCGGATCGTCGTCATTCTGGTTGAAACCACATGTGCCATCCTCAAAACATAAGCAATAGGCAATCGATTTGGCGTCTCTACGTCTTGATTTTTCTCCTAGTCGACGAATAATAAGTGCAAGTCAGTCCTCGCTTACCTTCACAAAGAGTCGTCGAAGTCTCGAGTATCACGAGTATCTCGCTGAATGATACCCCGTACTTACCGCTCATTCGATATAAATCTTCAGCCTCATCTAGCCAGGTCATAGCTTTTACATCCTTATCTATTGTTTGTCTTGCCTGTGCACGCTCAAAAGGTGGGGGAGGCGTAGATGCTCAACCGCCTCCGATCTCACTGGTGTAAAGTCTCAGCCAGAAAGCCTCAAGACGTTTTGACTGATGTTTGACAATCAGCTAGTATCGTTCATCAAAATCCGAACGGCTGGAGACGAAAGGATTGCGTTCCATGCAACATAACCGATGTTGTTGATACTCCGGGCTTGCATGTAAAGGAGTGTATCCAGGTTCATGTTGATTTTCAAGCGAGAGATTTAATTTCCACCACGTGTTCATCGATCTTGGCGCGATAAGAACAAACGCGCTTATTTCAACCCACCTTCCTGTTTGGACCTCGCTCGATATTCTTTCCATGTGTGATTTTGGCTTGGTTGGGTTGCTGAAGATATACTTCACTGCCCGGTTCCGCTTCTGGTCTTCAAAGCTGCGTCGCGACGTCGCCTAACTGCATTCCGCGAGTTACGAGTTCGGCTTTTCGGAACCTTCGGACATATTACAAGAAGCTGCCATCTGCTGATACGATCCAGATGCTCGGTAGCCAGGGATAATGCTGTTTCTAGTATTTTCTTTGACCAAATATTGGCTATTCGTATCGTATAAGTACGAAGATACAGAGGGGCAGCTTTACTTCTACATGAGAGGCTAGACCATATCACGTGATTGACCCCCAATCTCCTGCAGGTAAGAGGCACACATTAAAACTGTTCACTAAACCATCGTACCAATTCAGCCAAGATCGAATCGGTACATTTTATTTCTCTATTTGGATGCCTGGGACTCATGCGATCAGTCATATATCGAAGGTTCAAAATGTGTTACAGCTCGGTTAATTTAATCTCCCCTTTCAAACCTTCGCTGAAGAACATGGACGTCTGTTTCTACAACACCAAGCTGAGATTTGCATTCGTCATCGTTGAACGCTCGACTAGATCTCCAGGCTCGAGTTTCAGAACGGCAGGTGGATATTAGACAACGTCCTGTCGAAATCCACTGTCATGCCATTTGGCAACCCGCCTAAGGCGACCCGTTGTCTGATAATCGATTGACGAATCTGTCTCAACAGCTCTCGAATCTCAGCTCGTACTCTTGGAAATTGAACCGGCTCTATTTCCGGGCCAAGGTCCCATTCTGCGGCCCCGTCAATTGTTTCTGGCAGCCTTCTCTCCTCCAAATCTTTTATCTCTGTCACCTGAATGGTTTTGGGTAACTCGTCCTCGGCATAACCCGCGGTCTTATCAATCCTCATCGTCGTACGTATTCTTGTCGCAAGTTCCTTTGGATTTTCTGGCCTCATCCAAGCTGACCATGTCGAAGAAGGCCGCAACCTGGGGAAGGCTGGATTTGATACTCGAGCAGATACGTCTCTGAGTTGAGGTCTGGCATATCGTTCAGCGTCTTCGAATAGAAAAAGGTTTGTCAAGTCGCTTGCAAAACCGTACTCCCGGTTTATTCTCCCAATGTTGGTAAAACTCTTATCGACAACTCGTCTATGGATAATCGTGGAATGTGTCTCGCTTTGCAATTTATTCTGTATAATTCGCGTATCCTGCGTGTGTCCTATATTTACTGGGCTGACTTCAGACATGACGAAGAAAGTTCCGTGAACATGTTGCGTCCAAGACCACTGCCGTAGATATGGATTTGGACCCGAACTAACCCTAGAGTTGTAAAGACCTTGAAACAATCGTGGACTATTCTCTAAAGCTTGTCTTTGGGCAGCTGTTAGGTTGAGTGGCGTTGAGATGTATCCTCCGTTCCTATCAAAAGAATGTCTGGCTTCGACTAGTTCGGTTCGACACATTGGGCAGGTCGTCTTAGCCTGATCATCTCTCAAGTCCCATTGCATGATACATTCGAGGCAGAATGTATGTTCGCAAGGAAATACAACGGTTTTGTACTGGATTTTCGTGTAGCATACAGGACAATCCGATAGTGAATCCTGTCGCAGTAGCGATGCGGAACCGCTGAACGAGCTGCTTCCTGAGTCGGTCATCGGATATCGTAGCAAGATTTCAACAGCCAAAGGTGTTCTTGCTTTCTAGTTTCGTCAACAAGAGAAGTTAGTGAGAAAAGATTTCAAGAGGTGGGTCTCAATTCATTTATATGATCGTCAACTCATGCACGATTATGCCTCCCAGCTTTCGTGGCATTCACTGACTTGTTGCTCCATCAAGCTGGACAAATCAGCAAATTCCAATCATGCAAGTTTAATCACATCATATTCAGATAATCCAAATGCTGATGAGCCACTGGTGTGCTTGTCACTTTATTTGAAGTACAAATAGAGGTTTTGTTGAGTGATGCCCTCGGTTTGTATACGAGATCTATGCAACTAGACTTCACTTACTTCATTCACAATATCCACCAAGGTAATTTTGATGGGCTACATCAAACTCCATTAAAGGATATTGGGCTTCAAGCTTTTCGCAACATCACATTTCGAGGCGTCGTAATCATGAAAGACCTTCTTGTGATTCCGAAGTACCTCCCATGATTGAAGGAAGGTTAGTACCACCAAAAGAATAGGATCAATCCATAACTATATATTACCCTCATTTTTCCCACAGAAGACGGCTTAGAGATTAAACTTCTACAGACGTGCAACATTCCAAACAGAATACCTACAACATCGCAAACATGCCTTGGGGTTGGGGGGATCGCCTTCGCCAGAACGGAGGATGGAGACCCTTCGGACCCACCACCATCAACCGTCGCGGAATCTACACTGACCACTACCCAAACCACCGCCCGAGAACTCCTCGTCCCAACGAATACGATAGAGAGAGACAGGGGATGATCGGCTCTTGGATGGACCACATGGCATCGAACAGCCCTTCGTATTGGAATCGACCAACGGGCCGTGCCCCTCCACCCCGACCTCATCATAGGAGAAGTCATCCTCATCAACGTCGTCATACAACTCAGTCCGATCGATTCGACAGACTTTCATATGACGCTCCTCAACGTCGTCGGGGGTGGTGGTAGGCTGATTATGGTAATACATGGGGATATGACGACTTAAGGAATGGCCATCGGGGATATAATCAATATGGCGCGGCTGTTGGGCTTGGGGGATATGGTTGGCAAAAACAATCTTAGGAAAGAGTTAGCTAATAAAGAATCAATGATATTTTATAATGCATGTTCTACTTTCTCGCTTAAATTGAGACTCCTAGTGGGCCCCCTTTTCTAACTTGAGAACTTCTAGTATTACTTTTTGTGTATGATTAAAAACCACTTTTCTGGAAACTTCAAAAACATAGTAATAATTTCGAGATCAAAAATCTATACTTGAAAAATCTCTTTTACACCTCTTTAGCCTTGGACACTCTCTCCGACTCTAAGCGGGACGCGCAAGATGACCCACCGACTATTAGCTCGGTAATTTTTCGACCAGTGACTTCTAATAGATTGAAATAGATTTTTCAATGAAGCCGATTCTGGGTTTGAGATTCTACTTGTTCTCATCTCATAATTCATCATTCACTTGTGATCATCCAAAGTCACTGTCACATAACAAGTAAGAGAATGAAACTATTATCAGAAGCGTTTATTGGTGGGACCCGTAAACTAAGACCAAACTATCCTGTGTATGAGACACTGCCTACTTCACACTCGTTTTGAGAGTCAATGAAATGACACCAATCCAAAAGAAATCCTCCAATTGCCCTGTGTATGAGACACTGCCAAATTCATACCCATTGTGAGAGTCGATGATCTGACATCAATTGCTAAATTCCTCCAAAATCCTTCAAAATCCTCCACGAGTCCCAAATCCACCAGACATCTTGATATCTCAGTGTCGTCTGTATTGGCCTTGGTTGCCCCTCTGTGCTTGCTCCCACTCCCATGCCATTTGGGCTTGTTCCCTTGGGGTCGGGTTGAATTTTCCATAGGCCATTGGATCTCCCCTGCTGGAACTACCTTGAGTGTTTTGTCGATAGACTTGACCGCTTGGGTGGCGGCTTTGCCTACGAGAGCTGCTTTGGGTATTTTGTTGGTAGACTTGACCGCTTGATCCGCGATCTTGCATAGCAGAGCTAAGTCGGCGGACAACATTCAGGCCAGAGGCAATTGCCATACCTCCCACGAGATGTCTTACTTTTATTTCTCCAGATCTACCCATTTTGTCGATGTTAACTGGTAACGGAGTATCGGTAAAAGAAAGTGGAGATGTTGAGACGCTGGCTTGAGTCGAGTGCTTGGATATGTCGCGAGACGATTGTGTTTGTAGTTTAGTGCGAAGCTGTAAGACTGTAGATGTTCCGAGTGTTGATGATGAGAAGTTGCCTTGGAAGGTTGGAAGGGATACCTTTATAGACAGGTAGTACGCAGCCGGGAAGCCCTCTGTGCGCTAGTTGGTGATTAATAAGATTGTTAAAGCAGAGCCCATTAACAGTTGTACGTTGGTAATGAGAAACGGGATTCTCGAATCATTAATGGATCTATTATTCCCCCCAGAAACTAAGCGACAAGAACTTCTCGAATTTTAACATGTTGAGCTTGAATGTTGACTTGCATCGTGAATCTTTCTCATAGTCTCCCACAATCATTACACAGAGGGTGGGTGGTACACACCACCCAGATGTGGATTCTTCATCACTAGTTATTTATCGTACGGCGAGGAGCCACGTAATGAGAATTTGGAAATCTGCCTCTCACATAGATGATTGACAACAGAAACCTTTCGCTTACGAAAGAGAAAAAGCATCAATTTCATACACTTGTTCTATATGCTGGGAAGTGACGGACACGTTTACTCACAGTTGGAGTTGCTTATGCGCTTCAAATATTCTTTTGCTCTGTGTAACCATTACCGTGAGTCATTTTGTTTTTATAGGAGGTCATAACGACCATGTGCCGATATTATCACTTATCTCTGTGTTCTTTTGATCCGAGAGTCATCTTGTAACTTTCGCGGATTTCTATTCGATGTCTAAATCACAACAAATTTTGTACAAAAACTTATATTCACTTAAAGCCAGAGGAACCTTTCTCTTATTACCGGTGTATAAGACACTCTAGAATAGCATCTATCACTAAAACTAATGAAATTATCCAAACCCCCAAAGTCCTCCACATATCTTAAATCTCTAGAAACACCAAAAGATATCCTCGCGTTGTAACTACCATCTCCGCGTCGGATTTCTCGATCCCCAATTCCTACCACCAGTGCTTAGACGACGAAACCAACCCAGCCGTTCCCCGGTACTTTGTCGTCGTGGTGGCTGGGCCGGTTGCTGCATTATAACTTGTTGTTGTTGTCGACTAGATTCATAATTTCGAGTAGATGGTCGATATCCTGTATGAGTATTTCCAAAGCCATAAGGACCATACGGGTCTCTGCTAGATTGCCTTGAGGGTCTGTGCGAGCTCCTTCTAGGAGGGCCGTTTATAGGATTCTCATAAAGCAAGTTTCCGAAAAGTCTTTCGAAATCTCTATCGCTAATTGATCCCATCTTAATGGTGCTGCTCGAGAAGAATTGAAGGGTTTCAAAGTTGATGTTGAATCGAGTGTGCTGAAAAATCAAAGTCCGTATTCTCAAATTGAAAGCTTGAAGTAAAGCTCAAAGTTGTAGGTATATATGGGAAAATTTTTGGAGAGGAGGGGTCGGGAGGGAGGCTTTTATACTGAAATTTACCGCCCTTAAAGATTCAGGCTCCAATGAACACTTTCTAGCCGAGAAAATTGTTGTGATTCTTGCTAAAGAAGACTGTGAATAAAGCGTGCCCCACGGCTTGGCGACTAATCTTGACTAAATCCACTAGGAATAACATAACTTTAGAACAACAACCTACTTATAACAACAAACGAAGATCTCATAAGCAAATCCTGTAATTCTAGGTGAGTTGTTAATTTCCCCCTTCTTTTCATAACTTCTAAAATGTGTAACAAAACCATACCTCACTAAAACCTGAATATTTTCCACTCTCCCCGCGAGTGAAATTTCTTGATTCTATAGAAGCAGTCGTTACTATATTATTATTTTAGCTTCGCTCGGATCAAGGTTCCTTAGTTAATGCCCGTTCCAACGCTAGGTGAATTATTGGCGTTACTCGAAAGCTTTTTTTGTTAAGCGAAATTTATATTTGTGTCAATTTATTAATCTTAGACATTTAGAAGTCCAATAACATCACTTGGGCAACTTTACAAAATATTCAAATCTCTCTAAAGTATGTTTTCTATTCCTGGTGTATGAGACACCTCTATAATCAAGCTCATGAAAAAAGTACAGAGCCACTAAATACATCAATGATTTCCTCCATTAATTCTTAAAAGTCTTTCAATATCCCCAATCCTCCGTCAAAGCTAATATCTATCTGAAGTCTTTCTCTTTGAAATAGGCTGTTTCATACCCTAAACCTGAGCCGTTGGCCGTGTATCTCTTAGGCGCAGGTGAGTTTGCGAAGCATGTTTGTTGGAAGCCGCTGCCTCGCCGATCGCCACTTTGGTAAAGGCTTGATCCACGAGGTTGAGGACTCGGTTGGTATGTAACTGATGGACGACGTTGTGGAACTGGTTGTTGCTGGTTTTGCAAGCGAGGGTTGACATATCCAGAGGGCATATCGTAGACGTGAAGATTCTGACGGTCAGATTGAGTGCGTTGGTCAATATAAGCGCTTGATCTTCCGAGCCCACCGCTCATGTATGGACCACCAGGCATTTTGGCGATTTAGATAGTGTTTCTAAAAAAGAAGTGCGGTTTGTTGATCGGCTGGTAGGCGGAATGTTTTCTTGTGTTCAAAGCTGGAAATTCCAACAGTTTGAAGTGTTGATGATGAGAAAGTTGTGTTAGAGGGTAAGAGGAGGGTCCTATATACAAGTTTCATCTCCCTCAAAAGGGCAATGATTAATACACACCATTTTTTCGATGCACAATGCGGTAATTAGAAGTTTGTCAAATTACTGGTACAAAGATCAATTTCAAGTGATTATCACCTACAGATCTGATTGTCCGACTCTGTTAGTAGTACAGTGTCCAACTTGATGGAATCAAGCTTTCTGAATGAAGTGTCTTATCTCGGACTCACGAATCACAGTTTTGACTTCCCCCATAGTTGTAAATTGCTCCATTTTCTGTTAGTTTAGCACCTAACCCACAAGCAAATCGAATTGCGGTTACGAGCCAGCTTATTCACTACATGACAAGATTAAATAATGCTACTTTTCCTAAAATATATCACATTTTAAAACACATGAGCACACTTCTAGTATCTCAAGGGTGCAAAATCAATCTTTGGGCTGGAGCATCGAGTGTCTCTGAGTCTCAGAGTGCGTTGAAATGAACTTTTGTGTAAGAAATAGGCACGAGGATAAACTACATAGATCATTAACGCTCTAGTCGATCAAACCATCTTGATATGTTTACTCGTTATCCACAGGTGACTGGCGTCCATCACGTTGTACAATGTTTGCATTCAAGATTATTTCATACCTCACGACTGATCCTAACAGAAGTAAGATAGCATTCTGACGTGAAGTCTTAATTGCTACTCTTGAAAACTTCTAAAATGCCATACCAGTCATCCGCTCGTCTTCCCCCAATCCTGTCATCATCTCTTAAATGTGCCGCTATCAACAGTACCATAGTATCCCAATTGAACTCAGAATCTTGAGTTTGGGTAATACAATTTTCCACGGCTTTCCTTCTCTGCCAACATACGCAACTGAGCCGCCGTGAGCTTTTCATCTTTCTTAATATATTTTCCATAAATAAGATCTCCTCGTTTTTCCTCCCCAAAATTCCGAGTTTGAAGTCTGGCTGGATGGTAGCTGTGCATTTGTTGCCCGTTTCGACTGGACGTATCTCCGAATAGCTTTTCTCCGAATAGCTTTTCCTTGATGGAGTTTCTGAACCCGTTGTTAGAGGACTCCCGACGGTTGCTCATGGTTACAAATGTGATGTTTGTTGATGAAGTTGGGAGAAGTCTTGTGTGAAGTGTGCTGAAATGAAGAGCGTATATCAAAATCTTGGATGTATTGAAGGGGGAAAGGACTATGTAAGAGGTAATACAGGAGATCTATATAGACAATTGGAGACCTTGAAAATGGGTTGGAATCACATAATGCACATCAGACACCATTTCAAAAACTATGTAAGTTGCATAATCATACTGAAGATGAATTTGGATTATTCATGGTTTAGTTTTGTTAAACATTCAAGCGACTATACTCTGCCACGAAATGATGTTTTACAACCGAGAAATTTGGTCAAGGGATTGTCTAATAGTCTGTTAATATGAATCACAAACCACTCAACTTCTACCATGCCTCGTTATGAGATTGACAATGAATAGTGAGTCAGGAAATTTGTTGCTTAACGAGCCTTTACGTCTACAATTGCCCCTGTTTCATCGTATAGAAAATATTTCAGAAGCTAACAAAATCCTTCATTCCCTGTCTGGTGCCCAATTATATGCTGCGCTGCCTGGTTTGAGTTTTTTTAAGAAAGCATTTCTATTACTTGAATCGCATTCACCCATCCTAAGCGAGCCCTTGGCAAACCCGGCCCTCCATATCATCACTTCGTTATTTAGACACAAGTTTCGTAGCAGAGCTTTGTCGTCCATAAAAATGCTTTTGATTTCTCATCTTAATCTAATATGTTTCACATTTTTCCTCAAATCAAATGTCTCATTCCAAGTTGTCCTCTTTATTTCCAACCCTTCCCACCAGGTCCATCCTCCACCACCACTTAAGATACCATAGTCACTCCTTAGACTTAGCTAAAACTTTTGCATCCCATATTGCGATCCCCAGTTCTTCCCACCTCCATTCGGATTCCAGTGTCCATGAGGTCTCAGTGCAGAGGGCTGTCCATAATTAATTCCTTGACTGGGTCTGCGTGGCATCTCAATCGCACGTTGTCTTTGAGGTACAGGCTCTGGTCGCGAAGGCTTCAGTATCGAAGGACCGGGCTCAGAAAATCGAACACGTTTGGCCAAGGAACCCCGACGCTGTGGTTGTTGTGGTCTGGCAGGCTCGGTAGTGACGCGGTGATAAGTAGTACGTCGAGTGACCGACTCATAGCGACTATCATATCCGCTGTTTCTTCGTCCTGAGCTCTGAGCTGGTGGACCACCTTGATAAGCATCGTATCCGCGCTCTTTTTGTCTTTGGTTTTCGTTCATAAACTCCCCTACGATACCACCTATGACGGCCCCCGCTATGGCTCCTCCCATGGATCCTTTCCTTCGATAGTCGGTTGAAGATTGGCGACGGTCCATCGTAATGGTGTTACAGCGATTTATAGAATCACGTCTAAGTAAAGATGTTGCAGTGTATGAGTATATCGAAGTCGTTCGCTGTGCTGATCCAAAACTTTGACAATGATGATAATTGAGAGGTCGATGATGGGGGAGTTCATCTTCAAGGTTGAGGAGGGACGACTAAATAGATCAGCAAATTTCGTCTACCATGCTGTTGTGACAATCATTGAACGACTTACCATGTTTACTGATTAATGATCTATATTCTGTGTATCAGTTGCTAGTTTCTCAATATTTGAATGTTTCGCTTGAGTGACGTTGTTGAATGCGTGATAGAGATCACTGACGAAATAGGAATATGACATACAACTTGAAGTATTCACAACCTCCGAGCATTATGTCAGTCTCAAGAACATCTTATATTATATCCAAGTCGTATATTATCGATCCACTCTTGATTGTGAAATGGCCACAAATGTAGTGGTTTGCATAACACTTCTCAGCCTCTCCATGCACAAATACACTACTCTTGTCGTTCCAACATTACATTCTGCTACCCACCACGATGTCCTTCCCTAGTAAGGCTCTCGACCTACATCCAACGATGCTTTTCAGCCCTGATCTCTGCCAACACCTTGCGGATTTGCTCAGCCGACTCAGCCTCTTGATGCCAGCACAACCGAAGAATCTCTTCACAACAAGATGCTTTGCCTATATCCGTAAATTCCGGAAACTGACCTGCCTTAAACTTCGTTTTGACTTCAGCTTCCGAAAGTTCTTCAAACGGCTCTTTGCCTTCTATGAGAAAGTAGATGACCGAGCCAAGGGCAAATAAATCCCCTTTTACGGTCGCCATCTCCTCCCAACTCGAGCATGGCAGCCTGTATCTTCTATTGACACAGACCAAAGCTTTCGAACCATCTATCGATGAACCGCCAAAGTCGGCGATCCTGATATTCCTATCGGCGCCAAGTAGAAAGTTGCGTGGCGCAACATCGCAGTGTATAACGCCCTTTGAGTGAAGCAGAGACAGTGCTTCCGCCATCTGATCCATCCAGCTGAAGCACTCAAAAGCAGAGTTAAAAAACCCTCTTTTGAACACGGAACATTCACTTCGGAGCCTTTTCACGTAGGCCTCCATATTGCCGTAGGGCATGTACTCCAATGTCAAAGCGTGCTTGTCAGGATTCCAGTCCTTGAACTTGACCAGCCGAGGGTGTTCGCCAAGCCTTTGATAGACCTTTGCTTCGATAGCAAGTTGTTTACAATATGTATCAGACTCAGCAGTGTCAAGCCAGGGTGTCTTGATAATGTCACCATTTGGCATGCGCTCCACCACCGACGTCAAGCCCTTGACCACAATTACGCCGCCGTATTCACATTTGGCTTCTCTGTCCTCTGGCCATTGAAGAATATCATTAGACTTGCTGTCCTCGTGATTGCTCATTTTCGTTGGACTGAGGAACAAGTTGGATCTTTTTCTTTTCGTTGTACTTGTGTGGACTCCGTTGAGATCTTGATAGCTCCAGAACGATCTTGACGATTTATCTCTATGGTGTTTCTGGCTGCCGACGATATAAAACAAGTTTTGGCTTAATAGCTTATGGGTTCGTGAAAATTCAAGTTGAGATCCTGCTGAGGGACGAACTGCCTTTTATCCTTGCTGATTGTTTGTGATTAACGACCGAGAGAACGCTGGAAAATCATCTTTAGCATGGATTGCTGATTCCCAAGCCCAGCTCCCTCGCTCAAAGGCGATGTGTATGCTGCGATGCATGATCATAAATACTCCGGGGGTTCTGTTACAGTCAGGGACTACTAGAGATGAATGTGTGTAAAGACCCTGAGAATGACACAGACCAGGAAACCAAACGTACAAAGAAGCCGAAAGTCGCTCCTGGCAAAGAAAAGAGTCGATTGGGATTCATCACAATGCCTTGTAAGAATCCGCACGACCTGCGGTCTAATCAAGCGCAGAGGTTACTCACTACCTACATAAGGCAGTTTCAAGTAAACTAGTTGCTCTACAAAGCGACACTATTGAGTGTGTTTTTACAGTCGACCATGTGTACATTCATCAACTAATCTTCTTCTGGTTGACGTGTGATGTTGCTGCTGCACGCTTCACTTCCCACTTCTCCCACCCTGACTGGCATAAATCTTCCTCCACCACCAAATCTCGCATCCGAAACAATCTTGTTACTGGCTGGTCCAAAAACCACGATAGCAAGCCGATTCGTCTAACAATAGTGGTGATAATGAACCATCCAACGGCACTTACCGCCCCCGCGAAAATTCCAACAAATACCTGCTTTTGTGTGTGATAATTCAGATATGTCCTACTCCATGCAACCAGGCCCGCATTCGCCAGCGCCAGACCTGAGAGCAAGACTCGCGCAACCATACTCAGCGGCGTATGGGATGGTGCTGGCTTTTTGGGTACATGTCTAAACAGCATAAACAATGTCAGACTGATCGAGAAGAAGGAGACGAATTGAGCGTGTGACGATGGCATTCCGTATCCCTTCCCGTGCATTTGTTTTGGTCGTTCCTCCTTCAGTATTCGTTTCAAAGCGAAGTTCAAGGCTTCGCAAGCCATTTGGCCTCCAAACATCAGGAGAATCTCGATCTCGCGAGTCGACCAGATGAGGGTTGCGTAGACAACGCAAAGGCCTTGAGGAACGAGCGCAAGCCAGGCGCAAAAGTAGGATATAGGATCATTAGGGTCCTGACGCCGTTAGTATGGATTTGAGAGAGGAGAGGTACATGAAGCAATTTATCCATACATAATGAACATGCGTCAGTGACAACGAGGCCAAGGGTACGTCCGCCATGATCGTGTGCTTCTCTGATCGTCTATCCAAGAGATGAAAGAATTCTAGATAGCCAACACGTGGAATAACTCCGAGCAAAACAGTTCAAGAGTACCTCGAGACCGGCGCTTCATCTCACATAAATCGAAAATAGTTGTCAGAGCATGGCATTGAAAGCACCTTCATGCTTCAAGGAACTGTGGAACAAGATATCGCATGCCACTTTTAAACAGGCTACGCTTGTGGTGGTTGGCACGCGGTTAGCTCCGTGAGCTCCATAATTCACCCCAAAAGCGGCTCTCTAAAATTTATTATGATGTCGGAAACCCAACCCCGAGTCAAAATTATACACGCCGAGGTCTAGACGCAGTTTATGACTGTTTCGCCACGATTAATACCTAGTCCAAAACTATTTCTTCCTTCATTTTCTTGCGTTGTTACTAACGCGCAAAAGCTCACCTATGAACATCGTTGACCACTTTATCTTCTTCGCAGGAGTCGTTTCTCTATCGCGGATCGACCGGTGACATTCTGCCCACGATGGATGATGAACGCGCAACAGAACTTGAATGTTTAACAGCCATATTCCCAGAAATTATCCTTAACCCAAACGAACCTTTCTCCGCCACTATCGACCTTCAAGTCAAACCTTCCAATCCTGTTAAGGTTGTGTTTCCTGCTGCCGCCGATGGCATCCTTCCTACCCCGCCACATTCGGACACTTCGAGTCAACATGAGGGCGAGCCTACGAGAGAACTAGAGAACCGCAGCAAATTCGAGTCGCATGATTTGTCCTACCTACCATCACTACACTTGAGCATAGCTCTTCCAGAGGGGTATCCTGAAGAAAAGCCACCGCAATTTAAACTGTCCACCAACCCAGCATGGCTCTCCCGAACCCATCTCGACGAATTGGAGGCGTATGGCAAGACGATGTGGGAAGAAGCTGGTCGTGCTGTAGTCGCATACGGATACATCGACTTTCTGCAACAATCTGCTGAAAATGCGTTTGGATTTGCGGAGAAGGGCAGGCTTTTGGAAATACCACAGGACCACAAGATCTCTTTGCTAGACTTGGATATTCGCGCCACCCAAGCTGCGTTTGCAAAGGAAACTTTTGACTGTGGCGTCTGCCTTGGTAATTATGCTCTTTACAATTCTGCATGGTCACCTCTAACTTTGACTAGATCCAAAGAAGGGCCTAGTATGCCACCGAATGATCGACTGCGGACATGTGTTCTGCGTTGAATGTCTCCAGGATTTCTACAATAATGCCATCAAGGAAGGCGATTTGACATTCGTTCGCTGCTTGGATCCAGACTGTGCAAAGAACCGTATCGCAGCACAAGCGGCATCCAAGAAGAAACGAAAGGTCAAAACACAGCTGAGCCCCAGTGAACTTCTGCAAATCCCTCTCGAACCTGAGATAGTGGCTCGTTATGTGAAGCTGAAGCGCAAGGCGGCGTTGGAATCTGATAAAAACACCATCTACTGCCCCAGATCATGGTGCCAGGGTGCAGCTCGGTCGACGAAGCATAAAAAGTCAGTCGGGCTCGAGGCGGATGATAGCTCTGATGAGGAGGGCGAGAACGACGAGCAAGCGGCAAAGGCACCGAAGTATGTGGCTGGGACTGACCTCCTTTCGGTTTGTGAAGACTGCTCGTATGCCTTTTGTAGCCGATGCTATCAAGGGTGGCATGGAGAATTCACAATCTGCATACCCAAGACGGCCACGGGAGAATTGACGGAAGAAGATAAAGCATCATTGGCGTATTTGAAGAAGCATTCGACACCATGCCCTACTTGTGCTGCTCCAGCCCAAAAGACCCATGGTTGCAACCACATGATATGTTTTACATGCCGGTCTCATTTCTGCTATCTTTGCTCCTCCTGGCTATCTCCCTCGAATCCATACGCCCATTATAATCAAGAAGGGGCACCATGTCACATGCGACTCTGGGAAGGAGAGGAAGGTGATGGGGAGGGCGAAGGGCCAGGCTTCGCTGAAAGAGAGATTGAGATTCCGCAGGAAGATATTTTGGTAATTCCTCAAGATGCTCCTGAGGTTGAGGTGGTACCTGAGCCGATTGTTCCACAGCCCGTTCAGCAACCACAAGAGCCGCTTCAACGAGAAGGTCCACTAGTCCTTCGAATCAACCAGCTTCCTCCGCAACCTGTACCTCCGCCAGCACCAGCCGCTCCTCAGGGTGGTCGCAACGCTGGCCGCAATCGACAAGCCCAACCGCGACAGCCACAACGAGGAAACGTACGTGGCGTTCAAGGCCGTGGAGCTAATGTTCGAAATCGAGTCCCTCGAAATCAGCCTCAACCGGAACTTGATCCTCATGGACAAGAAGCAGCTCAACAAGCCTGGGTGCAGATGTTTGTTCAAATGGCTATGAACGATGAGGAGGATCAGCTAGACAGTGACGATGAGGCTGATGGTCGACAGTGGGAGATTCCTGTCCGGTGACCAAGAGGGCGGTCTGTAGTAGATGTCAATCATATATATGGGTTTCTGGTGATGTATTGGCGTTGGTATCTAGCATAGCGAATGGCGTTTCGGGATACATTAGATATTCACACAAAATACATGAGATTACCAAGACAATACCTTCTGTGACGCATATGCTCGACAATGTGTAATTGTAAGACACCAAATTCAAACAAATAAAGTCATCCATTATATTCTTATTCAACATCCTACATCTAACTCCTAATCCTCCTCCAAAACTTCCATCCACCCCCTCCACTCCCTTCCCGCTTACTCCCCTTATCCCTCCCCCAAATCCTCCAATAATAAACCGGCACACCGGCCGCCACAAACGCAACTACAATCAACGTCTGCACGGGCTCCGCAAACACCGCTCTGCTCAGCAAAAACAAACTCACACAGCAAAAGATGATGGGAGTGGTGATCCACGTCCGATACGGACGTTCGAGATTCGGTTCCCTGACACGCAGAATGATGAGGCCGAGCACGGTCATGAAGTAGAACGTGTAGCCTGCTACCCCGTAGAAAGTGACGAGCGTGCCGAATTCGCCGACGAGGATGTAGAGGGCTGTAAGCAAAGCGTTGAGGACCATGGCGTAGACGGGCGTGAAGAAGAGGCCTGTTTCCTCGTCGCCGAACATGCGCGCCATGCGTTTACTCGCCCAATTCCGCGTGCGTAGGGTAGTAGCGTGTGGTTCGGTCATAGAGCCGATGCCTATCTTGCCGAATACTGAAGGGAGGTAGCCTTCTTTCCCCGCGACGTAGACGAGACGGCCGGAGGTGAAGGTTGTGGCGTTGAGGGCGCCGAAGCAGGAGAGGCTTACGATGAGGGCGAGGATTAGGGAGCCGATGGGTCCGAAGACTTTGGAGCCGAACATGACGGCGACGGTGTTGGTTGAGTTGATGGTTTTGAGGGGGAGCACGAAGAAGTAGGCGATGTTGGCGAGGATGTAGGAGAGGATTACGAGGGGCATGGCGGTGTGGATTACGCGGGGGAGATCGCGGGTTGGGTTGCGAAATTCTCCTACTACGTAGTTGGTCTGGTGGTGTTAGTTGAGTTTGCGATATGGGGGGATGTACTGACATTGTCCCAGCCGTCGAATGCCCATAATCCTGCGTACAGTGCAACTGCCCAGGATGAAGCACTCGTGCTTGTCCCCTCGAACCATCCTTTTGTTCTCCAATCTTGATTTGCTGGCCCAGTGGTTGAGAATCCGGTAATGGCCACAACTATCCCAACAACTGTGATTCCTAGTAGAGCCACAAATTTCAAAAACATAAACATATCTCCCATCTTTGTGCCCAACCTTGTCGACACGCAATTTAAGAACGTAACCAAGATCAACCCGATCAGTGCTACACTCTTATTTATCCAAGCGCTCACGTTCTCAGCATCTGCTCCAATTCCTGCTCGTACGAGGTATTCGCCCATTATGATCGCAATGATAGCCGTGGAACCTGGCTTAAGAACCACCACAGCACACCATGTAAAAAGGAACCCCCAGATCTCTCCAAATATCTTGGACAAATACACCTGCGCTCCTCCATTCAGCGGTATAGCCCCTCCCAGTTCCGCGTAGCTTGCTCCTCCAGTCCATGCTAGTATCCCAGCAATTGCCCACACTATTAAAGACGCGCCTGGTGATCCGGCATTCGAATTAACTTGGCTAGGCGATGAGAAGATTCCAGATCCTATGATCAAGCCAACAATTAAGGATAACCCATTCATATATGTCAAAGTCTTGTTCTTTTCCAGCGTTGCCCCTCCTAACGCCGTCTGTGGATTCGTAGAAGATATAGGGGCACCTATGGGTGCATATCCATTCCCAGTGGATGAGGAGAGTGGGAAAATATTCGAGGAGAAGTCGAAGACGGAGGAGACTGAGTAGGACCGCGCATGTCCGCCTCTGGGGTTCGCCGCTGGATTTCGGTCGTCTAAAGGATCATCTTGCTCGAGTGATAGCTTTCGAGAGGATGCTATGCCCGACCGTGACGAAGAGGAGGAGGTTCGTCGACCGGAAGAGCTTGATGCTAAACTTGCGAGTTCTAAAGAGTCGCGCGCATGCGGTTGGAGATTGGTATACTGGCGTGACATGATTCGGAAGGAGGACCGTTCTATGGCGCTGTGGACATAATAGATGCGTATTAGAGCTAGGAATGGCACTGGTAAGTTGATTTGTTGGAGGGGTCTATGCCATGCCCGCTATGTCATAAAATCGTAAAAGTATTATGGATTAAAATGAAGTTGCTACAAGAGTAAAACGATGCAGTGAAAGATCCTAGAATTCGAGTTGCTTCGTGTCCAGATATTCGAATTGGCAACAACCAAGCAGGGTTTGTAGGATTCAGGATTGGGACGTTCCTACGTTCGTACTCGTAGTTCCTCGATCCAATGACAAACGAGGCTCAAGGGGCGTCCGGCATTGTCGAGGCCAAGCCGTGCACAGACCACGAAGTTGCAGTTCACGGTTGCACGCAAGCTAAGCTTTTCCAATGTCAACAACGAAGCTCAATCATGAAGCTATTCGCATAACACAATATGCGGCGAAAGAATGTTAGCGATTCGCAGACAAGGAGGGCGAAGTTCCCTTCCGCCCGGTCGTTGCAGACTACCGCATCAGTACAATGAAAAGTCAAGCACTATCTGTTTAAAGTATGGCTCTCGAAGCTTCAAAACTCACCAGCCGGCGAACGATTCTCGTACGACTCCTCAATCGTCGAAGCAGCCGGAGAGCGGTCACCCACTGCTTAAGAAATACAAGATCACGCACCCGGCGATCACCAAATACTTGAATTGGAAGCCTAGTTCATCCCCACCTCAATCCAGACCAACCCTCGACCTACCCGCACTCGATCGAAAATGGGGAGCAGTTTGGGAGAAAAACCGGGGGAAGACAATCAGAGCAGAAAACATAAATGGCGACTTTTCGCAGTCGGAATTCGTGTACAATAAAAAGGGCCTGCGTTACATCGTACCCATGTTTCCGTACCCCTCGGGAGACCTCCACCTGGGCCATCTCAGAGTTTATACCATCTCCGACGTTATCGCTCGTTACTGGCGTTTGAAGGGCTATGATGTGATTCATCCCATCGGCTGGGACGCGTTTGGACTCCCTGCTGAAAATGCGGCGATTGAGCGAGGCATTGATCCGGCCATCTGGACGTATCAGAACATTGAGAAAATGAAAGGGCAACTGAAAAGTATGAACGGCGAGTGGGACTGGGACAAAGTGTGTGCTGATAATCTTCACGGCGGCAATGAGTTTTGCTAATTAACAATTAGGAGCTTGCAACATGCGACCCGGATTTCTACAAACATACGCAGACGCTCTTCTTACTTTTACATGTCAATGGATTGGCGTACCAGGCCAAGTCTATGGTCAATTATGACCCAGTTGATCAAACTGTGTTGGCAAATGAGCAGGTCGATTCCGACGGGAAGTCTTGGAGATCTGGCGCCCAAGTTGAAAAGCGGATGCTTAAACAATGGTTTTTCAAAATTTCAGATTTTCGACAGGAGCTCTTGGATGATCTCGATGGCCTCGATTGGCCAGAGAGAATTAAATCGATGCAAAAAAATTGGCTAGGAAAGTCTGAAGGCGCTAAGATAAAATTCGGAATTACCGCCTTCAAGCATAAAAGTATTCCTGATGTGGAAGTATTCACTACTCGACCAGATACTTTATATGGCGTTCAGTACCTCGCCTTAGCAGCGACACACCCACTTGTCCAAACTCTCGCTGCGGAGGATACGAACCTTCAAACGTTCCTAACCGAACTTCCCAACATGCCTCCCGAATCCAAAATGGGCTACCTGCTCCCTGATGTACGTGCAACAAACCCACTTGCATTCGAGAAGGCGACGCCAGACGCAACAAAAGCGTCTTTACCGATTTATGTCGCCTCCTACGTTCTTTCTGACTATGGCGAGGGTGCTGTCATGGGTGTCCCCGGCCACGATACTCGAGATCATGCATTTTGGAAATGCAACCGGCCTGATGATCCTGTTCGTGTTGTGGTCGCAGCGCCCGCTCAAGACGTGCCAGCCGTGCCACACGTACCCTTTATACAGCCGGGCCAGCTCACCTCACATAGTGGACCTCTTGCAGGATTGAGTTCTTCCAAAGCTGCTCAGGAAATTCTACGCATTCTTACCAAACACGGCCGCGGGGAAGCTGCCGAAACATGGCGTCTGCGCGACTGGCTGATTAGCCGTCAGCGTTATTGGGGTACGCCTATCCCGATTATTCATTGCTCTTCATGCGGAGCGGTACCAGTCCCAGAGGAAGATCTTCCTGTTAAGCTCCCTCAGGTATCAGAACACTGGGCGAAGGGAAGGTCTGGCAATCCACTTGAAAGTGCCCATGATTGGATCAATACCCCGTGCCCGAAATGCGGGCAGGCGGCGAAACGGGATACAGACACAATGGACACCTTTGTTGACTCAAGTTGGTATTACATGAGATATGTTGATGTAAACAACGAAACCATGATGATCAATCCCCGCATTGCCAATACACATCTTCCTGTGGATATTTACATCGGAGGAGTTGAACATGCCATTCTACATTTACTCTATGCACGCTTCATCTCTAAGTTCTTAGCAGCAACAGAACTATGGCCGTTTGGACAACTTCCTATGATTAGAGGCGAGCCATTTCAAACAGTACTGGCTCAAGGAATGGTCCACGGCAAAACGTACACCGATCCTTCAACAGGGCGCTTTTTGAAATCAGCAGAGGTGGAACTACAGAAGTCCAGCCCAATAATAACTGCTACGGGTCAGGCTCCTCTTGTCAGCTTTCAAAAGATGTCCAAGTCGAAATATAATGGCGTAGATCCATCTACATGTATATCGAAATATGGAGCCGATGCCACTAGAGCACATATCCTATTCCAAGCACCAGTTAGTGAAGTGTTAGAGTGGGACGAAAATAAAATTGCTGGCGTCACTCGGTGGATGAGGCGTCTTTATGACCACCTCCATGAATGGCGCGCAGAAGCTGGATTCTTAGGGCTCGAATGCAAGTTTGGTTTCACTCGTAATACTGCGGCTTCTGGCTGGCGCTTCATCCGCTCAAATGGAGAAATGGGTATGACCAGAGTGCTCCAAGATACTCCTCAGGCCTTTGGTAATCGATTCGCATCAACTCCAAAGAATTACTTTATCAGCTTCGCTATTGACGATGACAAACCCCTCAGTCATCCTGGATTAGTCGAACCACATCAGTTTGTAGAATCGCTCCGTCTAGAGAACGCACGGAAAGGCAACCATCCTGAGACCGGTCGTGAAGTACTTTATCCTTTGCTTATGGATCTTGCCAAGGAAGGAAACAGAGAGTCCAAAAAGTTGTGGCGAGCTGTTCAAGAGACCATCAGAAGTACGACCGCATCATACGAGAGTGGACATTCGCTCAACACAGTCGTCTCGGATCTAATGTCGCTGACGAATGCTATGATTGATTATCCTGGGGGCGAGCTTGGCCCACAAGATCGTTGGATTCACTATCATGCCGCCATGAATCTTGTGAGGATGATGGCGCCTATCTGTCCAGCCTTTGCGGAAGAGTGTTGGCATCTCATCACGTATGTCAGGCCTGGACTCAAGCACCGTCTCTGGTCGTTCGCGGGTACATCGAATTTTAGACTTATATCCCCTTTTCGGGAAACATCAGTCTTCCATTATCCATACCCTACCGAAGATGGTACACTCGAGATGCTGACTCCTGATACCTTGAAGTGTTCGGTCCAGGTCAATGGGAAGTTGAGGTGTGTAGTTGAATTTGACCAGCCAGAATCTATCCTGAAGGGCGAAGCTCTGGAGGACTGGGTTGTGAAGGGAGTCTTGGACAGCCCGGAATGGAAAGATAAGGTGGGCCAGAAAGTCAATGTTCGTGAAGCCAAGAAGACCATAGTGGTCAAGGGTGGCAAGCTTGTTAATTTCGTCATGTAAGATTCAGCCTGTGTAATACCATGTACGATATCTTCGTGTTGGATTTTGTTGTATGTCAAAAAACTTGGAAGGAAAAGGGGGACATGTACAGATATAGTTATGAGATACCAATCACCACCTGCTTACAATTCATACCAATTCAAATACTACACTCTATCCACCAATACAAACCCATCCAACCAGACCCGCCCAAAACACCAGAGATCTAGATCTCACTCCGACCGGTCCCCAATCCAGAATTCCAGCCCATCCCAGCCTCAAACCCGTTACACACCTCTCCCTCATCTGCACAACATCCCCCGAAAAACCCACCTCGCGTTCCACCAACCCTTTCTCTCCCCAATTCCAACCAACCATCTCTCCCCTTCACCTAAAATCAAACGCAATCAAAAAACCCCATATGCACAATTCGGCAATCCCCCCGGACCCCCAACGCAATACCAACCACGCCAACGCGCTGTCCGCTAAGCGAGCACCGAATCGGGGTAAAACGACGGCCCAAGCCATGGCCTAATCGGGATGTAAACCACGACCACGAATGCGATGTGCAACGAAAAAAATTGAATCTTCATCTTCGTGTGTTGTTTGATGCGCGGACATGTACGTGGATAGATTGGTTTTTACGAAGTGGGACTGCATAAGGCGAGGTGGGGAGGAAAAGTGGAGATTGGAATATGAACAGGTGAGGTGTGGGAGTATGGAAGGTCTTGGTAATTTGTTGTGTTGATTTATAAGACAGTAAGTTCCTCTTCTCATGAACTTTAAATATACATTTGATAGACGAATAATCCAATTTCCTTGGGTATCACGACAAAAGCCGCCCCACTATGTCAGGATCTGGAAAATCATTACAGTCCGTCTCCGAATATTTCCCTCAGCAACACTTCGCACTATTAACCCTTCCAACATACGGAATACTGAAGGTCTGATTTACAGTTTTACTAATTATCTTGACGAATCCACTGTACAATCCCTCATGCGTGGTATTTCTTGGTGGTGAAATAGTAAGACTGATGACAGCCGACGTCAAAGAGGGCAGCGTAACATTTTTCAGGTCGAATTTAACTTTGCCAAAAATTGGCATCTGGTTCAGCTCATTGTTGTACAAACTCTTGTACATGAAACCAGCACCTGTATGCGAGAAGACATATTGTTGTGACCGGTTTGAGGTATTCTCTATCCTGATCTCTGTTATTCTGATATTTCTTGTCTTGTCGTCTTCAATATTCAGCTGGCTGGGTGAAATCCTGGTTGTCGAGAATATTGCATCGTAAGCGTTTACTAATCCGGCACCTTGCTGCATAGTACCGGCCAACATTGAGGCGTTGTAGGCCCACTGGACGGGAGCAGAGGTTACTTGGAGACGCGAGAGAAGCTCGAACTGCGTTTCGTTTAGGAATTGAGATTTCAAGAGCGCAAGGCACCCAGAAATGTATGGCGTTGCCATAGAAGTTCCCTGATAAATGGCGTAACCACCACCCAGTGGTCCTAATGGAGTCGTCGATAAAATAGCGCCACCCGGAGCAGAGAGCTGAGGCTTGAGTAAAAGACCTCCAGACCGCGTCGCTGATGGACCGAATGACGAATAGAAGTCCATTAGCCCTCCAGCTGGATAAGGAACGCTGCTTAAGGTTTTATCTTTGAAAGAAAGCTTATACTTCTGGTGACCTCCGAAACTTTTATATGTTTGGAGTAGTTTTGCTGAATCTGCTGCGTCCACGAACAAAAATTGAGGGTTTCCGGTGCTCAATTCTGCGGGATACGAGGCGGAATAAGGATCGGCTCTTGAAGTGTTGAAGATGTTCTGAGATTCTGGCATCAGTAGCATGATATACTGAATCCCTGGCTCCTTGGATCCAAATGAAAACAAGCACGTCCTTACTCCTTGAATTCTAGGGGTTGCAAAAATTGTGTTTGCCATATTTGAAGCTCTAATTCTCTCGGCTTCTTCCAATTGCTTGCGGTTACATGGATCTTCCAAAATGTAAACATCTGCCTCTTCGGTAAGGTTCACGGGATAGACTGATGCGTATCGAATGTTGTTCACAGAGTCATTGGCTGAATAGACCGTGGGAAAATGGCTATTGACTACGGAGCCGACTGCGACGACGTTCGACTCTATAGCTGGAGTGGCCCCCGTGTAGAGATGTTCTTGTCGAGGATCCGCCGCGGCATCGTTCCCAAGAGAAACAACGACAAATACTCCAGCTTCTGTGAGACGGTCCGTAACCTTTTGGTACGGGTCGTTTCTAGTTAACAATCCCATCGATATACTAACGATGTCAACGCCATCCTCGAAAGCCTTCGTGAATACCTTTATAAGGGCATCTGTAGAACCCCCGCTACCACAACCCGTTACTCGATACATGAAGATCGTCGCTTCGGGAGCAACACCTTCGATATCGAATCCTCGAGATCCACTTTCCATCCCGATGATACCTTGAACAATATAAGTCAGCGGAATGCATGTAAGATTGCATGATGTGAGGCATAAATTACCTGCTACGTGAGTTCCATGACCACCAGCATAACACGTTGTCAATGGGTCTTCCTCCATGACGGGGGCTCCTCTGTCGTTGGCGAATGCATAACCTCCAGCGATTTTGTTTCCTGGTCCAAACTTGCCACCCAAAGCAGGATGCCGATAATCGATGCCACTGTCAATTATTCCAATTTTTATTCCCTTCCCTTTGATACCAAGCTTATGTAGCTTATCAATGCCACCCATTCGAAGACTAGAAGAAAGATCGCCTCCCGTAAACGGCCCTAACAACTCGGGATCGTCTTCAAAGGCAAGAGTCTGTGAATTAGACAAGGTAAAAGCTTCATCTTCACCCGGCGGTTGAGAGGCCTCAATAACTTCAACAGGAGAGACGGAAACTACTCCAGGGATAGCGTTCAACAATCGTCTCATCTCTGCATCGCTCTTCCCAGTATCCGTCACTTGTATCGACAGTCCCAGGAAAATATCAGGATTGTTGAATTCGTATCGAACGTTGTAATGGATATTGGCGGCTGTTGCCGCGTTACGAAACTCCTGAACATGGAGATTGGTTGTACGGAATGGATGTTTTGAGAAGTCGATTATGGGGTTGAGTTCGAGGATGTATGCTCCGGGGACGATTGGCGATTGTGCGATGCAAAGGCAAGCGAGGGAAATCGTGTGGTAGAGAAGGAGGAGGAACCTCATCTTGGTTTATGGTGTAAGTGGCGGTTAGAGAGACTCGAGAGAAATATAGATGCTCGAGACTTATGAAAGCTCTAATCTAATGCTGATATTGGCGAATAATCGGATAGCAATGACTAGAAATGCACAAAAGCAGAGTCTCTGCGGCAATGCAGACGCAACTTGATGGTTGAGAGAAAATATACGAAAAGACCTGACGGAAAATTCTGAGCCCATCTAACTTTGCAGAGGCAGCAAGTAGTCAGGGAAGGAGCGATTTGGCCGTCGCCTCTCGTGATGATTAATTAAGCGAAAATACCTACTACGACCTCTTATCCGTCAACACATCGAGTCCCACAACCATCCCCGCCTTATCCTCCTCAGAATTCCCATGCGAGCTCTGTTCTCTACTCTCTTTCCCGCCTTGCGTTGTGATCGTCAAGAACGGCACGCACAAGACCCCCAACCCACTGCAGCCAACACAGAACCAAAACACGAGTTCGTAAGGTCTCCAAGTCCGTTGCAAAGCTTGCCCACTGGTACCTGCGGCATTGTAGATTGATGTGGTAATACCTAGGCCTACGGCTGTACCGACTTTGGTGATGGTGTTGAAGATTCCTCCGGCGAGAGATTGTTGGTGCGAGGGGAGCGATGAGAGGACGTACATCTGTGGTCAGGTTAGCTCAATATTTCCAAAATGTTGTAGATCTGAAGCAAAAAGAACACATACGTTGGCGACGTTGAACTGTAAATCAGCTCCAATTACACTCAGAACCAAAGCAGGGAACAACCTCGACCAGTACCTCTCCTTTTCACTTTGCTCTCCATATCTCATTGTCGCAAACAGAAGCATAGCACCAAAGTAGCTCATCGCACCAATCATAACGAGTAACTTATTATTCACACGATGAAGAATTGCACCAGCGAGGATGTTGACGAGAATTCCGGCTATAGCCTGCGGTAGCAGGTGCACGGCCACCGAAAGTGTGGAGTAATTGAGAACATTTTGCAAGTAAAGTGACAACCAGAAGACGGATGCTGAGAATGGCGTGAACCCCAGAAGCACGACGATATTGATCTAGAACAGCGTTAGTGGTGGTGAGGTGAAAGATCGGTGGCTAAAATATACCCAAGAGAAGTTTCGGTCGCGCCAGATTCGTAGTGGCATAACAGGATATTTACAGATTTTCTCCCAGCCCACGAATCCAAATAGCAGTGCAAGGCCCACGATGAGAAGTGCTATTATATATGGTGTTGACCATCCTTTTGGTGCATCGCCCGCAATCCTGAGAATTGTAAGTCATGAACCAAGAGAAGAAACAGCGATCTTACGTCAAGCTTGCACAGAAGAACGCGAGTCCAACCATACTCAAAGCAATGCCAAACAAGTCGAACCTTTTCAATGACTCCCATGTGAGCCCTACAGTATCATGTTGAATTTTTGGCACCGTCCATAATGCAGCAACAAAGAACACCGCGTAAATAATGGCGAGCAAATAGAAACTAGCTCGCCAATTGAAGAGATCTGTAGCAACACCAGAGAAGATACATCCCATAACATAGCCTACTGGGTTACCAGCACTGAAGCATGCGAATGCCCAGTTCTTGCGCTTGCTGGGTACATCATAAGCCGCGCCTAGAATTCCAATTGCTGGGGGAACAGAGGCAGCAGACCAGAGACCCAGTAAGCCACAGAAGACATCGAGGTAGAGAGGATTTGTTGCAAACCCTGTGATGAGAGCTGAGATGGCAAAAGCTGCCATACTGAATATGAGGAGGCCTCGGCGGCCGAACGTGTCTGCGATTTTAGCGAAGAAAAGGAGGAATGAGCCTGAGCAAAGTCTATCCAGATCATTAGCACACAATCTTCAATATGAGACTTTTGAAACAGTTCGAATTCTCGCTCATCTTCCAAATGATAAAACACAGACTGAAAATATTAATCGAGAGACTTACGCAGAACTAGCACCAATCCAAGTAATCTCAGCACTCGTCATGCCCAAATCCTTCGCAATTGGCGCTGTAATAACGGTACATAGCCCGTATAGAAAGCTACTCATGCCAATTGACATCGTAGCTGTCAAAACGAATAGACATTCCTTGATGGTTGAAGAGAAGCATTCCGGTCGCCTCCCGACCACTGACAAAGCTTCAACCCTTACTTCGTCGCCAGTTGGCAGAGTACTTTTCGTTGCCGCCATTTCGCAAACCCTATTCCCGTAAGTAGGAGACTTGCAAAGTAAAAGAACGTGATAATGTAAAGTCCTCTCAAAAATATATCGAAAAGGTGATAAACATGCAAACCAAATATCCCCAGCGGTGAGTCTCAACCAACCGGCTCCCAGTGGGTTAGAACTGTTAACCCCTATACCCGGCTGACTGGCCCGCGGAGATACGTACCGACGGCTCCCACAACCTCTTCTCTAGGTAACTCCGAAATGGGACGGAGAGATCTCGACTTCTTAAACTGTGTAAGCTCAAGATCGGATGGAGTGGCGGCGAATGAGATACCTGGTATCGGTAAGAAAAGCCAATGGAGAGACGCGAGGGAAGAACGCTAGTATCTTCGCTTACTACCTCTGCCGCAACACAATTGAGGAGCTTAGAAGCATCAGCACGGAATTCAAAGGTGGGATCATGAAGAACGTTGTAATTAATTAGAATTAATCGTACAATAAACTATCTTTTCTAGATTTTGTCTTTCAAGCATTTAAGCAAGAATTTCTTTTACGCCATTTTCCCCCTGCAGATCCATGAAATTATAGCCAGCTCTTCCTCCGATTGCTGAGCATATTATAACTAGTTTGAGACTTCAAAGTCCGCCGCTCTTGCTGCTTGACGTCAAACTCTTGCGGTGTGATTCCTCCACCTCCATCCCTCCAGTAAAAGTGTCCAGCCGACTCACGAACATGCCAGTTGATGATCATTTGTTCCCTCTTTGGCCCTGCACCACAGCTTCCAGCAAGTCTCTTCGCGTGAGGACTGTTTATAGCAAGTGCGAAAAGGTTTGCGCCCTCCGTGAAATCCGTGACCAGTCCCGAGTATACGAAAAAGTATATCAGACAGAAAACGTTCGTGGCGAAAACCAAGAAAAGGACGATGTAGAAACTGGCTTCCCAGTTTTGACTGAATCCAGACGCGTATTGTTGGGATTTGATGGAGGCGTTAAATCTCTGAGGAACCGCCTCTTCCAATGCCGTCAGTTCATAATCCCAGTAGTGCACATACTGAGCGTTCATCGAGGAAACAAGAAGGGTGTTCCCAGCTAAGGCTGCCATTTGTTCCGCAATGCTTGGTTGCACTGGACTGAGCTTAACAGAACCCCATGGGGGCTCTGCTACTACTAGTTGACTAAGTAGACGCGCATTTGATGCATTGGCAGTGTCAATACCATTGTTTAAAGTCAACGATAACAACCACTCGTCTGCAACGTTAGTCCAGTCTAGCTTCGGAGCAGCAACAGCGTCAGGCACCGACTTGATGTACGAATATTTGTCTGTGGGATCTTCGCAATTACTGTGTAGATGGCCAGCAGTACTTCCAGTGACGTTATACACTGTGCTGCAGTCGGGCGACAAGTATGAACGTAGCTGACACAGTGTGTAATTTGATGTAGTCTTTTCCGGGGCTTTGATCAGAAGATAGGCATCTCGACCATACGATCCCCAAGAAGCATTGGTAATCGAGTTGTACTCGGCTGGATACTAGAGCGAGTCAGCATTTTTCTAGCAACCGGGGAGTCTTCAGTAAGCTTACCATTGGAAAAATAGGCTTTTGACGACCATATTTCTCGCCCCATTCGAAGACATCATCTAGCGCTGTCGCGTTACCAAATGGTTTATCTACGGCCCATCTGGCTCTATCTTTCCAGTCGACCGGCGGTGTCACGTTGTATGCCAACTTGGTCGAGTTTGTCATATTCGAACTCGGGAATGCTGCCCAAATGATGGGTTCAAGCTCCGACTCCATGGCATTGGCACACAGAACGTTTACCGAAGGACTGACCACAGAGGCTCGCATCACGTATTGACCCGTTCCGCCAAGCTCGTCGGGTTGCAAGATCTCATTGTCCTCGTGACGTGCAGCAGCGAATACACCAGCATGAGGCATTGATAATGTGACATTGTTGACAACTCGACCGAACTTGGAATAAGCAACTGTGATATTACTGTAATCCGTTTGAACCCAGCTTCCAGTTACGGTGGTATTGTCATACATCATAGCCGGCACTGGAGGTCGTTCCGAAATGCTTGAAGATGTACCGCCGGTTCGCTTTAATGCCGCCCAGGTTCCCAAGAAAGCAATAGCATTATGATATGCTATTTTATTTTAGCTCAATTTCAGTGTCCGTTTGCGTTTGAAGACTAACCTTGACCTGCGTGCTGTATCTGCAAGCAAGTGCTACCACTATACTCGTCGGTAGCGGCGTTAATTGGGGTTTGACAATCCATTCCTATTTGTTCAACATTTGCGTAACTCATCTTCACCATCCCTACCATCTCTCTAGACACCGTGCGTCCAAATTTCAAGTTTGGGGAGACCAAGGCATCGGAAGCAGTAGTATATAGCATTGCAACCAACGCAGCTGTGAGTGTAATAACACCCAAAATCGAAAGCCCAGCGTAGCGTACGTTTTGCCAATGCGTGATCATCGATCCTGGTTGAATCACCCAATTCCTCATTGTCATTTCAGCGATTGAAACACCTCGTTCCGTTTTCATCAGCGACCTTCTGCTTAAGACTTGTCCAAGGAAGGCGACAAATACCGATACAAAGGACAATTCGATGGTCTTGGCGAATAGTGCGAAAAGCGTTGATGCAGTCGATGGATTGATAGCATCTTCACCTTTGGAGCTGATCTTGCGGCCATATCGAGGCGCGACAAGTGCAAGTACCAGATATATACCAGAGAAGACCGTCGAGTATATGGATAGGAAAAGTATAGAGATCGAAATCCAACTTGTTCGGTGTCTGTGGATGTTGTGATTCGAAGGGCAACCGTCTAGAAGTCCTTTTTGCAAGTCAGTCGCTGCTCCTCAAGATTGATTCTTCCACTTACTAATGTTTTCATCATCGATGTCATTATCATCATGTCCTGGCACTTTTTGGAAGCTCTGAGGACCATTGAAATCGTCTGGTGTGTTCAGTAGATCCTCTCGGAACGACGAAGACATTTTCCCTTTGCTAACTGATTCCTCGTCCACTTCTGTGACAGCCTTCAGTGCTTCCCTACCTGTGCCGTACTTCGCGTCGTATCTCTGCCAGGGTGGTGACAGAGGTGTTCGTGACGAGGTGCTACCAGGTGTATTAGGTGTATTAGGGCTTCGGCTTTCAGGAGATCGGTCTTCTGGGGTTCGGTTCTCAGGAGTTACTACTGTCTGAGACTTTTGGAAAAAAGGATTTGAAGGTGTTGGGGGTGAGGCGTTGACTTTTGTCGCGATCGGCTTTCGTGATATCGAGCCACTTGAACGCGTTGGAGCATCTAAGATTCCGAGACCTTGAGAACCCAGATCGCCGTCCAGAGTGTTGTCTGGAGACTGATACCTTGGGGAAGGATCTATCAGGTCGTCTGAAGTCATTCTCTGATATCCGTGTCTCTGAATTGGAACGCTGGGCGTGTTGTTGAGAGTTATCTCGGGCAGCATGGGCGCGGTTGAAGAATTTTCTCTTGGGTTGTTTTCATCCTGTAGTGAATCGGTTCTATCTCCTGTATTTCTTGCCATATTTCCGGTTTTATTCACAGAGCTTCCCCAATTGATTTGGCCCTTGAATAAGCGCATTCACTTGCTAAATCTTGTTTGCTCTTCCATACGAGACGGAGCGGTACGTCGAGCAAACTTGTACAACAATTAAACAATTAAGAAGGTTGGTTTGTGCCGATGTGCTGTACTCGGGTAACGACTGAGGTGACGATATGGCGTAAGTATTTTAGGAAAAGAAAGTGGAGGAAGTGTCAACGTGGATGACCTTCCAGCCCTATAGGTTTGTCGTCAACACCAACAGACAACAAGCTGTTGGACGTCCCCATTGTGAGGTCCTTGCGTGGCGCAGCGGATCCGGCGGAAAGCCAATTTGTGTCGAGGCTCATCTCATCTTCGATTCTGCACACGCGCAATACGGCACAGTGTGGGTGATCATACATAAGACATTGACTTTTGGGGGCTAAAGTATATAACTTCAGATGATGAAGAGCAGGAGAAAGTGTTCTCGCTTGGCACAGGATTCCGACTGTTGGACACCAGCCGAGAAAAAAGGGGTCGATCGTATATCATTGGCCTAAATAAGCGAGTCATGGCCATTTTGAGTTAAAGCATCCATGACTAGCATACATTCTGCAGCAGGTGCAGCTGCAGGCTCAGCCCTAATAATCGAGTAGCGGTCAAAGATGTAAAGAACAAAGATAGTTGTTCTAGTCTCCTGAACATTGCAGCATTGTAATTTGATTCTTCGAATAGGTGATCACACACGATACGCGAGGGACGACTTTTCCAAGCAGTATTTGTGCAACGAAAGCACCTTTCGGTCAAACACAAACGCTTGCTGTGCTTTTGTTGTTTGTCTCGTGGGTCGTGCCCGTACCAGGAAATTTCCGGAATTTGCTGATCATTAGCAAGTGGACATGCGGCGCAAAGTGCAGGTGATTGGCCCAAAGTAACGAATTGACAGCTGTACCAACAGGCCCGTAATGAAAGGAGCATGATACAATTATCCGAGCGAGAATTCTGTTGGTGTTTCATGTCTCAGGTGACACAAAGTAAGAACAATCTTCTTCAGGAGATAAGCTCAATTGAGCACGGTCGACTTCTTGTTACTGTTTGGCTTTATTCAATGTTTGACGAATGTTGCAAATGATCATTCCGCAAAAACATTTCTTGACCTCAATCGGTGTCGCATTCGGGTTCCGCAATAAATACGCCTGATGGCAACAGAAGCCTAACAGTGAACGCCGGAGATACGAGCGTGGCTATGTTTTTTTGACAACATTTGACGAGGTCCCGTGATCGTGTAAGACATCATTCCAAAGTCTGTTGGATCAATCGTATAATAGTCGTCAATTCCTCTGCGTAAGTCGTAAATCTTGAAGGTCCTGGTGATGATTCCGCTAGGAGTACCCATCTCCCTCATACACAAAGCGGCAGATCAAGTGACACACAGTTTGTATTATCGAACGAAAATTTATATCAGTCGATTGATAAACTGAAGGCTTTCAGCTTGCGAAGAAACGAGTGTAGCTGATTCGTTCGTAGAAAGAATAGGAAAACTGTGAAGTGCATTGGATGAGAAAGGTTGTGAGTGACTGAATCAACAGGTGAAAATTGGGCCTGGCAAGAAAAGTTCGACCGTGTGAGGATCTGGTAAAGGAAGTTGAAATTTAGGTAAGTATGTTCCTATCGGTCAAATATGAGAGTGTGAGCTTCTTTCATTATCTCGAGGTCTCTTCCGTCTCCCTAGTCTCGAGTGCCTCCTCGGCCACCTTTTCTCCAGTTGACGACCTATTTTCCTCGTTCCCAAACAAGGCTCGAAGTCTTTTGTTCTCTTCTTCTAGTTCAGCGTTTTTTCGCTTCAGATCATTGATATCTTTCTGATCCTTCGCTGCCGCTATTTGATCTCGCCTTTTGGACTCCTCAAGATCTTCCACCATGGTTTCCAGGTCTGCTATCTTCTTCGCATGCTCGACCTTGGCTTTTTCTGCAGCAAGTTGCTCTACCTTAGTCTCCCTGTCTGAGCTAGGATGAAGCTTATCAAGTTGATAATATCTCTCTTTTAACTCTTCGGGTTCTTTTCGAAGTTCATCTTCTTTTCGTGGTATCTCCTCGAGTTGTTGTTTTAGCAATTTGTTTTGCTCTTCCAGATACTCCCCGTCGCTTTTCGCAGTTGTATAATCCTGCTTGTATTTTTTTGCTAATCCTTCCATCCTTTTAAAATTCTTTTGCATAGTGTCTTGCTGTTCGTTAGGCGACTTCTTGTAGTGCTGTACCATTGTCTTAGACTCCTTAAGTTCCTGCCGGAGGCTCTCAATCATTTGGTCCCGGTCCGCGATTTCGTTGTCATGATTTTCCTTATTCGAGTTCTTTTCGTCCTTGCGCTCGTTGATCTCTCCTAAAAGCTTCGCGCGATCATCCTTGTACTTCTCTTCCAGTTCCGATATCTTTTTTTGAAAGCCCTTTATCTCTGACTTCTGCTCTTTGTATATCTGCACGTTGAGAAGCCTATTTTGCTCCTCCTCTTGCTCACGGAAATCTAGTGCCTCAAAAAACTCTTTCGCATACATGCGGGTGTTCGTCGACTTCTGGTAGTAATGCTTGAAGTGCTCAAAGAGTAAGTCACTGGTCTGAGCAGATTCAGGTAGCTTCTCACATAGAGTTGACAATAGTTGTTCGGCTTTTGAGTAGGTGTAGTCATCCACTCGGGGATCTTTTGGCAAAGTTTTACTTTTCAGCCCTTGGAAATACAGTATGCTGTTTTCATCCGGAGCTGATAGTGATTCTGGCACACCATCTTCGAGAGGGGCTTTTGGCACGTCCTCTAATATAGTGACCATTGTAGATTAGCACATGTTCTAATAATTAAGCTTACTTATCACGGTAAAGCTCAAAGGTTGGGTCTCAAACTGGGTAATTACCTGCTCTAGAATTCCTTTGCGCAGCTCTTTGACCAGCCTGAATCATCAGTCGCCTCTCCAACCTTTTTCGGCCTTCAGCAGTTTATATCAGTTTACTACTTGACAATGAAGAATGAAGCATAGTTTACCTGTCATATACTCGGTTGAGTTCCCTTCTTCTTCATCTAAGTTATCCAGAGCTTAGTACATTACTGATTTTGTAGTAGTTGGATCTGAGCAATAGGATAACAAGATCAATCCTACCTGTTGAACCTCCAGTTGGATCACTGAGGTTAAGGCTGGCCAACTCTTCAACAGGAGGATCTTCTGGTTATAGTCAGTTGTTGTTATGTCGTGTGTGAATTGGGTCTAGAGATGAGATTTGATCTCTGGATAGATAAGACTTACCTCTCTGTTCTTGCGCCATTTTTTCTGACAAGTCTGCTTCGAAAAATGCTTGTGGATCCCCACCTGTTGGGCGTTGACAAGTGTTGTATTTCTACGAGTGCGTGAGGTATCGCTCGACAGGACTTGGTAGTAATGGTGGATCGAGTACTGGCAGAAACATATGTTTGGTATCTTCCAAACTGAAAAGTAGGAGCCAAAGACTGGAAGTATGAATTATATTGCCTGACTGTAGTACTTGCGGTACTGTGTTGGCGTTGTGTGGCGATATTTTCCAGTGTAATATTCTGAACCTTCAATGTCGATGTTGTAAGGAAGAGAAAGAACTCCCACAACAAGCCTCCAAACGTTTAATTTATACCGCAAACCCAACCATTCTTGACCGTTTCGTGGGGAATTAAAAATCAACCCCCTGTTTCCATTCTAGCCGTCTCTGAAGTGTCAGGTGAGGAAACGCCATGCCAGAAGGCGCTTTTCGACCGATTTCATTCCCCTCAAAAGAGGGAAAATCACCAGGTAGAGTGTAGTAAAATATGTTTCATTCCCTTATGAACATGTCCATCTATCAAAATGAGTGAAGTCCAGTTCGGCAAGTCGGCTGTGAGTGGCTAAAATGAAGTAGACTAGGGTTGTAGTCTAGCAAGGATAGTTGAGTATCGTATGATTTAATGAAAATGTGTACCAGTGTCTTTGAAAGTATTCACAGAATTTCTTCATTTTGAGAAACAACAATGGTTGTAAAGCCAATACATGGGAAATGAGGGGTATCATGAGATCCAAGGACTGGGAATGAAATGTGATTTGAATTCACAGTGAAACAGAAAATTACAGGCAGGAATTGGCAATGCTCTTATACTTGGGAGAAGCCACCCCAGCAAACAAGTACGGGGGTGAAGTAACATATTGTGGTCATTAGCAACAACAAAATACCAACTGGATATGAGCAAGATAGAGCACAATCACCTATAGGTGAACAAACAGGTATGGCACAATCCACAAAATTCCAAATAATCCACAGTTCATACCCCAAAAATCGGTAAATCATAAGAGGCCATTGTATCTAGAAGAGAGAAGCGATTACCAATATGGCTTTGCTGGTAACAAAATCAATGTGCACTTCCATGCATAGACTTCCATATCCGCAAGTGTTCAACACATACAACTAAACAAGAAACGTAAGTATACATTGAGAAATCTTTGCAACTGCCAAAAATGTCTAATGAAGCGCTAACTTCAGATCAAACTTTGAAAAGCAATTCACCTTTTTACACTCCAAATGAAATATTGCTTTTTAGCAAGTAAACTTAAATGTAAATTAAATATAAACAATATAGGAAAATCAAATTATCCTTTTCATATCAAGTTGAAAGTCAAAATTCAGAAGAATCATGCTCATAAAACACTATAATTCACATCAAAGTGTAAATTAGATTTGAACAGGAAACCAAAACAGAAAACTCACAGATACTCAACAAACTCCACCACTTCACTTGAAACCATAAATCAACCAAAAATCATGCTCACGAAACAAACTCAAATTGACAAAACACACCAACAATATCACAACAAAAATACATATACAAACAAAACATTCAACATCAGATTCAGATACCCTCAAACCCGCTCAATCGTCATTAAACCTCGTTACATTCGTTGGCACACCATCAAACACTATGGGGCCTTTCCAAAATTGGGGGCCAACACCGTCCACAAGGATGATCCTGTATGCTGACCTCGCACAATCAGAGACCCAAGTGGAGCATGGGATATACCCAGACCTTGGCGTAATCCTTGTCAGTACTTCGACTCGTCTCATCGCAGCAGCGAGGCAGTCAGACTGCCTTCGCCCGGTTATCTAAAGTGTACCCTGCTGGATAGTAAGCTGGTGGCAGATCTGGCTGAAATACGATTTACGATTCGCTTTAAGATTTTGATCTGGAAGAGGAGGCGGATAACCACCAGGAGGATGCGTTTACTCCCCATCATCGTCTGTCCCGGCATTCGATACCCCATCAGCTTTACTCGCAGGCATTTGGCCCTCAGGTTCCTCAGCAAGGCCTCCAGCTTTCCTAGCAGCCTTCTCATCCTTCTCCTTCTGCCTCTTCTTAAGCTTCTTCTCTCTATTCCGCCTTGTCCGTTTCTCCCTCTCCGTCTCGTCTTTCAGAGCCGCTTCCGCTCTCTTCTTCTCTTCAGCTTCTGCCATTTGCTTAGTCCGTTTCCTGATTATGATCCTGTGTTTCTTTCCAGGTTTCCTTCGCTTAACCTCTCCATCATTGAGCTCCGTAACCGCGGATCTGGTACCAAGAGTCTTCTTCTGCTTTAACCTTCCAGGAACTTTTATGACCGTAACCCTCCACGGCACCTCCAAGCCCCATGCTCTCTGTTTTTGTGCTTTCAACACGTCCTCTCCATTTACCGCCGCATGCTCGAATCCCCATTTCGCCTCGCCTTGGGCGCTCGTTGTGAAGTAGTAATCGGAATTCCGCCGCGGTATCACGAAGCCTCCATTGCCTTTCCCAGAGTCATCATCATCAAGTATGATTTTTTGCGCATGTATTGGTTCGGATGTGGTATTGGTAGGAGTGGAAAAGAGACGGAACTCGAATTCTTGTGGTTCGTCGTCGTCGGGCTGCTCGCTTTGCGCACCATCCACCGTCTCTTCCGCCGTCTGATTTTCTGGCCTGGTGTTTGACATATTCGGCGACGGTATGGGACCATACAGAGAGGCTAATCGGTGCTGCAACTCCCTCTCGAGTTCTGGATCCGGAGAGGACGACCCCTCATCGTCAGACGGCTCGTCCACGCCGATGTCGCTGCGCCGTATCCTGCAATACAATAAGCATATCAACCATGGCCATATGTGAGCATGTATAAACATACCGTTTCGCGTCCGGGATTTCAAACATGTTGGTGTTGTGGTGTCTCAAAATGCGGGTCGGTAGAACAACGTTTAACGGATGCGGGACGAAAATTAAGCTTAATTCCACACTACTGTAGGGTCACCTAGACGCGCCTAGCGCGCAGCTTTTATACTCCGAAAGTCTGCTGGTAGAAACATATTTACCGTGTTGCATATGCTGTGGAGATAATCTAAAAGCTTGTTCAATCGCAAATGTCGGTTGACGCAAACTGGGAAGCAATACAAATTTTGGACCAGTAACGGATGATTTTGGGAGTGGACATTCAAATCTTCAAAAACCCGACAAAAACAAACTAGATGACCATTCCAAAAAATGGTATTATACGTGTTAGGGTATCGTGCTTTTCCTCCAATATTCCCAGCGCCTGCTACGCCTTTGCATTCTTCATTTCGCATATGAATTTCGTCGTCAACATCCCTCCGTGGCAAGTGTTCTGGAACCAATCTGCAAACCAACCGCCATGCCCCTTCTTCTCGGCTAATAATCATTGAATCCTTCCTCGCCTCTTGTCTCCAAGTCCGAGGCCAACACCTTATATTACATGGGATATACATTAGAACTGAACTTGTTGAATCGAAATTGGCGGGTTCTTTAAGGGGCGAATAAGGAAAGTCGTTGAGACTAGTGCATGTAGTGCAGATTTTGTAGATCGAAAAGGGAGAAATTACGGCGGTACAATCTAGTAATGAGGGCTTCTAGTTATGATTCCACGTGTAATGCTGCTGACTACTGCTTCCCTCTTCCTTCGGATACTGATGCTCGTTTGGAAAATCGTAATGTTGTACACTCGAGGCTGGTTGAGCTGAAGTTCCATAGGTACTTCCAGATTCCGGCGCTGTAGTCCAAGCTGTTACTGGCGCCGGGGGTGGAAAATAATCTGCACTTCGCGGTGGCATTGGTTCCGACGGGGCACTGTATGGAGGTGCAAACCGAGTTGACGCGCTGTAATCGGAGTGGTAAGTGCTCGTTGGCAACTCTGGGGGTGCAACATGACGTGGTGATTTCGCAGGACGAGGGTTGCTATCAATAAAGCGAATAGGAGGTCCTCCAATGGGAGGTGCTGAAGCTGGATGATACGCATATTGTTGACGCATTGGAACGTGGGAGCTCCCCATTGTCGTCGTCGGCGAATGGGAAATCGCGTGTGAGACATCTGGCGTGGAGTGATTGACGTGTAGATAGTTCTCCAGACTTACTCCTGGGGCTTGGTAACTTGGAGTGTTTGGTGATGCGCTATGATCCGCTGTATGCTGCGAATTCCAACTCGGATACGTTCTAAAATGTGTTAGCGCAAGCGCGAGTTACGAAGTTTACAACCCCCCGACTGGGTCGTAAGAGCCATGGCGTGAATATTGATAGGAATGTAGACTGGTACGAAAGCACAGAGCAGCTACCAGGTGCTCATCTAGATCAAAGAAAGAAAACACTTACGACTGCCGAACGATGGATGGAGATCCCGGAATAGTCGATGAATCAAAGGTGAACGGAGATCTAGGAAGTTCCAGAGTGTTCGGTTTGAGAGACTTCGCAGATTTCATGTCCCCAGGCAAAGCAATCGGCATGTTTCCGGTACTGACATGTAGCTCTGGAGGTTGACCCCGCGAAGAAGACGATCCAACAAGAGCAATTTCCTTTCGTGCTTGGAAATTTCTTGGACTTCGTCCTCGCACGACAATCGGTGCGGTCGATGTCTCGCAAACATTAGCTTTCGTTCCATTGGCTAGCGTGCCAACAACATTTAAGTGAAGAGTAAAATGTTGCTGAAGTTCTCTCCGCCGGCCATTGTTGGCGGTAGCAATCCTGAATTGTAATCGTCGATAGGCTATCGGGTAGACAGTGAACTCGCTAGTTGCGTCTCTTCCATCTTCAAGAGGTTCTAAAGGCAATGGCGTTGGTTCGCTTTCTTGTCCAGGTCCGACTTCTGGAGAATTGGGTGGAGGAGTTTTCCATGGAATGACAATCAATTTTACAACGTTGCCGTCCACCGACTCCGTAGCGGAAATTGTCACTTCCAAAGACACGATCGGGATTCTTTCACCCCGCTCGGTTATCAACGAAAGAGGACCCCGCGGCGTAGTAGCATTACCAGATATCTGAAAGAGATTACGCCGATAACAAGTCAGTTCCGGCTGTACGAGGTGAGGTTCGTTTGATGTTGTTGTATGTTCCGACAGGAAGAACATTCCATGAATCTGTGCTGCTAGTTCGATGTGTTGAACACGACCTTGGCCATCTAGTATTGTGCGTTTTTCTGGTAGTCGAGCGAAGCAGAGAAGCCGATGATCCTGACTGATTGTTGGTTTATTGTCGGTCTGTATGTCTTCTCGAAAGTCCTGGACATTTTCACCGTAAGAGATGCCATCACCAGCATGAAAAGCTCTTTTCAACGAGGGAAAGCTGTGGTGACTGTTAAGACCCGGAGGTGACGCTGTTAAAACTCCATTTCTATCTTGTGGCGGCGGTCGGGTATGTATCGAGGGAATATCCATCGACCGGTAGCTTCCTTTTTGCGATCGGCCATGATATGGAATAGAGAGCGGTGGAGCAACGAAGCTGGATTCAAATGGCGGAGGATGAGTTGAGCTCGGATGAGGTGGTTGGAGACTGTAGCCTTGCCAGATAGAGTTCTCCGAGTCTTCTGGCTTTATGTTTGCCATCGTTATTGAGTGTGTCCGGGACATCGACGCATTTCCCTCGCAGTGGTGGCCAGAGAATCAAATATGAACCAGGAACCAAATTGCAATTAGTTTGTAGGCGATTAACACATAGAATTGAAGATGGTGATCTTGACGCTTTTCGAAGAGGCGTGGAGAGACCAGGTAGATGAGGATGGAGCACGAGCTTATGCTAGGAACTGGAGCTAAGCCGTGATTCGTGTGATTTAACAAATGCAGACAGCAACCATGGATGTACAGCAACACCCAACACCAGCAAAGGGGCCAAAGTAATGATATGAGGGGCCGTAAATTTAAGCCATGTCATGACAGTAACAATAGCTCTAACTCTTACCGCTCGACTACAAGGCGGACAGCTTCGGGTAGGTTTTTTTTTTTGAGAAGAAAAGGACCCCATTTCCGTTAGCCCCCCTCTCGGGGCCTGGATTTGCCTCTGCGAAGGGCAACGCGCTCACGATTTTGAGCCCAACCTGGACCATACGCGGGTCTCTATGGTGAACATGTTTCTAGATTGAGCCAACGTGGCTGGCGCGTGATCTGCATTAGTGATAACCCATTTTCCGACAGCATACGTCAATGCCATTGGCCGGAGAAGCTACTGGGCTCTGTATATTCCCCAATAACGTTCAAGTAAACTCAAGTGCCTAAATTCGTATTTGACGGTGATCATCAAATTAGGGACGGGGGATATATCAAAAGGACGTTGAAGGGACGAACAATGCAAGGAGCCCTGAGCGAGGCGTTGAAAATCAGGCCGGTGCAAGGTTTTGAAAGGAAGATAAAAAGGAGCAAGGTATCTTATCCTTGACCAGCAGGGCATATACCATGTGCCGCGTCCCGGCCGGTGGCCCAGAAGAGGACGAACCCGTGTGCAGGCCGCCTCTTCTTGGTCTAGCGTCCAGCATGCCAACAGTGTTGAGCACTTGCCAACTGCTAGCCGGACATGCTTCGAAGAGTCGAGATATGCAGAACGATTGCACAACAGCGAGGACATGAAATCATGCAGTAGTCAGTGCAGAAATTCCAAAAATATATGCACTTGGTGCGTCGTTGTTTTGGCATAAGACCTGGAACGGGAGCAGTCGATAGACAGCGAAGAGGTAGTGAAGGGGACGGCACCGGCATTATCTGCAGAGCGGACATAGCAGTATGTACGATGTGTGGGCAATAGTAATAGCAGACACAAGTAGAAGACACTATTAATGCTCGATGGTGCTTGCACAGTGCTTTGGAGCCCCTGAGCAATCGAATAAAACTACCCCTACAAGAAGCGCCCACTCGAGCGCCTTCACTATCGCACATGGCCTCCTCATACCCGTTTAAGCTTCGGGTACCTCTCTTATCATTTTATCATGCCTATAACCGCTGGTCAAGCGCCGGTCAAGAAATGATGTCGAGGTGTCAAAGCTACAAGTATTGAATTGCGAACAAACGGTGAAAGTTGCACTGACAACAAGTACCCATGGCTTTGCCCCAGACCACTTGGTATCGGTTGCCGATGGCAGTCTGGCAGATGGGGAATCTTAAAATCGGGGGATCCAGCAATCAGGGGCGCTTGACACGCTTGTCATTCACAGCGCTGTGGTCAGCTCTTAATAAGCACGCTGATATAGGCAGCCCCTGTCAACACCATCGTGGCAAGGGGGCCTGTATGGACCGTAGCGATGCCGCTTCGGCAGCCATTTATCGAATTATCCCTAAGAAATGGCCGAATGTGGATGGTCATTTTCGACATCCAGGTCTCCCGGCCTGGGCCCCGTCGTGCGCCTTGGTCGTCTTCTGGCTCTCCTGAACAAGCTGGCCCCCGCGACTGTCGATGATTGCTGGCAGCGAAGCGATATCGTGAGGCACAGAAAACATTGGTCAAAAGCAATGGAGGGGTGATTTGCCGGCATCTGTGGAAGAACTCGGGGAAGTCAGCCGTGTTCTTCAGTCTGAAATTCTGCTTGGTGGCTTGAAACTTGACGACTTAGCGAGTGGCCAAAGTGAACAACAGCACTTGAGGTGGGGGAAACACTCAATCCGGAAAGGCCAGCTGCGACTGAATACCGTTCTCGCTGGTTGACACGCGTTCCAGAAGCCCGGCCAGAGGGTCAAGGTCGCAAAGAGTAGCTTTTGAGATCATCATAAAAACAGTTTGATGTATGCAGTAAGGCTACATAGTGAGTTGGAGTACTTGTAGTACTTGACCTCGATAGTTTGTGAAGGTGTAGGCTTGGCGCCCATGCCTCCGGGATTTTGGATTTCATCCGATGTTAATGTGTTGATCGCCAGTGATGCGCCTGCGACTTCGCGCAGAAAGTGTGGAAGAAATGCTGCAGCCATGCTCATCTTGAGTGTAACTATGAGTTCCATGGTGGTGCTTTTTCAAGATCAGCATTTTGAGACATGAGACATGAGGCCCAGCCCAGCCACCCAGACATGTCTTCGCCCACTCCTTGGAACGTCAAGAAGAGTGCTGAGTCTTAGACGTTAGTCTCTTACTCGTATTAAGACGTTAGGCTATTCCCTATGAGTGAAACAGAACAAACCTAGAAGGGACTAATCGTTGGTACAATAGACGCCCACTACAGGGAACTAGGTTCAACAGACTCGCAGCAAGCGTCACTAGTTCCCTACCCTCCGCACTGACAGATTAATTAAGCCTCCGACGACATCAAACGCGGAGAATTAAAAAACAGTCAACGACAACAAGCCTTCCAAATACTTTGAAGGCGATGTGGGTTACGCGCAACGATTGTGGTAATTTGAGGTCTCTCGCTGGACTACAAGCAAAGGGCAATGTGAACTTGGCTCTTGAGTTCAATGAGTTGGCACCTGCGTTACGAACTACACGCTGACGAGATATTCGCTTCGGATCCATGAGACTGCGGTATAACGTTCCCCATTTCATCCACGCAAATAATGCGCTGCACCTCGGGCGGGTTGGAAGCGTATGTGACGGCACCAAAGCCATCACCACGCTCGCGCTTGCTGCTGATCGTATTGATTGGAAGTCGGAGACCTTTTGGCGTCGCGTGTTGTAGATGGCCCTGCATCCATGGTGTCATTGTGCCATGCATGTGTGATCCGTAGCTGTGACATGGGCTGGCGAGGAGTTTTTCTTTTGCCTTGCCCCCAGAATTCCGAACAAAACGACAACATGAATTGTTAGAGTTAGTTGTAAGTATACGACGAGAGTGTTTGCAATGATTCGTGTTGGTTCAGCCGAGAACTTCGTTTCGCGTAGCTCTTTTGAAAAGATACATGACTTACACGGCTTGATTGGTCCTGGGCCTGAAGGCAGCCATCACACCGATAAGTTTGACAGTCAATGAGAATCCAGCAACGAGGAACGATAGATTAAGTGTGCCACACTTCTGAGCTCTCCGAAAGCCACACCAGCGTGAATCTGCATCTTCGGGAGTTGATTCTAGTCACTTGACATTGTATCCTTTGCGACGGGCCCAATTGACACTCCAATCCATGACTGTATGTTTGATGCCTCGTTTGTTGATTTGCAAGCCACTGTTTCAGATTGGGCTGATAAATTCTGATTGACACCTGGCTGAGCTTTTTCTTCAGTGAGGTAAGGATTTTCGTTCCGTCTGACCACCTTGATCCATCATCACGGCACGTTTTCCTGACATCTCAGGGCCTCAATGCAAGAATGACAAAGACGTGACATGGTGATGTGCATAGCCTGGTTGGTTCGGGTGAGATGAGTCTGCCCGTCGAGAATTTGCCACGATTTCAATCTTCCTTTGAGCACCGAACTGTTGATAGACGATGAAATGCTGAACGGATAGAGACTACGTTCTATGCATATATGTCGAGCAGCAGCACAATTTGAATGGACACCTGCTCCGCACATAGACTCCTCGCCGCCCAAGTCTCTAGATGGGCGATAGCCGTTTACTTCGCGAATTATCCCACCAAAGTTGTGAATCATAGATCAGGGCTAGGATTCGGAGTGTGGGTCAAGAACTTTACACCCAACAGTGACTTAACCTGTAGCAACGTTCATACTAGAGCGTGGTACACCCTTAAAAGTACCTGCAGAAGAGGACGATAGAAGAGCAAGCTCAAATGTGCAATACGACAGACCAAACGTCGTTCTGCAACAACAGTGAGCAAGGTTGTCCAAGGCCCTGGTGTTTTGTTGTTTCCAGAATTTCGAAATTCTGCATATGCAAGCATTAGAATTGGTGAGAATCTCGGTGACGTGCATCTGCCGTAAATTATGAGCCTCACAAAATAATGACATGGAAGGCAGATAATGCTGTTCGTTGTCAGCATCGCCCTTGCAGAACAAGAGTTAGCGAGAACAACCACCTGGGAGTTGGAAAATTGAGCTTTTGGGGGCTATCGTCCATTCTCCAACCAACAGTTGGTTTGACATCAAGTTCAGCCCCTACATCAAAAGAGCTCAAAGACACTGGGCCCATTGTCAACCGCGAGGTTAAAGGAAGCATAAATTGCCGACTCGGTGAGCGAGGCGTAGAAATCCTTTGCTGAGTAAAATGTGACTTTGAGTTGGTCAGAGTCCATTTCAGTCATGAAGCAGGACGACTTACGTATGTGTTGGTTCCTGAATCATGATTCACAGGAAGACCGGCGGCCTGGTAAGCGGGAAAGCAAGGCTAATATACTCGGTCCAAAATGTGTTTGATGAGCAGCCCAATGTAGAACCCGAAAGTTTCAAGAGAATGTAGTTGATGAGAAAGAATTCAATGCAAAGTAGAAGACAAACGATGAGAACAAATTTTTATGAAACATGATAAAGACCCCGTTGGAGTCTGGAAAACATGGCAGACAACATACCACTGCCTCACCAGATTTATAGCTGTCTTAATACCCGCAATCTCGCCATGTTTGTGAACCGCTTCTGTACGGCAATTGCGTGTCACTTCCTAGTTAGTATATTAGGAGTGTGAGGAAATCGTCATAAGCATACTTCGCTTAAGAATGATATCAAATAGCGGGAATCATGACTTGCTGGCCATAGGTAAACAAAGACTGCGGTTATGCTGCACTGATGGAGCGAAAGTACCGTCAGTCTATTTGGCTGATGTATGGGCAATGATGTGTCTTTGGAGGTCGAAGTGACAGACGGAATTGGCAATGTCGGGCGAAATGCTGCACTCCGCTGATGGCCAATCATGCGTTTACCTTATCATTATTCGCGGATTGGCTGAAGGCTTCGATAACATAAATATGACCGAGAAAAGCCTATGGAAGGTTCGCCTTCCCAAAGTCCAGGCATGAAATGTGATAGGCTCCATCAGACGCGTGGATAGTCATCCCGTTTGTATCCAAATGAGGCACTTCCTAGCATTCCAACAGCGAATACCCCACTACAAGGGTACAGTGTTGTCATAGTCTTGTGAACCTTTGCATTCGTTAATTGGATAGATTGAAAAGTGACCATGTTTCACTTACGTTCACAGATTTGTAATGGTAGGGTATGCCCCAGCGAAAAAAACCTCGTGGTGGGAAGTACATGATAGAGCATGGACTGTTTGGGAGGGAAGCCGTAATGGATGGTAGGCTTTCTTCAGCGGGAAGAATCAGGCGACGGCAAAATCCCTCGCAGCCTATCGTATTGATAATCTGACCGCATTACCTCAGGTGTGAAGCGTGCTGTACGACTAATGCTGGACCGGGCCGCAGGAAGAGCTGTTCCCTACATACGCGTTGACGAAGAAGACTGACTCTTGAAGAAGTGTGGTTTCGTACGTCAGAGTCTAGGGAACGCTGATCAGTGGGTAGCCATTTCAATCTTCGGGCCGTTTTCGTCACTGTGAACCCTACGAGACCAACACCACAGCTCTTAGTGTTCCAGAACCTCTGACGTTGATATTGTATCCGTCTAAGTCGTATTCTTGTAGCTCGTTGTCTAGTGGCAAAGAGTCTGGTGAATCTCTCCATAGTTCAATTTGTACAACTCGACTGGCATCAAGGTCTTCTCGAAGTCTTCCTATCGCTAGTTGAGCCACACGAATAGCCTGTTCATCATCTCCAACTTCCATTAAGAGTATTCTCGAACCACAAACTTTAAGATGAAGATGTAGAAGACGGTCGTAGAAGACATCTTGTGGCAGACAACCCCCTTTTTGGGGGATACTCGGAACCAGAGCTAGTTTTGGTTCCCAATTACGTACCGATCTGGTTGTTTCGTACTTGAAGCTTTGATGAGAGATGTAGGGCGGGTTTGAAACGAGAACATCACATTTGAGGTCCCGCAGCTGCTGGTCGGTAAAATCTGAAAATATGTCCACGCGTTCGAAAGTGATACTGGGTGAGGATTGGCTATCAGGTGCTGTGATATTTTTCAACAACTCGTTCCTAGTCAGATTGGCCCTTGCGAGTGACACTGCGTCTTTTGAAATGTCCCAACCCATACAACGAATACTCTTGAACGTGGGAGTAAGTTGAGAATGTAGCAGCAGTGGAATACAGCCAGTTCCAGTACATAAGTCCACAATTTTCAACGAACTTTGGGCATCGGATTGGCGTGGTCGTTGATTTGTACCCTCTGTTAGAGGCCTGAGCCGTTCTTGAACCAAAAGCCCCGCCAAATGTATCGTACAAGCCTCTGTCTCTGGTCTGAATAAAGCAAGGATGGTTCAGAACTTGTCAAGTCAAAGGATATCGGTTTACTGACCTTGGGATGAGAACTCCAGGTTTACACTCAATATCGAGGTCACCAAATGGCTGCGATCTCAATATGTATTGTAACGGTTCTCCACGTGATCTTCTTTTGCAAAGACGGAATAGCGTCCTATGAAAATGCTCCTCTGGCTTGTTTACGCATATTTCTTCGACATGCTCTCGTAACCAACGGAGTTCATTGATCGCTGAATCCAAGGAACGGGCGCCTCGAAGGACCAATGGTAGCAATGATGAGATGTTACGAGCACGTAGCAAAAGAGAGTGAGGAAGTCGAGGCATAACACCGTGAGGTGCTGTATGGGAATTGGAAGACAAAGTTTATTTTGCAATTGAGCATTGACGCGCGATCACGTGCTAGCGTGACCATTTCCTAGAAGTATGGCCAAACTTCGGATCAGATTAGATAGGGGCCTGGAAGTCTTGGGGATTATATTCGCATGGCATCATTCATTCCATCACATCTCACAACCTTCTCTTATTCATCCCCAGAGTGTGCATGCTTTCTCGACTACGTCCAAGGCCACAATGGCTTTCCCATGGTACTCGATTAGCCTTCTCCAGAAATACTCGCCATTCCTATGCGATCCGTTCTGAACCACCCTCTTTTCCTACGACTTCGAAATGCCCTTCTCCAACATGTTCTTGCTCAGAGACCCCAGAACTGCCACCTAACCTACCTATCGATCATCAGACGAAGCTCAATGGCACAATGTCACCTTATACAGAGCAGATCCTGATCTGTACTGGCAAGGACGACTGGCCTTCTAAGATTGAGGACGAAAATGAAGGCGAGAATCTGGCAGCAGATTTCAAGCAGCTCCTTTCTAGAGGGGGAGCATATGCTGATGTAATTTTTCCACATCCCATTATTCCTGATTTTGTCTGCTGATAATTGGATACTGTTCAGCCATATCATAACCTATCCGTTATCAATTCATCGTTTCCCTCATCGAGAACCAATGGTGAAAGCACGTCTTCCTCCCTGTATCTGCTCCCATCATTCAAATATGTGCCTTTCGTTCGTGGCTCAAGCGACATAAACCAACTTGTTAAAGGATATCTTCAACCCGACAAACTACACCCCGCACACGAGGCCTTGAGTCCGCAGATTAGAGATCGCCTTACAAGGGACAAGAAAGAATTAGAATCTCTAGAAGGGGGGCTACACGATATAAATAACATCCTTGTGCTGATTTGTGGGCATGGAGGAAGAGATGCTAGATGTGGTAAGTATGGTCCGGTGTTGAGAGACGAGTTTGAGAAGGGGTTGGAAAGGAATGATTTCAGAGTTTCCAAGGACGCAGTGAACGTCTCGTTCCGAGTGAACGACGGCCCGGATACTCAGCTCGATCCTATCGAAAATGACCATAACCGCCTTCCGATTGCTCGAGTTGGGTTGATCAGCCATATTGGAGGCCACAAATTTGCAGGCAATACGATAATCTACCTCCCTCCAAAAATGAAGACGCAAACAGGCGGTTCTCATCCTCTCGCGGGCTGTGGTATATGGTACGGCCGTGTCGAACCCAAGCACGTAGACGGAATTCTGAAAGAAACGATACTTGGAGGGAAGGTGATTGAGGAGCTATTCCGTGGCGGCATACGGCAAGATAAGGAGATTATGAGACTTTGAGTCTTAGCTTGCGGGACTCTGCTCTAATCTTGCGGTCGACAGAAAGTGCATGTCTTGATCTTGAGGTGCGGGAATCTCTTCTCCATCGAATTCCACCATGGCTCTCTGGATCTTTTGATTTCGAACAATACCGTCGTTCTCACTTAACCTAGATTAGACAATTGCATGAAGGAGAGCCTGCTTCGAGCATTGAGGCTTCTGAAGTCGCTTGCAAAGCGCAAAGCTTCCATTTCGAGGAGGTGCCACGGGATCCAGCTTGACGTGCCTCCTTTATAGGATCCGGCGACGAGAAACCACGCGATATCGCCGTTGTTCTTTTCGATCATCTTCGATGTCCGTACTGTACCAGGAACAGATATCGTCAACATGGGTTTCAATCTCAGATTCACGCATGAGAGTCTCAGTCAAGAAACCCCCACTTCTCGTGGACAGCTCGCAATACTTGGTGGTGTTTTTGGAAGGTGATGCTTTCAGATGATATTCTCCAACCTGTCAGCTGCCATGTAACAATGCTCTATTTAGACAATTGCCAAGGGAACGGATTGAATCTAGACCAGCCTTATTTCCAATCTGTTATTTGGAGTTGCATATTATTTCGTGCATCTACTGGAAGAAACTTGGTTTACGTGCATTTGCAACGGGGTTTCGGGATAATGAGCCTTCTTGCATGCTTCGAAGATCGAGTGGAGAACCGCTTCTGTGAGATGTTGGTATGCGGTATTTATCTCAGATAAATTTTCGGCATCTCTACCTACGTCTCATTTCGAAGTCAATATCACACATATACATTGCTTGCATAAAATGAGCCAATATCAAGCTTCAAGCTCCGGAAGTTTCAGTCCGGGCGAAATCACTATACATCTTCTTACTGGCGGAAACAAACCATCTTATCTGATTCTACTAACATCTTATTCGTACCTACGAAGATGTACGTGTACACTCATCCACTATTCCCACAGACAAACAACGGAGACGAAGCACATGGATACCTAGGTACATGTCTAGCCTTCCAATTCCAGCAGGTGACCATCAAAGGTCCCAACTACCACTGCACCAGGCTACAATAGTACAACAGGGACCTCGGTAAACAACATCCAGAACACGATCGGTGATTATGTTTGATACTGCCGTACCAAAGAAGTCGGACTGTCCTCCGCTGCCGGATGAATTGGCACGTAACACGAAGAAGACAGATTTGTCTGAGGGGAAGCTTCCACGACCAAAAGTTGGCACAGCCACATTCGATGACCCCTCATATCCAAGTTCCACCCTAAATCATAGGTACATGACGATCTTCGTAGCATCTCGATTCAGCCACATACCACATTGCATGTTCTTTGTTTGTTTCGATGACGTTTGTTGACGCGGATACAGACGGCGAGAGGGAGGGGGGAGGGGTAAGAGGGGGATGTGTGGCGGATGTGGATCTAAGCGAGAGCTCCAGCCACTTACACTATTGGAAAAAGGTTCACGCTACGTCAGCGGGGTAAATCCTTTGATCCAATTGAGCTCGCCATATCCGGGGTCTGGTTGGATTTTTGATCACCAGTGTGCTGCAAATCTCTGCATTGGGTTAAGCTCGGTATCATGTAATAGTGCCATTTGGGATTTGCCCATACAAATCGACCATGGCATTTTGAAGCCAGTCCTAATGGGAGCTGGTGTGACAGACTTCATCGGTCTCGCCCACGGTCGCCTTTCGGTTCGTTACAGTTGCCGCCCGCAAGTGGCCGTGTTTGGACTGTACTTTTGAGTGTGTACCGTGTTTAACCAAGGTCCTTTGAAGCAACTTCACCAGGTTAACCTCATGCGTGTGTTTTTTCTCCCACATCTCTGCCTCAGATTTTTGCCTCTGCTGACCCCTCCAACCCCTCCAACCCACATTCATCTGAGCCAGAACCACCCCTCTTGTTCTGATGACGTAGCTTCCCATGTGAATATCAGAATCAACCCCTCGCCTTGACGGCACTACGCAAATGGCGCTACGGATCCACTACGCACTCCTTAGCTCCATGAGGCTCTAGGAGGTGTTTATAAGGACATCGTCTACCCCTCATCTCCTTCCTTTTCAAAAACCAAACTCAATCTCAAACTCAATCAACTACACTTCACAAACCAAACCAAACAAACAACCCAATCACTCAAAATGGAGACCATCAAGGTACGTTCTTACATCTTCAATCTCCTCATTGGGTTTTCACAACTAACATCCTCCAGAACGCTGCCAACTACGTTTCCGAGACCGTCCAGGGCGGTGGTGCTGAGGCATCCAAGGAGGCCAACAAGTCTGTCGCCAAGGACGGAAACGCCAGCTTGTCCAGCCGTGCATCTGCCGCAAAGGACGCTGTTGGAGACAAGATGGACGAGACATCCCACAACACCAAGGCTGATGTCCACAAGGGTAAGCTTCCTTTCCCCTCTCCTCACCTTCTCAACATCATACTAATATATTATCTGCAGAGGCCACCAAGCACTAGATGCTGAATTTCACTTCATACACCCAACTTCCAGGAGGATGGTTTTTGGACGGCGTCTTGGGCAGGGCATATTGAAACACGGATGGCTAGGACGGAATGCAAATGCACCTTTGCATGCATGAGTTTCGAGGATCATAGTGGTTGTACTACTCTTATACCCTGATGGCTTAGCAAACGAATAAAGCTTTGCGTACCCTAAATTTGTCTTGAGTCTTTTGATCGTGATCTGATGCAGTGATTTTTGCAAATTTTGTTTGTTGTTTGCTCGTTGATACACACCACAAATAGCCCGAGTTGCTGATGACGTCATACCAATATGATCCAGAGGTCTCTTTATTCTTCTTCACCTCCTACAACTTTCAGAAGACCGCATGAGCTGGCCTGATGTTGTTGTTTTCAACTGCTCCATATCCGTTGGCCGATTTGATGTCTAAAACGCGTCTTCCAACGGTTATACCCGTAAGTGTCAAGGTCAAGATTACGTGTAACAGTCTGCTTGTTCACAAGTCTCGAAACCTCACCATACGTGACTTTTTTCGGGATATCAATTCTTTGATATCTCACAAATTGCCTGCTCTCCCACTTGCCTACGGTATATTCCCAGTTGCGCAATACAAACCTTCAAAGCTTGGTCGTTCAGGTACAAAGTCCAAGCGTCGCAAGGGCAGGGACCTCGGGATGACACGAAAATGTTGATCCAAGCTTCAATTCAGCACAACGCGATGTATCACTGAAGTATACACGTCTTCAAAACCCTCATTTTAGATCAATTATTGATGCCAATATGTCCACCACCACTCCCCCATCCCTCATATCTCTAATAGACACCACAACCATCCTCTCCCTCCTCCTCGTCCTCGTCCTGCTACTCGCAGCTTATGCTCTCTCTTTGCGCACTCTGCGCACCTCCACCCCGACTTCCTGTATGCAGCTTTTTCCTTTCCTCTCCCTTCTGGTCACCTGCTCCAAGTAGCCGTGGCAGATTTCCACTGCTCTAGACTCGCATTTCCTCTTAAACACACAAAAATCCACATCCTGACTTCTCAAAGGGCGCATCCTCTTCATCTGGCACATCTTCGACGCCCTCATCCACCTCATCTTCGAAGGATCCTTCCTCTACAACTGCCTCTTCACCTCAATCCCCTTCAACCCTGCCACGCACCACCCCGCCCTTATCACCAATTTCCTCGGCCGTCCCGACCGCCTCTACGGGAGTCGGTATGCCGATAACTGGGCCAGCAAGCTGTGGATGGTCTACGCGCAGGCGGACGCCCGGTGGGCGGAGGCCGATCTGACGGTTGTGAGTCTGGAGATACTTACGGTGGGCATTGGGGCGCCGTTGGCGGCGTGGGTGGCTTATATGATTGCGAGGGGGGATTGGAGGGTTAGTTTTTGGATGACGGTGCTTGCTACGGGGGAGTTGTATGGTGGTATGTTCTTTTCCCCTTGCTTTTCAATCTCTCCCTTTACATCGTACTGACAGGTGTTTTTTAGGCTTCATGACCTTCGCGCCCGAGTGGCTAACCGCGAATAAAAATCTCGACGGTAGCAATCCCTTGTTTCTCTGGGTGTTCTTGGTTTTCTTTAATATGCTGTGGGTGGTTATCCCGCTTTATGCGTTGTGGGTTGCATATGGGGATATTAAGAATGCGTTTTTGGTTCGGGATGGGGTTGTTGTTGCGTCGGTTAGGAGGGCGGAGGAGAGGAGGGGGAAGAAGAGTGATTGATTGGGGACGCTTGGGTGTGGGATTATGGGATGGTGGTGAGATATACTTGTTTGTTGGTGTAAGTACGGAAAATGAGGAAATTGGGGATCTTGGGTATGTTTTAATTGGTTCTGGAGTATGTGGCCATGGCTTGATGCCTATATACTCGGTGTGAAAAGCTGTTTGGGAAAATATAATGTCTAATTTTGCTGACCGCAGTACGAAGGTCAAGTACTCTTGTACAACATGTATTTGTGAGTACGCAAACTGAAAATTCATTTTGTTTTTAGAGATAATTTAGTAGAGTTTAGGAGCGGAAGAGATTTTGTTGGAATACGCTTTTGGTGAGTCCTCTTTAGTGAGAGGGAGAATCAATTGTTCACCATGAGAAAGTTTTATAGAATCAGTTTAATTTTGAGGCGAGCAGTCAATGTGAATTCAAGGATTTTGGGTTCATTTCAAAAGAATACATTATTGTCATGGAGACACCAGTCAAAGCGCCAATCACGTATCACTCTCATGATCCCGCAGGAACCTCGCAGTCTGCCTCTCCATAATAACCAACTGCTTATACCACTTCGACGTCGACTTATCGGCCGTCCGATACAAATCCACCGGCATGAACTTCAACCGATCCCTCAGCTCCCAGGTGATATCCCGATACACTATCGAACGTTTCCTACCAAAAACCCCATCATCGTACACCTGCCGAGGACAATATGTAAGTCCCGTCTTCGAAACATCTGCGCCCTTGACATTCAGGTACATCATCAGCTCAGTGCGATCTTGGATCTCAGGATAGCATGCTGCGATGGTCATTTGAATCTGCACGAATATCAGATATCGGATTCGTAGTTCGGTGAGGGAGTAGTGGAGTGTATGGAGTCCTAAGATCATCCTTTCGAGATCTACCGGTTTGCATCTCTCGCGTACTTTCGTAATCCATACTAACGATTGACAAGTCGAATTATTCCTCTCCCCACTCGTCACAACGCTCTTCTTCTCCACAGACCGTGCAATAGTAGTATGTACAACCTTCGGATCCTCACACTCATTCTGCCCCCACAGAAACGACGAGATATCAATATCAGCCTCATAATGCGTCTTATTCCCCTCATCCTCCACATACCTACTAAACGCCATCCCAAACATCTGTTTCAGCTCCCTCTTATACGGCACCAACCGCTCTCTCGTGCAACTAAGACTATGCTCGCTCCTCGGCGGCACCGTATCAGTCGCCCACGTCTTCCTCGATACCTCCCGCGTCATCGTCGTCTCCGTCACACCACCGGGGTACTGCTGGATCCGCACCTTCGTTTTATTCTGCAACGCCTCCCATCCGAAGTCCGTGACGAACATCAACCCGGTATTCTTATACGGTCTGTTCTTCAGCCGGAACCGCGCGAGCGTGTCGTGCACGCTCGTGAAATCCACAGTAGCCTGACCCATGGGCTCGCGGCAGCAGGGACAGCGATGAGCTGGGTTGCGCCGGCTGAGCCGTTGCGACATCATCTTGGTGTAGCATTGTTGGCAGAGCGTGTGGCAGCAGGAGCCGACGGGTACCTGGATGTGCTGCTCGCTGTAGGTTTCGTAGCAGATGGGACAGTGGGAGCTGGGATCCTGGGAGTCTTCGTCGAATTCGCCGGTTTCTGAGAAGGGGAGATCGTCCCAGTCTTCGGGGTTGGGGGTTTGGCCTTGGGCTGTGCGTTTGGATGGGTGGGACATGCTTGCTGAGATGTGGTTGTGGATTGTGCTCAGAAAAGATGATGAATGCGGACATTGTGGTGGAAGGGAACGCCATTTTGAAGATATTGGGTTTGAGAAGTTCTGTTCTCGATTTCTTGAGGTGTTCTGTGATTGATTTTGTTCATTGCATATTTGGTGATGCTACTCATTTTGTTCATGAAAGATTCAGTAACGCTATCTGGTTTTACATCTCGACTGACTCTATTCTGTCAACTGCAACAGTCGTATACACAATGTGATGATAGCTCATTCTTGTGTCTATATGTCTGCTAACGATATCATCCCTGATCGTTGATTCTCACGATAGCAATGGTGGTAGAAGAACATCCCGTATAAGACACTTAATCATGTCTGGATGAACAAAGAAATACAGGTTTGTGGGTATTGCTGTAAAGAAGTCATATACGGAAGCGAATGGCCTTTGGAGTCAAGTGATCCAAAGGGCACATGATAAATGATTGATGGGACAAATGTATTAATGATTTTGTTTTTATTTTGACACGAAATATACTCATTGACAGACATGAAGCATGCCATCATTTATTTTTTACCAAGGCTGCCGCTGCATAACAGCCAAACCCCTATACCAAGCGCTCTTATCCCAATCCCTAAAAAATTCCAACGGCCTATTCAACACCCGATCCAACAACAACAGCCCACTCCTAGACAGACTCGTCAGCCTACCATACTTCCGCGCATAAGCCTCCTGAATATCAACCTCAGGACTCTCCGCCACACCAGTAATCCTCACAATAACCTCCCTCGCCCTCAGAAACTCGCTAAACGTGTCCGCCGCAATCTCAGGACGACACGCCGCGATGCTCATCTGCAACTGAATCCACACCCCTCGCTTGATTTCCCAGTCCGCGAGCGGCGATTCTATGAAGGGCTCGATGCTGATGCGACGAGAGCTCCTGTTGTAGTGTTCCCGGATGCGGGTCACCCATCTTGCGGACTCGGTGGAGTCGAAGCCGGCTGTTGGAGCGTTGTCGATGTCGAGGTGTTGGCGGATGGTGGTGCGGATTCTTTTGTCGAGGCTTCGGTATTGTGAGATGCCATCTGGACTGTAGGTGCGGAACCAGTCGAAGGTTAGTTTTGGGTCGAGGATCTTTTTGGTGCCTGTGGTGCCGCGGAAGTATTTGTGTGCTGTTTGGAGGATTTTTGAGATGTCTTTTTCGTGGGTGTCGAATTTTTGTGCTGTGCAAATCGTGGTGGGTACTGTTGTACCTCCGAGTTTCTCTTGGATAGTACCCTTTTTGACTTTCTTGGATACAGTGTAAGTCATCTTCGTCTCCGTCACATCTTCATCAAGATTCTGTCTTATCTCAATCTTCGTCTTCTTCTCAAGCACAACCCACGATGCTTCCGCCTCCCGAAACCCCACCAACCCTGAACTTTTATCCTCCCTATCATTCCGATACCCACCAACAAGATGATCACGAACGAACTCTAGAGCGTAACGACGTCCTGTTTCCACCCGAATCGCTTTCTTCATTCGCACGCGACAGTACGGACATTTTGGACGTCGGAAGTCGAGTCTGGAGCGCGTGGATATGGCGTTGAAGCAGGGCTCGCACATGGTGTGTTTGCAGGATCCTGTGCCGACTTCGATGCGTTCTAGATTGTAGTTTTCGAGACAGACGGGACATTCTTCGTGGTCTTGGTTTGTGGAGTTTTGGAGGAAGAAAAGGTGGAGGTTGGTGCTTTTTGAGTTTTTGAGGTTGGAGCTTGAGACATGTTGCAGGTGCTGTGTGGTTGGTAGCAGTACGAATGAGCAGTTGGATGGAGAAAAAAAGCTAGTGATATACTGAGAACAATTTTCTTTGTTGTTCTATCCAAAGACATTGTTGTTCAGGAGAATCTCATAATTGTAGGTGACATTGAGCTGAAACATTTTATTTATTAGATTCATTGTTCTCACTCTGGGCGAACTTCAATTCCATAATGCCCCCCAACTGTGAATGGCACTCCATATGTGAGTGTAGAGATGTTTTGCTCTTGAATACAATTTTGATATGATACCCGATTCGAATTTCGGGTTTTAATTTGCAATTTTGCTTTTTGACAGGAATCAAGATCTGTATCAGTACATAATTTAGAAATTGATGTTTTGCATGGAAGTCAGTATAAGTATTGGAACATGTTTGGTAATGACGATGTATTTATTATTCTTGAGGCACACTACTCAGCTTATGAAGTGGCCATAATAGAGTGTGAAGTGTACTAACTTGAACGAAATCCAACAGATGCTAGGCCAATTCATTAGATTGCATTGTTATGCAGTGCTCTTTGTTAAGGACTCAAGGCTAAACACCGATCGATGGCTACAATGTCTACCTTGAAAATCATAGTTTTCCAGGTTAGGTCATGGCAGTCTGCCGTGTACTGAACGGTTTTCTCAGTCAGCGGCAAGTAACGGCTGATCTTCATCGGGGGCGAGTAACTCAGCCGGCCGGTCAACTTCGGGGGCAAGTAGTGGCTGTTCCACACGATCGATGAACCGCTCACTGTCAGGTGTAAACCAATATGGTGAGAGCCAATAACCATACTCATGCTTCATAGCTAGCAATGTCCTAAACAAAGAACTTTGACCTCTTGCTCTGTAGATATCTAGAGGCATCAACGTATAATGTTTAGCCAGTGTGTAAATAATCCATAAGAGGCCAAGACCGTATGAGAACTGCCAGTAGGTTCTCCAATGATGCTCTCCTCGAGGTGAATCTACGATTTTGGTAGCGGCGCAATTTGCTCTCCTATTTTGAAAGAACACGTTTAATTCCGAGAAGTTTTTCAATTCAGGACGAGATACCGCTATCGTCATTTGAATTCTGATGAATGTAAGGAACTTGATCTCCCAATCGGCCGCCGTCGAACGTTGGAAACTTCTCTCCACCCTGTAAGGTAAAATGCTTTCATAGACTCTGGTTGTGTATAACAGAACTTCGGAAGTTTCAAACCCTTTCCTTCGTTGACGATTGAGCCACAGGGTTCGATGGAGCCAAGTCTCGAATGACTTAGTTTCATCAATAAATGGCTCGCATAGAAAATGTATGCTCCGCTCTTTGTGCATCTTGCTGGCTGCAGTGTCGTCCAGATGTTTGCGGAATTCTTGATCCAGCTTTTCTCGGACTCGTAGTTCTTGGGTGTCGAATTCAGCCTCCGTACAATTTACAACAGGCGCTCCTCGGTTTTCCTCGGCATTATCACTCTTTCTTCTCGTGCTTCTTGATACCTCGTGGATCATATCGGTGTAGAAAGAGTCTTTATTGAATTGACGCGTGAGAACCGTAGTTGTCATGCGAATTGTTGTCCAAGTAGAGCCCCGGAAGTACGTTAAGCCGTCGCTGTTGACTTCCAAGCCCTTACGATGAGGGAAGAGGTGATCGCGGAGAAATAGTAATTGTCTGCCATGTCGCATTGGGGCACAACAGTACGGACATAAAGGCCAATCAGGATAGCTCGGAGACATTGACTCTTTGTCCTCGGTAAGAATCTCGAAGCAAGGTTTGCAAATATAATGTTGACATAACCCTACCGATACTTTGACCCTCGCTGGGTCGTATGGCTCGAGGCAAATGGGACAATCTGTGGGAGAACCTTGTGAATTGGCCGAGAAGAAAGATTTTAGGCTCCTGCTATCCGAATCCGAATCTTGAGCTACTTTGAGAGAAACCATTTTGACAGAAGACATCTTTGTAGTGGATATCGAGGGTAAACTGACAAAGTAACAGGTAGCTGAGAAGATATAAAGGTCTAATCAATAGTCTTGTTGTGTAATGATTCTGTTCAGGAGAGGTCTTGTCTTTTATAATAACATGCTGTCTTTAGTTAGTTCACTCTGTGCCCAACAGCTTAGTTCACGTAATCGTCTGCCTCTATGTTTACTGAGTCTGCGGGCTGTGCTGAAAATTCGCTACACATGAGCAGCCACCAAGACTCGTGAACCAAAGTTGAAGATATTGCTCAACAAGATGTGTACAATTTATGTCACTCCTACAGACTCGTGTCTCGTGCGCCCCACTGTGGTAACAATTGAGATTCCACTAATTATTTCGGCGGTGACCAGTTCTTCCAAAGCTTTTAGATTATTTTGTCCATTTCCACATAACGAGCGATGGCGTTGACCAGTTCAGCTGGGTTAGATATCGTCGGTGGCAAATGACCGATCGACGTGGGATAGATAGCTTCATGAAATTAGTTTCCAGGACTTTGTATTTCACAGCGGTTTTGTCAGAGAGAGCGATTGTAGATGATAGAGAAGCATATGTATTTTGGGGCAAAGTTTTGGTTCAAGTATTTGTAACGTATCTAACTGGATTGATAAACAATTGTTCAACCGTGTCAGTATTAAAATGTTAAACGCTCCATATTTTTCAATGAGCGATAGAGTGGAGAGCACCATGTGTCCTGGGTAAACCTTTGACGGAGGCCCCGAGGCAAGGCTAAAACACTATCATACTTATCGGCCAATGAAAGCAGAACACCTGCACTTCTTGGGTATTTAGAAAGAGCGGCACGAGCGTAGTCCTCTCTTGGAGATTGCCCTAGGGTTGTACCATACAAATTAAACCCAGAAGAAATAAGGAAGTCTTTCAACTGTTCCGAATTTTGAATATGAGGGTTAGGGAGTGCTATGTAGATCTGGGTTCGAATATCTACCAAAAATTTCTCTCTCCAGTCTGAAAGAGAAGCAGGAATGCTAGCCTCTTCCTCGGGCGGGTCCCATTGGCAGTGTTGGGTCATCTTCAGCGTCCATGTTACTGAATCAACTTGTCTGAACTCTTCTGTAGACTCACTCCTCACTACTATTGATTGCTTGATGAAAGTGTGAATCCATCGTGGCTGCTCAGTAATGTTCCTTCGAATTGGCGCTGAACAAAGATGTATATCTGGTTCAAGAACCATCACGCTAGTCTCTGAGCCACTGAGATAATTACCAATCATCTCATCAACCACATCGCGGAGGTTCTTCGATAGTGACTCAAAGTCCGCTTGCTTACAAGTCGGGCTTATACCATCAGGGATATTGCGCATTCCCCTCTTGGAGCATAGTCTGTTAACTTTCGTTACTTCTGTAAGCCAGCCAGTGTACTGACTAATATCACATGAGTGGCCTGACTCAAGTACGTTCCAGCCAGAACTAGAAAAGCCCACCAAATTCTCCTCGCTGTTTGATACGTGAGGAAACCGGTAATCAGAAAAAAAGTCTTGGGCAGTTTTATACTGAGCGACCAACTGGGGTCTCCACTCCGCATGGTCGTCAGTTTTTGAGGATGTGGCCAAAGGCTCACCAACGGATTCTCGACATAGCGGACATTTAGCGGTGTTATCATCAGAAGCTGGAGTGGCGAGTAGAAACCTATAACAGATTTGGCAAATGTTGTGCTTACAAATTTCCAGCGGCACTTTGACTCGATATTGGGAATATGCTTCATAGCAAATTGGACACCCCGACTCAGTCTTTACATTGCTCGCATCAGATGAGATCGGAAGTAGCTCCGATGCACTAGAAATCGAGCTGGAAATCTGTTCTTCGATAGGATCAGACATGTTTATTGAATAGTACTTAGAGAAGTTGTTGATTTGAAAATGGCAACCTGGAGTAGGCCAACCCCATCATTAAAACCTTGGTTATGAAGTTGTTTTATTATTTTTGTTATGTACAATAGCCTTTCAACAACCACCTGTTCTCCTTTCAGCAACAATCCATTGTCTTGGGCGTGATATTCAGCTTTGTCCGAGGATTCAGGCTCAAAGAACTTTTATACCACTAATATTTGCTGCTAAAAGCTGTTTGAAATGGGACTGGGTCAATCCCACCACACAAAGAACACTACTCTGTAGTAACACTCGTTGAATTGTATTCTGCGACTCCTGATTTCCCTGATCGTAAAGCCTACTAACCGCCGAGGCGGGTTAGGTAGGTAGTTGGCCTCCAAAATGCTAAGCAAGTCATACGGTGAGATCTCCTTCCGCAAATCCCCGTATAGAAGATGAATTGATGGAAGAGATTCGATGAAGGCGTTGGGGACGTAGATTGATAGGAGTGCCATTCGAATGGCCGGTTCTTCGATTGATGTAGCCAAGGTATGGTTAGCGAGCGCAAGAGTTGACGTGAAATACATATTAATGCCGTCCAATCCACAGAAAATGAGACGGTATATAGCTGGCCAAACTTCGCCAACGATTTGTTCCACAAATATCATTTTGTCGATTCCTATCTCTCGACACGCCTTCTACATTGTTGTTGCTTTAGATACTGATGAGGAGACCGCTCTTGGTGATATACCTGGTCTACCTGATGTTGATTGCCGATTCCTATCCTGAGCCCTCATGGAGGATTCTCGTTGAAGCCTTTCTAGGCTTAGAAACCGTATCTCCATAGTGTCTTTAACCCAGAAGTTTGTCGTCTCGGTGAACCTAATATTGGCAAATTCGGGGTCCAAAATTGCCTCACGCAGCTCAGCGTTGACTCCCCATGAAATCATCTGTGTATTCTCATCCGTGAAATCATCTTCCGATTGTGGTATAGCCGTTAAAGCGTACTCGATAAACGAATGTTCCAAGGCGTGGTTTGTCCGCTCATACTCCTCGAGAGTTATCCACTCGCACCATATTTGAGCAGCCTTCTCTGTATCGAAGCCGATGTATTCGAGACTCTCGGCAGATTCCAAGTATTCCGGGACTGATATAGGGGTAGTAAGCGATATCCCTGAGGTTGTCGGATTTTCCGGGAGAGAGAGTCCGGAGGCGAAAAGGCTTTCGGAAACCTGGCGCCTCCTACGATCTACTGTCGTTATGTGTCCACTCCTCTCGAGTGATGTCGCATCTGCTGGATCAAAAATCTTGTTTGATTCCATTTTGACTCTTGGGAGCTGTTGTGAAGAGAAAATTCTAGAGATAGGGTCACGGGGGGGTTGTGAGAAGAAAAAAGTTCGGGAAATGTGGTTCAGGAAATTGGAAGAGAGTAAAAAGAGAGCTGTGAAGAAAAAGAGTTTCAGGTAAGACGACTAACTTATAGTGAGTCACGGTACTAGTACGAGACCCTTGCTTTAGCGGAACCGCTAAACACCAGTTGAAGCCTCTCGTAGTATCGTCACAACTACGTTTAGTGCTAGTACCTTTTGACATCATAATATCAGGTGCCAAGCACAACGCCTTGGGCCCGCTCCCGGTTGCGTACCTCTCTATTGCCTAAGTACCTATCAGATTAAGCATGACAGGCAGTCTTGCCTTGACAGTTACACTTAGGCCGAAAACTTCGTATTTACCAAAAGGAGTTGACGAAATCTCGTATTTTCTACGATCCGTAAATTGCTTTGAGTCAATATCGTGTTGCGACAGACATCTGCACCGTTCACCACGAGGCCCGCCATTTATTGCTCCGATGCTGAGTATAGGTCCATAGTGAACAGAGACACAGCTGTTGTTAATAATGAGGTCTAGATCATATTATTTTGAATGCGTCAATGGAGTGGAGTTCGACTAAGCTTCATTCAAGCGGACATGTTGGCAAGTAGCCAGGGACCCGAATGTCCATTTTCAGTACTCTAGATAGCTTATGACAGCCATATAGCCAACCGAACTCTTTGGTTACTCAAAAGGATGAGCCAGAAAATGGCTGACATCCCGGCTTAATCGCTTGCTGACGTGGACAATACTTCCTTGTTTCTTTTGAATCTGACAACTATTTGCCAGGTGTATTTTGAAGGCCAGGCTCAAATACTGCGAAAGAAGTATTGCTAAAAATTCCTGGCATGATTTACGACGAGGACAAAGTAAGCTTGCGGAAACATCCAGAAAGGAAGCTCGAGTATATCCATTATCAGCATTTGCAGATTGTTGCCCGGAATGAAATAAAGCACATCACTCTCGACGCTTTCGCTGGAATGGTGAGAAACAATAGTTTTGGTGTGATTTCTCGCAAGTATTGAGAGGTTCGTTGGCGGCCATTTCGAAATTTGCATCCTGAGCGCGTGGTTTTGTTTGCTGGAAGGTGTGAGTGAAAGTTTAGGGAAACCTGAATACACGACAGAATCGAGGTAGCAACGAGTGTGAGATAATTCTCTTCTCCTCTCAGCGCTAATACCGGAGTTCCTTACGCGCTTGACATTGTTGTGATCGGTTCTGTGATCGACGAGAAAAACGCGTCCGGACCGGAAGATTATTCCACCGACGGTCATGTGACTTTAACGCTGTCAGAGTGTCATATCCAGACGATCCAGTCTACAAACTCATTGAATATTTTAAGTTATGAAGTCTGGTACTCTTTTAGCTCTGCCAGCTCATGGCTCGGACAGATCTGACTTGCTCCATCCCTCATCTGTTCCAGCTAACCGGAAATTTCGGTCATTTTTTCTGGAAGCCGTACGAGCATCTTCGAGGGAAGAAGCAGGGACAGCAGAGTTCATTCCGCCACCTCCTCTGATATCCTGCTCTGATTTTGTTCCCCGGCCTCTGGTGGAGTTGTTGATGCGGAAGAAGAAAAACGGAGCTCTTGGAGTGAAGTGGGTGAAAGGCGATGAGCTCACGAACATGGAAGGCGCCATGCATACTTTTGTTACTCCTGTCATCTCGAAGTGTGAAATGAATGGCGATTATAGGTACAATCCTGTCATTGGTGGTCATGGAGTTGATAGGTTTGGAGACGTGATAGAAATTCCAGGCACGGATGGGAACAGACAGAAATACCAACTTACAAGGTCTGTAGTTTTGAGTGCTAGTATCCAAATGGATTTCGAAAACGGCAAAGTAATGCTCAACGCCTGTATGCTCGAGGAATCCGAGACTATCGGTGTGGATCTATTGTCCGACAGCGCATGGGTTGTTCTCGAGAAGAAGGCAAAACAAGACGACAAAAGAAGAAGAGCCTACGATGAAACGTTGAAGCGGCATATGATATATCATCTCACAGCATCACGTACTTTGCCTGCAAGAAAGAATGCTAAAGACTTATTTAGTATTGACGGGACAATTCAGCTCTTGGAATCATTCATCAAAACACTAAACGCCAGCACAGACAAAATGGTGGGTGTATTTACCAGCTTGGACAACAGACAAATTGTATCCATTGAATTCCTTTTCAACACAGCCCTAGAACAAGTAAGGAACGAGATAGCAGCTCTCGAATTTCTATGTACCCAAGGCTATGTGTACACCTACGACCCTGCTTCAATCTTTGCGCGTAAAATTAGTGCTAAAATCCTCAATCGATTAATGCTTGCTGCTCTCAAACATCTGTCAGATCAGCACAAGTTCGCGAATATGAGGGTATTTGGTTTCAATGACTACGCTGATAAGAACGCAATTAATCTGGCTCATTCGGCATTGCGGAAACAGGAACATGTTGTGGTAACGAGCAAACAGGATCTGTTCAACGGTACGGGCGGTATGAACGGGCTATATAATGTTGCACATATCTCTCAGGCTGTGGGCGCAATGTTGGTAATCCACAATAATAGTGATGGTTTTGGTCAGAATATCGAGACTGAAGCTATGACTGGGAGTCTTGATGGCGCAATTGGCTCAAGCTCAAGTGCAGCTGCAAGTCTGGAGAGAAGTCGAGAAAATCTTTTGGATTTCGTTTGGTAGCAATGTCTTTCAAAGTACGTAATCTTACTTGGTTTAAATGTATTATGAAATAAAGCTGAGATCCTAGCGACAGTTTAAACGTCGAGTAGAAGATGGAGAAATGAAAACCCTCCGTTTTAGTAAAAGATTGAGAGAGTACCAGTAGGTTGCAGGTCAGAAAGGCTATGTACTTGCGGTATATTAGCGATATATAGAGCAATCAATTCGCGGATCGATCAAATCCTGGTTTTGAGTCAATATACTGGGAAACTACGATCTGGTCGTCAGTTTAGTATATTTTACCTTTTATGTACTTTAATGTTAGGTATTTAATAGAACAACGAGTACATATCCCTAACTATTTGCGGATTAAAACAATAGTGAGATATGTACAGAGAGGTCAATGAAACTACCACTTATATGTACAAAAGGTTGAAAAAAGATCAGCATTCTTAATTTCTACTCGATGAAAACCAAATACTTCTATTTTCGTACCTAGGAGTCGGACTTAGAGTGACGATTAAGCTACACAAAAAGGCTCCTACTGACGATAGATGAGAAACGACCTAATTTATAGATACAAATTGTCACTGAGACTTTACTCAAAATCCAGGATTTAGTGCGCGGGATCCCCGAATTAATGAACATGAGAATTGGTTGCCACAGATACACTTGCCTAGGAACTGCATTTAATTTAATCTGTTCGACTGGATTTAAGTAATTGATACCAGGTGAGACCGGCTCAGGACTGTCGAATTTGGTTGAACAGGTAACATCAAAATGCAGTCAGATTCTTGAGTATCGCTCGAGAGAATGAAGATGACATATACTTGCACCGGAAATCATTGGAACTTTGTCTTCTAAGTTCTCTAAGAAGGATGTTTGACAAGTTACATACTACATCTATTTCTCCGATTTTGTTACACAATTTGACGTAACAACTATCCGTCAAAAAGATCGACAAAAAAATAACAAAAGAAACAAACTCCTTTATACTTAGTCAACCACGAAGCTATCCTCGAGCTGATACTGTCAAACCTCGAATCAGCTTAAGTAACAATCAACCAATCACCCTTCTTAGAAACGTTATGCTTAATCCAAATGCATGTTCGATGAGTGAAAGAATTATGATCTACCTTATAGGGCCTTCGGGTATCGACCGACAGATGACGTGACGGTGTTTATGCGTTTGTTGAAGTTGGAGCGATTATTTCAGGTTGAATATCGATGAGCAACGCTGGTTTCCATCAAGATAGATCACGAATTTCTTGGTATGATGCTCTGAAATCCTTTAGGAATAACTGGTTTGGGTCATTTTTGGAAAGTAGTCACGGAACTTCCGAGATCTGATGATATACCACGGCTGCCGTTGTTGGCAGAGTGGTACTTACCCCCCCTTTGGACATATCCTCGATGCACCTCGAAAGATATGTGACACGCATCCAAGTCTCGTCATACCAAGGCCTTTCCACTACAATTCCTTCATCCCTCACTCCCAGATATGAGCAGCGGGATAAATCCAGGAGCCAACACGCCGTCACGGTACACGGTTTCGCTTCCTCCCGTAGTTGGTATTTAATGAAGTACCATTCTTCAGCAGTTATGATTGGAGGTAAAATCCCGAGTATCGTTCCAGTGTGCCGCCCATCGCAGCTCGCTAAACTGGAAATCTTGCATTGATGATGCGAAGCATGGTTGCGAACCTCCTGCATGCACCCGGCGACAAGGGTCTATATCCGTCAGCCTGCAAACGTCTGATCAACAGAATCATTCCCATACCTCTTAGAACGGACATGCGCGTTACTTGTTGAAAGTGTTACTGTAGAAGGATCTCACTGACGTCAAATGGATTCAACTGTAAAATTTTGAAGTCGCCCAGCAGAATAAGTGTAAACGTTCTGCTTGAAACCGGCACAAGTTCTTGTTTCAGCAGAAAAACTAGAAAGGTGGAATCGGATAGGTCATAAAAGGAACGTACTAGGACAAACTGGTCAAGTCTTGAGCAGCTCCTGCTAACTGAACTTATGATTGGCGCGGAGTCCGGCTCACCCCATAATGTGCCGCGCGAGGAAAGCTGGAGACGAGATGCGCCCAGGCCTTTGATTCAGCAATCTGAAGATTTTTCAACTCTGGCCAGGTGCATATCTACATCATCCTGCTCGTCTAAACTCTGGACGGAGGCTGGCCTTTGCCGGATGTGGGGTAGGTTCATGCGATCATCAGATGTCAATTATGATTCGTTGATTTTCTCCTTATCAAGCCTTCAGCTGTCAAACCCTTAAGTTCGGAGATTATTGGTATGATACAAGTTGAAAGGCCAGACTGTTCGATGAGACTTTGGTTCTTGACCTACCTACACCTCCATGGGAGAGTGTGGTAGGAATTTCAGTGCGCGAATTCCCAATGTCTAACACCACAGAGAATCTATCTCGTCAAATGTTGAAGCGCGTATCCGTGACAATGCCCGGGGGTGTTACCTCTCAATCTATCTGATTCGAGTAACAGACCAAGTGTCTTTAAACTTTGTAAGGATGTGATTGTAGCAGTCGACCAATTGCAAGATAGAACGCGTTGTTTCACTTATGATTTAAAGTTTCCTCGTGTAAGCAGTATAGAGCGAACTTTTGAGGCGAAACGCTGCGCTTCCAGAATCGTTTACTGCGAGTCTTTCGTGATGGAAGGAGGGGTCTAGTCACAGAATTCAGATAATGATTGCTCTAGGCAACAACGGGCAACAAACCGCGATTTTGGGTGTGTTTCGCGACGACTTCCCGTTGAGTCGCGCAATTTAAGGTATCCCATGAGATGAGAGTTTGGAAAGAAGGTTTGGTTGCAAGAGAGGATACTTCTGTTCTGCCCTTCATCACGTGCAAGCTAAATCAACAAGGGCTAGCTTCCACACCCGGCGCCGTCGCAACCTTAAGTCAACCACCACAACATTTCCATCACACACCTGCATCCTTTTGCAAACTGGAATTGTTTCTTGTGCCACCAAAAAACGCGAATTATATTCATCTATCTGCACTCAAGATGTTTGCAAAGCTTCTTCTCAGCGCCTCGCCTTGCTTTCTTGATGTGGCTGCGGACTGCTTGCCGAGCTCACTCGCGCGGACTTGTCGTGGTTTCATCTCAACTCTTTGAGACCTTTCAAGTGTTACAGGACGCAGAACCCCGGTATAACCACAAACTGCCGCTTGTGGCCTCGTGTCTCATTGGGCAATTGTTCGGTAGCGATCGAATGGAGAAATGGCGATAGCGACTTTTCAACATGGCGACAAGTCTAACTCTTTCGAGTGGAACATCCCGTGCAGCCTAGATTTGGTGATTGTGGTTTTGGCTCGAGATTCGACAACCGCCTTCGGAAAGCGATACTCAACGGGGTTTGCGATGTCTGGAATCACAGATGATAACCAGACACATAGACTAAGTTTGATCGAGGACGTTTCTTTTGTCAAGTGTTGTGGTTCAGTCGCTGACTTTCCAAGATGGTGCAGTGCATGCGCAGTCCCTCCAAAAGGTCAGCCATGATCTGAGATCTCTTGCAGGCTTAGACTGCAGTCAAGGATTATGGAAGCCTTCCATTCGTCTTTGTGACCCTCTCAAGTTTGGCCCATCAACGTTGAGTTCCTTTCTGCATGAGCCTCCCGTCGCTCACGGACCGTATGCATCCAGGGTTCTAAGCGAAGATCTGCGACCTTAACGAAACCTCCCTCCTGCTTCAGCCATGCCTTCTACACGAAACTCTCGTGAAGTGCAACAGCAGTGGGAAAGCTCACAGCACAATTCGATCTTTGTGATCAGTGAAGGTTGGACGCGCCATGTCGGTTCTCATGAGCTCAAATCGCGTCAGGAAGGCGTACTATTGGTTGCATCCCCAAGTGTCAGCAGTTGAGCTAAGGAGGGCATCGTCCTGAATGGCTCTCTCCGATATGGAGGCTCTTCGCAAGATACTGCCCTGGTCCACGGTAGGCAGTGCCCTGGACTATCTTCTTTGTGTGCCGTTCTGTCGATAGTTATCGAAAGCCGCTTATCCACCATGACTTTGGAGCTCTCCGTGTGGGTCGGACTCGACTTGTCCCGCGCCTGGACCATTTGTGTGCCTGTCTCGCTGCATGGACTTTTCCTTATACTTCATGCATTCCTCACAACAACACAGGCCTGGTGTCTTGATGTTCTTTTTGGCTTTTGCTGCCAGTTGTCGTCACAACTTTCCATTCGTTGGTACTCTTGCCACTGCTGCTGGTTCAGATTTCTGTTTCATATTCCTGCTTTTCCTGATCTAGGATACTTTCATTCTCCACTAATTCTCTCCATTCACTCGCGAGTCTTCCCTCCTACACAGCACTCTTTCGACAAAGAATCATCAACTACACGAGCTTCATGACTTAACAACACCATACGGATCGACTGGCCTCGTTGCCGAACAATCAACATTGTAAAGCTAATCGAAAGGATTGCCGAGAAGGAGGAAAACGATGGCGAGCACCGCCTTATTCGTGATGGAGCGGGCTCTTTCGCAAGGCGCCCAATTCAATAAGACGAGATTCAACGGGACTTTCGCTCAGGTTAATGGGACTGCAAAGAGCAATGCCACATCATTATTGATTCAGAAACTTGTCTTCGCGGAAAGCAAATCAGTCAGGACCTCAACGATCATTCTCGCAGTATTTAATGTTTTGGCGGCACTTGCGACAGCTGCCAGCATTTTATACGACAGTTATGTGGCGGGAAAGAGGTGTAATCCCAAGTTCAAATCAGTCAAGTGGTGTGTGAAGAGGATACATCCGGCGGAGATATTTCCACTATTGCTTTCCGCTGGAATTGCAATTCAAGGTCTGGCGTTCGTGGGAGTTCAATCGACTGGCTTGACATCGCTCTTTACAAAGGGTTGCTCCGTGATAGCTCAAGTTATGTGGCCTGGTATGTAGTCCCTTGACGTACCAAGTCCTCACTAACAGATGTAGCGTTATTTCTTGTGCCATACGTCCAACTGGTTTTTGGAATCGAGTGCGCACTTCGATCATTACGAGCGATGCCATTTCAGCCCAGGCATAAATTGACGGTTCCGATATTGGGAGTTATAATTTTGTTAATGATGATTGCCACATGGCTACCTTCGCATTTAATTCCCGAGAATGATGTATGCTTCGCATCACTATTTTGGTATATTACGAGATTTGGAAACATCGGTCTTGTCATATTGTCCGTTGTTGCGGCATTGATGTTGGTTAGCGCCATTACGATATTCGTTCGTTTGTCCAACAGCAATTTGATAGATGAGGATGAGCGAATTGCTGCGTCAAGAATGGTTTACTATCTAATCTTGGGCATTATATCTCTGGTATGTTACGCCAACATTCACTTAAGACAGAACTGATTTTGTTAGGCTTTCATCATCCCTTGGTTCGTTTCGCTTAACACAGGAAATGGGGACTTGAAAGCTGCCATGATGGCAGCTGTTGTGGTAAATTTGTCTGGACTGATTAGCGGACTTTTGCAATTGTTCTTGAGAGCCAACACAACAACCACATCGTTCGGCCCACTTGCGTCCAGGGATAAGAGGAAGCACGAAATCAGAATTTGGGGACCAAATGAATTGATGTTCAGCAATCACCTAAACTCTCCGCTTTCCGCTCCAAGAACACCAGTCGAAGTCGATGCAGAAATGGCACGTACCGAAAGTCGATCACAATTGGTCACACAAGAGAAAGGCCGTGTCTTCAGCATGGAATCCTTGAACAGCCTTTACAGCAACCACTCACCCACTTCGAAATTCAATGAACAAGCGTATCCACCTAGGATCAACGAACCAAAAGAACTGGAGGCAAATTTATATGGTCTAAGCTCGCCTTCGCAAGGGACTGGAAGGAAACAGACGTACTCGCTATTTCCGTCAGAAGGAGACAATAAGTTGACTGTCAATACTAGACAGGAGCCAACTTCGATCTATGATATCACAGACCTCCAACCACCGTCAAACGCATTTGGACGTGGCCACAAGCGAGACTCTTCGATACTATCCACGGCGACGGTACAAATCGGATTGCGACTATCACACGCTGTCTGCCCTAATGCTGCAGTTCAATTGCCACTGCCCCCAACCACCTATAAACCCACCCCAAATGCAAAGCTCACCGTACCAAAGCCACTACAGTTGAAGACGCAAACTCCTACAACAGTAACGCGACCCAGTCCCCTCGCCAACTCTTTCAGTCCCAAGACTATCAGCCCCAAGCTTTTCAGTCCTAAAGCTTCCCCATCTCTCAGCGCAATCAACAAGACTCTTCCACCAACCCCTCGATCAACCTCATCACAGCTGCCGAACAGTCCAATCACTCAACTGAGCCCAGCAGTCTACTCACCACAAGCCACTACCTCGCAGACAAAAACTGCATCCCTTTCAAGGGGTCCGTTACGTGGAAATCCGCTTAACAGTCCAGTAGCACCGTCAAAACCAGCGCCGAAGAAGAATGAGTGGATATGAATAATATACCCATTTGCGATATCGTTTCATGTTCGTTCATTTCACAGCGCTAGGACTTCGCGGGTTTTCGCGAGTACCAAGCCTGGCATGGCAGGATTAATTGGGTAGAGGCTTTCTAGATTCTGGTGTTTTGGTGTTGGCTTGATGGTTTGAGAAGTGGGTACGACCTTCCGACAGTGTCCTCGATCTTTCCACAACACCGCCGGCAAGCGGCGCGGTCTTTCACTTCGCACTTTGCGACCAAAGGTGTCAGCACAAAAGTTGACGGGTCGCTCACTCAGTACGATTTTTTTTTCACTTCTTATTATACCTCTTGATTGATGGTCTGGCCTTTTATTTGCCCATTTTTTACGTTTGATTTTTTTCAGCCTGAATCTTTTATTTGTCCGAATCGCTGGTGTGCTCCCGAGAGGAGTACAAATCGATGCTATCTATATATACTGTTACGTCTATACTATGACAGCTCCTGTGGAGTACTACTATCTATCTTTTTTATTGTCTGTATGAATAGGGGATGAGAAGAGGGGTGAAGGCGTGGGGATGGGGAAATGACGACGGACGACTTGAGGTGTCCACGATGGGTCAATGGTGTGTATATGTGAAAGAGGATGCGCGACGTATATATCCTGTTCTATTTAGCTAGCTATCTTGTTGATATTGCTGAATCCATTCATTTATTGCCTATAAAAATCCTCTTTTCTTCTCGATCTTCTGTGTAAAATAACGAAACCAATCGATGTCTCGAACTAGAAACCTTCAAAATTGCGACATTCAATTCCACCATACGGAAAAGGGTACACGTCACAAAACAATTCAAATATCGTCTTTCACGAAACAGCGCGCCCGACTCTAAGAGCTCGCTGTGATTCCAGAGAGCACATATCCCCTCCCCCCTCTCTCACTCACCCATCATAAAATTCCAAATACCTTCTAGAACTCTAGACTCACACACCCAGCTTTATCCTTGATAACTCACCCCACGATACCATACCTAAAGTCTCAGCGCCCTCCCCGACAAGATTCGACTACTCCACCTTCTCAACCTGGTCCACACTTCATACCGGTATCAAACCAGACCTTCGGCCTCCGAATTTTCAGATCCGGAAGCTTGAAACTGGCGTGGAGGGGCTTGGGGCGGGGAATATCCATCTCAACTCTTTTTGGATCGGCATTGGGGTGGTTGGGTGACTTGTGGTTTGAGGTGCGGAATAGTACGAGGTTATAATATAAGATATAGTAGTGTATTTGGATTTTAGCTATCTCTGAAAATTCAGATTTAGCGGGGAGAGTTGTCGTGTTTTTAGTTATTAATCGTGACATTGATTCAATTCATTTGACACGCTAACGCTTCACTTCTCTAGGACTATAATCTTTCTTGAAGATTGACCTGGTCATTCTTTCTATCAATTTAGACACACTAACGTGTAACACTTGGCAGAGTGTAGAAAGTCTATTTAGAGCTCGTATATGATACTATCTATTATCTTGCTATGAGAGAGCGCACCCCAAAAATGAAAATAAAAGTGAAGATGAAAATGAAAGTTCCCTCATCGGTTACCGGGTTTGCAAAACTTGCCGTCAAGTCGGTAGCTCCATAAGTAATAAATGTGATTGTACAGCTGAGATTCTTTCTTTTAGTGTTTTGATGCTATCAGAGCTATCTAATCAAGTCTAGAGTTGCAATGCAACAACAATTTCTGGATATAAGCTCGGTGGTTTAGCTTTTCAAAATCTTTTCGAAATTGTATCTGCCATGTCACAATTGACTTGGCCCTCGAATCAAACATAGATTTGGAAATACGCCAACGTGAATTCAGAAACCAAAAACACCGCTTGTTCATTCCTGTAATTCCTTCAACACACGAAAACCATCAGTCTAACCCACATACTCGCCACCAAACCAAATCACCACAAGCTCAACTCCCTACTTCCCCCCCACAACACTCACCCTCCCCCTCTCAAAAATCGCCCGTCCAACCCCCGCCGTCAACCCCACACCCCCCAGCACATTCCCATCAAAAACCTTCCTCCACCCCAACTTATCCAACGCCCAAACCAGTCCCGCCTGTCCCCCCTTCCACAAATACTCCGCCTTCCCCATCCCGGGACTCTTGAGCACACTATCCACGACCTGTTTCGCAAAAACCCGCGTCGTCATGCCGTCACGCAGATGATTCACGCTCCGATTCCTCAGCCCCTGCTCGAGCGGTTTGTAAAGACTGGATTCCGGGAAGGAGATGTTCTCTGACTTGACTATATTCGTGGAGACGACGCCCATGAAGAGCGTGACGACTTTGATGCCGAGGGGTGCGAGTTCGAGACGCAGCGTGTCGGAGTAGGAGGCGACGGCTGCTTTGGAGGCGTTGTAGTGGGCTGTGAGCGGCATGGGAACGCGGGCGACGACGGAGGCGGTGTTGATTATAGTCGGTGGGCTGGGGTTGGAGGAGGAGTGGACGGCGGCGAGGAGGAGGGGGGTGAAGGATTGGATTACGTTGAAGAGGCCGAAGACGTTGGTGTGGAACATGGCTTGGACTTCTGCGGGGGAGGCTTCGATGGCGGGGGAGTCGATCACTGAAGGGTATTAGAGAGTGTATGAGAGATCAGGGAGGGACGTACTGGTTCCGGCGTTGTTGAATAATATATCTAATTTTCCACTTGTTCGGGTTGATATCTCTGCTTTTAGAGAGGCGATGCTGGATTCATCTGTTACGTCGAGGGCGAGTGTTTCGATTCCTTTTGATTCGAGAGTTGTGAGTGATTTTGTTGAGCGGGCTGTTGCGAAGACTCGAAAGCCTCGCGCGGCGAACTCGAGAGCAAGTGCATGGCCTGCTCCACCTTCTGAGCAGCTGGATTGTTTCGTTAGTATGGTAATATATTTGAAGATGTAGATTGTACAAACCCAGTTATGAGAATGGTTCGTTTTTGAGCTTGAGCCATTGTAAATAAATCGTTGTCAAGAATGACTTTAGCTTCAAGGTCGGAATATCGAAAACAATTTCTGATCCCGAAATAAGTAAAACTTCTTGTGATCTCCCTCCCAGATTTGGCATCCACATTCCTTATATCCTCCAGCAACCCTCACTAAACAAAACCAACGCAATCAATTACGGACAAACAAACCAGCCGACTCCAAAGTCCGGTACTGGACATGGTACTCAACCGGGACGTTACAATCGATCAAGGGACGGTGTTGGTTATTAATCGTCGATAATAGAGGTGTGTACTACATGTTCAGTAATCATTTACGTTTAGAGTGTTCGCTAAATTTTAGTCGTCCAAAACTAAACACATCCGGAAAGCTTGATCCCTGCGGCTGAATCTTTGTCATTTGATCTTAAGCCCGAAAAAGAATGCCCTTTTCAATTTCTGTAATACCTTTTCTCGATGTCCCAGTACCGTTTCAACCAAAGTAACAACGCCGCAAAGGCTAGACTAACTCTCTACCTTCAATCATTCGTTTGTATCGACGAAGGATTGTCTGCCCGTTCAAGATTTGTAATAGGAAACCTGTGTATTAAATATGAATGTCTCGGGCTCGACAAGCTCGCACCAGTGTCTGTCAGAGTTCTCTGCGCCCCCAGAACACTCAATTGTTTATAAATCAACACAACAGCTGAATATTAGAGATCCGAAGTTCCAGGCATGTTTCTCGCGTCTCAGTCCACACACGAGAAAATTGTATATCAAAAAAATGGATTCGGCGATGAAATATTAGCTGCTTTTTTTGACTGCGCTGAGGACTAGTGCGGAACAGAAACCCGTCGAAACAAGATAATCACCTAGTAAAATGAACGAAATGTACTACACTTTTTCGACAAGAGATGTTCTAGACACTTTTAGTTAAACACCAACTATTGTACAGGTAAAAGGATTTCAAACAACTCCTACCTACCCCATCTCTCACTCTTACCCCCTAATCCACACAACCCAATTCTAATTCCAATCCCGCTCACCCATCCAAACCCCCAAATTCACATCCCCTCACACATCCTCCCCTTCCAAAACCCAAACCATTCATCCCATCTCCAACCTCTTTCCAGCTATAACCGCCACGAGGTAACACAAAGCCATCTGTTAACCCCAGAAAACCTTCATCGTCAGTAGCATACCCGACGCCCAGAATTGTATTCTCACAATGCCTCATATCATAATAGCGCTTATCAAATGAACCCCACCCCGATCACGACCACAAATCCTCGCATCTCCCACCTCCTCACACCTCCTGAAACCCATCCTCTCAAAAAACCCCTTCAATTAAACCACTTCACCATCTCCTCACCAAACCACTTCAACCCTCTACTCAATCCACTTCCAACTCCCTACCCACCCCCCAACATTCTCCACCACTCCCTACCCACCCCTCCAACATTTTCCTTATCGGTCGACACGTTCTAGTAATTGAGCAAGTAAAACCCCCTCGGAGAATATCACCTACATCATGCTACCATGTCTTCGCCGATGTTCTCAGACGCTGGCGAAAAAGTGACTGATCGATCAATCAATTAGCGAGGAATCCGTCATCGGAATCCCGCTCAGAACTCGCGTCGTCGTGCCTGATGGGTAGGTAAGTGTCGCGGATATCCAACTTAGTCGAGCGGGAACGGATATCCGCGACAACCTCGTGCCAGGATAACTCATCACTAGAAAGAACATGAATCAATCGAAGCAAACCGTGACTACTAATCAAGATAAATATCACGACGAAATTGCAAACCAAGAATTCAGGATGTTTACTAATTTTTTTATTCTTGATCTCCTACTCTTAATCTGGCAACTAATACACACATCCTCCATCACTCACCCAATCAAGCCTTATTAGCTCCCGCAGTCCCACTGCTCTTCGCGCGCTCTCCATACGCCTTGGTAGCATAATCCCCATCGATGACAATCAAATCCTGAGGACGGTAATCGTGCTTGCCTGAGAGGTAAGATTGGAGAATAGCCTTGGTACCCTCGGCATATCGCTTCTGCGCGTCGAGAGAGGTACCGGACATGTGAGGAACCATGGCGTTGCCGCCGCCGAATGGGTTCTTTGCGTAGCGGAGGACGTGGTCTTTTGGTGCGGGTTGTGGGAACCAGACGTCACCGCCGTAGCCGCGGAGGTGGCCGGATTTGAGGGCTTCGGCGACGTCTTCTTTGACGACGATGGCGCCGCGAGCGGTGTTGACGAGCCATGATCCTGGGGATGTTAGCAGTTATCGAGTTTAGGAGTGAAAAAAAACATACCTGGCTTCATCTTGGAGATCAACTCCTTGTTGAACAATCCTCGGGTCTTCTCGTGAAGTGGGCAGTTGATGGTAACAACATCACACTGCGCCAACATCTCCTCCAAGTTCTCGACTCTTCGGCATCCAATCTCCTTCTCAATCTCAGGAGCCAATGGCTGGTAATCAAAGTACAAAAGCTCCTTGCAGTCGAATGGCTTCAATCTGCGGAGGACACGCTCACCGATACGACCGACGGCGACGGTACCGACAACCTTGTTCTCGAGATCGAACTCGTTCTTGGCTGCGGCAGCGACATCCCACTCACCATTTTGGATCTGCTCGTGTGCTGGGACGAAGTTTCGGACGAGGACGAGGATGGTCATGACGACGTGCTCGGCGACGGAGACGACGTTTGATCCGGTGACTTCTGCGACCGTGACACCTCCATTGGTCTTGTTGGCGGCATTGAGATCGACGTGATCGGATCCGATACCAGCGGTGATGGCAATCTTCAAGTTCTTTGCCTTTGCGAGACGCTCGGCGGTGAGGTAACCTGGGTGGAAGCTGGGTGGATTAGCATTTTGCAGCAACTGTGATGGGATTTTGCATACGGTGTGGTGATGATAACCTCAGCATCAACAAGCTCCTGGTCGAACTTCGAGTTCTCCCCCTCCTTATCCGACGTGGTAACCAGAGTATGCCCTTGATCTTCCAGCCATTTTCGAATGCCAAGCTCGTTTTCAGTTGTGCCTAGCAGCTCTGGGACCTGCCATTGAATCAGCAGTGCACGTTCAATCGTTCTAGGAATCAACCTACCTCCTCGGCGTGCTTCTTGCCATCGTACAACACCAAAAGAACCTTGACCTTTTCACGTTTTCCCGTCAGCGTTCTGATGCCTCCAACATTATACTTGAGCGCCTGCGCTCCACGCGACAAGACGCGGGCGGAGGGCGGGGTAGCTCGGGCAGTGGAGAAAGAAGCGGCGGCGGACCGCGACGCCAGACGGCAGAGAGGACGAGTGAGAAATACCATCTTGACTGATTTCTGAGAAAGAAGAAATCAAAAAGGGAGATTGTTTTGGTTTTGAATGAATCAAAGCTCGAGCTTGATGATGTATGCGTGACTGTTTTCCCCCTGGTTGATCACCGTGGTGAGGGTGGAAAGGCGGGGTCTCGGAGAAAGGTCGCGGTAGGCGAGGGAGGGAAAGTTAATAGATGCTGCAGCCAACGTCAGTGATTTCACACGTAATGTCCGAAGGGTACAGATATGAGGTGTAGATCAATCGGTGCAAGGACTTTTGATAGTCTCAAACTGATAAGGATGGAATTGGAAACTTACATTATTGGTGGTGGTTGTTACCCTTAGGTACAATATACAATATACAATATACTTGAGTATAGGTAGGTAAATAAAGAAGAAGCACACACTCAAGAGGGGAAGCTTCACACATTATATACTTTAGCCAACCCAAACGGCTTCACTATCCATCTAATTTCCCCTCTCTCCTCTCCCCTCTTCTGACTGCATTCATATCCGCAATTCGTCGTCGTACTCCGCCTGATAGCTCCAACTGCATCCACCCAAGCAAACTCGAGCTTCACATCCAACCAGATGCGGCCATACAAAGAGCTTGACAAACGGATAGGAGGTGCCTGGCGGCTTGTCCCACGTCTCGGTCCCTTACGCAAATTGTCACGAGCCGGTACTTTCTCAATTCCGGTAGTGTTTCCTCAGTTCGTTGGAAGTTCGGTTTTCGGTGTTACTTGATAGTTACTGATGTGAAAAGCATTGCTCCGTTACTCACTTTTTCATTTCATGCCATTTTTCGACCTTGATACTTTGAAATTGTGTAGAACTCTCAAGAATGATACCTCCTTTTAATGTATACTCAACGCAGAAATCAGGGGCAATAAATTGAGGGTTGTCGTACAATCGAACTTTCCCCTCTCCAACCCCTCACAGCTCCTTCTACTCAAGACGGCGATGGCTCGGGTTTCGGCAGTCCCACCACGTACCCCACATTAAGTCCCTCGGTATCTTCCCGATCATTCTCCTTGGCGATATCGCTGGCAGCTCTCCAGAGAGACGATAACTCGAATTGAAGTACCGCGGTAATCTCTGTTTACATCAATTGAAGTTTTTATGCTCCGATTAATCTCATCTGACGGTTCGAAGATGCAAAAAAATCTTCTCGAAGATATAAACTGTCTCTCAGCCCGATGCCAACCTCCCAGCATGGATAATGCGTAGCCCTGCACTGCATCTCGATTGCGGGGTCGTACATGCGCAGCGATGCAACGTCTCGATTTGCCTCAATATGGCTACTCAATCCGCTCGTAAGGAAACCTTAACCTTCTACATTTGCGACCTCTAAACGCTCAGATTGGACATGTCACATGACCCTCTGAAGACTGCGCTCTTTGAGGCCGATTGAGCCTCGAATTGTTGGCATAGTACTTTTGTTATAAGTATGTGATTAATCGACCAGAAACACCATCCGCAGGGGAAAAGATGTGAGCGTTCTGCAGGAGGGAGATCACGTGATGGCGTCCCATTAAGGATTGTATATTTACAGCATAAAGTTTAATTCCAGGAATACGCGCAAATGATGTAGTTCCGTGAAGGCAGTAACTCAGCGTGCTTTATATTGTATTTCTAATAATTCCATGATTGCTCTCCAGGATCCGTATTCGGGGCTCGAGCTCTTTGTCGAAAGGATATTCTGACTTTGAAACTTTCTACTTTAACGCGATTCGTGCCGTAGAGTCTCTTTCTCCAAAACTGCGAGAAGAACTACTAAAATAAAAAACCTGATAGCGACTTGGTAACCACCTTTCAGACAATCGGGAAATACAATCATGAATCTTCCTTTCAGGGAAGGCCGGAAGAGATGAGCAACTGTTAGGAGGTATGCGAGTATGTATTTAAACCGCTTAGTCGAGAGATAATAGATAGGTCTGAAATGCGTAGCGAGTGTTCGCTGGCATGCTTTTTGAATATGCTCGCAGGAATCGAGATTCCTAAATGTACCCGAAAATACGGACAAAAGCCCAGGTTGCGGTGCCACTCTCTAAGAGTGGTGCTTGGACAGCTAGTACAACTTGTCAAAATCAATCCTGAGCCTCCTCTGACGAGAATTTGCAGTACTACTTTCATCTCTGAGAACGAGAATGGGGTTAGCAGTGTGAAGCAGCTAATTCCAATGGTCATAATGCTAAGTGTAATGGTTTGTGTCTCCCAAACTTGGCAGGTAGTAAACCGCTGGAATGGCGCAAGAGAAGTGACACTGTGACAGTAAGAAGATGTCGTACCCATGATCTTGATAGGCAAACTCCTACGACTGCCTGAAAGTATATGACCCATAACACGAGCATAGTCTGTATATAAGGAAGGACCAGAGAGATTGCCGAATTCACGTTTTTGAAAATCCTGCCCATGACAAGGAGATGGGAATAGACGGAACTGTTGCCTTGAGGGATTGTATTACCGACATAATCGATCTTCTTTCCCTGGACAGCAAATTACGTGTTATGTTCGTTTGTTTTGGGTAAGACCATTCGCGGTAGTATAAGAGCAAGTTCCCGGATCGATAAGGTGATTTGAACATCTGGAACGTACTTAGCGAGAGATTCATAGTGTCAGTATTGAGGAAGTCTAAATATCCGTCTCCAATTTGAATTCACAAGAGGTGCCAGCGAAAATGCGATGGTAGATGCACTAAATCAAATGTCTATGAAATTCTTGGAAGCTATCAGGTGCCATAGACGAAAGCTGTGCAATGACAGGTGATGGCACTTTTGCAAATGTTAGCTAGTAGTTATGAAGAAATACAAGGCTTCCTGGACAAGTTACAAGATGCCGCGATGAAAGGCAAGAGAGATGACGGCTGTAGTTGTCATAATATGGTATGTATGAATGTTATCAGGTATTGCGCATTCCGGATTACGTCGCAAATTTGATTAACTTGAAAAATGTTGTATCGATTAGGGATTCTGTAGACTGTAATTGGGTGTTGTATCTTCGTAACGCTGCCAACAACGACAGGTTATCAGACGTAATAAATTGGACTTGATACAGGTTAGGCCCCATCGTTACAAAGCTTATTTACCATGATATTCACACCTCAAAACATTAAGTAAAAGTATTAAATAAGGTATTATCCTAGAATAATCTCTTTCCATTCATCATCCGACAAATCAAATGCAGCCTTAAAAATCTTCCCAAGAGCAACTCGGCGATAAAATCCCTCAATTTCAGAGTACTCGACAAGGAGTACATAGAACAGATCCCACTCCGAGTCGATCCTCTCCTCGGGTATGTAGTAAGTCCAGTCTGGAAACTCCTCCTTCGTAAATGATTTCGCTTCCGAGATGGCAATAAATTCAAACTCGGTCTTCTCCGTCTTCTCAGTCTCGTCCAAGTGGCCATTCGTAGTACCGTTCTCCCTGACCTCACAACTTTGCTGTCTCTGAAGCCAATCCGTATCCACGACAATGGAGCCGCACTTGTCTCCGCGCTGGTCAATAATGTGACAGCGGTGCTGACCCTGCCCAAGACCATCGCTACTTACGTCAGGTGTAGTAGGCACGACATGGAATCGGGCATGCCACGTGAAAAACTGTAGAAATATCTGATCAGAGAACTCGCGTCCTGGATGTGCGTCGCCTCCCTTCGAGCTCTTGCGGACGTGGTATGGGTCCTCCGGCAGCGTCAGAGTGAAATCGTCTCGCGTCTGGTTCAGGCTGGCTGACATGCCAAGTCCCTGGCGCGGACGACCATAGCTATCATAGGCCTGTTCTTTGGATTTCAGATCGTCGTTTCCGGAAGGAGTGCTGGACGAGCTATCAGAGTCGCTCGGAGGATAGTGAACTACTTGGTGAGAAGGGTTGAACGGATTTCCCATTGGGAACCCTCTTCCTTCACCTTGTACCTGAGGATAATGTGAGAACGGAGTTGTCACAGTATTTGTTTGCTCTCGAGCTGCTGGGGTTGGGTTATATGGCATTGGAACCGTGTTTGAGTAGGGTTGGGGATGCCGTTGGCGAAGACGAGGACGAGCCTTTGGAATCCCCGATGTCGGTGTTTTCTTGCTTTGAACCTCGTAACCTTTCCACCTTGCGTTTGTACTTTCATCTTCTTTAGCCCAAGAGCTGTCCCACACACGCCGGAGGGTCCCGTGGCCATCTCTTATGTACCAGTCAATCCATGTGTGGTCCATGAGCCAAGCGTGGACATCAGTCAGACATCCATCAACCATCTCCCGCGCATACTGAATTCCTGTACTCTCCCATCCACACCATGACCAGCTTGGAAATTTCATATCCTTGTACTTTTGTTCGTTTGAATGTGTTGGCTTGATGAGCCTTGATGATCGACCAACCGGTTGCCAGAGGAGGGCAAAGTCAAAGTGAGATGTAGGAAGACCGAAAATGAACGGCGAGTGCATAGTATATTCCATGAGCTTACACATGCCGCTGAATGCCGAAAGAATGTCAAATGGTTCAGAGAGATCTCGCCCTGTATACAAGGAGACACAATGGGCGTAGAACCATAAAGCTCTGAGCTTGAGCTGAGACAACATCTGGAGTGGAGAGCGTAACAAATCTAGGGACCACCCTCTCCCGCTACGATCTGCGAAGATATCTTCCGACATCCCTGTTGAGCGACACTGGAAGTATACACGGCCACTTGTAAATATCAGGCAACGTTTGGAGAGCAAACGCTCTTGGAAGGTCCAGGCCCGTTTGTTCCATTGAGAAGCCTCGATATTGACTTCAGGTGACTGATGAAGCATCAAATTAGCTCCCTGGACGGAGGCTGCAAACCATTGGGCCGGCTGATGATTTTCGTCTAGAGCTAATAAACCAGTTTTGACGTCCAGACCATCTGCCGCGCAGAGGGTAAATATGGCGTTCCCATAGATTAGATGCATTGCTCGTGCGTTGAGATTCCAGGAGTGGCTGCTATCCTGAACGATGCATAGGGCGTCAATCCAAATGTACCGAATGCCCAGTTCCCGAATCAGCCGAATGCTTTGTTGGAGAGCTTTGGGGAGAGTTTTAATGACCGATGCCAATCCACCAGACTTGCGCCTACTCTGGATATTGGCAATTTTTGTACTGTGTTGGTGATTACCACTCCTGCCCCAGACATAGCTCACTGTCGCATATGACTCGAAGTTGAGCTGGTTGCCATTCTCCTTGAACGGTAACGGGGTAAGATTGTCATTTTCGATGTCCATGACTCCGAAATATGGCTCCATCAGAGTCTCGTGGAAATCATCCTCAATTCCAAGTTTACTCGTGCATCGATCGTCATGATGTCTTTCACATAGTCTCAAGAGCTCTCGAATGAGATTTCTCTTGCTTTCCTTGCTACCGAGGCGTCTCCCAAGAAACTCGGTCTCTTTGGACAAGAGCCCACGGTAGTCGACATCAGAGTTGTCATAGATCGCTGGCGCTGTAAGAACCAAGCTAGAGTTGTACCGTTGGAGGTCTGGGTGGTCCCAGAAAATTCGTAGGCGCCGAGTCCGCCTCTCTGCCTTCGCTCCTATATCTACAGATGTGCGACCGTCCAGCTCCCAGACGAGGTAGCATGCCGCGTGCTTGGTGTGTGAGGACTTTAAATCGGGCACGGCATGCGAAATAAGAGCACATAGCTGACATGTTGCTTCCGTTTCTCTGCTGATCTCTTCAAGAGACCCGAGAAAATATCGCTCGTTCGCTAATTTTAGCGATTGGATTGAGAGTCTGGTGGCCGACAGTGTGTCGCCTTGCACCCTGAAATGCTCCACATTGAGGCCGAGAGGAGAACAGCGCGCGCAAAGCTTCCAGGTCATAGTTACTATCTACAGCGATGATATTGACGATCTAGTAATTCGTGAACTGTGTATGACTGATGCTGATAGGAACTTCGAAAAGAGTTTCCAAGGCGAGAAAGGTCTTGGTGGTAAGAATATAAATAGAATAGAGTTTTATTGAAATGTGTTCAGGGTTAAAAGAGGTCGAATAGGCGAACGCCAGAATATGCGCTGTGCAAATCCGCATGATTAGTCGGAATTACTGCTTGAACAGAGGTCAAGCCGAGCCATTTTACGCAGGATCAACCAAACATGAAGGGTAACGCCATTTCAGCCCGCATGCATCTGACCTTACGACTTAGTATTTAATTGGCTTAGATCTCCTAAGATATGCGCGAATAAATGGTCTCAGCTTTTATAATTCTAGACTTCAAGAGTAAAAAAAAGACATATAGAACAATGCAACAGTATTCGATAGAGGTCGGAGTGTAATAATTTCGGCCCATTTGCGGATTCTTTCCGGGATCAGATTTCCGACCCCCTTTTAAGGAGCGTAAGAACGCTAAGATGATCAATTCTTGGCTTCCGCTATTTCTGTATTTAGGATCGAAAGCAACTTGCCTCCTCTACGATCTACACGTCAAATAAGACTTCCACGGTGAAGTTTCAACCGGGTAGGGTCGTAAAAAGCTTAAATCCAAACAAAATATTACCGTAGGTCTATCTATATACTATGAACTAAAATTATAAAACAAATTCCAACTACTCTACATCTCTACTACACTCCCCTCCTTGCCGCCTCCAGAAGCAGATCTCTTACACCCCACCTCTCATTCGCTTAACCCTCTCCTTAGCCTTCTCCTTCCAATCAACCCAATAATAAACCCCATACCAACTTGCAAAAGTGATAAACATAAGCGGTAGCGTTATCGCTAGATAAAGCTGCAAGGCGCCGAGCTGGAATATTTCCTGAGATTTGCCATTGTCGGAGATTTTGTATTGGACAATGTCCGTGGACATGATTGTCTAGTTGGTGTTAGAGAATATGTGGAGATCTCGAGAGATGAGGGAAACTTACGGAGATGAATGTACCAGGGAGGAAGAAGAGAGTTACAAGAGTGATGATCCTCATTGAAACCGTTTCTTTCTTGGTCTTGATCGCAATTTGATGCATACTCTCTGTCATGGTCTCCATGTTTGCGGTGGATAGCTGTGCACGGCTGGCGAAGAGTTTATTGGATTCCATGTTTTTGAATTGGAGAATCCCGTATAACTTCTCAAATGTTAGCTTATTTCTGCGAAACTTGATTCCGTCAAAACGTACGAGACTTTTCCTCTCTTTCAATAGGTTCAGAAGCGAGCTAGTCCCCGATTGCTGTTTCCTCAATTCATTGATGACGCTACTTGTAGTCCTCTCGAATTTCGCGATGTCTCTCGCGCATCCTTCTCTGATCTCAGCTGGGAAGTCCGAGGAAGAAATGAGTATTTGATAGTGTTCTTTTATCTCTGAGAGCACTGCAATATTTGAGTCTAGTATTTGCAACATCTCATTTGCTTTTTCCTCGAGATGTTGCACTCGTTTGAGGTCCCCAAATGAAAATTCCCCATCTTCCTCGAGTGGCTCTTGAGGTGCGGAGGATGAAATAGGTTCCGGTATTGGCGGAGGAAGTAACTTTTCGGTAGGAGTGTATTTTGGGAGCTCAATAGGCCTTGGCGCCGGAAGAACAGGAGGCTTCCTTTTCAATATTGAGCTGTGACGTCGTGACGGTTTTGCTATTAAAGTGCGCTGTGTATCCTCCCGTTGGATCGATACATGGGTGTTCGTTCGAGGTTTCTCAAAGAGAAGTAGCGTATCTCTCGTTGATTTCTGGAGAGATTCTTCGAGGAATGCAATATACCATCGCCAGTGCTCACGGCACCAATCAAATAATAGCAAATGTGTCGCGATTGATGAAGAAAAAGCGCTGATCCGCGTATCAAAACGGCTCATGTTTTGAGATCCCTTAGTTTTGGTCGATGCCTCTACTCGTTTCTTCATAAGTTGATCACCTTTGATGCAAATCCACAATGCTTTTCCTGTCTCAACATCAAAGCAGTGATAGGTTGCTGTCTGCCGTATCGACCACGGCCACTCCTCTTGGCTCGGTGAAGGTTCAACTGCTTTGAGGTTATAACACATTCGATAATCTCGTCCAGAACGTCCAAGATGTAATAATTTTAAGGATTCATCGTGCAATGATAAACGCGATTCAAAATGAAATCCACTAAAGTTCATCTCTTTTGCGTAATGTTGCTTCCCAAACGGGAAGAGGAAGTCGAGAAATACAGGCATGATTTGATGGTACGTGAAGAGAAACATAAGCATTTCGCGAGTGACCTTTAACTTGTCTCTCGAGAATTTTGCATGTATGAAACTGTTCTGTTAGATGATGTTTGAGTGGTTTTAAAGATCACGTACATAAATCGGGACGCTGGGTCTATTTTATTATACAGTTTTTCGCCACAAATATAATCTTTCAGTTCAATATGACTTCGAACGGTGATATTCTCAAAGACTGTCATTTAATTAGCATGCTGAAAATATTTGCCCGTGAAGAAGAATGTGCGAGTCGAGGCGCGGAGAAATCATATTGAGTTTTCAAGAGTCATGGCGTTGCCTGGAAGAACACACCTCTTGAAGAATCATCAAAGTCTCTGATAGACACTTCTGCTTTCGGTTCATCGTGAAACAATCTACTCTCTTCCTTTTGCAGTCGTTCGAGATAGGATACAAGAAGATGGTCGTAAGTATCCGGGTAAACGAGATTTTGGGGGAATTTGGCCGTGTCCTGACAGGAGCGTTCAAACAATTGCTGATCTGCTAACACTGCCATTTCAAGTATATAGATGAAAGAAATCTAATGCATTTGGTGTTGTAGCACCTTTCAATTGGATTATCGAGTGCTATTTGAATGTGTGCATCGCGTTGAAGACGTCTGATGTCTGAGTTCACCGATAGAGGCTGAGGTAATTGCCGGGTTTTACAGAAGGAGGCGGTGCACATGGCACGCTACTTCTCTTGCGGGAATTTCATGCAGGGCGCAATTTCGACAGACTTCGAAGGCAAACTAAAAATTGAAAGGTAGGGTGAGCCACATGGCTCGCCCTGATGCTACAGTGTTTGTGTTATAGTATGTATTGAATAGATTCCTTAAAATATGCTTGATGAACCCGCCATCGTCTCTCGCCTGAGCCCATACCCAAGGTTACCTCGCTAAATTTCAGTGTATTGGAACCACGTCGAGTCCGACTTCACCAGCGCTTTAGGTTGTTCGCAAATCATCAAGTGCATCGTGTTCGGCCTAAGATAATTCGTTCAATTAGCATTCTTGATTGAAGCGATTTGCGTTGTGTGACAGGTACCTCTGTCAACCTTCTCCCAATCCAAAATTCCCAGTTGTCAGCACTGTGCTTCGGTAAGTCAGCGATTGAACCTTGGTACTAATAACAGCAAGTAACATACAGTAATTGAGAAATCGTATGGGCCGAAGAGTTTAGTAAGGAAGTCGTTAACGGCTTTTCGTGATAGTTGATACGAAGCATGTTTTTCGTGCTTCAGCCCTGCCGTTGCTTGGTTCGGCATAGTAAAGTAGGAACCGGATTGTGACTCGGTGTAGATTCTAGGTGTAATCAAGTGAGAACGTGATTCAGTAGAATACCAGAATGCCTTGCTCAATCCAGACGTATATAGAACATGTCTTATACAGTCTTATGGCCTCAACCCCTCTGTCACCTTACCTCTAGGCAGAAATTAGGCGAAACGAGGCAAAATAGCTTTAAGCGAGAACACTCACCGAGTGCACCCTTTGAGAATCCCCTCGCATAGTTGAGCCGCTAATCGGTGCTGATTTAATGCTAAAGATTTACGGTATACGGAGGTATTTTTTTCATTTTTGCCAGCACGCATTCCCCTAGAGAGCCCATGAGCACTGGCAGTTTACTTAAGGAGTAATGATCCTGAACATCTATCCTTTCGGTTCGCCCCGAGCCTTACTTTCAAACCTCTCCGCCAAACTCTGCTAAACTTCCTGTAAAAGCTAATACGGCGGGCTTTATAATTGGTTGGACTCTTTATACCGAACATGTGGGACTCTCGTTAATATGATATGTGCCACATGATCTGTGTGTAACTCACCCCCAAAATGATGAACACTGCTCGTCTAACCAGTCGCATGTTCCCCATGAGATAACCATCATAGGGCCTTGGGGGTTAGACAATTTTACTAATTGTACGGAATGTCCTTCAAGTACCTGAACAAATCAAGGTCGCGAACCTGTGCTATAAAAATAGTTTTGCCCTTTCGAGTACTCATGAGTTCGATTCTTACCTTGCCACATGCCATTGGCTACATAGCCATTGTTTACGGTAATTTCAGCACGAACCCCCTCGGTTTATTCAGGGGTACTCGTATACAATAAGAACTCCAGTTTTCCCCAAAGTTTGGGGCAAATCAAGCTTCAGTACCGGGGAGCTCACAGCTCTGACCTGGGGTTTGCGGCAGGGGTTTCTGGCCCTATTGGTTGCGGCGCAATCTCGATGATTGCCAGCGAGCACCCAGCACGGGCTAGAACCAAACCCAGCACCCCACGTCACCTTGGTCGACTGCATTTTGCTCCAAAGAGTTGTAAACATAATGTTGAACAGTATGAGATTCGACCAGTCATTCCCATCTTTCTTCTTCAGACCAACAGCTACATACAGCTTACACCATCCAGCAATCTCAACCCAACCCAACCCAACTACCATTGTCGCACGTTCGGAACGAATCAGCATCTAGTTGAGTGACTCGACCTCGTTCCGTGATCGCGACCACGCCTATCGAAGGCCATGATGGCCACCAGCGCGCGAGCTCGTCCACCCGGCCACGATGCGCCAGCAATCCACGAGTATCTCCAGTGGATAGCAAACCCGAATAACTGCCAAGAAGGCATGATTGACCCTGCCAGTGAAGAAAAGCATCTATTTCTTCCCTCTGCCGACGTCGAGAGGCACTTAACCGCCCACAACTATCGCAATCTCGCCCCGCTCCTCCAGGCGGTGTTCCTCAACAGCCACAATAACCCGATTGATGCGTGTGATATGGTGGAGGGGTATCATTGTATATTCAGCATCTTGTTACAAATAGGAAAAGGCCATCTACTTGGCCAATTCTTGCATCACGACCACCTGAAGGACGCATTCCTTCCATTCAGCAATGACCACCCACCCGCTGATTTCCCAATCGACCCGGCGGATGCGGACCCGAAAGCCTTCCTTCAGCGCTTCTGCCAGCAGCAGATGAAGTTTTGTCCCCCTAAGATAGAGAATCGACCAGGGAAGGTTTTCGCCGATGGTCGCATTCTTCCTTTCACTGTCAAAGAACGGCTGGCGAAGGGTGGTAGTGCAACTCTTTACAAGGTTGTTCTCCACAACCAATACGATGGACTTTCCACCCATCACAAGACTCAGGTAAGGACTTATCCTCTTCAATGTTCTATCCCCGTAACGAAACTAAAAGTGATTAGGCCGAGAATTATTATGTCCTGAAAACTTACTATGGCAAAAATGCGAGAACCTATTACGATAGAGAAGTCAACGCGTTCAAAAAACTTCGAAAATTGAGAAATGGCAGCCTATCCGTTTCTCCAAATATAATACAATTTTATGGCAGCTTTCAGCACGGCGATCGCTATAACATACTTCTCGAATATGCGGATCAAAAAACTTTGGAGCATTTCTTTGAAACTATCCGGGAACCTACAACGGGGGGTGAAATAATCGCATTCTGGACAAGCATTCTCAAGCTCGTTGAGGGATTGTACGAGATACATCAAGGCTGCGAAGATACTTCTCTTGATAGGGCAAGTCCTCTTTCTGGGTGGCACCAAGACATAAAGCCAGCGAATATCCTAATCACTAGCAGGGGCGAGGAGGGTTTACGCCTTAATTCACCCTATGAGTGGCACTTTAAGCTTGCTGATCTTGGGATATCCCACTTCACCACTTATGGAGATTCAACCGGGACCCCTAGAGCCATAGATTTCCAGGGAACGCGTACATACGGGGCACCAGAGTGTTGTCGAACGAGCGAGTTCCTTCGAGGCGTCGACGTTGACATTACTCAGAGTAGTGATGTCTGGTCACTTGCTGCTGTTTTAAGCGAGGCCGCTATCTGGGCAGTCGGTGGGAAGAGCTATCTGGAAGAATATCGACTATCCCGCAAGGAAGCGACTCGTGATATACATGGCCTAGAGGACAGTGATTGTTTCCACGATGGCCAAAATCTTCTACCGGTGGTTAATGAATGGCACCAAAAGGCAAGAGACGGAGTCCGAAAACAAGATACAACAACCGACGGAGTGATTACCGTGCTTGAGGATATGCTAGTCACTGACTACCGGTCTACTATAGCACAGGTGTACAAAAAGTTTGATCGAATTCTTGGAAAAGCACAAAATGACCTAAAGAGGCAACAGTCGCTATCACCTGATCCTCAAACACCCAAAAAGACACTTCCGCCAGTTCTCCCAAGTCCTTCTCCGCATAATACAAGTCCATCGCTAATGGGGGACTTTTCAGGAGGAAAAAATCATCAGATACCAGACCCTAACTACCAAGCGTTTGGCATGTATAATAACAACGTCCCGATCATGAGTCAGCCAACCCTACAAATTGGCCAGGATAATCTGCCTAGAACCCCGACAGGGAAAGAGCCAGAACAATGGCTGGACCGTCAGATTTACAATAGCCCAAAACCAACACTCCGAAACAGTGACCCCGAGACGTATCAACTTGGACAACCCTATTCCAAGCCTGGTCCTCCAATGGGCCGGAATTCGTTTGTTTCTGCACATCACCCAAATGAGATGCTACCAAACGGTAACAACGGTTACCATCCGAAATCGCCTCAATTCATGGGAGGTAGAGAGCCTATGGGAAGATTCTCCCCTGATCGACAGCAATTCATTCCCGAAGATCGTCCTCAATCCGGAGTGAGCCAGCTCCATATGAACCACTTACATATATCGTCACAAGAACAAAATCCCGACGAGAGTTTTAATCAACGAGTAAATGAAGATCAAATTGGGCGTTTGCATAATCCTTTACAACAGTCTGGAATCTACACCGCGCCACTAGAGAGATCATTTCAGTCCCGCGATATAACCCGTCGTGATACCGAGCGTCATTCAAGGCCACCGACGCAACCCCAACGAACCTCAACATCACCGAATGATTTCCCAGCCTTGAATTCAAGTTTTGCTTCTATGGCACACCGTAATACACCACAGTATGATAACCTACATTCCGATGAAAGACAAACATATCCTCATGCGCAACCTCCTGGTCCTCCGCCAACAGCCGTTCTGGAACGAGTTAGGCAACGCACTAGGCGGAAAAGAACTATTCCGAATAAAGCCCGCGCTAACTGTTCAATCTCTACTGCGATAGATTGGAGAGATTCCAAGAAAAGTTTGTTCAAGAGGGACATCCCACTGCCCGGAAGCTGGCTCTTACAGGAATTGAAAGAAAGAGATCATGTGAGTACCCACCTACCCTTTACCCGTATTCGAGCATTTCACTCCGAGGGCTTTAATACTGACTCACAAATAGGTTTTCATACTAGACGATACCTGGACGATGAGAAAACAGTGGAGCAACCTCACACCGGTATTTGGAGCGCTGGCCTACATGGTAAAGACAGTCGACCCTGATGGTTTAGATCTCCATTTTACTATGTCCAACCGGCTGTTTCATGGCACCCAAACCAGCGTATTGGTTAATCAGGTCAGAGGGCACCAATGCCAAGGATCAAGTAATATGGGCCACCGACTAACGACCATCATGGCCACTTACAAGGCCCAGCTACGAGATCAGTATAATTTCAGGCAAGGCCATTTAGATGATGCTACCAAGGAATATGTCCGCCCAGTTAATTACTACATCTTTACAGATGGACGATGGGATCCTGGATGCGAACCGGATAGTGCTATTAAAGAACTGACTGAGTTAATGGTTGAGCTAGATGTCGAAGAAAATCAAGTTGGCATACAGTTCATTAGTTTCGGTAACGACAAGGCGGGACTGGCTAATCTTAAACGACTGGATGATGATCTAGACGTTGAGATGTAAGTGTTTGAAAGTTCTTTCGTGATTTTGAATAGGATTAACATCATTTAGCGACGTTGTTGACACCACTCCCTCAACCGGCAACGCATGGAAAATGCTTCTGGGCGCAATTGACAGAGGATACGATGAGACCGAAAATTCTGCGCAAGGTGCATCGAGTTCTAGACGCTAAGAAAAACTCCTCCGAGTTTTGCAAGTCCTCTTCCCGGCTACATATGCCCAAAAATCATACTTTTCCATTCGGTTACGTCGCCGATACAACACAATTTACCCCTGGCCAGATCTACGACCAAAATAGCTTCATCCTCACGGGGCATTTACGTTACAATATGGAGTTATTATTTTCATACTCCAAATGTTTTGTTTTATATTGCGCGTCCTTTCTATACCATTTATGTTTTGCTTCACATTAAAAGCGATACCCTTCTTCTTTTTGACGATTAGAGTCATTAGTCTCGTTTTTATTATATCATTGTTCAGATGCATTTTTCAATACCCTGTATATATTCATGGTTGCTTGATGAGCTCTTTGGGATTTACTTGCTCACAAATTAGGGTTAGATGGTTATATTTATTGTTTATATAGGGAACGGCATAGATGTCAGGAACGGGAAATCCAGCTGCATCTTTTTGGGGGCGTATTTGGGTTCGCGCTTTGACACCGGGCTTTGGAAAAGGGCAACCTGGTTGTGGATATTATGGGAGGAAACCAAAAAAACTGTGGTGTTAGAACGGTTTTGGGCATGAGACCGGGGCATAGGTACATTGCGAGGTGTAAACAAAATGTAGGAGTTGGGCATTTAGGTGTTGGCTGGGAAATTACTATACCCTTGGGAGGTCTCAAACGACACTTTTGGCGTATATACTCATAAAACGAGCCGGTGATTGGTCAAATTGGGTATTTTGTGGGCAGCTACTGTGTTAGAGGGTTCTCTGAGCTTGATAAATCTCAAATGGCTTGAGTTGCAATTGGATGGAACACTAAGTCTCTTACTTGTTTCTATTAATTTAGAAAAGAATAAATACGGCTTCCGTAAGCTTACCTGGGTGGCACTAAATGCATCGACCATTGATGCTTCCCGACTATACGTCATCCACCGAGGTTTTCAGTTGAACATTACTCTATCAGTCTTATTTACGTAACACAAGATTAAGTCCCTTTCTACTTTGAGTTTGGAGCGCTTTAATTGGCTATACTATGGATATTATCACGAGTCACTTTTGTGTCTTCGCGAAAGCGTAGCTTTCCTCAATCACCATCACACTCTACCACCAAGTCCTTCCTTGCCATATACAGCCTCGCCTCGGATTTATTTCCCCTCAACCTCCACCTCGGTCTGCCCGGTAAGTTTTCTCTTGCCATCAACAACCTTAACCTCCCACAAAATAACATTCGTCTTTGTCGTCTCCTTACCCGATGCCTTCTCTTTGGTCGTCCACTTACTCAAAACAGCCACAACACCATCCCCCTTTTCTGGATCCTCGCAATCAAGAATAACATCGAATGAATCTTGAATTGATGTTGCAGAGTTGCGAGCGTATTGGAGTCCTGGAAGAAACTGATCGTAGGTGTACACAGCGTGATTGATTCTAATAGCGTCAGATGTGCTCGCCGAAAAGACTTGGAGTTTATTGTTTATACGCACTTGACGACTAAGCTTGGAGCAACATGCTCGTGGACTGTTTTGAGGGCGATCTCGTCATCAGGTTGGATGAACATTGTATCGTTGAGTTCGGTGACCCAGTCTTTTAGTGATTGTTGTTGAGTTGACATCGCGACCTTGCTAAGTTACCAATATTGTCAGCCACTTTTCAGGAAATAGATGGGTAGCATACTTATAATAGCAGCTTGAAAGAATCAAAGAATGAATAGGGTGATTTACTCTGTCAGAATTCGGGGTGAGATTTACCTTTTATATTTGATGGCCTCACGTCCCTCGGAAGCGAATATGTCTTCGACCGCCGTGAATCTCCTTGGGTTTCCAGTTATGCGCAACTTCAGCGCTATCACTAAGTTTAATCGTCCATAATCAAGCGGCGGAGAATACCATTGTCCGGTCCGATGAGTGTTTGGCCGAACATCCGCATCACCGCTGCAGACAATTTTGGTAAAAGTGCGAACATCCGAGGGTAGGAAGTTAGTTTTGGTTTCTTGGCTGATCATATTAAGTAAATGTGGCTGTTGAGGCTTCATGAGAACCATGGTCCAGGCTAAGCGCTTCATGCGTGTAGTGAACGCCTCTGTAGTTTTATTAGATTAGTATGGTCAACTCACGTGTGATCTTATGCTAAATATTCGGATGTCGATCCTGGAAAAGCTTGTAGATTTGCACAATTTAGCATGTGTGTCAGAGTTAAACAGTAATCATATAGTAAATTAGCCAGGTCGTGCATTAAGGTTATACATTTTTGGGTAAAATTGACTCAACCAGCTGAGCAAGAGAAAGCTACTTAAAATTCAGCTGTCTCTCACCCCTTCGAGCGCGCCAGTAGTTTGTGGCGTCAAGAATTTCAGGACAGCATTTGATAAGCCAGCCCCATTTGCGCAAAAACCCAGTACTAACCTCCCAGCCGCGCGGATCCCACGGATTCCCCCAGACGATCAAAGAAGCGTTGTCATAACTCTTTTTCGTATCGAACTCTACCATGTCGTACCACAGCTCGTCCTCGTCGATCAGCTCGTTGGCTGAGAGTAGAAGAATTTTGTCTCGTAGCTCAGGCCATGGCAACACGTCAACCCAAGGATGGTGATGTGCCGAAGTTTGTGATGCCGTCGGAATCAGACTTTTGGGGCACATGGCAGTCTGGGAACTTGAATGCTCTGCTAAACAGAAACCGTACTGACCAAGGGGTGAAACAGCATCACAAACCAACCAGAGCATTCCCAGACCGAGGGCTGCGGCGTTACCCGTTAAGGCATCGAAGACGTTGAGCTGTAATACGCTGATGAGTCGCTCCGGACGGATGTTATGTCCCAAGTATTCTTCATAAGCTTGACTAGTAATTTGCTGGACTAGTTGAAGCTGTGTAGCCACTCTATATTCTGCATTTTGCTCGCTCTGCAGCTCTTCCGGTGGTGTTGTCGTGCAGGTTGAGGCTGCAAGAATTGATTCGGAGCAGTTCTTTTCCCTCCGCTTTCTTCCTGAATAATCAGTAAGATAATTTGGCCCTGTGATATAATAGCTGGGGTGATGGAAGCTGCCAAATTACTGACGATAGGCTCTCTGATTGAGACGATTCTGCAGCATCCTCCTCTGATCTGTGCGGGTGACACCAGCCCAGTCTTCCCCTGCTTTCTGCACATCGGATTGATGGCGCATTGTCTGCAGAATGATTTGCAAGCCATCTTTCGGCGACGAATCGGTCATTCTGATGTCGGAGGTACGAATGCGTATTTTTGAAGTTCTCGGTACGGTGATCAAGGGTCAATGATAGACTGGTCAATTATACAGTAACCTTTCACCTACGGCCTATGGGACACTATGGTTTAGTGCAAAGTAATGTGCATGGAATACCTAGCATGACAACCTCCAGACTTTGTCCCATGTCTACTTTTAAGGTTAGCGGTTGTCAGCAGGTTGCATTAGTGCCGTGGCGTTGATCGACGGCTTTAAGGTGAGCCCCACATGTTTTTAAAACTCCAGCGCCCCCCCCTCCTCCCTGTTTAAGCGAGAATGTTCAACAAAAAGTTTGACAACTCGTAGAGATACATTTTGCCTCCACATAATCTCTGTTGCATTCATGCACATGACAAAGGTATAGCCAAATATACTCTGAATTTCTCAGCTCCTGGGCTCTCATGACCATAGTGCTACTCCAAGATTGTCGGGCACTCAAATTTAAAATGTGAACTCGATTATATGCAAGGGAAGAAAGGCGAAAGCAATGAGTGATTGAATATTTTGCTCTCGTTCCATTGTACGATATGCGCTAATATCTATAGTATAATATTGTTCTGCAAAAGCGCTCTAAGCTACAAGACTTTTCCTTTCTGGAATCTATGTATTATATGTGATGTATAATGTTCTCACACGAAATGAGATGTACAAAAGTTAGTCTCACGTTTCTGTTATAATCTTTGTAAAAGTTTTAGAATTCTAAATTTTTCTGGTGGTATAGATAATATCCTTATAGTTTAACGTTTCCTGTCGATCTACACAAAGTTTCTAACCTTCATCGTTTCATCTAACAAAAGAAGTCGCTGAGCTCGCTCAATACGACCAGCGATCTATCATTTCGTGGTAGAATTAACACCACCACTTCCAACAATTGTTGAATTGCCAGGGGCTCCAACCGTAACAGCGGTAAATACCGTTGATCCGTGCAAGTCACGGCTGCTGAGACCAACATGCAGTGTAAATTCACCCTCAGGAATCAGCCACTGTTGGGAGTTGATATCCCAATAACTTAGATCGCGACGCATGAGTTCGAAATCAACCGACGCGCGCTGGCCAGAAGTAAGCTCAACCTTCTCGAAACCGCGCAGTTGACGAAGGGGAGTCCCGGCGGGGGTGCTGGATGGGAATGAGACATAAAGCTGAGGAACAACGTTACCGCGAACATCGCCGGTGTTGTAGACCACGACATTTGCCGTATAGATGACTTCCCATAGGGCAGGATTTCCACCAGGTTGAGTCTCGAGCTCTTCTGCGTGGGAAGTGATTTGACCATCGGCTTTTGTACTCTGAACAGTGAGATTGAATAACTCAAAAGTAGTATACGAAAGGCCAAACCCAAATTCATAGCGAACATCAATATCTTGGGCGTCAAAAAACGATAATCAATCTCGAGTCTCTCTGTAAAATATGACTGCCAATCATCCGACCCAGTCGTATTAATGGAAGTCACGACAGGACTATTATAGTCGCTGCCGTTAAAAGCAATCGTGTATGGAAGATGTCCAGACGGATTCACATCGCCGTAAAGAACATCAACGATGGAGTTTCCAGACTCTTGTCCAGGGTAGTGAGCGACAAGAATAGCTGTGACGTTAGGATGATCGGCCCAGGGCAAATCGTTGATTCCAGAACTGTGAGTGATCACGACGGTATTATTGCAAGCTCCAGCAACCGCTTCGACAACTTCGTTGGCTGACCAGTCCAAGTCGAGTGTTTCGCGATCGACGCCTTCAGAAGCCCATCCCTTGAGGAATACAAGGCAAACATCCGGAGTGTTAGCCAAAAGAATACCACCAGCACCGGTGATGGCTGTTTCTGTAACCTGTGAAACATACGTGTTGTTCAACCAAGCTTCCACAATCGCGCCAGTCTCCAAAGCTCGTTCTTTGATAGCTTGGAGAGGAGATATCAGGTAGCTGAATTGAGCGGCACCCGAGCCGCCTCCCACTGCAAGCGTACCAAACTCAAAAATATCCTGATTGATCGGGCCTTCAGTAATTTCACCTGCGTCATTGCCAAAAACAGCAATCTTCGAGGGGTGAAAAAGTTCAAGCGGCTACTGGACGGGTCTACTGGCGGAATGTCCTCGTCCTGGTGAAGGGCATAATAAGGCGTCATTATGCGGGTAATCATGTCATCCAGACGATCCATGCCGACTGTACCATTGCTGATTGCATTGCTGACGTTTGTACCCAAAAAGGACTCGTACGGTCCATTCCCTAGAAGGAAGGGAAGGGTAAACCCGGGCATATCCATGTCCAGCCCGGCTTCGATAGAAGCAACACCAGAGTGAACAGCAAACCAGTCAGACATAACGTAGCCCTGAAAGCCCAGCTCAGTTTTCAGATAACCATTTAGGACTTTTGAATTTTGACAGGCGTAAGAGCCATTTATTCTCTGATATGAACACATGACGGCTGCGGCATGAGAATGAATCGCGTTTGCAAAAGGCCACATATAGAGCTCATCTATGTAGTATTAGCTATTAATCTATGGTTGAAACAAGAGCAGCTGCAGGTAGGAGTACCTACGGAGAGTTCTGTCATCAACATTCGACGAGATCGCCTCATACTGCACAGAGCCGTTGGGGAAAGAAAATGCGTTGCGCAAAATCTCCTGCTCATTCAAAATGAAGTGCTTTGCTGTTGCCTGAACTCCGGCATCTTGTAAACCTAAGACCGATTCCTGCATAGCAATACCGGTCAAGTAGGGATCTGGAGAAAAGCCTTCCCAATTGAGCCCACAATAAGCAGATCGGCCAAGTGGACCAGCGACAGGCCTATGTACGTACAATCATCAGTTCACAATTTAGCTGAGAATGATTGTAGTTTTTTGCACTTACGCCAAAGCAACATGAGCACCTTTTCCTTTGAACTCGCGGCCCATAGCTAAACCTCGCTCATATAGCATCTTCTTATCCCAAGATGAAGCAATAGTCACGCCTGATGGGAATGAACTTGCGTAGTTTGCGATACGGAGAGATGCCGGGCCATCCTGAAGGCATAGACCACTAAAGTTGAGACGGGGAATACCAACAATGTTCCCAATACATGGACCTGGTTGACCGGTCACCATATCTGCTTTCTCTTCCGGAGTAAGCTGCGCAACAAACGCGCGAGCTTTTTCCAAGGCAACCTCCCAACCTATGGTACCAACAATCTGCGCTGGAAATAATCAGCTTCATAGAATGTCCTAATAAAAAGACCTTGCACTCACGAGATGGATAGACGGGTTCTGAGCTATTGTACTGTGTCAAGATGACCGTGTCGGCTGGCTGGACATAGCTAAATGCATCCGGAGGTCTGACAGGGCCATTGAAAAGTTGCGCATTAACCGCAGAAGAGAGCAAGAGTACCGATAGCGAGTTGGACGAAATCATGTTTGGCTACTATCGACGGAGTATCAAGGTATCAAATACTGCTGACATGCTTCCTGAGTATGACATGATACTTACGGTCATTTTATAGAAAGAACAATCATCTTCCCCTCCTTCCAGATCCTGCAGTCGTGTCTGACAGCTGTGACTAAGGTTTTCGCGTACAAACGCGGTGGCTTTCTTGGAATGAGGGGTCATGATGTAAGTGACGTTAAAAAATTTATATGATACCAGGTTTGAAAACATTTTACTGGGGAAGATTGTTTCGATATATGATTTCTTGTATGTTTTATTGTTGCTAGTGAAGAAATCTAGACTTGGGAGTACCCACACGAGCAAATATAGACGTCCGTTAACCGAGCCGCCCCCCGCTGCCCTAGTTAACCGAGTCTCCCAAATGCTACCTGCTTATAGCGGGGAACGCTACTGCCATAACCCCTGGTCAACAACTGTAAGACCTGGCTTAACTCTGTGGGTGGTAAACCAGTGTGAATGCGAATTTCTCGCCAAGACTGTGTTTCGATCCACAGGTCGCTAGGCCTAAATCTCGCCGAAGATGGGGATGCTTAATTTTCAGACAATGCTTGGTAACAGCGGGCACCAATCCCCCATCTTTTCTTCCCCAGAAAACGTACTCGAGAAACTATGGAAACAAATATGCCACCGACAAACCACCGCGACTGCCAAGTAGCAATCGACCGTGCATGAATCGGAGTTATTTGATGTGACGGGAGAGGGCTGACGTAACCCCGATTTCATTGTGTGGGACAAAATTTGGTCACCTAAAGTTATTCAATGTCGAGGAAGAATACTGATTTCCAGACGAACATCTTTCTTTGTAAAGTGGTGATTAATCACTATTTGATGATTTAATTGTGATATACAGACGACAGAATCTTCGGGAAATTATGTCATGTATGCCGTTGATTGGACGATTGGCGTATGAGAGCATTAGTAAGTAGTGGCCAAAATTTCCTTTTAATTATTACCTATTTACATAAGAAGAAATACGTATGAAATGTTATAGGAGCATATTTTTGAGCATTGATAATTGTATGTTTCGGTTAGAAATCCTGAGCTACCGCTGTATTCTTTAATTGTTTAGGAATGTACGGCAAATGAGAACTATACAATTGCTAACTACTCTGAGCTAACAAGTAAAGAAAATCAAGACGAGAAAATCACATTGGTCGCCTTTTTCAAGGGAGACAAGGTTGGAGCGTAGTTAATGTGTCATGCGTATTTACAAAAAGTACCTATTAATCAAATAACTACTATCACCAGTAGAGCCGGTGCGTCGGGGAAAAATTGTTGTTCCTCTTGATCTTAGACTTGGTAATAAGTCCGAGGTAGTCCAACTTTGTAACAAGTCTACTTACCATATAGATTAATTGCCACTCAATAACTATATATAATTTTAACATCAAACTATCAGAGAGGTTTCTCTAAACTGTATAAACCGAAGGGTTTTATTATATTTTATTACAGTAAAAGATTCTACTTCTTATATCAATATAATATAAGAAGCTTTATTTAAAGCTAAATCAAGCATTAGACTACTATCTTAAACACTAACTATGCCAACACATCCTCAATGATAACACTAACAGATCTAATATTTGCCTTCGACATTAATGTAAAGTGGTTCGCGCCCTCTACCCGTCTCGTCAAAAACTCCGCACCAGGCAATACCCTCTCCCATCCATCCGGTCCAAAGTCGGTTCTTTTATGAACCATGAAATGCATACTTTTCATCCCTCTCACGTCTTTCTCATCTATCAAAGTTTCTGTGGCCCACAGGATGCCCACCTTTGGCATTCTCTCAGTTATCAAGACCTGCGGCTTGTAAGTCATCATGACATCGACGGAGGCTCTGAAATGCGGGATAAGATAAGGGGGCGGAGCAGTCTGGCCAAAAAGTCCAAGGGTAGCAGTATACTCGTAGAATGAGGTCGGGAGTTGTTCCATGATTGTTGGCACAGGCGCGTCGATTATGACCAGACCGTGAACTTCTTCGCCTTGAGCAACGAGCATTTCAGCACAGACGAATGCGAAAGCTCCCCCACTGGACCAGCCGCCGAGATAATAAGGCCCGTTCTGCTGACGCCGCCGGATCTCGTTGACGAAGCTGCTGATGAGAGCTGTGTGGGTGCAGTTCATGTTCTCTGGGTCGCGAGCGTATGGGCAGTTGAGACCGACGATTGCGTAGTTGCCTTTTAGTTTTGGGACTGAGACGTAGCTTGATGCGGAGCCACTGCCGTCTGGCAAGAGAAAGAGAGTCTTTGTGGCTGTCTTGGGCATGCCTTGGAGAATCACCGAGCTAGTGGGTTTACAATAGTCGGATCGTGTTGGTTGGGTTTCTTTAACGAGAAGGTCTTCTGGCTCGGATTCGGAGCTTTCGTCTAGAGAGATGACTCCACTCGATTCAAACTCGGATAAATCGCTATCGGAGCTGTTGCCGGAGAGGAAACTTTTGAGGTGTGCAACTGTCGGGAGATCAACAAAAATGGAGAAATCGGCATCAAGTTCTAGGCCCAGCTCTTCGCGGAAGCGGGAGCCGATTACCACTATGGAGTGTTAGCTTTTGGCAGAGGAATGACTAAATAGTGCTTACTAGAGAGAAGGGAGTCGACTCCAATATCGGCAAAGTTACTGTCGTCGCTGAGGTCCGAGACAGCAATACCACTTTCGTCAGCTATAATCCGTAGAGCTGTATTTGTGGTGCCATTTATTGGAGCTGGTGTAATCTTTCCTTCAATTTTACGAGGAGGTAACTCTTCAACAGTTGACAGCACGTGGACATCTGCTGGTTTCTGCTCAAATGCCGGCTCGGGTGTGTAAGTCGCGGCTACCGAAGGAGCTTCTGTCAAAGGTTTGACCATCGGAAGTGCTGCGTCTGGCTGTTCCTCAGGCGAAAGTGGTTGATCTTTACCCTGCAAAAATATCTTCAGATCTTTAACAGTCGGAAGATCCACAAAGATCGAGAAATCGGCGTCAAGTTCCAAATTGAGTTCTTCTCGGAATCTACTACCAATCACCATTGACAGTAGGGAATCAACTCCAATATCGGCAAAGTTGCTCTCATCTGTCAGGTCCGTGACTGCGATACCACTCTCTTCAGCGATTATCGCTAAAGCATTGACAAATTGAGGACTGAGCTCTTGTTTTTTTGGTGGTATGGCAACTGGTGTCGGAGGAGATGTCAGTGCTGATGGAGCTGCAACGCCGCTCATATTTACTGGAGCAGGTATAGTAGTTGTGATAGTACTGGTAGTATGTGCTAGTGCTGTTCCGGATACGATTTGGGGCTTGGATTTAGCGATAATCTTGCTGACTGCCCTTGGAGCAGATTTGAGAGGGTTAACACTAGTCGTAGAATTTGCCGAAACCGCTCCAGTCTTTGCCAACTCCCTAGAAGCTTTATCCACAGTTTGCTGGAGAACCATTCTCAATGCTTTTCGGGGAACACATCGCAACTAGCCAAAGATCAGCGACAGGTCAGTATTGGTCGCGATCAGAACTTACCGAAACGCCTGTGAAGAAAGCCACAATAGTATCTCCATCCAGAACAATGGTATCTCCATGGTAGAGATCACCCTTGTCATGTTTCATCTGCACATACACCTCATAGTCCCTATCATTCTTCAACTCCTCGTAGATCTGGAAACTGTGCCACCCATGGTTGACAAATACATGAGTTTCGAGATCAGTACTATCCTTACCATTCATACAGAATCCACCAACTTGAGTGATGGAATCCACGTACGCAGGATGAGCGGCGAAAGTCCCACCGGGTTTGACGGTGGAAAAATTGAGTTTGCTACATGCTTCTAGGGTGGGCTCGTCTAAAACGAGATGGTTGAGTAGCTTGTAATCGGGATGGAAAGTTGCAACAGTCGACATGAGCTTGTAACCTGCTGTACGATTGTACTTCACAAATTCTCCTTTCCGCGAACCGTCTCGGAGACGGCTGATCTTGGACTTAAATTCAGGAAGACGAGCCTTCAGAGAATCAAGCTGAGTCGTATCTTCAAAGCGGATTGTACACCAAGCATGTTTGATGGTAAGTTTACCACTCGCATTAGCTGACCAGAATTCGCACTCCGCACTCTTTGTAGCGCCAGCGGATTTGGGGGCCCAAGCGACGCTGAATTTAGTACGGAGGAATTGAGGACCTTTCCCGTGTGGAACGAGTGCCTTTTCTGCTACTAGGTCTGCAACGTCGATAATACCTGGATAGCCAGGTCTCAGGCGGTTCATAAGGTATTTACCAAGGACAAAAGCAATGTCTGCGTACACTGATGGTGTGCAGAGTGCAATATTGTTGACCGCCTAGAGGAATAATGTCAGAAAATGAGTGCGTTGTATATGATCTACGAGAAGGGAGACTTACATGGCCGGCGGCAACACTCTGCGTGTCGGCCCTGCTCATATCCGTCTCAAAGACCAAGGTCCCACCAAGAGGCTCCATGATCTCCTCGATGAGCTTGTGTACATTAGTGGTTTCTGGGTACTCCACCTCAATTTTAGCCTTGGGAGCCTCAACCATATTCTCTAGTCCGGCATTTTGCTTGCAATCCGTCAAAAGACCGACAGCCTTCCCTGTATGATTGGTAACCCCATTCAGATCCCCGCAGTGACACTCAATTTTATGTCTATGCAAACACCAATCACCCTCGTAAGGAATATAGTACTCTTTCAAATCCCATCCATAAGCTGGCAGATCGAGCACTTTATGCGATGCTGGAAACGCGCTGTGGTACTCCACCCAGTCGATATCATGGCCTTTAGAATAGACTGTGCCTAGCGCGGATGTTAAATTATTCCAAAGGTTTTGTGTGCGGTGAAGTATTGGTAAAGTCTTCATGAAAGATCCAAGACTCTTGGTGACCATTCCGCAAACCGTTGGCTGAGGTCCAACCTCGATAGTTATGGTACCCTGATTGATAAGTTTCGAAGCAAGGGCATATCTTAGAGCTGCAGCAATGTTAACAGTTTCTCGGCAGTGTTTGGCGAGGTAGGAAGGGGTGATTATGTCAGCTTTATCGATGACTTCTCCGGTCAATGGACACAAGATTGGAATCCTTGGTTTGTGAAATGTTATGGAGGAAGCGATTTCGATGAAAGATTCAAGGATCGGGTCGACTTGAGCGGAGTGGAATGCAAATGGGACTTTGAGCAACGTAGATTTGATTCCCTTTGACGAGAGAGCGGCTCGGATCAACTCGATTTGATCATTCAAACCACTCAGTACAGTATCCTCTGGCCCATTGATACATGCGATGTCGTACCTTTTGTCGCCAAGGATGCCCGAAAAAGATGATGATGGAGCTTTGACAGCCAACATAGCATGGGTACCTCTATTGCAGCGGCTTTGTAACAGCTCTGCTCGCTTGCCCACAAGGAAAAGAGTGTCAGAGACCGATAGTACGCCGGCTCGGTTGAGTGCAGCATATTCTCCGAGGCTATGACCGACAACAAGGGTTGGCTCCAAACCAAAACTTTTGAGAAGTTCGCCCAACGCCATTTCCAAGGAACATATCGCGAGCTGTACAACAACTGGGGGAAACTGGTCGATATCTCCCGCCTTAGACTGGAAAACATGAATGAATGAATCAAAACCAAGGCTTTGGGAAAGTTGATCGAATCGGTGAAGGGACGCTCGGAAGCGAGGGAACGACTCATACAATGTGCCGCCCATGCCCATATACTGTGAACCCTGGCCAGTAAAAGCAAAGAGTAAACCTGGCTTGGTCTTTGACCTCGTAGTACCGTGACCTTCCATAATGGCGGCTTGAAGCCCGGCTTTACATTCCGTCAGAGATGAGCAAGTGATACTGACACGATGAATCTTATGTAGTCGGCGAGCTGTGGACGTCCAGGAAAGTTGTGGGAGTGAGAGACCATTCTTTTCTTCTGCAGTGACGTATTCGAGAAGCGACTGGAGGTTTTTCTTTAAAGAATTTGCAACGTGCCCAGAAACTGTGACAATATGACTTGAGCGACAATCCGTTTGCGTAATGACTTCAGGAATAGGCCCATCCTCCATCACCAGCGTAGTATTGCCCCCAGCAGCACTGAAATTGCTGATTAGAACCCTTCTTGGTTGCTCACCCCGTTTCCAAGGTGTGGGCTTCATAGCGATATGAACATTCCGAGCACCAAGATCAGGAAACGTGCGATTGATCTTGTTTCCAGGTTTGATACCACAGTGAGGTGGGATTATGTCGTGTTTCATCATCAACAGGACTTTTGCGAGACTGGTAACACCGGAAACACCTTCGCCATGCCCGATATTCGCTTTCGCCGAGCCAACCCATAGTGGGTAGTCCATACCACGAAAGGCTTCGTTTGGTGCAAAGACACTCAAGACAGATTCCATTTCGACCGCATCTCCAACTCTGCAATCAGTTAGTTTGGAGTTATCTCGTTATGCAACAAACGATAAGCTCCCGAATTCAACAAACCCATGTGACAAAGAATATACGTTACTTACTGAGTGCCGGTCCCGTGCATTTCAATATAGCTCAGAGATTTCGGATCGACAGAAGCGGTATTCAGAACGTGATTCATATTGTCGATTTGAGCACCAACGTGGGGTCTCGTCATCGACTCCGACAACGCAGAATGATTAGTCTTAATATCGAGAATAACACCAAGAATCGGATCTTTGTCGGCCAAAGCGTCCGACAGCCTTTTGATAAAGACAGTCCCCACGCCTTCAGCTCGACAGTAGCCGTCGGCGGTATCATCGAAAGCCTTACAGTTGCCTGTTCGGGATAAAAAGAAACCCTTGTCAAGACCAGCGTGACCATCGGGAGTAAAAATCATATTTGTGCCTCCTGCGACTGCAGTATCACAATCACCTCTCCAAAGCGAGTTGCAAGCTAAATGAATGGCAGCAAGACTTGACGAGCAAGCTGTGTCGTTGGTAAAACTTGGTCCACAAAACTCGAAGCAGAAGTTGATTCGGCCAGGGATAAACCCACGATTACCACCGGTAATAAAATAAGTGTCGATGTCTTGTGCAGTATTCGTTTCCATCCAGTCGTTGCTAGTAACACCGTGGAAGACACCAACTCTATCAAGCTGCGTTGAAGGTGTCGTTCCTGGCACCATACCAGCGGATTCCATCGCTTCGAAAGTGGCCATCAAGGCCATCCGCTGTGCCGGGTCCATTTGTGGAGCTTCTTTCGGGCTGATACTGAAAAATCGAGGGTCGAATTCTCCAGCAAAGTCAAGCCAACATCCCCATGGTGTTGCACCTTTGTTGTGTGCTTTGCCGCTTGGATCAACATGGGTGTCGACATTCCACCGTTTCAATGGCACCTTCTTGCACACATCAAGACCTTTGTAGAGAATATCCCAGAATGCTTCGGGAGATTGTGCTTCTGGGAACCTGCCCGACATACCAATGATGGCGAGTTTCTCTTTACCGCCGGGTAGAGCTTCAACGGGAACTTTTGTCGCATTCGGTTCATTAATTGTAACTGGCAATGAGGATTTGAATGCTGAGGCGAGGCTTGTTGCTGCAGTAGTTGCGAATGGTATAATTGATACCTCCGTGACTCCCTTGGCCAGTAGCGTAGGGGATTCGGAAAGCACTGCATCCCATCTCAAAGGCTCCAGTAAGCAATCAAACAGGGCTTTCTCCAGTAATCCTCTGAAGTTTCCTACCCAAGCCTGCTGGCCATTGGCACTGGATATCACGGGAACTTTTGCGGTGAAACCTTCCCAGTTCGTCGCGGAGGTTGTATCTAGAATCTTCTCGACATCCTTCAGTGAAAATAAATTTGAGTTGTGTGACGGGACGTAGATAGGAATGGACTTCGATTTACGAGTTGAAAATGAGGGAGAGCTCAAAAGAAGGTGGAGAATGGATGGAGGTGCGCTAATTGTTGTGGATTTTCCGGCCGTGGCACCAATCCATGGTTGCGAAGTTTTCGGGATATTCTAAATCAGTTAGTAGAGCTTCCAGGGCAAAGATATGAGTCTATTTACTTTTGACTCACTGAAATCCTTGATCAATGATGCAGCTTCTGAGGTTCCAAGGCCGGGAAAGACAGCAGACCAAGATTGAGCAGCATCGCCAGTAGGGCTCTCAATACGGGAGCAAACATCCACAACGCAAAGACCAAGACGAAAAGCAACTTGCACTGTTTGAACAGCGGCAGGGAGGAGCTCCGATAGTGTACTACAGGATCCTATTGCAGCGGCAGCCAGAGCACCTGTACATAGGCCGATTATGTAAGTGTCGTGAGGTTGTGGATACGATCTCCCAATTTCTCCGAAGTGACTTCTTATATTAGTATAACTAGCATCTACTAAGAGGAATTTGTTCTCACGATATGAAGCTCGCCAATTGATAACAGCATGATAAAGCCGTCTGAAATGCTGGACTCAGAGAACCTTGGCGGTATTTGTGGAGGAGATCTGCAATGGTCGGAGCAAATGATGCTTTACGCTCCTTTAAAGGGAGCGAATGGTTGAGCTCTGCGCGAATAGCGAAACATGACTGATTCAGAAAAGCTGTTAAGATGGGATTGTTCTCTTCTCGCAACAGCTTCTTGAAGTCTGAAGCAAAGTCGTAGGTCTGGTCACCGAACAGGAAAAGTTGAACTTTCTGAGACATCGTATTCGTCAATGAAGAATCTCCAAATGACTTTGAGCCTCTTATTGAGGAAGTAGTGATATTTCACAAGTAGAGATGCCTAGATGAAGAAATATGGGAGAGAAGAAACAAGCATAATAGGGAAGGGTGGTGGAAGCCCTCTTGAATGAAGTCGAGTTCATGGTCCTACCTGTGGAATTTCATCAAGTCAGATTCCAAATCCGCATACCGCAAGCTGACATTCGTCGACTCCCCAAGCCGCAGCTCTCAGCTCGGAATAGTGGCACTAGGCCGCGGCCACAGCGACAAATAGGGAAAGTTTCATAACTCTGACTTACTCCGACTTTCTCAGAGAATGCTCGGTCTGCGTACACAAGAAACTGCCAGTGTAGAGGTCGAATCGATGTCGAACGGGAGGGAAGTGTTCGCTCTGCGGGCGGAGACCGAATTCCGTCCGCTTAACCTTGACGCCACAAAACTCGTGGCCTCAGAGATCCCCCCTGAAAGCGCTCGCTTATTCTAGGTATGAAATGCCCTTGCCTGCCGAAAGTCGTGGTCGTCCAACGCCTTCAGAATCTTTCACAGAGCATTGCGATGATCGGTCTCCGCATTACATACCAATTTCGCAGATATCTAAATTCGGTGCATGGTCTCCAGTGGGCATCTTCGGGGGAATCTTTTGAGTGCTATAAGCTATGGAAACCATAATCGAACATGAGCGCTGTGCACAATCAAAAATCCAGAACACTTATCGAAAAGTTTCTTTGATAATCATCGTACTACTAGGCCACTCTATTATTCTCCAACATGGCTGATTCAGTAGCGGCCGTCAATTTGTTCCGAGTAGATGGGTTAATCGCTGTAATTACCGGCGGAGGGACTGGTTTGAACATGATCTATTCTCTCGATCACATAATTGACGATGAGTCCCAGGTATCGGTGCCATGATGGCCACAGCCCTGGCAGAAAACGGTGCATCAAAGGTTTACATCGTAGGGAGACGCCTGGACAAACTCCAAGAGATGGCCTTGAAATATCCGGAGTGAGTGTTTTCCTTCCCGTCAATCTGCCATCTCATATTCTAAGAAGCGCACCAGCGTCATCACCCCCCTCCCAGCAGACGTAACCTGCCAAGCCGACCTAAAACGAATCGCCGATCTCGTTGCCACAGAAGTAGGCTACATCAATCTCCTAGTGACCAACGCTGGCATGTCCGGCCCCATGCTCGAAGATCTGAAGCCCCGATACACACTCACAGACTTCGTACAACATGCTTGGGCGACTCCAATTTCGGAGTTCACTGCGACGTATGATCTCAATTGTAGTGCGCTCTACTACACCGTCTTAGCATTTATGGAGCTTCTGGACGCCGGAAATAGACAGCCAAAGGGTTTGTACACGGGCGGAAAATCACAAGTCATAGCGACCGCTTCCACGGCTTCTTTCCTCCGACACCCGAGAGCTGGATATGCATATCTGAGTTCCAAAGCTGGAGTCATAAGTTTGATCAAGTCGCTTTCTTCGTTTTGCGTCCCGTGGGGGATCCGGTTCAATGCTATTGCAGCGGGATTGTTCCCCTCGGATATCGCAGAAGTGTTGTTCAAGAAGTATATCATTGATCCGAAGAAATCTTTGACAGAGGAAGGCGTGTTCAGTAGAAGTTATCAGCCAGCGGAGAGAGCAGGGAGTATCGAAGACATGGCGGGATTGATTTTGTACATGGCAGGACGCGCGGGCGCCTTTTTGAATGGCAGTGTTATGTTGAGTGATGGTGGAAAATTGGGAACTATGCCTGCAACTTATTAGTTATTGAACAAGTAACCGGACGAATATAAATTTGAAAATAGTTCTATCAATATTTGACCCCAGGAAACAATATTTTCAGAATTTTATGAATGTGCGAGAACATACAACAGTTCAAAAGGTTGACAAGGAGTCACTTACTGTGATGGAGAGAATTTTGAAAATCGATACGCGAGAGAAAATGATTCCAAATAGGCGTATAAACATCATATACATGAACGCATCTCTATTGTTTCAATACCATCAACCATCAGAACCCTTAAGCATTTCGCTCAACACCTGACTTCCCGAAACCTCAACCACTCTTTCAACAAAATCTCTTCCAGTTCCGAAAGGTACACCAACCAAGTTTGGAATCCATTTACCAACCATCTCTTCCGGCACTATATCGCTCTCGTTAATTTTCTCCTTCAGATAATCCCGATATGTATCAATACCAGCCCTTAAATGTGTTGAGTGAAATGGAATGTCGATTCCATTGAGAGGAATGGTCGCTACACCGCGCGACAGCGTGATGGGGCGAGGAATATCTTGGGACTGAGTGAGGTGATGGGCGACAAGATGCTTGAGAGCTGATGTGGTATACTGGCATGACTTTAAGGATGACAATGCGTCGGAGGTGGTAATTAGAATAGCGAGAGCTTGGAGCTGGTCGATATTAGCTACAATGTTAAATGCTCAATCGCGATTAAAACTTACATTCCCAGCACATACATACTGCTGCCCTTCTAAATTGAAATTTACAATCTCAAGCAGAAGCCCACTTTGTTCAGCAATCTCACGTATGATCTCTCGGACGAAATCTTGCTTCATATCTGTGTACGCCATTAAAAACATCCAACCTAGAGACAGGAGATACTTACCTCTTGATATTTTAGATGGGTTGAGCGCAACCATCGAGAACCCAGTCATGCCATCTCCATCCCTAGTCATCGCATTTTGCATGATCAATCCTCGATAAAATACCAAGTGCAGCATATTCTCCAGAGTCATGAAGCTCGTACAAGCAGCGAGTGCAGCATACTCTCCAAGGGAATGGCCCGCAAATTTGAAATCTTGCTGAACAACTTGATGAGATTTGAGAGCTTCGAATTCGGCGATTTCCATCAATGTTAAAGCCGGTTGGGCGAATTGGGTCGAGAAAAGCAAACCACGCTCTTCCTTAAATGTATATGATTTTGATGTGGGAGTGAGACCTGGGATTATTGGTTGCATTTTCTCCTTTCCATCGCATATTGCTTTCCGTGTCATTTGGAGGTAATTGCTCCTTATGGTACGTCCTCGTTTGCCGCCGAAGTAGATTGTAATGGTTTTGGGATCTCGAAACACGATATCTAGTAGCGAGAAGCCTAGCGTTTTATTAGCATACAGTATGACACAAGTATTAGAAAGTTTACCATAAGTGTCGACAAAATACTTGTCTCCCCTATCCCAGATCATCTTCGCAGCAGAGTTTGAATTATACAACGGGAGGCCCATTTCCTTCTCCTGTGAACCTTGTCCACAGAACAGATATGCCGTAGAACCCTGCTCGATTTCTGCTGTTGCATCGAGAACTTTCTCACTCGTTTCTGAGTTGTAGGCGCGGACAGCAATCACCATCTTCCCTTGAGACATTGCCACATGCTGCATCTCAATATTAAGCACGTCACCTTGTTCTACAATTCCATCAAAAGAACACGCCCAGGCTCGAAATCGAGAACAATCGCCGTTTGCTACAACTGTTTCGATAACTCGACGGACAGAAGCTGAAGTATACATGCCGTGAGCCACAGTTCCTCGTAAGCCAGCATAGCGCGCGAATGATGTGCATGTGTGTATCGGGTTCGTATCTTTGGATGCGCGACTGTAAGACCTCAATGAGACCGGGATCTTAACATTCCAAGAAACTTGATTCTTCCAGCCTGGGTGTTGGAGAGCCTTTGCAGAGTCCCTTGTGCCTCCGTGGCGCTCGAAAAATTCAGAGATAGGATTTCCCAAGCATGATGGATGCGAGAAGTCAATTGTACCAATAGCAGGAGACAGCTGCGAACCTGTGGCTTGGAACACTTGTCCACCGACTTTCAGATCATGTCCAACAGAGCGGGATTTATGTTCTGTACGAAGCTTGATTCTGAGAGTAGTGCCCATCAAGGGTTCGTCCGAGTCCGTGAATTTTAGCCAGCTTCTGCTTCGGAGCAAGGCTTGCAGCTTCAAAGATGTCACTGGCAGCGATATGTCATAGCGATCAATCAACTGAGTTGAAATCTCATCGCTCTTGAAGGTTCCTCGTATCAAGAAGACTGATGTAACGTAGACGACAGGCTTCTTGTCGCGCGTGATTGTGGAGACCACTGTAATCGATTTTCCTGCGGGCTTCACAATGATGGCTGTAAGTCGGAAAAAAGTTTGCAGGTTGTCCCCAATAGATAAAGGGCTAGCGCCATCGCAATACTGAAAACTGTTTGATCGATGAAGCAGCCGTAAAAGATCACCCGTGATACCAGATGCGACCAGAGGTTTCGTCAAAGCAGTCCAGCATATCGAAATGCAGATATCTAAGGGAATGGCCCTGGAGGAGAGCGTTTCACGACCCGCTGGGCTAAGGTCGGACTTAGTGATCGTGCTCATGAATGACTCGACAGTTTGGCAAGATAGCGTGATGCTTTTTTCGTAATATTCAGTGCCAAGCTCAATGCCAGAAGGGAAAGTTCTTTCGTGTTCCCAAATGTCCGAGTAAAATTCCTTGATCATTTCATCACGGGAAGTTGTAACTTCGTGCAGCCTATGCTTCTGGTCCTGATGATTGAAAGCAAATTCAAATACTATGCTCGAATTTGTGGAGTTGCATTCCTTGTCGATTTGCAAAGTGACAAGAACACGTAATTTATCGACCAACTTGAGCGAAATTGAGGTGTAGGCTGAACCATCAAGGGCCTTGGAGTTGAGTTCAACGTTTTTCGGCTGTTTGTCCTCGTCATATGTTACAGCCACTGTATCTCCATGACAAGGTTGAAAAGCTGCAGAAATCGGATTCTTCACAGGCTGATCTTCAAATCTGACATGCTCGTCGGATAAGCAGGCCTGGGCCCAACCTTGATGTGAGCTCAGCAAATTGTTGATAAAGTCTTCGTATTCAGGAAGCAAACCATGCTCGTCAAAATGATATTCTGTTCTTGTCGCATTCATCTCTATGGTAGTGTTCCGTAGCGCCGAAGGGCTGTGAACTAGAGATGTCGTAATTTCTGCGACTGTCTTCTTTAGAAGCACCGGTTGCAATATGTTCAGCAATTCGCGCGTAAATCTCCCCAGAATGGAAGCAACCGGCTCATCAGCTTTTGTTGAGTGGCTTATAGCTACCGGTCCGTGAATTATGCACACGCGCTGAGGATCTCGGCCAACCACGGCGTCAAGGTCCTCCATTTGCCATAGCGAATCCTTCTTAAACCAGGTCTCGAAATTCTCGTCTAACCTGGGTATGAAATTGACGGGTTTTTCTCCACGTTTCCTGCACAGAGCCATGAAGTACGACACGTCTTCGTGATATAGCTGTTCCGTCAATGTGGCTGGATAACATATCAGAAAAGCGTCGAGATTCAGAGCGGGGTCCCAGTCCGCACTCAAATTAAAATGACAAGATGGCTGGAAGCGCTCTCGAATCCGATTTGCAAAAGCAACTACTTTCTTTCTGTATGACTCGTCAATCCATCTTTTTTGAGACCTAACATACATCAAGTTGACGAGACGACGCAAACACTCAGAATAAGTCAAGTCTTCAATCTCAACACTTTCACCAGAAGAATCAATTGCAAACCAAGGCTTCGCATAGTCGCTGTTGATGCGCCTAATAATCTCTTGACGCGATGATTGTAGCGCTTTGAGTCGCTTTTCGGGATTCTTGATACTGAAGATGCGGTCGTCTAGGTCCTTCCATAAGAGAACGGCACGATTGGCGATCTTATGAATCGGCTGCCCCATCTCTGAAGATACGGTGACTACTCCACCCACTGCTCCGTCATAGCTTTTGTGCCATTCGGAATTGTCGCATCCTGGTGTTTGCACAATCAACTCCTTGACTTTTGGGGAGGTATGTGCTTCCCGGGATATCATCATGCGGCTTCCAAGAAGTACGCCGTCGATTGGCATAGCCGAATATCCAAAATTACGAGCCCAAGACCCGGTGAGCAGTTCAGCGACTTCACTTGCATCTCCAAACCCACTTCCAGCGATAAGGACAACGTTGGGATGTCTCCGTACTTCATTGTAAGTTTCCAATATCGGTGAATGAAAATCCTCATAAGAGTGATGACCCCCTGCTCTCCCTCCGGTCCACTGGATACAAACAGGAAACTTTGGATTAGCACCCGCGATGTCAAGAACTTGCCGTATTGAGCTGACCGAGCTTGGCTTGAATGAGATATGCTTGATTCCAATAGTATTGATGTAATTCGTTGCGATATTTAATGATGGAACTCCTGCACCGATCGTCAAACCTTCGATTTTTATTCCATTCGCTATCAATCGTTTAATGAGTGGGATCTGCCATGCTATAGATTTTGGATTAACGTAAATCAAGTTGCAAGTGATACCACGGTGAGTGGGGATGGATGCGGCTAGGCTGCGAATCGCCTCTTCAAAAGATCGAGCGTCAACATAGCCTCCTGCTGCTAGCTCAACATGATATCCAGCGTTTATGACAGCTGCCACGAAGTCCCAAGGTACCGATGTCGGCGTCCTGAAGCAAGTTCTTGTCAGTGCTGAAAAAACAACTTGGATATAGTCAAGCTTTATGATGGTTAGTGCGTATTGAACTAGGAAATGATACAGTATATATTTTAGAAAGGTTAGGGGACACTATTAATAAAAATCAAGGGAAATAAATATGTAAATACTCACATGCCAGCTACCATCACAGGTGGTACCCCGAGAAGCCTCGTCATTTTGGTACTTAGCTCCATCCCGCCATCAAGTCCTTTAATTAATGAAGGTCCATTGTTCTCCTCCCAATGTGGTGATTTTGGTGGCAGAGTTGGAGCGAAAATTTCATTCTTTCCCCCAACATCACTAACGCCCAGCATATCAAAGGCATTGATGGTACGAACCCCAGAGCCCTCCGTGAAACTTTTCAGAAAATTGCTAGAGCGCCCTGGTCCGAAGTCTAGGAGATAATCGTATTTGTGTGGTAAGCATGCAGCAGCCCAATCGACGGGCTCAGTCATGACCATTCGCACCAGGGGCTCTACCAAGTTACTCATGCTGCTAGATCGAAGGTCCAGACCGTTAACAGTCCCAAACACAGGTATGCACAGATTGGTTCGGAGAATTTCTTCCCCTTCCATGTGCTGCAGAACTCTAAGGCTTGCTTCTTTGAGGTGCAAACTGTGAAAGGGTGCTGATATGGGAAGAAAAGATACTTCAAAGACAGGGCGGCGTTTTTGATATGGAATTCTGGACTGATCGAGGTCTTTTGGCGCTGCCTCTCGGCCTAGAAGTCTATACAAGCCCATGAGTTTGTCTGGTGGACCAGCAACGACCAAATTGCTGGAAGAGTTGACGAGGGCCAAGTGAATATGGTGTTGCCCCTCAAAACACGAGTTAACCTCGTCTATGAAAGACTCGAGAAGATTTTGATCTAAACCACGCACACTCAGCATATGTGAAGGTTGGCTCTGGAAGTCGTCCGCGGTCAGAACCGCAGGTATGGCATAATGGCTTTCCAAGCCAATCCAAAACAGAAGTCTCAGGCAAGTTCCTACTGCCTCATAGAAGCTTTCCCATGTTGTAGATTGCGCTATTGTCGCTGCCACCAGTATGCCTTGCGAATGCCCACTGACACCAGCGAGGGCCTCTTGCATGTCGCTAGGACACTTATTTAAAATTTTACAAGTGATACAGAAATGTGCTAGACTAAGAAGCCCTAGGAGTGGGAAACTGAGGGGTGCAGCAGCTATGTGCCCTTGGTCTGGTGCTGTCTCCGGCTCTTTTAGCCACCTCTTTAACTCGAATCCGTCATAGTCGTACTCAAAATCCACGGCACCAGATGAATGAGCAAGTCCCGACAGTATTGAAGTGGCGGTATCCAAGAGACTTTCCAGGAACGGCCCGTATATACTGTATAATGTCCGGAGTTCCTGCAAGCTGGTATAATTGGCGCCGCCTTGACCCCCAAAAATTGCATACACTGAGGTAGTTCCATCCTGCCCTGATTTGAATAGAGCCGATGTCGTAGGGTGTGATAAATTTGGAGAGCATCGGCAGAAAGCCTTCAAAAAAGATGGTCTAATTGCAGAGTCCAGTTGTAAGGCCAGACTGTGAGCATCTGTTTCCTGAAGAAAATCGCTCTCGAGACACCGAAACACTGTCACCAATATGCCATCCTGCGCTTGCTGTTCGACGAGGTACGATATAAAGTGTGCAGCACTATTCAAAGCTGCGCCTAGGGAGGTTTCTTCGATGTGGGGAGTAGGGTTGTGATTCAAAACTCTTGCAAAAGCAGTAATGTGGGGTATAACGGAGTGCAGTTCACGCAGTGCGCCAGATATCTTCCAGTCCCCAACTTTGAGTGAAATATTCGTTCTGGTCCCGGTATTTCGCTCTCGTGATCTCGTTATATCGGGCATGGCGAATGTGTTTGATGTTCTGTTGGATAGTGTAGTGGGTAGTTCTAATGTGTCACAAGAGCAGTAGCGGCAACAACAAACACGCAACAACAATACGAAAGAGGAAAAACAGAAAACAGCCAATGTAAAATTATAGCGTTACCTATCAGAAACCTCAAAGTTGTATCAACATCCATGTTCCGGGATACATTGCGGAGCCCAGAAGCTCAGGAGAAATTTCTGCCCCTCTGCTCCTCGTCTGCGTCTGCACCGAGAAGCATCGTCTCTGCGGCCATAGCGATGGCAGGAATTCCGCAGCTGACCTGGAGCACCTGAAGCTGGTATGTTGAGTATGGTGGTGTCGGAACTCGCGCATATCTGGCTGTGTGAGAATGACGGGAGGGAAGGGCAAAGGACGTGTGAAAGCTCCGGCTATTTTAATCACGATGTGCTGGTGAGGTGGCTGTGGTTGATTAGTCAGCAAGCTCGCTTTCCGAACATATTTCGTGCAAATGTAGACCGAAATTTGGTTGCGACTTGTAGGGAGAACGGAGAGGCCGTATGATCCAGCATGACGGTAATTAGTTCCGCCAGGTATTTGGCTATGAGCCCAGGGGGGAGACGGGTCGCTACAATCCCCTGTTTTGAAACTTTTGATGCGTTTGCCATCTATTTTGTTACATGTTCTTCTAGTCGTTGCGGGCTTCATCTGCAGCATGGCGAGAATGGATACCAGTCTCGTATCTCTCTCCCAAGTTCATGAAGAAGCTTCTGAAAAGTTAGATGACAAAACAATTGCTTACAATTTGTTGATTGAACTTCTTGCGCAAGTAGTCCTACCATAACTTTTTTCCCCACAGGCAGCTAACTTGCCACAGTCATCAATTCGCGTTTCCAGTAAAATGGTAAAATTACTTGTCAACTACATTGCTAAAGTTTTGAAACAGCATCAAACTGATTCTGGGATAGGATAGATACACAAGATGCCTTGTTTTGTGCACAGCCAAACGCGGCTATCACTCGGTTCGTGGAACTGGGTCCTTCGAAAGTTCTTGCGAACATGGCACAAAGGACTGGTGACCTCAAATATGCAACAAGAGATCGAATCCTGGGTCTACGCCGGGCGTTCCTGGCAAGTACGAAGAACTCTCCAGAAATTTTGTACGAGTATGAACCCCAGACCGGGTCCCAAGTTCAAGGTCTTCCAAGTAGCAGTAGTGTACAAAGCTTGTCCGCACAATCACCCTCGCCTATCACTGTACCTAATACCCCCGCCACTCCTTTGCATCTTCCCACCATACATGCTGAAGCCTTCTCGATTGCTGCTACAAGTCTGGTGGATGTTCCAATCACGTCATGGGAAATTGTTCGAGCCTTAGTAGCACACAAGTTGAAAAAGAAAATCGATCAAATCCATGGTAGTAAGACTATCAAAGAACTATCAGGAGGTAATTGTTGCCAGTCCTTCACCTTTCCCAGTGCTAACAGTGTGTAGGAAAGTCCACTCTTCAAAATGAGATTATTGGTGATTTAGAGGCTGAATTTGGCAATACACCAGATGGAGCAGAAGACAGCGCTCTTGAATATCTTGCGGAAAGGCTCCAACCACGTCATAACGGACAGCTTGGCAAAGTATCTTCAGCTCTTATTGCTAGATTCATATCTTCTTCCATGCCAGCAAAATTTAACCTCAAATCTGTACGAGCTCATTTGGAACAAACATGGAATCTTGGTACTTCCAGGCAATCGTCGGTACTTCTATTTGCAATGACCCTAAGTACTACTTTGGGGGTAACCCGCCTTGCCTCGATTGCCGCAGCGAAGGAGTTGCTCGACAAGGCAGCGAAAGTCTATGCAGAAACGTGTGGCTTGACTTTACAAGCTCAATCTAATAAGTTAGATCAGCATGTCAACGCAGAATCAGTCATGAGCCCCAGTGCCATGCTTTCAGTTCAACAAGAAGCCAAAAGCCAGCGTCATCTTGCTACGAGACAGGTGCTTGCACTTTCGGAATACTTGGGTATCAACCTGGGTGGTAACAACGACTCCGAGTCGGAAGTATTAAACCGAGCTCTTAGAAATAAATTAGCTGTCTGGAAAGATGAATTTGGGGACGATTTCGCACTTGGTATGAAAGCTCATTTCGACAGTCGCCTGGTGCGACGTTTCAATTTTGCTTGGAACCAAGCTCGACAGGAGTTGATCGCTTTGTACCATCGTACAGAAATTATGTTCGAAGCAGGAAATTTTCAAAATCACTCGAATGATGAACTGCAGAACCTCGCTGCTAAAGTATCCAACAAGTCAAATGCGGATACTGCAAGGCTGCTGCGAGCTTTACTAGATTCAATTCCGGAAAGGTTGCGCGATTCTCACCCTTTCCACAAGATAGCCAACATGTTGATTCAAAATACAAATGAAACAGCTCACCCACCACCTCGGGCAAAATTCAACATGGCATTGTTAATGCCACAGACATTCATTGGAGAAAACGGATCGATTCAATACCAAGAAGTTCCGCGGACTGGGTTTGTTGGAGCCTGCTACTCGAGCTTGTTGCGGAAAGGACACCAGAATACAAGCCGAGTCTGTCTTCGTCGTGCTGGAAGCGCTTCCGAGGAAGACCTCAACTTAACACATTTGTTTTTCCACAACATATCAGAGATCCTGCAAAATGGCGCAAACTTCTCGGGGAAGTGTATCCTTATTACCGGAGCTGGGTCTGGATCAATCGGTGTTGAGCTCGTCAAGTATCTCCTCAATGGGGGAGCCCATGTTATTGTTGCTACCAGCAGACCCTCTTCGTCCTCTTCCAAATTTTATCGGGATATTTACGCTGAGCATGGCTCCCGCGGTTCCCAGATTCATGTCGTGCCTTTCAATCAAGCGAGTGCCATCGACTGCAAGGAGCTGATTGAGTATATCCATAATCCTCATGGCCTTGCTAAAGCTCTTGACGCTATCATACCCTTTGCCGCCACATCAGAAGAAGGAGTTGAAATGGACAAAATAGATGGAAAATCTGAGCTGGCTCATCGGATAATGCTAACGAATATTTTACGCATTCTGGGGCACATATCACGATGTAAGAAAGAACAAAATATCACCTGCAGGCCAACTCAGGTTATACTCCCACTGTCACCAAATCATGGCATATTCGGTGGCGACGGGCTGTACTCTGAATCAAAGCTGGGCCTCGAAGGCCTCTTGAATCGTTTTCACTCTGAATCTTGGTCTGAAGAAATAACAGTGGTTGGTTTAATCATCGGATGGACAAGGGGCACTAGTCTGATGCAACAGAATGACATCGTCGCGCAAGCGATAGAAGAGCGCGGCGTCCTTACTTTCTCGCAAAAGGAGATGGCTCTGAACATTCTTACACTACTCAGTCCGGAAATTGCTGAGGTTTGTGATGAGGTGTCTATCATTGCCGATTTCAGTGGTGGTCTTGGTCGCTTAGAGAATTGCAACCAGGTACTATCGTCAGCCCGAGAGAAAATCAGGTTAGAGTCTCAAATCTTGAAAGCCGTGCGAGAAGAAGATCGACTCGAAGCACAGTGCTGTGCCAAATTACCGATTCACAGTAACCCACAACAAGTGGAGCTTCGGACGACACTTCGGTTTCCTTTCCCAACACTGCCAGATTTCAACAGAGATTTAGAGCAACTGCATCATTTGCAGAAAATGGTGGATCTTTCAGGCACTGTTGTGGTTGTGGGTTACTCAGAACTTGGGCCGTGGGGAAACGCGAGAACGAGATGGGAGAAAGAGAGTCAGAATAGACTAACCCAGTCTGCGTACGTTGAGCTTGCATGGATGATGAACCTGATCAAGTATTTTGACGGCGATACTCCCCAAGGATACTTTGTTGGCTGGGTTGACACGAAGTCTGGTGAACAAGTCCTTGACAGCGAAGTAGAAGGAAAATATGGTGACTTTATCCTAAGCCATTCTGGTATTAGGTTCATTGACCCTGACCTATCGAGCGGATATGATCCCACCAAGAAAGAGTTCCTGCAAGAGATTGTCGTCGAAGAGGACCTTCCAGAATTTGAAACAGACTATGCGACTGCGGAGGGAATAAAAAGGCGGAACGGTGACAAAATCTCTTTTACTCATCTTGATGGCCAGGATCAGTGTCGAGTCCAAATCAAATGTGGAGCTCATATCATGGTTCCTCGCAGCTCAAACTTTAACACTAGCTGTGTAGCCGGTCAGCTTCCTAAAGGATGGAACGCAGCTACCTATGGGGTTGAAGAGGGCATTATCAGCCAGGTTGATCCCGTGACCCTGTACGCGCTTTGTTGCGTCGCAGAAGCACTTTTCAGCGCAGGTATCACAAATGCTATGGAGGTATATAAACACATTCACACCTCCGAGATGGGTAATTTCATCGGCTCGTCTATGGGCGGCACAGATAAAACACGACAGATGTACAGAGATGTGTATCTGGATAAGCGTGTCCAAGGAGACATCATCCAGGAGACTTTCTTGAATACTCCGGCAGCCTGGGTCAATATGCTTCTTCTTGGATCAAATGGACCCATTAAAACGCCTGTCGGAGCCTGCGCCACAGGTGTGGAGTCAATAGATATAGGCTTTGACTCGATAATTTCAGGAAAAACAAAGATGTGTATAGTGGGTGGCACTGACAATTTTCACGAGGATGAATCTTACGCCTTCTCTACTATGAAAGCTACTGTCAACACTGCCAGCGAGCTTTTGTATGGAAGGCTTCCTTCTGAAATGTCAAGACCTACTGCAGAAAGTAGAGCAGGATTCGTTGAGTCACAAGGATGTGGTATTCAAATTCTGTGTAGTGCGGAGCTGGCAATTGAGATGGGTCTTCCTATTTATGGTATAGGTGAGTAAGCGGGAGCTTGTCCTTTCTAGTCTTCAATGTCTTTCTCTCGAAACTGCCTCCCAAGATATTTCATCCTCTCCTGAAACGCCTGAACAATTGCTGACCCCCGTTATCCACACAGTTGCTGGGACTACAATGGCAGCAGACAAGATCAGTAGATCTGTTCCAGCGCCAGGCCAGGGAGTGTTGACTTTTGCTCGCGAGACACCACAAGCAGTACATTCGCCACTTTTGAATTTCCAGTACAGGCAGGAACAGATGCAGAAGGCCATTAAACGAGCTCACGCAGGAGAGCGTGCCTACAAAGAGTTGCCTATTGCTGGGATACTTACTCCTGAAGGCTCGCAATCTGATTCCGGGGGCGAAGAGCAATTGATCATCGATAACAGTTTCGCCGAATCTACCCTTAGGTGCCGCATCCAGGCAGTACAAAGACAGTGGGGGAATGAACTTCGACGTATGGATCCGACGATATCACCCCTACGAGCTTCACTTGCCGTCTGGGGCCTGACAGTCGATGATATCAGCGTTGCTTCACTCCATGGCACATCTACAAAAGCCAATGACAAGAATGAGCCAGATGTCATCAACCAACAGATGCGGCATTTAGGCAGGACTGGGCCACCATTACTGAGTATCTGTCAGAAGTCCGTCACTGGCCATCCCAAAGCTCCCGCATCCTCTTGGATGCTAAATGGTTGTCTACAAGTTATGAATACAGGTCTTGTGCCTGGAAACTATAATGCAGACAATGTTGATCCTGCGCTCGAGAAATTTGAGCACCTGGTTTTCCCAACAGAGCCAATTCAAATGGCTGAGATAAAGGCTTTTATTCTCACGTCATTTGGGTTTGGACAAAAGGGTGGCCAGCTCATTGGCGTGAATCCGAAATATCTACTCGCTACCCTTGGCAAAGATTGTTTTGAAGAGTATGCTACCAAAGTCACCGAGAGAAAGCGGCTAGCAAACAGAGCCTTTGCGAAGGCTGTTTTGACGAATAGCGTGTTCAAAGCTCAGACTGAACCGCCTTATGACCCCGTTGACGAAGCAAAGGTGTTCCTCGACCCACTCGCTCGAACTTCGGAGGTCCCAGAAACCGGCGAATATCGGTTTGAGCGGAAAAACATCTCTGGATCTACGATACTTACCAAAGCGCCTAACGATGCCAGCAAAATGCGAGCCGCAGCTACGGTCGATCTTGCAACAGCACTTACCAGATCTCAAACATGGATTTCAAAGACCATCTCCGATGCGCCTGACAATGTTAAAGTCGGCATCGATGTTGAAGACCTTGGCGCTTTCACTTCTGACAAGAATGAGATATTTGTGGCTCGAAATTATACCGAAGATGAGATATCCGTCGCCAGAAAGAGTCCTGATCCGCATCGTTCTTTCGTTGGGAGATGGTGTGCTAAAGAAGCTGTGTTCAAGAGCCTTGGGACCAGATCGAAGGGAGCGGGAGCAGCTTTGAAGGAGATTGAGATTGTTGATAGTGGTATGGGGCCCAGCGTTAAGGTATGCAATATATATTTACTTCGTTTTCGGCCTCTTTGCTAAAACCTTTCTAGTTACATGGTGACGCGAAGACTGTCGCAAGCGAGATGGGTATTACGGGTTTTGAACTCAGCATCACGTACACAGCAAACAGTGTCGCCGCCATTGCACTTGCAAGAAAACGGGCATGATGGCTCAAGTTACCTATGCGGCCTGTTGGAGTTGGGGAATTTTGAAATTTGGATAAATGACTAAATTGAAATTGAATGCGCATGGGAAAGATGTTTGCGGAAAGCTAGTATAAAATTGTGAAAATGAACCACATTATGCTGTTCCTCGACAAGGCGGGAGAGAAATGTGAATGTCTACTAATATTTTAGTCTCACGAGCGAGCTCTCGGAGCACCTTTTCTTTGTTTACATACACTTGTTTCGAATATCTTAAATCAAATAATTGTGTCTACTTTTTAGGCAGGCTATGTATTTGCCTTAAATCCACTTTGGGTCAATTATTTGCACTGTAAGCCTACAGTATCGGCCAATTCATGTTAACTGACCATACTCTCATTACTCATCGGTTCCTGGGGTCGAGAGAGCTTTCGATGCAACAACGTAGATAAATGCTCTTTGGTGTACATAAAACCACGTGTAGAAAGTTAAAAGACGTGTTTGTGGCACAGATGACCACCTATCTACAGACCTGTCAAGTATTTCAATTACATATATAGGTAAACTTGTAGATTACCTTTTGTAGCAATGGACACGAGTGGAGAAAAGTCGGATTGATTTTCAAATGATAAACGGATTCGTTATAAAATTAATATATCTATCTACATCATAGACATTGGTCTTTGCTTCGCCGCTGGCAGCAAACGAAGGCTAGGTAACCTCCTTGCATAGTAGGAAAAAATCTGTATGTACACTTAACCAATCTGCTTTCCCTTGACACTCTTCCACTCGATAGCTAATGCGCCAAGCAGAGTCAAGCAAGCAACAATCAACGCAACAAGGAATGTCTCAGTCAACGCACCGTTGTATGCGCGAACGACGAAGGGCAGAACATTGGCCGAAACAATTGCACTGAGATTGGTAGCGCCTGCGTTGATGACCACACGAGGATCGAGACTCGGCGCAAAACGATGGAGATCGCGAATAAGCTTGTTCTGGAATTGATTCTGCGCGACAGAGACGAAAATAGAAGCGCCCAAGGTCTGGCAGAAAACCAAGAGAGCTGTACCAGCTGGAACCAGTTCCATGGGTAGAACGACCTGAACCGCAATCAAAGGTTGTTGCATGCCAAAGCCGATACCGAGGCCGCAAATGACTTGGTATCCGATCCATTTCGAGTGACCAGTGTTAGGTTGGAAAGTGGTAAGTAAACCCTCGCCTACAGACATGAGGACAGTTGAAGCTATCATGAAGGGAACGTAATGTCCGATAACAGTCACTAACCCGCCTGACGAAATTGCGCCAACGACCACTGATAGCACAAGCGGGATGTTCATGATGCCTGAACGGAGGGCAGTAGCTCCCTTCACAGCTTGGAACCAGATTGGGAGGTAGTAAAGCAGCGTGAAAAAAGATCCTCCCATGCAGAATGAAAACCAGGCTCCAGCTAAGACTGAACGATTCCGGACGAGTTTCGGACTGATTGAGGCGGTTTCGGGAAAGTAAACTTGGATTCCGATGAAGATCAGCAGGCAAACGCCAAATACGACGAAATAAGTGATGATTCTTCCGTCTGACCAGGCATAAGTCGAACCACCAAATTGGAGGGCGAGAAGAAGACAGATGATGGATGGGATAAAGAAGAAGGTGCCAAAGACGTCAAGCTGCTTAGCTACTCCGAACCAGGTTCGCGATGCTCGAACATTAGCTGGCAGTGGCGGCGACTCAAAAAGGAACACGATGAAGATGACGGCCACGGCTCCAATAGGCTTTTCATTTGGTTAGCTGGGGGGGCTAAGAGTAGAGAAGTGAAGAGACACTGAATGTTCTGATCGTAGGTACAACATACAAGATTAATATAGAAACACCATCTCCAAGTCACATTATCAGTGAAAGCACCCCCAAGTAGGGGTCCTGCCACGGACGCAACACCATACATTGCACTCATCATTCCAGTGTATGCAGGACGTTTGTGCAGTGGTGCCGAATTGGCGATGATGAGGAGAGCACCCGAGAAGATTCCAGCTGAGCCAAGACCTGCTATGGCTCGCCCAATGATGAGGGCAACGCTTGAGGGTGCAACACCACATACGAGAGATCCAAGCTCAAAGAGGGCGATGGCAGCTAGGTAGACAATTTTCAAGGGGAAAATAGAGTACAGTCTTCCGAACAGGAGTGTGAAGGCGGCCGTGGTAAGCAGGTAAGCTAAGGGTCATTAGAGAAAAAACCTCAGAAAAGATTGTTTGCGACTTACCGCTTCCATACCATCCAACATCATCAAGAGAATGGAATTCGTCGGTTATTTTTGGGATGGCGGTGGCGATGATCGTGTTATCAAGAGCCACGAGAAAGACGGTAATACAGAGTCCTAGACTGGGTCGAAATATTTATTAGTAAGTTAACTCTCTGATGGCAGAAACACTCATGTAAGATCTTACCAGATGAACCCCAACTTGTATCCCTGAGGATATACACGCGTATCATCTTCAGCAGACTCTATATCCTCCGTCTTACTCTCTTGCTTTTTCTCATCTGGGGACGACATGGCCGGATCTTGGTTTTCCCCTGACCTGTTCAAAGTTGATTCTAAGCTCGCTTCAGAAGCCATTGACAGGACTAAAACGAATGGGATTTGTAAATAGCAAGATACAGTAGATTAATTCGACTACGCAACAGAACTTGGTGATTTACAGTCAGTTGTATCAAAGCTGGCAGTAGGACCCACTTTTTAAGCGAGGAGCATTCGGGACCGGAGAGCGAAAGTTTCCTCAAAAAGGGGGTCATGTTGGCTAACAACATCAACATCGAATCCGAGGCCCCGAGACCGAAAGCCCGAACCAAAGGGAAGGTCGTAAGCTAAGATGACCTGCATTTCTGGTAAGCTTTGATCCAGCGTTGACGCTGTCATACCAGGGATAACTACCTTGTACATTTAAGCGATACCCCAAAGAGAAGTCCAATGAAATGCGCAAGAGTCGTAAGATACTTAAATGCGGACGAATCCATTCCTCCTTCAACCCTATACATGGATAGTACAGTAGTAGCGGCGGCAGTGGAACCTTGGTGGTGTAGTGGGATGGTGAATTATCGACATTGCCCATGGCTTACTAAAAAGCTTGATTAGCACGTTCTGTAGGTATGAATGCTGCAGGCGGCACAGGCCGAGGAGTCTGGACTCTGCGCCCTTTGAAAATCTTCACTCCATATCTCACAGGCGGATAAGCCGTTCTGCACCCGACGTCATGCTTTTCTTACGACGTTTTGCATTGGAAGAATTACGTTTTCATTGTATAGAATTTTGAGGTTAGAATCGGTTGGACCAGTGGGGCTTGATAGACGATCAGGTGAGTTAAAAAATGCAGGTAAAATATCAATTTACTGCCAATAGTTTATTGAGCTAATACTAAGAAATGGAGGGGCGGCAAATGCTATCAAGCCGTTGTTGTATGCGAGATAGTGAACCGCTATACGATCTTGTACCACCTACCTATTCGAAATTGAGGAATGTTTATCGTGCCCGATGGCCATCTCTAAAGGATGTTCCACTGGATCGTGCGGCACAAAGGTGCCATACTGTTACACTACAGTGAAGCATTTTAAGCCACGTTTAGGATGATCTGACAGATTTGTGCCGGTCGTGCATCTTTGCTGGCTTTCATTGCGGCTGACCCGTGACCAAGGTTTGTCTCTTGTATACACCCATCGTCTTTTGCATCTGGTTGGTGCACAAACGGGTTTCTGCAACATACCGAGTATTATAATACGGGCTGTTTCTGAAGTGGCAAGGCGGCGAGATTGACACGGCTAGGAAGCCAAAAGCTGTATCTACCTGCGTAAGTACCTATGTAGTTAACCAATCCTGAATTATAAGTACCACTCCCTCCTGTAGATTCAGGCTGATTCAATCCGGCTGATTGTCGATATTACTCTTTTACAGATATTGGTCAAAATGTCGTCGAAACGCACTGAACCTTTAATGCCAAGAAAGAAACTAAAGGAGAGTTGCACTCAATGTGCCTCTGCCAAAGTCCGATGCTCAAAAGACAAACCACAGTGTACTCGGTGTGAGGACAGGAACTCCGTCTGCTCCTATGGAATGTCCCAACGGTCTGGTCGAAGAGCCGGGCCCTCTTATCATTGTAGTCCAACGCACTTAAACAAGGCTGGGGCGAGTGGCCAACCCAGACCCGATATCGACGGCAATGTTAATATGTTTACGTCCCCCTCGGACTTCTATCTTGACCGGGGACTTTGGTCTGCTTGTGAATCTTTAGGCTGGGATATGATGGATATCAAGAGTCCCTCTAGTCTCAGTCCTGGATCACAACTGCTAAGTGATGAAAGCTTGACGTCGCTGGACCAATGGATGGATATGGGATCCGATCACTGCAGCGCTTTGAGTGTCAACGATCACAATATACATGATATCTCAATGCCTCAGCACACCTCTATGCAACAGACAACATCACCGTCAACCTCAACCTCAACACCAATGTCAACACCTTTGAACATAATTAGCTCTCCAAACAAAGGTTCCGCTTCCTGCTATGAAACAGCAACACACGTCATTGGCGCCATCAATTCAGCTCCAAAATCATGTTCACTGGCAACAATCACTAGTGAAATCTCAAGACCTCAGCAAACAATTGAGCAAGTCATCGACGCAAACAGAACCAGCATCGAATCCGTAACCATCATTCTCAATTGTCCCTGCGCAACCGATCAAAACCTCCTATCCCTCATAACGTCCATTGTGTTCAAAGTCATCCAACTATACCACTCAGCCGCGCATACCTCTCCCGAACCACACCCACAGAAAAGTCTCATCGTTGATACTTTTATCAGACAGACAGCTCATCATGTGCCGCCTGTAAGTGCCGGCACCCCGATTGAGAACACGCAGCTGGATACATGCAGTGACGTGCCGAGGATGAGAGCGCAACTTATATTGGGAGAGATACATCGTGTAGTGAGACTGGTGGAGTTACTTTCACAACGTTTTCAAGAGGCCAGGATGACCAGTAATAGGGTGGGCAATGATGAAGATGAGGCTGGTGAGGGGAATTGGATTTCTGCAAGTGTATTTGTGCAGTTGGAAGCGGATCTAAGGCAGCGGTTGAGAGTTGTAGTTAAAGATACGATGGCTGTTCTGAGGTAGACTTAAATAGCATGATTAGCCTAACTAGTGGCTTGAGAAGTAGCACCGCCTTAAGTTGATTAACTATAACTAGGGCGAACGACTTAACTAGGGCACCTCGACGATTAATGATTAATGATCAACTACGGTTAATGACTTCGTAAATGACTAGTGATTATAATTATTTCCAGTAGTAGTAGATGAGGTAATTGAATTTTGAGATCCGATAATTGTAAATAATTATAATTCACGAAACGATAATAAGATAAATATTTGGGGATTAAGATGTAAATTGAACCCGATTACTTGTATTTTTCTTAAGAATTATAAACCACTTCTATTAGTTGACTATTACATATATCTAGCTTATGATTTATGCTTCTCAAGATATACGTATTACGGGTAGTTGAATAATTTTAGATTACATTTTCTCACCAATTCCCTAGGTCAATAAGTATTGACTATCATAAGAGGATAAAATATTCCAAACCCAACTATACGAATGCATAAAATTATGTCGTCGGTATATCTCCCTAAGTCTTCTTTGCTTTTTCTTAGCAACGTGACTGTTTTCGCCCATACGCAAAATTCTCGGATTCCCCCATTTTCATCCTACTCTCATGCCAGCCTCCAACACTCAATTCCATACCCCACCCAACCCAACACCCCCAATCCGATAAACAAAGGCGCCTGCGGAAAACCCTCGCCAAACTCAGGGTCCATGCCCTTACTGCCTGGATAAAGAATCGCACTCACGCCTGTCCCCCAATACAAGCTGGCCATCAGCGCAGCCGTGAACAGCGAATCCTTCTCCTGCACCACATCTACGGTGGGTCTGAACGTGTAATAGAGCGTGATGAAACAGAGACAGGCGCCCATACTCATCGTCTGGCCGTTGTGGAACTTGGCGTGGGGAGGCCAGTTGGGGTTGAAAACGTGTGTGTGACTGAAGTCGGCGTAGAAGGGCCCAATGAGTTGCATGACGGCCGGGACGGAGAGGAGGATGCGGCCGTACATTGTGCTGTATGTGAAAGAGCTGCAGCGGTTCGGAGGAGGATTTCGGTCTCCAGAGATGGCAATTCTTTTGGCGTTTTCGAAGCTGCGTTATCAAAGGAAAAGCCCCTCCTAAGTTGCTATATTTGCGCGGCACTTGGAATGCGCTACTGCTGCAGACCACCTGCATTACCACCCTGTTGCTGTATCGACGCCCTGGTCCGGTACATATTCGGTCTCCGACTACCATTGCAAGAAACTCGCGATCACCAGAAGTGCATGCAGCCCTACAGATCAGACTGACTAATTGGGTTACTCGGTCCGCTGAAATGGGAATTTGCCTTTTCTCCGATAACTTCATGGGTACGGAGAGCGTGGTAAATGCCTTCGATACTATAGCCTCATCCGGGGAACTTAGTACCCGTACTGATTGATGATGAATGACAATGAGAAAATATGGATGTTGGCTTGGTGTTGATCACAGATACATTTAATCGTCTATACTTTGTGGAATTATCGATGCCCTTTCTATCGCAATTCGCGAAGCAAAAGCTCGCTCCAACGGCCCCAAACTACATCCTCACATCTCTCTCATAATGGAGACCAAACGGGTTCTCATTTCTGGCGCCGGCATTGCAGGTCCAGTTTTGGCTTACTGGCTGACAAAACATAACATCAAGGCCACGATAATCGAACGTGCACCGTCTCTTCGCAACACAGGGCAATCCGTCGAAGTCGCAGGCCCCTCTCTCAAAATCATTCAGAAGATGGGGCTAGAAGCAAAAATCAAAGAGCTGGGTACCCATGAAGCAGGTCTCTCATTTGTAGATGAGCAAGATCACGCCTATGCCAAATTGCCTATCGTAGAGAAGGGCGTCACGTTTACAAGCGAGTATGAGATTCTGAGAGGCTTCATGATTGGGATTTTCTATGAGGAAACGAGGGCGGAGACGGAATATGTGTTTGGAGATTACATCACGAGTGTGGAGGACGATGGAAGTAAAGTTACCGTGGGGTTCAACAAGGGAGAGACGAGAGACTTCGATGTCCTCGTGATCGCTGACGGAACCAACTCCTCGACCCGCACTCTGGTTTTTCCACCTGCCCCGATTGTCAGTGTTGGTGGCTACTGCTGTGCCTTTTTCTCGATACCGTGGATGGAGAGAGACGCTGATTGGGGCCGTTTCTACATCAAACCGGGACATCAGATTTTGCTTCGTCCACATGGTCCCTCGGGGACAGCTGCTTATTTGGGTGTATATGGCAATGACGCGAAAGGTCTGATGGAACTTCCTGTCAAGGCACGAAAAGAGCGCTTACATCAGATTTTCGCGAGCGCGGGATGGGAAGCACCCAGAGTGCTGGCGGGTATGGAAATAGCAGATGATTTCTACATGACCGAACTCACGCAGGTCAAGATGAAGAAGTTTCATCAGGGACGAGTGGCGCTGTTGGGCGACTCGGCGTGGTGTCCCAGCCCCTGGTCTGGACAGGGAACGACGCTTTCCGTGGTTGGGGCTTATGTTCTTGCTGGTGAGCTGGCTACGCATAAGAGTGTGGAAGAAGCTCTTCAGTCTTATAAGGCGCGCATGTTACCTTATGTAGAGAAGTGCCAGAGCCTACCACCAGGTATTCCGGGGCTAGCTCTACCGGAAACGGCGTGGGGTGTTTGGTGTTTTCGGACTTTTATGTGGTTTATTATCAAGACTGGCATTCTGGGACTTATTGGGACAATATTTGCGTTTTTCGATATCGGACAGATCAAGTTTGATGTTCCAGATTATGGCCTGTAGCTTATGCCTTTCTCTACATTCCATGAACTTCATATAATTACTGAGCAGGTCGTTAGTTATTCACGTTAACTTTCATGACACATGTCGGAAGAAAGATGGACAGAGTACCTTCTAACCTCGCTGTCGCTTGCTTTGCTTCCCGTCCTGATATTTATTTCACGAATGTCATGAGTTTCTACTACGTTACGGTTAGGTTAACAGCAACCAGCCTTACTGTGCTATTGTGTACAGAAGGGTAAAAGGGGAAATGAAGATGCTCTACATTGTAGTCAAGGATCACGTGCCCTTCCCCCATTACCGTAGCACCGGTAGTATTTAACATGAGGCTTATAGAACATAGGCTCTAAAGTCTCTCACTATACCACTTGTACTTGTAAGAGTCTTGGGCTGTTTCGTTTGTCATATTATCTTGAAAGCACAAGGATTGTAAATCATGTCTCGTTGTCGAGTGTATTATGTAAACTCATCAATCTTCATTGCTATATTCCAATTTAATTTGCTCATCCAACCACACAACTAACTCCGCAATCCTATCCGAGACCACAGTAGTTCTGGGGATATCATGACCTCCCCCATGATCAAAAGTCCTCCTTTTCTCTTCTTTACTAAAATGCGCCAACTGTATGGAAGCAGGATATCTGGGATCCTTAATCCCAAAAACATGCACAGTCGGAATTCCAATCCTCAGTCCCTCCGGAAACGCCTGGATATCCAATCCAAACACATCACTCGAATCATCCGGGAACGTTGTTTCGGCGACATCATGCTCGAGATGCTCCGTTTTATCCCAAAGTCCCTGTCGCACCACGCCTGGTCGATTTTTCACATCCAAAAGCTTCCCAATTTCCTCTGAAGCAGATGCCGCAACACGTGCCAACACTTTTCCAGACCTCACATTGATCTCCCACGCCCCCTCCGAAACTGGTAATCCCAAATCCGTAAGAATCTGCAGCGGCAGTCCCCCACATATGAAAATTGCGCCTTTGAAAGGAAGGGCTTGCTCGGGATGTTCATTGTTGTGATATACCACGAATGAAGAAATCACGGAACAGCCTTGCGAGAAACAGAGCACGGCATCGTAGGGTTCCCGTGAGACGAAAAGATCCGTAAGCCATTGATGTGCGGCGTGTACGGATGGGGGATCGATGCCGGTCCAGAATGTGTAGAATGTGTGGTTTGGTGGTGGGAAGAAGATTTCGATGCCAAAGGCTGGCGGGGACGGGTAGGGCGCGTCGATGAAGTCGAAGGTGTAGCTTTTGGGATCGAGTTTGGAACGGAATGCGGCTTTGGAGGGGTCGTTAGTTTCTATTGTTGTTATCTGGATTTCTCACATACGCATGGCGGGGAAGAAAAGAAGAGAATATTTTCGGATTTACTTACCAGTCTGCGCTTCAAAGATTGCGCCGCTGGTTCCCATTCCATGCAGACAAAGAATCCTCATTTCATCGCCTGGCTGGTCGCTGGTACACTGTTAGTACAATTTGAACACTGGCGTAGTGTGTGATTAAGTTCCACAGTATGGGTAACACCTAAGCTCTATTTTTATCTTCGCAACAATACGCCGAGTCTAACTAAACAATAGTAAGATTTCAAGATAAGTATATTTAATGTTAAATATACTAATAAGATCGTTAGTACTAAAATCTTCAAGTCATTCTAGTCCTCTATATTTTACTTACCTAAATGTTTCGAACGTTTTCATAATATTCTAATAAACAGCTGTTTGCTCTATACTATTACAGTTATGCTTTTGATTGCACTAGGTACCTACCTAGGTAGGTATCGTTTTCATTTAGAAGATAGATTTCATAGCCCATGACTCGAATCGGAGAAATAATTCCTTGCCTATGACTCGGTGCCCACTCTAGCGCTCCCGCTCCCGTTTCCGATCGTCACTCCCGATTTTCGGTCACCGAAGCGAGGCATGGGGGACTGCCGATCGAGACCGGGGTAGAAGCCTCGGCCCCACCTGGGCAAGCACGGCAGCTTTAACCTAGCGAGTGCAACTTCACCTCACCTCAACTGGTAAGAATCAAGAAACGTAGAGTAGGCATTTCTGCCAGGCCTCTCTGCACTCTTGCACACTCATACGACATCAAACGAAATTAATCTCATTTTCTGACACACTCTGTTCTTGAAAAGTTGTTATGTCTTGTCCCGATTGTGCAAAAGGTGGTTTACATGAGGGCACGCCAGAGGGAAGAGAGGAAGTGCTTCATGGCTTTCAAACATATGTTACGCGGCCATCCCCTGGTACCCAGATCAAGGGTGAGATAGTATATCTACCTGATGCACTTGGTTGGAAATTCAATAACAGTCGGATACTGGTAAGTCGATTTTCACTCGAAAGCGAGCTTTGAGAGAGACTGATAGGAACATACAGGCTGACAAATATGCCAAACGCACAAATTCGATCGTCTATCTCCCAGAACTCATGGATGGCCATGCCATGGACATTAGCATGTTCGCGAACATGGATACTCTAACTGGTAATGGATCAGTTCTATGGAAAGTGTATGTTTGACAGGTCGCCACTCTTCCTACCCCTCATTTATGCCACTTTTTGCTAATTCAAATACAAAGTGGCCCTTTGATAAATGCCATCGCGGGTTTCGTTCCCTTCATCTACTACAACCGTCTCGCAGTCGCCACTCCCCGCGTCACCCAATTCCTGACATCTATTCGCGCCGCCCAGAGCGAACCACTCCCTATCGGTGCCGCCGGTTTCTGCTGGGGCGGAAAATTTGTCTTTCTCCTCTGCGGCGAGACGCTCAAGTTCAATGGACGCCCCTTGATCGATTTCGGCTTCACGGCTCATCCCAGTAATCTGGTGCTACCACTCGATGCGGAGAACGTGAGGTTACCGATAAGTGTTGCAGTGGGAGACATCGATGTCATGGTGCCAATAAAGAAGGCCGAGGAGATGAAGAGTATTCTGGAAGGAAAGGGGGGAAATGAGGTCGTGATTATTCCTGGTGCTGCACACGGATTTGCAACAAGGGCGAAGCCGGAGGATGAGAAGGGCACTCAGAAGGGTGTGCAGGCGGAGGACCAGGCTGTCAACTGGTTTAACAGGTGTTTTGATGGGTACAAGAAGCCTGCGACCTAGATGGGAAACAGCAAGGAACCTTTGGTATAATTAATGCACATTTATTAGTACTGGTATGTTTGGCTGGTGCGATGATTTACAAGTGCAACAACTTCTCGCATGCCTTGCAACAAGCAACTATGTCAAAAGTCTACAACCTCATGTCCGACTTCTATGGCTCAAACGATCAATTGGTGGAGTTAAGCAGATTCTCTGACTTTCCCGCCGGCGAAGTAGTCACTTCACAACTTTCAACCTGAATTTTCGATGGAGCAAATACACTCTGCAACAATATTGATTATAATTTCAAGCGACACGTCGTCTGCCTATTTCAGATCCACTGACTACCAGTCCTATCTCTTTGAAAGCTCTTATCTACACCCTGCTCCGAAAATACACCTTCGCCTTCGGATTAGCAGCATACGCAAACCCCATTTCCAACGTCTTCGGTCTCTCAAAGCCCTCCTTCACCCCCTCTCCATCCGGTCCAAGTGCTACATCATATCTTCTCAGCAACTCCACAATCAACACCTTGATCTCATTGCTCGCGAAAAAGCGTCCAGGACACGCATGGCGTCCGTATCCGAACGATGGATTATTGGCATCAGCCGTCACGAACTGATGCGCGTTTTCCTCCCCAGGGATCTGTCGCAGATCGCTGTAACGCCACGGATAGAAGTTGCTGAGCGGCGGCTGGGACGGCGATGTGAGAGGCGGGTATTGGACTTCTGAGTTTGGCAGGAAAGGGTTTCCAAAGGCGATGATGACGTTCTGGGGAATGGTGTGGCCGGATGACAGCGTAAGACCGTCGGGCGCCGTGACGACACGGGTGTTAGTTGTGATGAATGGGGGGTTCAGCCGTTGGCTTTCCTTCATGAAACTATCCAGCTTTCTGAGTTTGGGCAAACTGCTTTTCTGGAGCTGGCCGTTCTCGGGCTTCTCTTGGGCTAGGACGTCGTTGATCTCTTTGCGCAGCTCGTCGGCATATTCGGGGTGAGACGCGAGATCGAAGATGGCGTATGATATGGACATTCCGATGGGCGAGAGGGCCGCAAACGCGGCTGTCATCTGCATCTGGCCAACTTCAGCAGCATCAGCTAATTCGGGGTGATCGTGTTGGCCGATGGTCCAGTGTACGAGGTTGTAGTTATGCTTGATAGCTTCCATGTCGGCGTTTGCCTCGTCGCTTTTTAGACCCATACTTTTGTCCTTGTAACTTCGAATAATGGTTTGGATCTGGGGGTCGAGTTTGCGGGCGGCAAACTCGCGATAGGATTTTAGCTTGCGGAGCTCTGGTACAAAACGAGCGACGAAGGGCCAGAGTGCTTTGTTGTATTTTTTCATAGCGTGGACGGAGCCCAGAGTATCGTAGGTGAAGTTTATTGTTGCGTCGCGCCATTCTTTGTCCCTACAAAGGGGGAGACCGACGAAGGCACGGCCACTGCAGGCAGCGACAATATTGATGAATGTCATGTAGACTGGAAGCGAGGTCCAGGTAGGTAGTACCCCGATCTCCTTGTTGAAAGAGTATTCAGCTTCATCCTGGAGATCTTGAAGGATCTTTTTCACGCTTCTTGTCAGATCAATCTTGATGGCATTAACTGTAGTTACCATGTCAGCTTTCTCCATAAATTTCTAGTGGTATAAGTGGTTGTACGTACTAGCAGCAGGCGATTTCGATTGCCCAAGCCCTGTATAATCACCCAGAAATCTCTCATAAGACATCTTCTTGAAAGAGACCTTTTCTTCTGGCTGCGACTTAATTTCCGTCATCATAGAATGCGGAAGCATGACCCAGGATTGGGGTTTCATGGGTAAAACAAAAGGTTCTGTCGGCCATTGTTTTCTCGCTGCCAAGATCGAGTCTGTGAGGTTTCCCGGAATGATCGAGGCCACTGGAAAGTCAAGCTTAGGAGGTGGTGGTGGGAAAAAGATGGCCTTGATGATCCATATGAAGAAGCATGCGATGGCGACACCTAAAGCAGCGAAAAGGTTGCGGACACTTGGAACGAGAATTTCGGCGTAAGACATGGTGTTGGCTTCAACGGGAGCTTTCAGACACAATGATAGGAAATCTGGTCCTCTCCAATGTTTCTTGTTTCAATGAAGTAGGACCTGCTCTTACGTATGTCAGAATTATGAACGGCTGTTTTGTTTATGTTGTAGCTAAGCGAGAACTTCTGGCGCATCGAGAAGAAGTTCCATTCGGATTGCGGAACCAAAACACTAGCCCGAATATGGCTATTTGTAATGTATCTCTAGTCCGGAGCTCCTTCCCAACCTCGTATCTAACGTTATAGCCGTCTGCGTTGCTTTCGTCTGCTTCCTTGAACGAGCTTGGGCGTGGCTATTCCGGAGAGCGACTATAAAAAGATTGGCAAGCGAGAACATCAACTCCAATCAATATACATCGCTTTCCGGAACGAATATTTCCAACATGCAACACAGTTTGTTTTGGACTTAGCGGAATAATGATTATGGAGGGCATCCATCGTGACAGAATGTAAAACTAAGTGTTTGAATAGATATTGGAGGTTAATCATAAATCTCTCGCCGAGGAAACAAACTTACCTAGCATTCCATCAGCATAAAGTACTCTAACTATATTTTGGTCAGAGCTCTGTCATCAGAATGTGTAAACCATCGCCTCTCGAAGAATGTGCTCAACGAATATGCTCTGCTTCACGAGTCATCTCACTTTACCATGCCTCTGAAGGCAAGCTTCAATCATCATTCTCACCCGAGTCAACAAGCATCACCATTCCAGAAGATGCTCCTCCAAGCGTTATGGACGCTCGACAAACAATCGTCTCAGCCGCTGCCACTATTCAGCAATTGATGGAAGAGCCAACTGAGTATCTGCCAAATTTACAAGTCCATGTAAGCTGTCTTTATTCTATTCGGATAACTAAACATTTGTCACGTGTGATCAAGTGCGACCAGAATACTTACCTGAAATAGTACCAACATCTCTCCTGTCTCCGTTGGCTATGTCACTTCAACGTGATGGCTTGCATACCACTTACGGGCTCAGTTCCATACTCCGAGATTGCCACAGTCGCAGGTGTGCCTGAGATCCAGCTGAGGAGTGTTTGCCGCATGGCAATGACAAGCAATCTGCTTTGCGAGCCAAAGGTAGGAGAAATCGCACACAACGCCGTCTCCAAAACTTTTGTTGGCAATCCCGGTCTGGTAGACTGGGCGCTTTTTATGACGCAATTTTCTATGCCGACTGCTGCAAAGATGGTCGAGGCTACTGAGAAATGGGGGAGTACGAGTAAGAAAAATGAGACAGCTTTTAACCTCGTGAGTAAACTTGAGAAGCAAATCTTTCACCTAGTAACTAAGACAACAACTGATGTCAAACCTCTCGTAGGCAATGGATACTGATTTACCTCTGTTCGACTTTGTCAAAAAGTCACCTGAGATGACGAAGCAATTCGCTGGTTACATGAGGAACGTACAGAGTAGCGAAAAGACGCACATTCGACATCTTGTGTCGGGTTATGATTGGAAAAGCCTAGGTAATGCAGTCGTGGTTGACGTATGTAACATCCCCGCGGTCTTGATAAACTATACTAATGAACTTCAGGTTGGTGGATCAACGTGCAGCTCATCCATAGCCCTCGCGACCGCTTTCCCCAATCTTCGTTTCGTAGTCGAAGACCTGCCTGAGACAGTCGAGAATAGCAAACAGATCCTCGCTGCCCTCCCAGAGTCGATCCGCTCAAGAATCACCACTTGTGGCCATAATTTCTTCACGCCTCAACCCGTTACAACCGCTCAAATCTATCTCTTACGCATGATTCTTCACGACTGGCCAGCGGCGGAAGCAATCACCATTCTATCCAACCATCTCGAAGTGCTGAAGGCCAACCCCTCCGCGAGGTTATTGGTCATGGACACCGTGCTCCCCGTCTCGGGATCTGTGCCCAAGAATGAGGAAGCGCTGCTGAGAGTGAGAGATTTGGCTATGGTGCAGGCTTTCAATAGTAAGGAGAGGGAACTAGGTGAGTTTGAGGATTTGTTCGAGAGGACTAGGGATGCGGAGGGGGGATTGGTGTTGAAGAATACCTTTAAGCCTACGGAGTCGGTTATGACGGTTATGGAAGTGGCGTATGAGAGAACTGTAGCGTCGAGTCGCTCTTCGGGTATTTCAAACGGACACAACGGGAATGTGATACCCCTTCCAGGGATAACGGTCTAGACGTATTTGTTTAGAGTTCAATGTAGTGGTTTTATATCATGGAAATATACTTTAATAGGAACTTCAAGAGAAAATTGTCACTACTGAGATAAATATTGTGTTTAGATACAAAATAAAGAGGTATGCTTATACCTCAAGATGCCATTATTAGATACTTATACTATTATTCTATGTAACTAAATAAGGAGTCTAGAGGTTTGTCAAAAATATTTAACATCTTGTACTTAAAGTTGTAGGAAGATAAGCCTTAAAATATAAAATTAAAATCTTTACTTACTTTCTTTCTATATATATTATAATTATAGATACTATCTTCTACCTATTATATACTCCCTTCTATTTCTCTATCAAACTAAGGCGTAACTTGTAGCTTATATACACTATTTAGACCGATTTAATAGAAAGTAGTAGTTTACTAGACTGTAGTAGTACTTCTAATTTTCAAATATAAGAAAAAAAGATGTATTTAACAAAAACTAATTACATTGTCATTTCACCACTCATTCTTCCGAATGTTGATTTCAAGCAGGGAACGGTGAACGATCTGACTCTATTTTCACTACCGTACGTCAAGAGTTATCTTCTACAACTTCCTCCGGAGCTCTGAACTCCTCTTTCCCATTTAACGTATATGCATCCATCAGACTTCGCAGTTCCTGCGATAAATTCATAATAGCATCAAACGACTTCTTCTTCTTAATAAAGGCCTCACGTTCTTGTTTGTAGTCTTTCGAGGCTACTCTTCCCGGTGGCCTCCCCTCTCCAGTTATATCCTTGAGAACGCGCGATGCTTCATGTTCCTTAGTCGATGCACGTAAGTTGGATTTGTAATTCTTGGATATTTCCTTCGAAATTTCTTTGTTAATCTGGGCTTCGGACTCGGTTGTTGAACCTGCTCTTAAGGCTTGACATTTGGCTCTTAATTCGGGGGTAGCGTTCCAACCTTCGGGGTTGGTGGGATCAATTTCATCCTTAGTAAACCAAAGGTCGATGATTGAGTCTAGGAGTTTCTCTAAGACTCGTCTTCCAGAATCTGATTCAGAGAATATCAGAGGTATGTCACAACGATCCTTCCATAACCTTTCCCCGAGGCTCTTAAAGCTCATGTGTTTTATGAGCGGCAGTAGGTTTGCGTGACAGAGATTATTTCGGATCCCATACTGGTTAATGATATGCATGGTTTCGTCCGGATTTAACCCCAGATGTAAACACGCCGAGTGAATTGCGTATATTGTCGGCATCTGACCATGTAGTCCCTCCTCTCCCTTCTGGAATCTTTCATATATCTCTGTCTCCTTTTTCACCCTCTCACATATCTCGGTCCAGTATGTCTTAGAGAGCTTCTGCCAGCCAGGGAGCTTGGATCTCTCCGCCGTTACCTTTAGAGCTGAACATAGTTCAGCGAAGTAGTCTCCGTACCGGGCGTAGAATGAATTTCTCTGTAGATTTAAGATTTCTTGTTGTAACTCTGCCGCAGACTCCGAGTGCGTGAGTCTCATACACAGGTTGTATTGGAACGAGTTTTCCATTTCGCTGAGAAGCGTCTGGTATTCCAGCTGGCAGGCAGCTTTTCCTTGAATGTCTTCACACAACATCCCCTCTTCATCATCCAACAGCTCTAGAAGTTCGATGCAAGTACTTTCGTACAACTTGAGAGCGGTTTCTCCAGCTGGGGATATCTTTCTCTTCATGTTACGAAGTGTCGCATCTGCATATCGAAGAGACGTTTTTACTCTTTCAGATGTGTAGGCCTTGATGTCTCGTGGAGGCTCCGGTGGCGGTAGGATAGTGGTTATAATCTCTTCATAATCTTCCCCAAGGTATACTCTTTTCAATTCTCCTCGACGCGTAGTGCGCGACTTTTTGATGACAAGACCGTCCATGATATATCGGATTTGTTGTGGTATCAGAGGTTGGACGGTGTTGACGGGGAATGGAGGGAGATGGAGGGGTATGGAAGGGGATAGAGGGGGATGGGGTAGAATTTTATATCTTAGTGTCGCTACTAAGTGGTGCTATATCTTCGCCGCCCTATTACTTTCTCCACAATGACGCACAAACCTCCACGTGAGATATAGAAAGTTTCAGTGGGTTCAGAAGTTTAGCGTGAGTGGATTATAAATGCTCATTCCGCATCTTCTCGGATCTTCAAAAAGAGTCCGCACTTTCCATCCAATGTGTTCACATGCAACGTACAACCCCCCAAAATAGAGACCCATGATGGAAACAGGCAACAAAATTGCTCCCGCTATTGCGACGGCTGGTAGTGTACTACTCGTGATTGCGACAACTTCGGTGGCAATTGTAGTTAGACCAAACCATGATCCCAGAATGCCAGGTGCTGCTACTACAGCTGGCACAGTGATTTCAGTAACAGTCGTAGCCGCAGCAGCAGTAGCAGCCAGCGCAGTTGCTCCGACTCCCACGCCCCCACCCAGCACCGAAACTCCCTTGAAAAGCCAATTGGAAGAGTGGTAGAGCTTAGAGCCGTCAGTATTTAGAACGCTCATCACTCTTTTGTACCTTTCTCCCTCTGTAACGCTGAAATCTCTGCCCGACTCCGCAGCGCACAAGGCTTCCAAGAAGACTAGCATCGTTGCAACCCAATGTTGACAGTTATTGAAAACAGCATCGTATTCATTGCTCCTTCCGATGCTCGCGTATTTATTCATGGGATGAATTTTGATCAGGTGGTGTATGTCTTGCAATTGACCGACGAAAGTTGCAAGACGATATGCACTAACAGCTGGTCTGATCTCTCGAGTCGGAAACGAGTTGACGCGCCCATCTGTTGAAAGCTCGGCAGTCAAGGACATGGTAGGCAAGACAGAAGGTGTGAAAACGAGGCACCAATGTGTGGTCTTGATCATGTTCTCAGTGCCAGCCTTTTGGCTCTTCGTGGTAGGCGAGAAATGAATGTCGATATTGAATTTCTCCATGTCGTCACTAGATTTCTGTATCGCATCAAAAAGCGTAAAGTAATACCACTAAATATCTCGGAGCTCGCGAGATGTATGTGCTTCTAAAGTAATGACCGGCGACCTCTGAAAGTGACAAGTTGGTGAGGCTGAACTCAGCCAACCACATTGCTTTATCAGTCATTCAACGTGTCGTGATAACATTCGCAAATTTGGCAACCACTTATCTTTCAGGCTTGCAAGATTGGCATTGCTTCGTCGAAACGTTGGGGTCGATCCTGTGGGCGCTCTCAGCTCGTCATTTAGACGAATGGCATAATCCGTATTACGAAGGCTCTGGCTGTGAGAGAAGGGGGAAATGGAGCGGTATGGAAGGCATAAATATTATTCTCACATGATTAAGTCGGAAACTACTACTCAAAGAGAGGTTGAGTTGAGGTTTCCCGCCCGCGATCAATCAAACATGGACATTAACGCCATCTCCGCCTGCTTGCATCTAGTCAACGCCCACACAATTCTCATTAGTTGGGACAGAAAGATCCTTGAACGTGTGCGAGGCGACACCAGCCTGTGCAAAGCTGGAATCCACATGTAAGAGGGTGCAAAACCAGAGAATAGTTAATAAGATGCTTTGTTCTCGAATCATTACCTCATTAGAAGCGTTTGATATTCTTGCTGACCTTTGATGGCTGGCCCCATGTATCGAGCATGATATATCAACATAAACGCCATAAAATCGCCAATTTATCGTTTTAAGATTCAGGTTCGTTACGAACGCACGACATCAACCTACCTATTCGGTGCTTTACAACTTGTGCAAAACTTTGCAACAACCAAATGCAATGGGAGATTCAAGTAGCAAAACAACCGCCCAGAAGACTAGTTTCAGCCCTTTTAGGTATAGTAGCAGGCTATGCCATCGAGGCTGCCGCGAGATACGTCTCATCACAATCACACCGTACGACCCCGAGTTTACAACAGCACATTTCGAAATAAAACTTCTGGAGTTTGATGTTGATCAAGCTCCAGCATATCAAGCGCTTTCTTACTGCTGGGGAGGACAACAGCCAAGTATAGGAGTCATCTGCAACGATCTACTCCTCCTGATTACTACCAATCTTTTTCAGGCACTGTGGATGTTGAGTCTGAATATGTCCGAGCCAACGTTTTTATGGGTCGATGCTATATGCATCAACCAATCCGATGATGACGAGAAGAACATCCAAGTCGGATTGATGCGAGATATCTACGCAACAGCGCGTAAAGTGCATGTTTGGCTCGGTCTCGACTCGACCGGAGAAGATGTTAAAGAGGCAATGCGTTTTCTCACACTTGTGCACGAGGTGGTGAAGGACACCAATTACGATTTTGATGAAAAGAGGGATGATCGGGAAGCTTTACGTCGTATGCTTCCATGGACGCTCATTCGAAATATGGACCACTACCGGCATCTGAATTATCTGCTAAAGCTTCCATGGTTCTCCCGAGTATGGATCGTCCAGGAGGTTGCCGTGTGCCAAGATGCGCTCGTGTATTGTGGTTCTTCTGAAATTCCCTGGAGCAAGCTGGTTCTGGCCCTGCGAGTCCTTTATCGTCTTGAATTGTTACTTCAAATGACGCTTTATACCCCAGAAGATCCCACAGGAGAGAAGCTCATTTACCTTGGGCACTTTCTTTGCACTTGTTCTTCTGATAAGGATCAAATGCCTAAACCGGGGCTTTTCGGTATGCTCGTTCGTCACAGGTGGGCCTTGGCCACTGATCCAAGAGACAAAGTTTATGGTTTACTAGGACTGCTTGATGAGGATTCGAGCCTGGGATTAAAGCCGGAATATGGCCTCGACGTGGCTGATATATTTCTGCAAGTTGCAACCTCCATTCTAAAAGGGTCTTATTTTCTTGATCTATTGAGCGTTCCGCAAAATCTGGGTTCGAAGATAAACCTTCCTTCATGGGTTCCAGACTGGTCACACGGCCCCTCTAGTTTTCTCTTACTGCGGCTCATGCATCCGAAAGACTTTTATTTTCATTTCAAATCATCTGGTGCAACCAACTCTAAAGGTAATTTCAAAATTCATGGACACGTCCTTGAGGTCCAGGGCTGGCCTTTCGACACGGTCGAGGAAATCGGCCCGGAAATCCTGCAGAGTCCTGGACGTCTGGAAGAAGGTTTCGTGGGTCTTTTTGCAAGAATTTTCTTAAACTTCTACACATATCTGGACACCTTTCACGAATGGCATAGAATTTCCCATTGTGGGCACCACCCTACATATCCGAACGGAGAAAATCGTCTTGATGTTTTCCTTCAAGCCCTGTTTCAGGATGACGCGGAAGAGGAAATCAGTATAGCATCACTCCGGTATCACTTTTGGCTTTTGAAAGTAACTAGAGGATGGTTTTCTTGTCTTCAACAAACCCATCTCCAGTACTATCCTAAGTTATACATTCCGCTTCTTCTTGTGGGGACAGTCGTGTACTGGGTGTTTAGTTTATTATATCACCGGCGAATATTTGAACCTAGCTCGGGGTATTTCCAGGGTAATGTCTTTTGCAGAACCGAGAAGTCTTACATCGGTGCTGTTCCTCCCGCCACAACGGTTGGAGATTCCATTATGCTTATTACCGGCTCTCGAGTACCTCTCGTCTTTAGAAGAGTTGGTTCAAACTGGCGCTTAGTAGGCCTTGCTTACGTGCCAGGTTTGATGGTGGGAGAGGAGTGGGACGAGGAGAAATGCAGACCAATCACAATAATTTGAGCATACTTGTAACACCCTTAAGATTATCCTCTGCGGAATGATCAACATCTCCAGGGGTCACAAGCAATAGAGAAAGTTGGCCAAACGCGAGGCGGAAATTAACAGAATTACTTACACCGTAGAAAAAGGACCAGGGGTCCTTGATCTTGGAAGCGGCTGAGAATTCACATTGTACTTGTTCTTTTGACTTAGACCAAGAAACAGAACGATGGCATGGGTAAAGGTCAAAAATGGTAAATCACGCAAAGCTCGATAGACAACTTCTAAAGATCGACCAATTGTTTATTTCATCCCATGCTAGCCCACCTACTCCAATGCCAGAAGTGTGTCACCCAACTACTAAAAGGAAAAGACTCTACACTATATACTTCTTATAGTAAAAAGCCATCTCTGTGTTCGGTAAAGCAGTAACTTATATCAATATGAATGCCATGCCACACAACACGAACCTAAAATGCCCCGCCCTCCACATGCAATGCAAATGGCTACTCAGACGTCATACATCTTACTCCTCGTCTCAAGTGCACTCTTAATAGCATCACACGAATCCTTCGCATCACCAAACAACATCTTCGTGCCTGGCATGAAGAACATGGGATTCGGTACATCCGCTTTAATGGTGTTAGCAAAGTGAAAAATCTTGGAGGTGCGAATGACTTACCATATCCACTAGACATCCCTCTCTTCATCACGATAACCTGTTTACTCTTCCAAGCGTGCAAGACGGGCATACCAGCGATGCTAGACCCTGGCTCGAGGGCGATGGGATTGACTGTGTCGTTCGCGCCGATAACGAGGGTGACGTCTGTGTCGTTGAAGTCATCGTTGATTTCGTCCATTTCCAGAACGACTGTATGCGATGAGCCATGCCCAGAATGTTGAGGGGTCAACTTACTATCGTAAGGCACGCTAGCTTCTGCAAGAAGAACGTTACATTGTCCAGGCATACGTCCAGCGACAGGATGAATCGCGAATCGTACATTGATGCCTCTCTGTTTAAGCATTCGAGTGATATCGGAAATAGCGTATTGTGCTTTCGCAACTGCCATTCCATAACCAACCACAATGATTACACTTTCAGCTGTTGCTAATGCATCGGCAGTCTCCTCGATATTCGTTTTTGTGATCGAACCTTCAACCTTGTATTCGCTGTTATCGACGGGTGCGATTCCACCAAAGAGGACGTTGGTCAAGCTTCGATTCATTGCAGTACACTAATTCTGTTAGAAAAGGAAACAGTGGAGGGCGATTTACATACCATAATGTATGATAGAATCGAACCGCTGACGCCGATGAGGGAACCAATTGTCGTGAGCAAGGGATTGTCCAACATGAAACCCTCGGCGACCAGAGCAAACCCGGAATACGCATTCAAGACCGTAATGACAACGGCTAATTTCTGTCAGCATCATTGATTGTGAAGATAATTGAAGACTTACGCATATCAGCACCACCAATAGCAGCAGTAGTAGTGTAACCCTTGAGAAAACTGAGCGCAGCATTTCCAGCCAAGCACGCAGCAGCAATCATGGGAGCACCAGGAGCCAACGTTAAGAAGGTTCCCATAGTCGCGATATTCAAACCGAGAAGTGTGGAGTTCAAGGCGTGTCGTGGACCTGGAAGGCGAATTGGTTTTGATGACATCCTTCCAGCCAGCTTCATAAAGGCGACGATAGATCCAGTAAATGTGACACCTCCAATCAAAACCCCGAGATATCCAGACACGAGATGAAGCGCCGAGATGTCACCGATATGAGCTAAGACGCTACCAACACTGGTTAGTACTGCTGCCAACCCAACTACAGAATGCAAGGCTGCTACAGTTTGTGGCAGATCAGTAGCTGTCGTTCGACGACCAATCATGAGACCTAGGATACTACCAATCATGGCGACCCCACCAAATTGCATGAGAACATCAGTTGGGAACCCAACAGCTGCAAGAGAAGATAAAATTCCAGATCCGACTCCAAGAATACCAAGAATATTGCCCTGTCGTGCGGTGGTTTGCGAAGCGAGTCCAGAGAGGGACCCGATACAGAGGAGACTGCTGGTCAGATAGCCGGCCTGAACCAAGCCAGCCATACCTGTACTCGCAGCAATCAGATAACCGCCGGTAAATACAGCACCTGGTATGGCATAGAGGAAGGGGTATTCAGGTGGGTCAGTGGGACCTGTATTTTATGTTAGAAATCGAAATCATAATGTAGAATGAGAACGTACGCTTGAACATGTCGAGCATGCGCTTGGTGATCACAAATCCTCCAGAGACGTTGACGAAAGCCAGAAGAACCGATGCAGCACCCAAGAATTGAGGAATGGTATGTGGAATCAAACCTCCACCCATCACAAAGAATCCGCCAATACCCACCATACCAGATATAGCATTGGTCACGCTCATGAGAGGCGAATGAAGAGCTGGAGTCACTCCCCAGACCGTACGATATCCGATCAAGCCAGCGAGCGCAAAGGTAAAGGCATTGCTCATGAATATTGGCCCAGTAGCTTTTCCCAGAGCAAGCGCAAGTCCCATTCCACCAGTCACAGTTGCAACTTCTCGTGAAGTCTTCTGCCATGGTGTTATTGCCAGCGTTTTGTCGGCTGCAGCATCAGTATTTGGTATCGTCGGTTTTGCTGGGGCAGGTGGAGGAGCCGGTCGTGGAGCTGTAGGTACAATATCGCCATTGAATGTGACGATAGATCCTCGTACAACCTCATCCTTCAGATCAACTCCAAATTTGCCTTCCTCTGGGTTCATCGACAGAAGGAACTTTGTAATGTTATTCGAGTAAAGAGTTGAAGATTGTGTCGGAAGTCTCGAAGGTAAGTCGGTGTAACCTGCGAATATCAGAATTGGCCGATCAAAAGCTATGTGGAGACGAACCAATCACTTTGACACCTTTGTGCTCTACCAGCCTTCCTGGTTGGGTTGCAACACAGTTTCCGCCCGCTTCTGCAGCAAGATCCACGACCACGGAACCGGGTTTCATAGCTTCAAGCATCTAGGGTTGCAATCAATAAATGGCCGACCACTTGCATAGTAGGTGCTTACCTCTTCAGTGATAAGTTTGGGGGCAGGTCTGCCGGGTATCAAGGCTGTTGTGATCACAATGTCTACTTCACGGCATTGCTCAAGGAAAAGCTTCATTTCGGCCTCGATGAATTCTTTGGACATTTCCTTGGCATATCCACCAGCGCCTGATCCATCTTCTTCAATTTCAACTTCGATGAATTCCGCACCAAGAGATTGGACCTGTTCACGAGCTGCAGGTCGGGTGTCAAAGCCTCGAGTGACGGCTCCGAGACGGCGGGCCTAGAGGATTTTAATAGTGAAGGAGAAAAATGTGCAAGAAACTTACTGTGGCAATTGCACTTAGTCCCGCAACACCAGCACCAATAACGAGCACTTTACACGGCGGAATCTGGAGAGTCAGTGGTATGTACTACATGATGGTTTCAAGTCGGCTTACCTTCCTATATGCAACGTCAGCAAACTCATGTGTACAAGAACATCCTTGACTTACCCTGCAGCAGTGACTTGCCCCGTCATGAACCTGCCGAAGTGGTTTGAAGCCTCTAATACAGCTTTATATCCCGCAATGTTGGCCATTGAACTGGAATTAGATCAGTCTATATTCGCATTCGAACTGTAATGACCAACCTTAACGCATCGAAAACCTGGGCTCTAGAAATTCGTGGTATCATATCCATGGCAAACGAAGTGGTCCCTCTATCTGCCAATTTCTCAACCACATTCTTGTTCTGAGTCGGGTATACGAAAGAGATAATAGTTGATCCAGATTTTAGAAGATCCATCTCGCTCATCTCGCCTTCAAAACTAGGTGCCCGAACTTTCAAAATGATCGAGCTCTCCGACCAGACATTTTTCAGATCCGTCAACGTAGCTCCCGCTTTTTCATATGCCTGGTCTGTGAATTGTGCCTCTGCTCCAGCGCCTCGCTCCACCAGGACCTTCTTGAACCCTTTCTTGAGTAGAAGAGCAACATTCTGGGGTGTGATTGCAACTCGTCGCTCGTTTGGGTAGGTCTCGCGTGGCACTCCAACAATCGTCTCCGAGTATGGCTTTGAGACCACAGGAGGGACGAACTCGGATGGGTCAACACGGTCTGAATGGGAACCGGACGCGTTGCTGCGGTAGGGAACGAGGGCTGTGATCTGCGGGCGCAGAACTTTACGCTGTTCGATTCGGCTTCGTGACGGTTGGTAGAGTGCACGAATGTGTCGAGCTGGTGTGGAAGATTAGTAGTTATTTACCATCTAAAAATTGCGGCATATTCGAGCATCCTTACCAAGAGACCCAAGACTCCCAGACTTCAACCCCGCAGTGGCTGTTCGCATGCCAGCACGACATTGCAAAGAAGTCGGCCGCATTGTATATACTCGTATCATGTTGGAAGGTTGGAAGAAGAAATCGAGGAATTCGACCCGTGGCAGCAGATCGGTGCTTGCATTGACAAGTGAAACCTCGAGGTCGGCAGCAATGAATACCTAGCAGATGATAGACAGGATTCAGAGTCCTCTCACGACTCGAAGTATCATGATAATAAGTGGTCAGATACGTGATACCTGGGATGGAGACTTGTGAATTGCTGTTTCACTAGAGAAGATGGGTGAAGGTGAGAGAGGAATGCCAGGAGAAGGTGAATCGTGGTTTTGGTGTCGAGGCACAAGTAACGAGTACCAACACGGGTGCTCGTGAGTACCTCAGATGCTGGTAGTCTGACAGCAGCGGCGGATGGCATCGGCCAAGGTGAAGCTGGACTGGAGGTCCTCTCACTGGTGGACGGCGTGGTGAAGCATGGTGCAGCTGTCAGAGGTCGAGTCTCCCGCGTCTAGTGTGGGGTCTAACCCCGCTTCCCCAGAAAAGCGAGCAAAGACCCTGGAAAGGGCACGAGAGGAGGTGCTCATCGTATCATTTCACCCCGATAAAGGCTCGTAACCAAGGAGGAAATGTAATGAGATGAGTTCCTTTAGCCCTCATGACCCTTTTTCGGATTAATTGAATAGGCCTGGAATATCCGTCGGACTAATTCGTGTGACGGTACTTATAGAAGAGGTATCTTTTCCTTTCTGTCCATGCTTCAACAGTATTTGTGACTTCATAAGGTTGACGCTTCTATAGCCGCAAGCTATTTCTCGATCCGACCCGGTACGCGGTAAACTACTCCGTATCTTATATCTTCTAGAACACCGCTACTGTGTGCTAACTTCCACCATTTGACCGTTAGTTGCATGGATAACTCCCACATCCACGGCACTCGACTCGGAATCCAAACTTGAAGATTTTCTGTTTTGGGAGACACGAATGACAATGAGGCTGAAGATGCTGCATAAAAATGCGATACAGGAGTGCGGGTAAGTGGGATTCCCGGTTCAGGACTTTGTCGTAGCACAAGGCAGGTCTTGATCGGGTCGTGTGCATTGATGCAGCAATGAAGAAATCAATTCGCGATGAAAGAGGAGAAGGAAAGCCGAGTAAAGAGCTCGAATACTGATAAAATATCGACAAGAATCCTACCTGGCAAAATCAGAAATATGTCTCCCCGAATTTACGAATTTTTTATTAAGTATCCAAGAAAAGCCCGAGTAACTCGCCCGGTGTCTCAAACTCCCATTGGCTGATGCACCATCTACAATTAATGACTCGAGACATCAAACGTCCTTCTTACAACGACGCAACCGCCGCCGCAAACGCTACCAGTCCAGCAATCATAACACCACTCTTTCCAAACGTATCTGCTCCATTATTGATCGGTAGGCCACTGCTCGTTCCATTTCCACTTCCCGTCGCCGTGGCATTGACACTTCCGCCCGCGGCAGCAAGCGCATCCTCGTTGGTCACATTGAACCAATTCGCAAACAGGACCTCTTTACCAGCTGCGTTAACCACGGCGAGGGCGCTGAAGTTCGTTCTGGTCGCTCCAGCCGTCATCAACGTCTTTAGCGCCGCGCTATCGCCCGTGGTGTTGACGAGGAGTTCAATGTATCGGTGGGTCGTCAACGCGCGGTTTGGAGGACTTGGTTGAACGTATGGAGCAAATGCTGAAGCGTTCGAGGGGTTTTGAAGCTCGAAGATGGTTTGTCCAGCGACGGTCGTAGATGTGGAGGATGATTCAAGACCTGCTTGTATCCAGTGGAGGAATTGACCGGTTTTGCTGTCTGTGGGTGCGCCGGGAATATCAGGATCCGCCAAGATCACGGCATATGTACCGAAGAGTTTCTGGGAGGTGCCTATTGTTGGTGCCTTTGCAGTGTCTGGGAGCTGTTAGAAGAATCATAGGTGAGTTTGGAGGTTACATACTGGCTCTTGGAATATTGACACCGTTTGTGGCCAGTTGACTGCCAAATGCTACTATGAGATCGCCTGAAGAGGCTGGCTCAAATGCATTTGGAGTCGCCGCATGGACGCTTCCTGCAACAGCGAGAGCTAAAATGTATGAAGACAACATGATTTCGATAAATGAGAATGCGATGAGTAGATTTTGGAAATTGCGCAAAGATTGAAAAAATGAAATTGTTGACTAAGGAGATTGAGATAGATGGAGAAAGAAAAAATTTCAAGTTGGGCGCCGCATAATATATGAGAGTTTCAAAACAACCAAGACTATTCAATGACGAGTCCGACCCCGGCTTGATTGAAGCAGTGATGGTCGGGGTTAGTTGGACGCCCCGACGGAGTAAGTGCAAAGCTAAAACCGAAGATTGACATATCAAAGTTGCGGCGTGAATATACGCGTATCGGTATGAACATAACGATCAAAATAGCTTATTTGTTCGTGAAGTTGCAGCCGTCGAGCTCGTCTGCCAGATAAAAATGATACCAGAGGCGCGGTTCACCCCTTACAAGATGCTCCACAACCGTTATATCTCCCGTATCGCCGCTAATACCGGCGGACAACCTTGTACAGGTACAAAATAACTTTTTTGATTTATTATCGCCCTATGGATGAAACGAGCTCTGCATTAGTAGAGTTATCAAGAAATGAGGAGGAATGTCATCTGTAGCGAACAGCATCTCTGACAGATTAGCAAGCATCTCCCGTATAGACAATCTTGCATCTGCCCTTTGGTATAACTTTGGCATCACCATCGTCAGATGCACAGCTCGTCTCAACACGTCCTGACTCCTGATGGCGCCATACGAATGGTGCAGTGACGGCGCATGCGTGGACGATCCATCAACGCCGCAGAGGCGTTTGATGAGAGACCAAGATTTATGGAGAGCAGATCTAAATCTGGCTTGGCAAGCTCGGACACAATATACAGAACGGAGATGAGTAATACGCTTTATACGACAGATCCAGTCGGAAATTATGGAGGATATCAAAGTAAGTGAGCATAAGAATATGTCAGACGACTTGCCTGATAGCGAAAATGTTGAAGAAAACCGCAAATCGAGAACGAAAGCAAATGTACGTGTACAGCAAGATAGAGATATAAAACTCGGAAACAAGAAGCAGTCAAACGCTCAGACATCCAAGTGGACTTCACGACACGAAGCGCACTCGTCGTGGATGATGCCAGAAGATAAAGCAGGACACGCAATTGCAAGAATCGAAGTTTGAGGTATGACTTCTGGAAGAACATAAATCCTCAGAAGACCCTAGTTTACCCACCGGCACCATGATACTTCAAGATGTTGTATGCGAGTGAAGCAGTGGATGGTATCTTATGATGAAGGTTTGTTTGTCGTCGTGGTAAGTTTTAGATGAATCGCTGAATGTGACGGGAGACCTGAATGGTTGAGGTGTGGCGGTGCGTGCGCCCGAGTGAGTGGCTGAAAAGAAAATGGCTGGGCGCATCATGGATTCGAAAACCAACCTCCGACTGAAGCAACTCCACAAACGTTCAACCTCCTCTTATTTTCAGACAGCATATCAACAGTAGGTCGCGTAGTAAGTCTGCATCATTTCCATCTGCTCTACAACATTCTCTCTGCTTGTATTACAATCCTACCACAACTAATCAACACTGTGCTACTGTCTGGATACTTTGATTCCCATTGAAGCGACCATCTGCAAATAGCAACTTCATTACAATCGAGTCTGCAGACCAGCAACTCAACCCCTCCATTGGCAAAGCTTCTTAATATCAGCTCCCGTCTCGACAGACAAAATCACAATGCCGGAAATGGTCGAAACCTCCAAACCATCCTTCGCAGCCATCACCCCACCACCACCAATATTCGATCCCGCAATAACATACTCACCACCTAGAAAGACATCTCCAGCACCTCTACTACCCTCTACCAACCCTTCCTCTCCTCCACCAGCAACAGCAGAACCACCGCCACCACCATACACACTTGCTTCAGCACCAAACCCAGGCTTCTGTCTCCTCGCATTCAGCGAGCGTCACGCAAATCGCACACCTGGTGGAGGTATGACAGCGTCCCAGTACTACGCACCCTGTGCCGCATGCGGTGCTGTAATAGGCGACGAGATAACAGCGGGCTACAAAGAAGGCTGGCGATGGATCGATCCTAGCGTCAACTTCAGATGGGAAAGTCATCTTCCGAAAACGACGCGAAAGGGAAATCAGGAGATGGCAGAGAAAGGAAATGGCAACGAAGTAGATCTGGAGACAGGAGAAGCCACAAGACACGGGGACGGGGAGAGCTTGAGTTGTTGGATATGTTGGGAGTATGAGGAGAAGTTCGTGGAGCCTATGGGCGCGGATGATTGGTATTTGCATATGAAGAGACATTTTAAGGATGATGGGTTTAGGATTTGTGTTGGGAAGACAGGAGGGATGCAGAGGAGGAGGAATTGTGGGGTTAGTAGTTGTCCTAAGATACATTCGTAAGGCATTTGGATAGGCGTTTGGGTATATGATATCTGGTCTGCGGGTTATGAAATTATGTCATGGGATGTGGATGTATATGAATGAATTAACACTTTGGTTTTCAACAACACTACTTCACACACTTGCTCCCTCACCCCCCTGAGATGATTTATATATCCTGAAAAGAGAATCTCATACAATCATTATTCTAGAGAACCGAAGCCTGAATACTTCTATCATAGTTCAAACCCATGCGGTACCCGACACAAAACATTATCCACAACCTTCCAACCCTCATTTCCCACACAAGGATGACACCAAAGTACATCAGTAGGATCATACTTTCGTTTGATAGCAAGCAACCGTTCATAATTATCTCCCCAGAATGTTCTCTGGAAATTAGGTTCATTGGGGTCTGCCTCATTAACGTAGGCATGCGAGTCCGGAGCGAGTTGTCGAAGTGCCTCGACATACTTGTTTGTCAATAAAGATTTCTGGCGGAGCTCAGTGTCCTTATCGAAAGCTGGCCATGTTACTCCTATGACTTCGAATTGTTAATCTTTGCAGAATTCGCCACAGGGAATACAAAAGTTGTTATGACTTACCAGTATGGACCAACACGTCCTTCCAAATAGACGATACCACACTACCACCACCTCTCCGCACAACCTTTCTGGGACCATTTCCACCAGGCCCAACCAAGTAAAGATCCAACCCTGGAACAGCACCAGCAGCTTTCAACGCTTTTGCAAGTGTCGCGGTATCCGTCATCAACTCTTTCTTCCCAAGCAACCTCGAACCCACAATAACATCACCACCACCATTCAAAGGCCCGTTATTATCTCTCCACCATTCCCAAAATTGTGAATATTCAACAGGTGGTGGAACCAACGATAGAAATTCCCCGGGATACGCGGCAAGAGCTTTCTCAAACACCACAGTCAAAGCTTCACGCAGTGACTCTGTGGTGTTCTCGGGAGAAAACGCAGGGAGATGAAAGATCCCGGCATATGCATCAATTGGTTCTGTGATGTTCATCTCAGGGCTCGTAACATTAGGTCTGATGAACGTGTATGCTGAGATTCCGAGTGCGTCAAGGGCTGGGAAGTGAGATATGAGTTTTGCGATTGCGGACCAGAAGTTTGGGTTTCCGGCTGAGGTTGCGATGTAGGCTGTTGTGCTGATGTGGCGGAATGAGAGATGGGCTTGGATGGTGACGGAAGTTATGATGCCGAATGTTGAACCGCCGCCCTGGGGAATATTAGTTTTTCTCATCATTTGGTGGGATGGTGGAAGATAGGCTTACCCCGCGGAAGGCCCAGAATAGATCTCTGTTCTGGCATTCATTTATTTTGCGAATTCTCCCATCAGGTGTGACGACTTCCATCTCCAAAACCTGATCTGCTGCCATCCCGAAAGTTGGAGTTAAAATAGAATGACCACCTCCACTCAGATATCCACCTACCCCTACCGTCTCGGCTCCACCAGAGACAATCGTCAGATTTCGCAAGTATGCTTGCTCATTTAGTTCACCCATTTGAGTTCCAGCTGCTGCGGTGATGGCGTGGACGTTGATTGTAGTACTACATCCTCGAGGTCTGAAGCTATTATGAAATGATAAACCTCGCATATGACGAGTCCATATAGAGAGAGAATTTGAACCTGATGATCTGATATGCCGTTAGCAAAATCTAGCCGGTTTGCATGAATTACTTACCTCCCCAAATAATCATGCCCCGTCCCCTTCACAATCAATCGAATATCATGCTTCCTCGCGAAGTCAACACCCGTCTTCACATCCATTGCCGAAGTAGCATTAACAACATAAAGAGGATATCCAGCTCCGCTGCATGGAGCATTGGAATCCGGCAAGCATGTATCGTTATTCCAGTTGTCTTGAATGCTGCTCACTGGATCTTCGGTATGCCAGGCTGATGTTTTCCATCCTGCTTGTACTGCTGGACAAGTGGTGGGATTGAACGTAGATTGACTTGGGTGACATACTGCTCCTGGTGGGGAGACTTTGATTAGGTGACCGGACAGAGAGGTGTTAAGTGATGTCCATTGGTCCTCGCTTGGCCAGGCTTCGGTGCCGGGGATGGTTTTACATTTTGGTAGGAATGAAGCTGAGGTAAGAGTTAGAAGACTGAGTAGGTAGACTAGCATTTTTCAGGAATTTGGACTTTGCAATGTCAGTAGTCTTGTCCAGAAATGGGCATGGAAGTTGTTGAGCTAATTTAGTTGTCAACACGATCCGACTGTTCAAACTATTGCTTTATATGAAAAAGACATGGGGAAAAAAGACACATTATATGGATTTCATGAAGGACGGATGAGGATTTAAGTAATGCAAAATATTATCCTGCGATTCTTGAAGGTCTCACGCCCAACCACGCCACCAGGAGATCAGCCTTTTGGACCAAAGACGCAGCAGACGGGACATGGATTCTCGTATAATGCTTATGCTGCTGGAAAAAAACCAAGTTCCGTAGAATGGGTGCCTTGAGTCCGGATCATCCAATAGGTCTGACGAGAAGAAAGTTACACGCAAGCAGTCGGCATGAAGTCAAACCGGATTTCATTAGCGAAGGACTTGATGACATTGGAATGGGAACTATGAATAGAGATATACCATTATGGCAGTTGTATGCAATGAAACCTGGTACTGAATTATACAATTAGTAACGGCGATGTAGCTGCAGCGTAGGTACTGAGAAGAAGACGAGGGAGAGGAGACCACCTGGGCAGCTCTAGTTCCCTAACCGAAACCCCCTGGTGACCCCACAATCACCGAGCGGGGAAACGCCGGCAGATCTTCACCATCTACTGTTGGTGCGAGTCGAAGCGCGTCAATGCTTCAAATTTCGATATCGACCCTCTCAACAATTTACATGTCTTGGAGATGCACCACCATCATTGATGAAGTCCCGGCTTCCATCGAGAAGATGCGTCCAAACATGGCCATCTTTGTGTGCCGCAGTAAGAAACGCAGAATGGGAAACCCGTTGAATTGAAGCAGTCTTACTAACTTCAAATTTCGCAGGGCAACATACAAGTCGCTCGAGAGAAATGTTCTCTACGCCCGAATCTCCCCCCAATGCTTCGACATTATCGGTCCTATCGATTTCGGAAAACCGCTCTATCGTTCCCCCTTAGCAGACCCCGTCGAAATTTTGCCACCACCCACCCCTCGTATGCCTCGTTATCCCAGTTGCGACCGGTGCCGACAAATGTGGAAGATCTCTGCAAGACGTATCCTTCAGCACCTCCTTCTCTTTTCGTTACTCCATGGCGTGAGCAAGGCTGGAGAGAGGTGTTGGGGAGGGTCCCATATAGCTCCATCACAGAAAACGCCCAGGAGAGTAAAAGTTTCGACTGTACATATGAACTAGAACTTCCTGGTGGCTTGAAACGCAAGGCAACACTCGCCGCCGTTAGCAAAGATGAAGCACTACAATTGGCAAGTAAAGAGCTTGTGATGGCCTTACATGTTGACGGAACCTGGGGCAAGATACTCCAAAAGAAGGACGGCTCGGGAGATAAAGTGAAGCCCTTGTTGGGAAACAAGGTGCAGAAGGAAGGGGCTGGACGCGTAAAAGCTGTCTCCCACCTTCCGTATGTGACGGAATTGTATGACTGTTGCGCGTCAGCTGGATCTATTCCGGATTTTCATTTCTCGCAGTCACGCCAAACCTGGCTTCATTCTCACTGGTGTGGTCTGCCCGACGGCAGCTTAGCCGCGCAGGGAATAGGCTCAAAACATGTTGACGCCACGCTACGTATGTTGAAGTCGTACATAAAGAGGTGTCGGCAGGCTCAGTCGTCGGAGTCTGGCCAGAAACCGAGCTATCCAAACCGTGCGAATTCGTTGCAGTTCATTGCATATTGCTATAGGGACCGAGAAGTACAGCAAGATTTCCGAGTTTTCAATGACAAGGCACGCCTAGAAGTTCGTTGCCAAGCTCTGGAGTTCGGACTATTCGGGACTGTATACATGGATGGGGAGAAGATCAGTAATAATCTGTATGGCTGTGACAGAGCATTCTTCAAGAGACTCGCAGTCTTGGTGGGAGCGGTCCACCTAGCGAAACGGAACCCGCACCTATGGAGTGAGTTCGAGGCTGCCTACGCAGAGGACCCGGCGCAGTTTCCAGCACTAGACCGGAACGTCGCCATGAAGACACATGGAGGTTCAGTCCGTTTGAATGAAGAACTAGTTGAACCAACGACTGTGAGGTCAAATGTGCCTATCCTTAGAAAGTGGGGCTCGTCAATTCCACCCCAAGTCGCTGTTGAGGTAAAGAGCGTGCACGCAGATGCGCACGTTGCTGACAAGGGGGATCAACCGCAAGTCGTAGAGAAAGCAGAGACAGAGACGCTCGTTGTCGATAACGTGACTTCATCCACTCAACCCCAAGTTGTCGCGGGACTAGAAGATGTGGACGCAGATGTGCTCGGCACTGAGAAGGGGGCTTCTCTCTCTCCAAGCCAAGTAGCAGCGGAAGCAGATAAAAGAACGTCGACAGACAGCTTTTTGGAGATGTTTAATCGCACCTACAGAATCGATGGCGCTCCTAAAGGAGAATTCGTGTCCCCAGTCGTGGAAGTGGTGGCGACTCCTGAAATGGTATCAATCATGCAATCAGCCTCCCGAGGTGTTCTGCACGTTCCCGAGGGCGGAACAATCGAACAGCCCGTTTTTCATCAGAATAAATACGCAACTTTATCGAAGGTTGCTCCTAGGACAAGGCTTGATAAGCGAAGCTGCCTGCTGAAAGCGCGCCAGGCCGCGCTTGAGTCAAAGAAATGGATGCAATTAGCACAAGGTACAGTGCTAGAGTCCCTCCCAATCAGAAAACATCACGAAGAGATTGTCGCAATGGTTCAGGAAAATACTTTTAGTATCGTGGTGGGCGCTACGGGGAGTGGCAAGACCACCCAAGTCCCCCAGATGCTGTTCGAGGAGGCAATCAGTAGGGTTGAAGGTTCTACAGCTGAAATCATCTGCACGCAACCACGTCGTATCGCCACCAGCGCTGCTGCCAGACGAGTTGCCGTCGAACGCAATGAAACCATTCAGGAGACAGTAGGATACTCTACTAGAGGCGACTCGAAACTACCTCGGAGAAATGGAAGCATCACATACTACACAACAGGCTCTCTTTTGGCTCGCCTTCGGCAAAGACCAGAGCAAATGATGGCAGATGTCAGCCATATCATTATAGACGAGGTTCACGAACGTGATATAGATGTCGACTTCCTCATGGTGACATTGAAGGACATTCTTTCAAAGCGTAAGGCTGCCGGTGACAAGATACCAAAAGTCGTTCTCATGAGTGCCACTCTCGATGCCGACCTTTTCTCAAACTATTTTGGCCAACAAATGGACGATGGGTCTATCAAACCATGCCCTTCTATTTCCATACCTGGGCGCACTTTTCCTGTTAATGTCAAGACCCTGGACGACATTGTCGTCGAAATGAAAGACAAAGCGGATATGAATGCTTGGAAATCATTGATTGGAACACCTGCAGTCAACCGTTTTCTTCGACAGGAGGGATTATCAATAGATCGCAATCTGAACATTTCGAACGCCGGGGCTATTTCGGATGATGATTCTCAGCATCAGGTCGACACGCGTGGCTCTTTCCCCCTACTATGTGCGACCATCCAGCACGTTTTAGAAACAACTTCCGAGGGAGCAATACTTGTCTTTCTGCCGGGAATGCAAGATATATTAAATATCAATAGACTTTTACGGCAATACCAGGCACGTGCCGACTTTTCTGTGGAACAGCTTACGATCTGTATGCTTCACTCGAAGCTCAAAGAACATCAAGATGATGTCTTTAATGAGGCTCTCCCTGGCCACAGAAAGGTAGTACTTGCGACAAATATTGCCGAGACGTCACTCACAATCCCCGACGTTCGGTACGTAGTTGATTCTGGCCTTCATCGTGACCTTTCTTTTGACCAGGTAACAAACACGACGACCATGGGAACCCAGTGGGTTAGTGCCGCGAGCTTAAAGCAACGTGCTGGTAGAGCTGGACGCGTTGCTGAAGGTCATTATTATGGCATCTTTTCCAAGGCACGTCAAGAGTCCTTAGCTCCAGCCGCCTTGCCTCAGATGTTACGCTCAGACTTGCAAATGTTATGTCTACAAGTCAAGACCCGCGTGCCTGAAGGCAATATTGCTGAGATTCTTGCGAAAGCGATTCAACCACCGAAACCCGAGGCAGTAGAAGCTGCGATTCAGCAGCTCAAAGACATGGAAGCTTTGGATGATAGAGAAAACTTCACCCGGCTAGGAACGTTGCTTGCCTCCCTATCCGTTCACCCTGCTATGGGTAAATTGGTGGTCCTTGGGATCCTCTTTCGCTGCCTGGATCCCATGTTGATAGTGGCTGCTACGGTACTGTCGTCCAAATTCTTTATTACCCCAGCACATGGTCAGGATGTGGCTCGGAACGCGAGAAAAGAATTCAGTCAGGGGACTAAAAGTGACCACGTTGCTTTGATAAACGCTTTCCGCTGGGCGCGCTCCATTCGAAGACAGCCAGACTTTAACATTATGATGAGAGGACAATACCTTGACACCTACGCGTTTGACGAGATTAGTAGGAACATGCTTAGTATTGAAGGGAAACTTGTGGATGCTGAACTTATACCACATACTTCAGAAAAAGAACTGCTCGAGTCTCAGCGTGGCCCTCCATCACTGAACGAGAATTCCAACAATCTTTCTCTCATCAAAGCACTTATCTTGGCAGGGGCGCCCAAAAACATCGGCGAGATGGAAAAGCCAAACGTGCTTTACATATCACCGAAAAAACGTGTTGTGACAGCACGGTCTTCGGTCTGTCAACTTAGTCGCACAAATCAAGATGAGTCCAAGCAATGCGCCTCACTATATTCATATGGCGTGTTGTTAAAGACTGGCAGTAACGGTGCCGCAAATGAGCTCAGTCAGTGCTCGCCACTGATTGCAGCATTATTTGCATCGCAAGCCAGACTGCACACATCCTGGTCTGGCGTCGATCAGTTCATTCTCAATGACTGGCTGCCTTTGGGATTGCGGGGAATCAACGGGGTAACTGGCACGCTCGCCGCGAAAGAAATCATGAGCTTTCGTGCAGGTCTACAAACTATCTTGTCGAAGGCTTCAGGGAACTCTTTGAAGCCATTTGACCGTAAAAGTGGCAGATATCTTGCTGACGATCCAGAGACCATCGAATTCACTGCCAAGTTGGTTAGGCTTCTTGAGATTAATGACGTTGGAACGGAAAATGACAGCTGGAGTATGATGATCGATTCGATCTTGATTGACTCTGAGAATGATATGATGAGTCAGATGGTGGGAGGAGAATAAGCAGCTTACCACTGTTTTATAACGGATGTCCATTCGAATGACACCATGTATAAATGTATATTATCGCATATTGGAGTTGAGGCGAGAGCACGATCGGCCTTTTGGTACTTGGGCCTGTGAAAATCGAGGATATGGATGTGTCAATGTGTATATTGTCAAAATGGACAACGTCAAATCAAACCAGGATTTACAAACTGGCACCTTTCTCATATACGTGTATGCAGTATGGCATGACATTTTCTCAGCTATATGTACGCCCGGCTCAATTTTCAAAAAGCTTCTACAACTCCACTTCAAAATCAAAAAACTCTAGTCTACCAGAACCTTTCAGTCCCGGGAATTTTCCTGGCCCATCCCAAACTCCTGAAAAATATATACCAGTCTTTCCGCCCAGAGAATGTCCAAAACGCCAAAATTCCAATCCGTCTTCGAGGTTCTACAATCAACAATTTTCGCTCCCTCCTACTCCACGACCCTTCACATAATCGCACACGCACATCCCTGTCTCTTCTCCTTCTTTTCCTTCTCCTTCTCCTTCTCCTTCTCCTCATCCGCCTTCATCTTCTCCACCTCCGCCCTAACCTCAACCTCATGTCTGCGATACTCCGGCGCCGGATCCAAGCTCACATCCTCCATCTTCAACTTGGGCGACTTGGACCGCGCGCGCGCCTCGGCCGGGTACATGGGAGGCGGACTGTCACTTCCGAGCAAGAGAGGTCCGCGGTCCCAGGCGGAGCGACTGAAGTGCTTGCGTGGTGACGGCGGGGTTTTGTCTAACGAGGGACGAGGGACTGTTGCGTCGAGTGAGGGACGTGGCGATTGCGGGAGAGGTTGGTTTGCGGCTGCTGCGAAGGAGGGACGGGGGGAGAGGGCGATGGGGTAGCGTGTTCCCATTGATGGACGGGGAGACATTTGGACGGGTGGTCGAGAGCCGAGGGATGGTCGGGGAGACATTTGGACAGGTCGGGATCCTAATGATGGTCGTGGTGACATTTGAGCTGGGCGAGATCCCAAAGATGGACGTGGGGACATTTGATGAGGTCTTGAACCTAGAGATGGGCGAGGAGACTCGGGGAGGGGATGGTTGAATGCGCGAGCGGAGACTGGTGTTGGTGGGTTGGTTCGGGGGAGGTTGGCGTATGGATTGTAAGGGCTCTGGACTTCCATAGTTCTATTCATCTTGAAAAAGAGTGGTGTTGAGGATTTTTTAAAGAACGTGGTAGTTGATCAAGCCTTATGCTGCTTTCAAACGTTCGCAAATGTATCTGCGCTGGTAATGAGCGTCCTTTTAATTCCAATATGACAAATTCAAAGAAAGTGAGTTGAGAAATGAAAGTCGCTTGAGAAACACTGAACGAGAGTGCATACCAAACATTCTAGAGAATCAGAACCAAATATATGATCTCCAAACCAAAATCCTGTGTAGCATCCAATGCGCCAGGAGGAGGCTCATGTACGCTGCTGACTGGCATCCTAGTGGGTGGCGCAGGGGTACCTCGCCTCGAACCCCTGAAAAATGCGGCAGTCGTGATACCACGGAGTAGAAGTTCTGGAAGGAATGAGGGAAGCTTGTCTCGTGATGCGGCTGTATTCGTCAATGGGATAAATTTTAAGGAAGAGGTTGATGGCGCAGAGGACTCCCGTGATGTTGGATAAGTCCTGCTCGCTTAGCGCATCGCTAGATAAAAAGTCGACGCGATTGTGGATTTGTTGTACGGCGGAAAAGGAATACAGGTTGTGAAATCGTGATCAGTATTTCGTTCCATCTTACGAATTGAAGGAAGGGTAACCAGAAAGGAAGATTAAAACAAGATGAGGGTAAGGTGGTGTAACATCCCACCCGAAGTGGAGGCGCAGGCGAAAAATCGAAACGTTGTCGCGGGTACCTAGGTATCAAAACCGACAGAGCGAAAGTAGGTTTTTCAACTGGATTTCAAATATTAATCGGCCTGAATTCCAAGACGAAAATAACAAAGAAATCAAAATTGGGTATTGAGTCGCGCCGGCGACCGAGAAAGCTATGTGACAAACTCCTGCAATGAAATATTCCTTCCCGACGGAAGACCGCCATCCCGAATAACATATGAACTGTATGCAAAAACCCTATTTCCGATGATCACGGCCACCCCAGAAGTATACCAAATTGTATGCGCCCAAAATGTTATACAATGAACTTGTTCAAGCCTTTCGGAACAATCTCTTTGTTGATCCAACCTTTTCCATCTCGCCGAAGCTTGCGCCTCGATCTTTTAATCGTCGTTCCTTTTCCTTTTCACGATTCTTCTCTGCACTCGCGAGTTTGACCTTTTCTTTCATATTTTCAACCCACTCTTGATCTTTTTCGGTCATATTAATCTGCTTCCCCTTGGGACCAGCAAGGCCCAGTGAAACGTCATCGTCAGTCCAGCTAAGTCGAGAGCTGCTTCTGCTAGGGCCAGCACTTGAAGCGGGTATATTTTCTCCCAGTGATCTGCGATTAAATGCTGAAAGAGGCGTGCTTGGACTACGATGATCACGGCCAGCAATCGATGTGGACTCTCCCAGCGATTTCCGATTCTTCCTCACATCCAAGCTAGACATAGGTCGATCGAAGGCCGACGAAGGTCGGAAGCTTGGAACAGGGCTGTACCTTCCATTGTCAATAGCCGTGACTGTGGCGGCAGACAATGTGGAAGAGCTCGACACGACCCGGGGCGGCAAATCCTGAATTTCGATTTTTTCCTCCACTGTACTGCGACGGCCGTGATGACTGGCGTACTCCTTCAGATATTCCCCCAAGTCCGCCCAGCCCCCACCAACGCGTACCATAACACGCTCGCCATTCTCACCAACGAGTCGTACAAATAGCTTGATAGGTGCCTCTCCAGTCGACCGTGACAGATGGTAGATCTTAATTTCTGGATGAGCATATTGTGATTTCGGTCGAGGAACAGTCTTGCTATATGCAGGTGCAAGAAGGAAAGATGGGGTTTGTGCTCGGTTACTTAGACTCGAATGTGGTCGGAACGCTGGAGTGACAGACTTTCTCGTCTTTTTTGATTTGACAGTGTTGCTCAAATTGCTAGTCGGCCCTGAGCTGAGATGAATTTGTGCAGGTATGGATTCCAGTAGCGATGAGATTTGCTGTTGGAGTTGGTCTTCGGTACCTTTCTTTGGGCTCGAAAGTGGAGCAGCCACAACATTGACATCACCAAAAACAGGGGTATCCACGGACACAGTCGATGCATCTGAAATCGAGAAAGTTGGACTTGTCGGGAAGTTCAGTGAGTTAGGGGCGGATGCTGGGACGGATATTGTGGTGTTGGAGAGTGGTGAGTTCGGGGGACTGTTTTCAGGAGAGCGTAGTATGATTGAATCGATGTGGTGGCGGGTAGGAATTTGTTCATCTGTTTTTGTATTACCCCCTAGAACTGGACTCGTTGTAATCGGAGAGCTTGAGCCGTCACCCCAACGAATAGCAGAGGGAGACGTATCAGATGATGCACTAGCCCTGCGGGTTGTATCGACGGCTGGGAGGGAAGAAATGCTTGACTCGTCAAGTGCATTGCCATCGACTGTCACTTTTGCTTTGAGGAGATTCTCCTCTTCGGAATTCAACACGATCTGCTTTACGAGTTGGGGAATTTCGTGTTTTTGAGTGGCCGCACGGAAATCATTTGCCAGATCAGTGACTTCGTCCGGTTGTGAGAGCTCATTCAGGACAGCTTTCTGCAATGAAGAATCTGTTTCATCGACTGAGCAGTTGGGCTGCGAGGGAACTGGAGCCTCTGGCACTGTTGACTTGTCATCGGCTTCTGGTGCTCGTTCTGGTACTATTGACTCGCCAACAGGCTGGACGGATTCTAGTGGCTGCGCGAACAGTTTATCACCGTCTTCAAGCTTGTCGAATTTTGCTAAATGTGGAACCGTTGGCGAGAGTTGATTGAATGGTTGTTCTTCCACATGACCGACGGCGAAAGAAGAGAAATTGACAATAGATATGTTTCTACTATGACGTCGAGAGGCGCCGCCATTTGAGACAGATGTTTGACTAGAAGCAGAACTGGAAGTGTTGCTGGTCAGCCCATCAACGCTGGCTGATTTGGACAAAGTAGCCGCGTTTGGTGCGACTATCTCAGCATCACCTCCAGGTGACCGGTTGCCTTGATTGAGGTAGAGTGTTTCAATTGCCATATCACTATCTGCAGACGATACACTGTTAACCAGGGCGCTCACGGGGACAAAAGGTGGAGGGCTAGGGTGATCCCCTGTCAGTCCATGTCGCTGTTTGGAAGCTTCGTCGTCCCAAGTCAAGGACGCTTCTGCTGCGAATTGTGTTGGCGAAGTATTAATCTTGTCACTGTGCGCTATCAAATCAGTGGCTTTCGTTGCGGGGCTGACGTTGAATTTATTGAACGATGGGTTTGACATGAGTACTTCAGACCCAGGCTCTGTCCCACTCGCTGAAACCTTTGAAGGTTGCGACAAATCCGGTAAAATATGATGGAGTTCATGTTCAGACGGTGATATGGCGGAAACGTCTGCGTGATCTGAAAATTCCACAACTCTACCATCGTCCACTAGTAGTTCTGGACTTGGACCTGAAGGTATGGCCCAGCCACTTTCCGAGGATGTCGTGCTCCTTGTAGATTCATCTGTTTGGAGCATGTCGAATTCTGGACGGTTACCACGGCTTGTCGATGGGCTGCTTGGAGACAAAGAATGATCTTGCTCTGAGATTCCACTTGTAGTCTGAGCAATCTCCTCATCCCCAGTGGAGTGGGTATCCGTGGAGAGATGATCGTGTAACTTTGGAGATTCAGCGACGTACATTTCCCGCTGAGGCGAGACAGTTGGTGCAATTGCTTCAATTGGACCACGAATTTCCGATGCAGCCTCGTGGTCCTGACACCTTTCGTTGGGTGGCTGTTGTGGGTCTGAGGTTCTTTGCTCAATGGCCTCTTCGATGGGAAGAGGTTCTTCGTCGATCGAGTCCTGTTCCTCTGACCAGCCCTTGAGGTCTGGAGCGTCTTCCTTTGCCTTCAAATGTATTGCCTCAGTCGTCCGAGCAGCCTCTAGTTGCATCGAATCTTCTGCGATTCTTCTGGCCCTTGACTGACTCTCCCACTCCCCTTGCCGGAGCTTCTGCTCACACGAAACAACCCACTCAGCATAATCATGCTCAATAGCCTCCATTCGATCAAGCCAGATTTCGGGTAGGGTATCTTCCCGACCTTCCAAAGTGTCAAGCATAAAATCAATATCGCGACCAAGCCGAGTGACCTTATCCTGGAGTACGTTTTGCATCAATCCAAAAGTATTTCGCGATAAGAGAAACTCGCCAGGAGCTGCCTCCTGACCATGATCGTACACACTCTTTCCAAGCACATCCCATCCAGACTTCAGAGCAGCCTCAACTTCTTCGAGTGATGATAGTAAGGGCGGTACTCTTTGCAAAACAATCAACCGTATTTTCCAAATGTCCATCAAACGCAGCAACCTGGATAGATTCGGTAGAGCATAAATAACCGTTGCAGTAATGATCGCTGTAAAGTCGTCCATTCTGGTGTACGATGGCAGTGAGCTGAGCACCGAGATATTCGACGACGACGAGGACGGGCGAGACTTGGAAGAAATGTGGGTTGCCAAAACCTGTCGTTTGATGGCTTCGACATCAAGATCCTCCATATCTTCAGTGATCTCCTCTATCCGCACATAATATTTATCAACCACTTCCGCGAGAAGGCTTCCCATGTATTCCTCGTCGTCCAGTTCCCTGCTGCCATGTCTTTCATAACGACCTAGACGAAAGTCATCGAAGTATCCACGCTCTGTAGCCATTAACCGCTTCCTGTTCGGCATCTCGAAACCCTGTGAACCTCCATCCCTTGGCCAGGGCCAACTCAGCAACTCATGTAGCCATTCCTGTATCTTCTTCGAGGCGAGAGTAGCTCTGATCCCAAACGCCCGCTCCGATGCGGTCGCAGCTTCGATGCTGGCTTTCAATTTACCAGACGGTTGGGTAAAAGCTTCGAGCGTAGTTGTGGGCGAGAGATCCGCGAGGATGTCGTCTGTGAATCGTTCTCGTGTTGGCGATCGTGAGGCATTGCGTTGGTGGGTTCGATTGGGTGGTAAACGGGGGATCGTGGGTGAAAGAAGAGGTGGGAGGTCCATTTCGATTACTGCTTTGATGAAAAGAGGAGATAGTCGGTCGATGGTTTTGTCGGATCAAACAGCAACATGATATTCGAAGCAAAATGATGCTTGACCGGTGAGGTTGTAGTAGTCGCTCATTATCACCGAGGAGTAAGAGGCGTGTATCCGGTTGTGAATCAGGACATGGCCCACGTTTAATTGCGACGGTACAACTTCAATGGATGGAGGCTGGATCCCGTGCTCGATGGTGGTTCTCGTATTGACGCGATGTAGGACGTTGGAGCAGAAGGGTTGGAAGTAATGTCGCAGGCGCAAGAGAGATGGATTCGTTTGTCGTCCCGCCAGCGCACAAATGATGCTGGGTAACGCGCCAGGTACGAAAGGTACGACGATGGCCGGGTGTGCAGGAGCAGGCATAAGGTTGCTGCTTGGCGATCATAATGCACTGACTGAAACTATCGACTGCGATGCTGCAGGGGTTGTGTCCGAGATCTAGGAGTACTACTCATACACATGGTCTCTCCGTTAATGAATGACGAGAAAAATCGAGAAAATGAGGGCATTCAGACATTGGTAGATAGACGGAAGTAGATCGTCTGCACTCGATCATCATACATGCGCAGGCTCACGGCCATGAGCTGCAAGTAAGGAGGTCTGAACGTGTTTGAAGCTGGGCGGATGGTTTAAAGCAGCTCCCAATATCAATTATGCCATGCATGCGGCTCGCCGCGGTTTGCCCCAAAAACTGGCGGTGCCGCCTTTCGACCCCACCGCCGTCCGTTGAACCAACCACACTCCTACAAGGTCAGCAGCAGAAAAAAAGTCCGATAACAGGAGCAGCAGAAGTTTATATGGCCACCCTTGAACCTTTTCTTGTAGTTAAACTTTCAATGGCAGCAATATGATACCAGTAAGTAGTCTTCATTCTGGATATGATCTTTCCAATGGATGCTAATCTCATTCCAGCAACGAGCTGGTCTTCAATGCCTGCGGGTCAGACCGTCACGAAATTTGCTCCCTCTCCGACAAGCACGATCGAATGTGCGCGCCTTCACAGCAACGGCGCAACGTTTCCAAGATGTGTTCCATGCTCAGCAATCAGATCCTCAGTCATCCGCCATCCTATCCTCCCTAAAATCGAGTTCTCGAGTCCCTCAAACGCTCACGGAAAAGATTGTTCAACGGTACTCGCTGGGGCTAGCAGAAGGCAAGTCAGTCCGGTCTGGGGATTATGTGACTTTGTCACCACATCGTTGCATGACACACGACAATTCGTGGCCGGTAGCTCTCAAGTTCATGTCAATTGGTGCCTCCAAGATCCATGATCCAAAGCAGATTGTGATGACGCTGGATCACGATGTCCAAAACAAATCCGAGACCAACCTCAAGAAATACAAGCAGATTGAAGAGTTTGCGAAGAAGCAAGGCGTCGATTTCTACCCGGCCGGCAGAGGCATTGGTCATCAGATCATGGTGGAAGAAGGATATGCGTGGCCAGGGACGATGACAGTTGCGAGCGACAGCCACAGCAACATGTATGGTGGTGTGGGCTGCTTGGGAACGGCTATGGTCAGGACGGATGCTGCGAGCATCTGGGCAACGGGAAAGACATGGTGGCAGATACCGCCGATCGCCAAGGTTACTCTCACAGGTGTTCTGCCAAAGGGTGTCACTGGGAAGGATGTTATTGTTGCACTATGCGGGCTGTTCAACAATGATGAGGTTCTGAACCACGCGATAGAATTTACGGGATCAGAACAGACGATGCGAAGTTTACCAGTTGATGATCGCCTAGCAATTGCTAACATGACGACCGAGTGGGGAGCTTTGACAGGACTCTTTCCGATAGACTCGATGTTGCAAGCTTGGTTGAGATCAAAGGCTACCACCTCCGCGCTGTTTGACGGAAAAGAAGGACGATTTACCCACAAAAGCATTGACGATTTGATCGCAAACCAATTGGTTGCTGATAAGGGTGCTACATATGCGAAGTCGTTGTATCTGAATCTGTCGACGCTTGCACCATACGTATCTGGTCCCAATTCAGTCAAAGTTGCAACACCACTGCGGGACCTTGAGGCGCAAAACATCTCGTTAAACAAGGCATACCTCGTATCGTGTACGAATTCGAGAGCGTCCGATTTGGCTGCCGCTGCCAAAGTCTTCAAGGACGCATCGAAAGATGGAAGACCTGCGAAGATTGCTCAAGGCGTGGAGTTCTATATTGCAGCTGCGTCAATACCCGAACAACAAGCCGCGGAAGAGACTGGTGATTGGCAAGCGCTTTTGGATGCTGGTGCCAAACCTCTACCTGCTGGATGTGGGCCGTGTATTGGGCTTGGGACGGGCCTGCTTGAGCCTGGTGAGGTTGGAATTAGTGCGAGTAACCGCAACTTCAAGGGACGTATGGGATCGCCAGATGCGAAAGCATATCTCGCAAGTCCAGAGGTAGTTGCTGCCAGCGCGATGAGTGGTAAGATTAGCGGGCCCGGGTGGTATGAGAAACCCGTTGGTGTCAACAAGGTTGTTCTAGGTGAGGGAACTGGGATTGCTGATGAGGACCGAACAATGAGTGTCGTTGATGCTCTTGATAAGTTGATCGCCGACGCCGAATCATTGATTCAAGGAGCAGAGAAATCTGTTCTGGGCGAATCTGAGGCAACTGAGAGTGGTGACGAGCAGTTGACTGATATCCTGCCTGGGTTCCCAGAAAAGGTTGAGGGCGAGATTGTCTTCTGTGACGCAGACAACATCAACACTGACGGCATATATCCTGGCAAATATACATATCAAGACAATGTTTCCGTGGAGAAGATGGCTGAGGTATGCATGGAGAATTATGACAAGTCTTTTGGGTCGATCGCCAAGGCTGGTGATATTCTCGTTGCTGGTTTCAACTTTGGCTGTGGATCAAGTCGCGAACAAGCTGCGACAGCCATTCTGGCGAAGAAGATCCCACTCGTTGTCTCAGGTTCATTCGGTAACATCTTCAGCCGAAACAGCATCAACAATGCTTTGATGGGGGTGGAAGTTCCACGTCTTGTGCAACGGTTACGAGAAACATTTTCATCAAACTCCGTGAAAGCAAAGAGCAATGATACTGAGCCAAGTGAGAACAAAGAGAGTTTGGACAGCCCGCCACCCGCGGTACAAGCCAGTCCTGTGGAAAAGATGCTTACGAGGAGAACGGGATGGAACTTCTTGTGGGATGTTAGGAGGAGCAAAGTTGTCATTACTGAGGGAGAGGGTGGTGCAACGTGGAGTCAAAAGGTGGGAGAGTTGCCACCGAATGTTCAGGAAATTATCGCTAGGGGAGGGCTGGAGAAGTGGGTGAAGAAGGAGATCTCTGCGCCGTAGGGTGTTGAAACTTGTGTATATTAATAAGGGATGTATAATGAAGCGCTTTTGTTCTAGATGTGTCCCAACCTCCGGCTTGTGAAGTTCATCATTCACGTACAGCCGCTTCTCGCGACTTCGTGCCGTTCCAATACTCCTCGTTTACAACTATTGCTCCTGTTGCCAAATTACATTATTTTTCGAATATCAAAGAAACGTAATGACAGTGTAACATACAATCAGGCAGACAATGTCACAGAATTATTTCGAAATGCCACTTTCCATACATTTATCTCTCGCTAAAACTCCTTCTGAGACGTAGTAACATCGTTTAAGGAAATGTCTCTTTTACACAACATACCTAAGCATATTGGCCTGTTTGGTTCAACTTTACACTATCTTAAATACACTTGTGTTTCGATAAAATATTTTTGCTAGTCTAGTAATCTGTAACAAATAATAATCGGTACTTTTATACATCTGCCTTAGAAATTTAAACCCCCGGAACATTGTATATTCTAGACAAAAGGGGCGACGCAGAAAACATTTGCTTTTGTCGCTTGATAATGCCGGTTCAACATTCTACCTTTACTAACTTGGGTAGATTTGCAGCAATCTCTAAAGATCTCAATGAAGAAGGAGGGATGAATCAATAAAGGAGTGGAAAATTCCTGGCCCCTGTCAACGGCTTCCCAATCTTCCAGCAATGGGGTATTTATTTTTGTCTTTACGGTTTACTATAGTAAGATTACTAGAACTAATAGTGTTTACTTCCAAACAAAATGGTTCTTGACTATTTTTAACTAGATATAGAATTCCTACAATCTATCTATTCACTTTGTCCTCTAATTAACCCTGGGTAATCCGGTGTTTCTACTCTATCTAGATTCTGTATCAGTAACGCGACAACGGGGTGTAGACCTGCCTATACGGCCTCTCGAATCCATTCATCCAGATCCAGCAACTCATAGCACTCCCCTCTCTCAGAATCCACGAGAGATATCTCATTCATTGGAATGACCTGGTCGCCAACCTGATTCACATACCTGAGCATCTGACTTTTACCTGGCTCCCCTTTAGAAAGATGTCGTACAACATCCGCGCAACAAGTCTCTGCGCGAACAAGATCGAATGCTCCGTGAGCATTTACGATCCTGGGCGCTGTTTTTGTCTTTCGAATGTAGTACAAAAGGGAATTCACCCAATCTAATTTTGCCCTGGTTGTTCTGCTATGTACTCCCTCACGGATAATAGTTGAAGGTCGATAGATGCAGATCGGGAGAGCGTGATGTTCCTGAACACGCTCGAGAAATCTCTCGTTGGTCCATTTGGAGGAACCATACCCAAACGAGCCATCTGCCGCGGGAGAAATTGAACCATTTCCAGCGACTGATACAGGGGGAAAAGGATTCTTGTCACTGTAAATCGCTACGCCCACTGAGGATATATAATGCATAGGAATTTTGCGTGGCAGGCACATTCGAGTCAATTCAATGGTAGAGCCGACGTTGGAAGAACGTAGGTCGTGAAATGATTTGATATGTGAGGTGTCTGCGCCGTTGTGAATTACAGCATCTGCCTTGGCAAAGATCGACTCCGCTTCCTCTTTCGAAAGTCCGAGGAGAGGATCTGAGAGATTGCCGTGGTAGTATTTGATGCGTTCGTCAGCAACAAGCTCGTCTACTGTGCGGCTTGCGAGGTTTCGGACAGCAAGGCAATGTACGACCTCAGTGGATGTCTCTCTGAGAAGACTCTCTAAAAGGTGGCGACCCAGTAGACCAGTGGCTCCTATCAATACTAAATTCTTTGGAGGCACAGCAGGCGATGATCCATAGACAGTCTTTATGCATCTCAAATCTTCTGGGATATTGGACTCCGCTTCCCAATCTATGAACTCAGTATTGATGGATGGGGAGCATTGTTCGGTGCTCAGTGTACTTGGTACACTGACTGTGGTGGAACTTGTTGTCTCGCTCATTCTGTCAACGGTGGATGTATGCATCACAGGCAACATTTCAGCGGGAATCCCTTCAACCACAATCTGAACAAAGCTATTCAAAGTGTCATTCCCCATCAGTCTGAGAACTGGGATGCTAACAAGGAAATTTTTCAATACCCAGTGTCTTATGTCAACAGAAACAAGAGAGTCAATTCCCAGCTCTAGTGCTCGTTTGGAAAGAATCTCATCGATAGTCACAGCTTCGGATAATTGTAAGAGTTTGCGTACTTGATCGCCGAAAGATTTCCCCACGAGTTGAAAGAGGTCTTTTTTGGTTTTGCAGTTCCCAAGATGATCGTGAATCGTTACAGTCGCTGTCCTCCCCTTTCTATCTTCCTCATTTGCCGCCCTGTTGACAATAAACCGAGCGAACTTCGGATTTGAGTACCATTTTGGAATGTGCGGAGAGTCGGAAGAAATGTCAAGGAGCCCAGTCGTGATTTCGGGTGAGTGTGGAGAGCCTGAATGCCCAGATTCTATAGCTTCAGCGATCATTTGATGAAAGTCCTCCTCTGAAAGATGCATCAAGGCCATTTTTTCGACCGTTATATCAAGTGCTCTGTCGGTTTCTCTAGTGATATAACCTGCACCAATGATGGCACCTCCATTCACGGCGGAAGCATTGAGGCCACGACTTCTTCGATTTGCTGCTAGACTACACATGAACGTGTTGGCCGCGGCGTAATTGGCTTGGCCGACATTACCAACAACACTTGTGATAGAAGATATGAGGATAAAGAAATTT